CCTGATGAGCTCGCTTAAAAACGGCTATATCATTCCCATACGCAGCAAATGTATAATCACGGTAGGAAGCAAGAGCTCGAATCTTCTTCGGCAATTGTGGACCTGCATAGATTTTTTTATTTATTTTTAAAAGTTCATATAATTACACCGCATAAAATTCCGAAAGAATGCAGTATAATTTTATTTGGACGAAGAGAAACTAAAAGAAAACTCGTCAAGACAACATCATCCTGCTCCTGAAACATTGAAATTGCTGACTTTGCACCCCAAAATCAAAACTAAAGTTACAACTCCGAGCTAATTCACAAATTCTATAGAACACTACGAGTTAACATGAATTCCCAACACTAAAATATTGTTAATGATTAGTAACTTACCAACAAGGACCAGACTGAGCTTTGCGCACTGCATCGAAAGACAATTTAAGGAAAAAAAAACGAAGTGAGCATCAAAATTGTAACTTAAATACTAACGAACGAGATGAATAAAATAAAATGAAAATTACGTTGTAAATTTGGAAGGCCTTGCCGACGCTGACAGTGACGAAGGTCTCAGTGCCGAGCCTCTGAACAGAGAATGGCACAGAGCTGGTTGTGTAGCCGATTGCTCTGAACGGCTCGAATATTCCCATTCTCTCTCTTTCTCTCGGATCCTAGCTATTGCTTAGGGTTTTTCTGAATCTTTCCAAAAGACAAATAGAGAGAAAGAAATGGAGACGCGAGGGACAGACAGAAACAGAGGGGGTTTAGGGTTTTAGGAGGGAAGACACAGACGACAAACGACGGGCGTTTTGAAAGATCCGAGTTCCCTCACTCATTGGCATTTGCCCTCTGGAAACAACCGGGTCGGGTATGGGCCGAGCCCATTATAGATTGTCCTACATTGGCTAACAGATGTAAACACATGGACTAAATTAGCCAAATTAAAAACACAGGGACTAAATTGGCTGAATGGGTAAAACACAGGGACCATTTTGACATTTAAGCCAAAAAAAAACCCTCAGTTAGCCACTTGTCATTTTCTATTTGGTTATTAGAGGCTGTTGGTAAGAGATGAAAAAAACACTTATTGTGAATAATTGTTGTGAGAAAAAGTAGCTCGTTACTTTCATTTTCTAATTATGTAGGAATCAAATTTGAAGACGTGCTAGACTTTAATGAAACTTTCATAATTCAAAAAATACCCGCATTTAATTCCACGCCCGCTCTTTTGCTCGTTCGTTTCAATCTTCATGCCCTCTCTTCCCAAAGCTCTTCTCTTCCATTTCTTCTTTTTTCTTCTTTTTTTATTTGTTGGATCAATTGAAGTAAAGCCACAAGACTCATGTAAGATACACATTAGGTTTATTTATTCTCAATTTCATTATTTCCTTTCGCTTTAATTTCTAGGGTTTTAATTGCTGCTTTGTGATGAATTTTGTGTTTATATTTGTGTTTGTATTGTTAAGCCAATATCGAAATTACTCTCTTTTTTTATTGTTGCTTTTACTACCCACCTTGTGTTTGGTGTTTAGGGTTAAGTAAGGGTTTAGGTTTTAGGGAAAAGAATGTTGTTGTATATCGCTTGGCAAATTGGAGTTTTTAGTCTGGCTTTGGGGGTCAGTCATTTTGATGAGCCTCCAGTTTGGCTTAGTTATTTTCTGATAGATGATTTGATGGGGTTGCTACTTTTTGGATGATCAGTGTGGCTCAGTTGTGGTTTTTCTTGGGCTTTATCCTCTCTCTCTGCTTTTAAAAAAAAATGAACATGAATAATTCAGAGTTCCGCATTGTTCTGAAGGAAATTGGAGACTAGAAAAACTCATTCGATCATATGACTTTTAGTTGATTTTTGTTCTACTCCAATATGTAGAAGGTCAAAATTCATCACAAATACAGAAGCACGAGTACTCTTAAATACGTATATAGATCCAAAAGGCAGAACACATGCTTCTGCCATTTTATTCTTCTTTAGTTTCTGAGTCTCATGCTTCTGCAGGGTTGATATACTTGTACAATTGAAGGTCAACTCTCCTATATTGATATGGCCTTTTTCCATACGCCTGTCAACTTATGTACTGATTTAAAAATATTATAATAATTTCGTTCAAACTACTGTAATACCAGTGAGTTGAAATTGCGTAGAGGAGAGTGAGCAGAAGGGAAGCACCTGAATTTTGAGAATACCAGTGAGTTGAAAAGCGCTTGTATAATAGAAAAAAAGAACAAATATAAAAGAGCATAAATTTTAAAATAAATAAATAAAACAAAGTAATAAATAAATAAATAAAGGCAACTTTACGCAATGAGCATGCAAAAACGCCAAAAATTAAAGGGAGTTTCACTAATACACCCAAAATATGAGCTGAAATTATAAAAAAACCCAACATGAAAAACACTTTATAGACACACCCAAAACCCATTTATTAAACACACTCAAAACTCATATAAACACACCCAAAAAATATACAATTGTTGATTTTTGGGTTGATTTTGGGTGTGTTTCTATGTTTTAAATAGTGTTGAGTTTTTTTATAAATTTATGTCTAGGATTAGGTTTATTTATAAATTTGTAAAAATTAAAATCAGGTATCATTAGAACAGCACCCATCCGTTGGATCCAACTGCCGGGGCTGGGCCTAAAGGCAATGGCTTCCTTCGTGGTTGTTTGACCAAATCTTTGACCAAAATTAAAATCAATTAGGAAAACTCTCTCTCTCTCTCTCTCTCTCTCTCTCTCTCCAACGGCTTTCTTTGATTCCAAGTAACTCTTGGCTTATAAATAAACACTATTGCGCACTTCACTTGAACAAGAACACAGTCTTCCGCCTTTGGGCAAAAGTTAAATCAAGATTGTGTGGTTCTTTGAACGGATCAGCAGTGCATATGAACACGTCCAGCGCTGGGAAATCCGATTCTTTGAGAACCCTTTTCAGGTTTTCAGGGAATTCACTTCGGTAAATCGGTGTCATTCAACAAGATTGTGTGGTGAAGGTCTTTTCTCTATCTCTCTCTCTCTCTCTCTCTCATGGCTAATTCCGGAGTGACACAACCGCTCGGCTTCCGGTTCCACCCCACGGACCAAGAAATCATCGGCTCCTTCCTCTACAAGATGGTGGTGGAGAAAAGGCCTCTGACTTTGATGCCGCCATACAACAAGGTTATCCACAAGTGCAACCTCTTCGGCAACAAACGAGAACCCTCAGAAATTTGGAGAGATTACGGAGGAGATCAACTTAAGGATCAAGACTTGTACTTCATTTCTGAGCTCCAGAGAAATGGTTTGCGCATCCAACGCAAGACTGGCCGCGGTACTTGGAGCGAAACCGAAACCTACCAAAATGTTAAGGATGAGGTGGATGAGATTAATGGAAAATCTAATCTTGATGTTATAGGGAAAAAACGGAAATTCCGGTACGAGAACGGGAATACTTCGGAGGACCACGCCGGCTGGCTTTTGGATGAATATAGTCTTTTCAAAAAGGCTTGCAAGAATGGCACAAGTAGTAATTGCTATGATTTTGACGTTGTGATTTGTCGGCTGAGAAGGAAGGGCAATTTGGACAAGTCTGGGAAAAAGAGGAAGTGCTCGTCTCAAGATCAATCAGACAAGAAGATGAAAAGAGATCAATCTACAAAGGAGATGAAAACTGAAAATTCAGTGGGGCCGCAGATTACGAATGATGAGAGGAATCAGTTGATGATCAATGACAGTACCACTTATGATCCAGAATATTTGATCGACACCAATTATAAAAGCTTCCACATTGATCAACTCTTTGCAGAACTAGACCGCGAACCGCCATTGTTACACTCGCAGCAACTGCCTGAGATTGTTGAAAGCCAAGAAGAGCCTTGTGTTAATCAATTTGACGGACCAGTGGAAGCAGCCACCAGCAATCTGAGTAATTTTGATTACAACATCGATGAACTAGCGGGATTAATAGGGAATGCCGATGATCATGAGGATCCCAATTTATTCTTCGAAGTCGTTGAACTATTGGCAGAAGATGCAGAGCCTTTGTCAACTTCTGAGCTCGATGATGTTTATAATATGGTCAGCCAACCATTAGACCAAAACAGCTACAGGTCCAATTCCTTTATGGATCAGAATTACAATTCCTATATATGATAGAGGAGGAAATCATGGCTGATTAATTAGATATATTGTACAAGTGTAACTGGCTGTAAGTTCAGATGTAATTTTTTCATGAACAGGCGAAATATACATAATTTATTCTACAGTAAACTATGTGTTGATGCTTGATAGAATATCCTTTATGATGGTTTTTGCAAAGGGAATGTTCGTTTGGTTTTCTTTGCTTCTTTCCTCCCTCACTGAGTTTCTCTGTAACGGATATATTGGTAATGTATTATGTAATTGGAGACAAATGCAGAGCAACAATGGCTTCTTCCCTACCTAGTTTATAATTGCTTTTGAATTTTCTTATAAACCCTTAAATTAGAGAGGAAAAATGTCATTCAATTTTAATTGGGTTAGTTTTAAAAGATATGAGACTAAATACAAATGCCTTTCGGCCTTAATCAAGACGAGATAAAGAAAACTCCACTTAGCTTATTATTCGTACAACTTTGAAGTTTTCTGATGATGGTTCAATCTTGAAAGAGCTGGTCACTGCAACTTCCATTTTTAAGTAGTCAGCCTTTTCCTCCAAATCAGGTCTGCCATCATGCATTGCTGCTGCTACTTTGGAACTCTTTGACTCATTTCCACAAGCATCAGTCACCTAAACCAACCTCATGAACAGTTTCCCCAAAACCTTGCAGGAAGCGTTGTTTGCAAGCAAGGTTCCATTCAAAAAAGATCCGGGATTCATATCCTGCTACTCTCGTATGACACCAATATCTCAACTGAGATTGATTTTATCACTCTTCAAATTATTCTGCTCTACTCAATTATCTTGCTGGCAATAGCTTTTGTCATCTTCAGTCTGTAACTGGGGGACACCAGAGCAACTTTCAACAGGTGGGTTGCAATCTTTGGTTCCGAAATCTTTGGGCTCAATTACGTCTTTTATCGGAGCCACCCTCAACTTGCACTTTCTCGTTTAGCTTGGACATGAAATCTCCCACACTATCCAATTTCGAAGAACAGTCTTGACAATGAAGCTGAAAGTCATTTCTTGACTGTGAGTCCAGGTTGTAACTCTCAACCGCTGTTTCATTGTTTTCAGATACAGTATTATCCACATTCTGGGAGTCCAATATTTCTGCAACATTAGAACTGAAATCTAGCATACCATGTGGTATTAGAAAAAGGGTTCTGGAAACTTCTGATTCACTTCTGCAGGCACCGGTTCCTTCTGGTTCTTTAGAATCAACACATTAAAGAACATTTTTCTGCTGGGATTCTTCAGGGAAAATACTGAATCCATCCAAAACACACGATCATTTAAGTGCAATTTATTTTCCTGGAAAACCTGTTCTCCAACATAGCAGGAATTTGGAAGGTCCTTCCACCTAAAGCCAGCATTTGTACATCTTCCACATGTGATTTCCTACCCTTTGTGTTAAATCTACTACCATCATATTTTGTTTGGTTTTTAAATCTAGAGTCAGACAAAGCATCAGACCTTTTCAATTCAGATGCACTAGAATTTTGGACCTTTGGACTGACATCTGCAATCTTCACAGAACTGTAGCTCCGGATCTCTTCAGAAACTTGACATTCCTTGGTGAAACTACCCGTGTTTTCCCAGATCATTTGATCCTCATCAGAAATTTGGTTGCCTTTACAGGTCGTAGGTTTAAACAGATCAGCTTCTGCCCCATTCAGTTCATTGACATTATGATAGCTGCTTGACTGATCATCATATGATATTAAGACACTACCAGAAGAACTTGCCTCTTCTTTGACTACTTCAACTTCAACAGTTTCAGGTGAAGCAGTCTCACTTTCTTTTCATGTCAGGTGTTGTTGTCTCATATGCAAGAAAAAAGCACAGTAAGAACGCTACTAAAACCAGTATTTGAATCCCACCCAGGTGGTAATGATGAGTTTTTCTAATTAACTAAAGTTCATTGTCATTGGGCTTTGGAATTTGAAGCTGAGCAGATATTTCTGTAGCACAAGTAGAAGAATATGAAGAAGGTCAGATTCATTGCCTAACTAAACTCTAGCTATAGTTATCACAAGAAATGGAAAATGAATATATTACCCGAAGAACTATGCACCATTAAATTTTCTAATGCTAACAAGTTCAGTCTTAAGGCATCAAAGTTGAAGTGCATGTTACTCCTGCTCAAGATACGATAATAGAAATGATAAATAGACACCGCATTGACCTGATTTGCTGTTAGCAGCACTCTCCTACTATAATTTGATCCCCGGGCACCAACTACACATGCGCAAGCATGGCTGCAAGGTTCTCCAACATACTTTACATACATAAATACATTTACAATTGCAAACATGCTTGCAGGCTCCAATTGCATTTGCAACAATGGTTAAACAACTATAGCTTTGATAAGTGACTCATAGGAATGCTCCCAACAATTTTTATTAAGCACAATGCAGAACACGCACAAACGCAGTCCAATAACACAATCTTGACAGCTAAACTATATGAGCTGCAACTGTCGATCCCCATTCAATTAAATTAGATGGGCGCTTAAATATGATATTCTACATGGGTCAAAAGTTTATCTAAATCAGTAAGACATCTTCCAATTGTCAACATTCTGTCAGGTGTGTAAAACTTCTCCAACTATTTTTAATTATTTCAGAATTAAACTTGTATAAGAAAGAGGAAATGCCAATTGGACTTCCTAGTCTAGTTCCTTCCAGATTCTTCTACAGTTATCTTATTTCTAGTCTAGTACTACGAGAACAACACTCTTGTTGTGCATCATGGATAGACAGAGAGCGACAGAGGCCCAATCCACCCCACTTTTCCAAAACCAAGAAACAATTGGAGAAAAAGCCTAATTGGTGACCCACAGCCACCAAATATCTAATCGTATTTCCTAAAATTCAAGCTTAATTAAAAATACATAAATTAAAAATACAGATGATTTGATAAACCTTTTCTTGAGCCAATTTCGGCAGGTTAGGAACTTCCTATCCTACACCAATCAAACTTTGGTCTGTTGAATCTCCACATTCGTTGCAACCTCCACAGCCCGATTACTCACCCATCTCGGCTTTCTGCACATTTCAGCACACAATCAAACACCAGGCACTCAAATCTTTCAGTTTCCCCTGTCTCTCCGTTGCTACATTTTCTCGGCAACCAAACAGAAACAATGGAATGAAGAACAGAAGAGATTCAAACAAACCTAGCTTAGATTTTGTCCTTGACGCCACCGTAGAGACGAGCGAAGGCATTGTCGCGGTTAGGGTTGAGGTCGCGCTGCTTCTCCAGGTCGTACTCGTCGTATTTCTCATTTCCTCACAGAATGAGAAGAAAATATCCTGGCGTTAGAGAGAGAGTCTCTCTCGTCTCGTTCAGGCATTGCGTCTCTCTCGCTCTCTCCTCTCTGTGCCCTGTGAATTTTCTATGCCTTCTTATTTTTGGAGAAGGAAGGACTCGAAAGGGCGACTTCATTCAGAGTCTTTTTGGCGGGTACACATCCACTTTTTTTTTAATACAAATTTATAAATAAACCCAATCCTAGACATGTATTTATAAAAAAACCCAAGCACTATTTAAACATAGAAACACACCCAAAATCAACCCTAAAATCAACAATTGTATATTTTTTGGGTGTGTTTATAAATGGGTTTTGAGTGTGTGTAATGATGGGTTTTGGGTGTGTTTATAAAGTGTTTTCGGTGTTGGGTTTTTTTATAATTTCAACCCCCATTTTTGGTGTTTTAGTGAAACTCCCTTTTTTTAAAGGGTTTTCTGCAGTTTTGCCCCTGAACTATTTGCATATTGTCATTTTAGCTCTTAACAAATTTTTCGGTAAATTAAGGATGCCAATTGTTTAAATATCGTCAGTTGAGGGCCTGCCACCAATTTTTATTATTTAAATTCTATCCAAATTAAAGGTAAACTCGTAATTTTAAAAAATATAAAATAAAAACCTGACCTACCCTCTACAGATTTGACATATCGTAAAATACCCTTACTCTAATTAACAAATTAATTAATGATTTGTCTAGTTGTCTGATTATTTTCTTCTTCTCGTTGTTTTGTTATATATCTCAGTGTTCTTTCAATGACTCACATCACAGCTAGAAGAATTAATCACCATGTCTTTGTTTTATATAGCTGTTTCTTGTTTTATACAGTAGTGTACATGTCAAATGAAAATGTTTTGTGTGATTTCACTGAGTGAACATTGGAGGATGACAGCTTGATTTCTGCTATATATGATTTTTTTCAAGTGAAGATGGCCTAAATGACATCCAAGGTGAAGAGATTGAGAGAGAGGTTGATGCATACTAAGAAGATGGTCCAGTAGCACAAAAAATGGAGGCATTGAGAAATCATATAGCCGTCAGTTTAATGAGTTCATCTACTTAGAAATTGTATATGATTCCTTGTTTATGACTAGCTTAATTTTTGTTAAGATCATATTATTGACACTATATTTTTGATATGATACTTTATTTGTTTTATGATTAAATAATTTTTAAGGTGTGATTAGGGGTGGGCATCAATCCGGCGGAATCGATGAAGCCGGCCGAACCAAACCATAATTACCGGTTTGGTTTGGTTTTGACCAAGAAAAAGTCAAATGGTTTAAAAACCGAACCGGACCGTATATGGTTTGGTTTGGTTTTGAGCTTTTCTAAACCGGCCTAAACCAAACCGGATTGTTTATGTGTATATTTATTTATTTACATTTTATTTTACATGTGTAATACTCTAATTAGTTAATAACTATATTTGAATTTAATAACTATATTTGAATTGAGCTATATTAGTTAATGAAATATAAAGTTTTATGACATTTTGAGCTTTATGATGGTTTCGTACTCTAAAAAATGAATTATGTATTAAGCAAGTTATGAATTTGTTGATTATAGTTGCACTAACAATATTGAAAAAATGCAAAAAGAAAGAGAATTGGGCTTAGGCCCAAAACGGCCGAACCAAAGCGAACCAAACCGTCATATTGTAATTGGTTCGGCCGTGATTTTGAGGTGAAACCGATCCAATTTGGACCGTGCCCACCCCTAGGTGTGAAGAAAACATACTTCACACAAAAAATATGTAAGAGAAAGTGAAAGTAATTTTTTTTTTTGCCAAACACTTGAATAGAAAAGTCATTTCAACATAGTGCCCTTTTTAGTCATTACACACAACTAACAACACTTTCACACAAAAATTTACCAAACACTCGGAAAACTGATTATTGTACCAACATCACTTTTAACAAAAAGTTTACCAAACGCCAAACAACTTTCTTTCATAGCTAATTTCTCTCACAACAAATCTAACATCAATTATTTTCACAACACAACAATGCCTGTGTATTAGCTTTTCACAAGAGATTTCTCTAAAATATTGAACTTGAAAGATTTTTCTCTATATGTGAAAAGCCTAAGTTTCTTTTCGTTTGACTGATTTTATTTCCACCCAGGCTTTTTTCTAGACACATTCGATTTATCTGGACACCCAACCTTTTGCAAAATTACATAAGAGGATATACGTTCAATTGAAGAAAATACAACAGATAAACTTGATCACCATGGAGGTTGCAGCCATGGCAGTCGTATCTTACTGAAAAAACAATCAATCAAACAATTCTACGTTGGCACATTAACCTCCAATAGTTTGACATGTTACGTTGTTAACTTTGACGTTAAAGTACTATGACCGATTCAACATGTACAAGGAAAAAATACAAAACCTTTAAGATATTTATTGATCTGTGTACGAAATAGTAGGAACCCTAAATAAATCTTCAACACTTTCCCATTTCTTGTTGCATCTTTTCCTTTTCTTGAACCAACGATGTATACAGAGTGTTACAAGAAGACTGGATAAAATTCCTACAAACGAAAGGAGGATAAATGAACAGAAACGCATAAAAACAAGTGTCTCCACTACTTGGACTCATCCATGGGATCGTTACGATTACAAGATTCAGATCTTAAATCCTTGTTGTCTTGCCTTGACTCATCAGACTCTGAAGCCTTCGAAACCGAATCCTCAAGTGCCTCAAGAAAAGACAATACAGTGAATTTGTCTGCAAGAGGGGAAAAGTAGTTAAAACCATAAGTAACAATACTATGGATTATCATGATATAGAGTTATGTCATTTGATATCATGTTGAGGTGCTCTCAAATCCTCAAGTGGATGCAAAATACTGGAAAATAACATCAGCATCAGGCCCTCTAAAGTTTTTCAATTTAATGAAGTTGCATGTGGCCAATGTGATTCATCCACACGTCAGGCCAAAGGAACTTTAAAATGGAACTAGAATTGTCTGAAAATGCTAGTAGAATGGGTAGTCATTTTCCCATTTAGAGGTAAGCTGATAGTCGAATTGGGGAACCTTGATGGAGAGCAGAGTTATCTTTTCTGACACAGTATTTACCACAAAGGAAGGAAAATAAGAAAAATGGATTGGATAGTATGGATGGAGAGTTTGCTTTCCCTCCTGATTTTAGTATGGCACACAGAAGGCAATGGAAAAGGGAAACTACTGATGTATTTAACATTACCAAAATCTAATCTGACAAGGTCAAGGAGTAAAAATACAAGTCACCGCATTTCCATCTTCCTTCCTGCTCAGTAAATAAACCATTAGGACGTATTTGAAATGGTGGATCTAGGTGGATGCCTCACTCACCCCTCCAGTTTTCCACTTTCGTCCTCTGAGATTACCAGTCTTACTTCTCCTTATCCCTCCGCCCCTTCTTCCCCTCCTCTATTTCTCTCCACAAATGGTAATGCAATGGCTAAGATGCATCTCACAAGTAGTTGATGTTTCTCACATGCTATTATGTCTTATTGTCAAGTTTCAGAATTTCGCCCATTGACAGTATCAAATTTTTAAAAAAGAAAGTAAAATAAATAAATAAATTGCTTACATTTACTTGGGTCAACACCAAACTGAGACAAATCTATCTGTCCTGTTCGAAGTACCTATAAAAATTTAGGGAAAGATAAAAGAAAGTTTAGCATGATAATGATGATAAAAGAAAGAAACGAACTACCTTCATTAAAAAAACAACCAAACAGCATTACAATTCCAAAAGATGACATTTTAAATTCTTACATAAGCAAATGAATCCATTTGTTGGCGGAATGGTGGACTCTGCAGCAACTCCAATATATCCTCTGGAGACCATTGACCCTGCAACCTCAACCAAATCAAACAATGGCACAAAAGTAGTGCATAACAAAACAGAGAACTCAAGTACCAGAATGATGCATACCTCAGGTAAGTAAGACTCTAAACGCTGCTCTAGTTGCAATGTCTCAATCAATGGCATAATCAAATCAGGTTTCAATATGTCCCCCAAACTCAAGCCTAGCCCGACAAAAGACAAGTCAAAATGTTAGAGCCAAATCATATTTTAAAGAATTGTAGAAGATACTCTACTACAATCAGCCAGTATGCCAATTGTTAGAATTTTAAATAATGATTGACAGGTCCCAATAGAGACGTTAATACGAAAATTAGGGATTAAAATCACTTTAGATCCTCTGTGAATGGTCCAAATTCACATTGTCACCTTGCTTTTAAAACTCTCAGTTTTGTTAAAATCATTGAATACCACCTGAACCTCTGGGACCAATTGATGCAGGAGCATCTATTAGACTTCCTAATCTAAGTGGGCATCAGCCAATAAGGCTAAGTTTTAGTTATATTAAATTAATAGGTTATTTTATTACTTGTTTTCCTATTCTTACTAGGATTTGGTTTAATTTCCTGTTTAGGTTTTAATTTCCTTTGTCAATTAGGGTTTCTTATTAAACTAGGAACGGGAATGCTTGGCTGGTGTATTTTAGTATAAATAGGCTATTTAGAGACTTTTGTATTTAGTTTTGTTGATGAATATAATTTCAGACATTAGTCTAAAGAGTTTTCTTGGGAATTTTGCCCTAGAACTCAATTATCTTCGTTCCAACTTCGATTCTACTGCTTTATCCTTCTATGCTCTGTATTTTGGGTATGTTTGGGTCGCTGGACAGCAGCTTATAGCTGCTGCCCTGCATCACCAATTCTGTCAGATTCTGCCATTTAAATTAACCCAATTGTGCCTCAATTACCATATTTACTTACATCAGAGCAAAGTGAACTTTTCCCACAAGTAACTTGATTATTCTGCCAAACAACTAGGAGAAAGGCCACCACAAGGAAGAACGAGAAAAGAAACAGGCTAGTATGGTAATTTGCAAAATGAACATTCCAGGAATACCGCCCACCACGTCATCCTTTTTGAATAAAAACACTCAATAAAGGGCCTAAACACTGAATGAAAGGCATATACTGAAGCACCATAACAGTTCGGGGCAAAGTGTTCATAAAAATTGTTATTTACTGGCTGAATTAAGGAAATAGATGACCTCCGATGCTAAAAGCAAACAGGGTTAAAAATATGAACCCGTTATAGAAATTCATTTATCTTTCTTATTTCTACCTAGTAGTTATGAGTACGCGTTCTAATCTATTTTGTAATGGGGATCAAAAACACTTGATCATGCCACGTTGAAGTAATTTTTAAACATTAAGGATTTCACTACAGGAAATAAGCAACACATTCAATCTTCCACAATATTGCTACTTCTTTTGAATAAAAAATATGAAGGGCATTTTGCATTGAAACTATGCAATATATTAGATAGTTCAGATAATGAAAAGCGTAAGAAATTTCCTAGATCAAGGCAACCTATACATATTAAATCACAAAAGTTTGGATGTAAGGCATTTGTGTCCATTTAAAACAACACAACGATAAAAGATCATGATCTCACCTTCATCTGGATCCAAAGCAGTATCTGCAGATGACACAAGAAGTGACAGAAGGAAGAGTAATTCAATGAAATGAGAGAAAAGACTTATATACAAATGTATAATATAAGGAGAAAACTTGATACCTGCTGGGTCAATATTGCTTAAGATTCTTTGAAGATCTTCCAATTTCACTGGGCCAGATGAAGAAGTCACATCGCTACTTACTTCTGCACCGAAGTTTGGTTCCACCAATATTCCAGCTCTGGAAGACATAACATTGATCATAACAGAGTAATGTTATGCAAATTCCAAGAATACAGAGAGAAAAAGAAGAAACACACATTTTCAAATGAAAATAACAAAGGTATTGCACATGCAAGAAATTAAGTATATCATCATAATCACTCCCAGAAACAAACAGTTCGTTTTTAAATTCAGGAACAGTTCAAATCATGAATCAAAGACTTTATAGGACTGTGTAGAACATATGAATGAAAACAATTACAACACAAGCACAAGCTGGAAAACCACCTTGAAGGTCATGAAATATAGTCCTACAAGTTAAAGGAAGGATAATCAAAATCCTAATCCCCATTCCCACTCCACAACTATACCTCTGTGACCAAGGACCCAGACAAGGGATTTCTGGTGCTTAGAAAACTTGGTACATAGTTACTGGCCCTGTACTATGTGCATATCCACAATAGTCATCCAACCATCAAGTGATTGATGAACAGTTCGCTTAGAGAATGCTCATGTTGTCAAAATGAAAAAGGGATGGAGACAAGCCACAATTTCATGCATTATTAAAAAATAACTTACATCATTACGGCAAGCCCAGATGCAGAGCACACTGTAAAAATCTTATTAAAGGTTGCCTGTGTCCCCGATACCCTCCCCACCTCAGCTTTCTATGAGGGGAGTCCGATCATAACAACATAATTTTTTAACATTACAGTGAGTATTACACCAGGAGAGGAAAATTTAGTTTTCCTTAACAAGTCACTAGGAGTCGACCATCTTTGATAAAAAGGTCAATAAGCTCACCAGCATTTCTTAAAAATACAACTGCTTTATGTTTAGCCATTTCAGCCTTTGGAATCATTGAGAATTTGCTATTAATTCTGATACAGTATTTGGTGGCAGCCTTTTTCATCTTGTAATATAATATTTGATGTCAACCTATTTGAAAGAACCCTAAACTTATTTGACATTCCACTATAAGTCCGCCACTCAGGTTTTATTACTTGTTGTGGAGTTTTGTTCCCCCCCCTCCCCCTTCTCCCTCTTTTGGCTACTAACAGGACAAAGGTTGCAAGTTTCACTGCTATGCTATGAAAAATTTACCTTGATGAAATATCATCTTCAACCATATCTTCAGAAACTTGTAGAGGAACAGAAGCATCAGGCCCTTCTTCATCAAGGAACTCTGCCAAAGCAGCAAGATAAACACAATATCAAACTTGAGGCAGAAATGCAACAAAACAAAGACTGAACTTTCAGGTTTTGAAAGTCCAAGTTGAAGCCTTCGTAAAGATTTTCTGTAGTGAGAGATTTCACATTTTAGGTAATGTTCTACAATGCCATATGATGTGATACGATAAGATATGAATATCCATCGAAAAATATCATGCCATTAAATGTCAAGGACTGGAAGTACGTGCCATGTACATAATTCAAATAAAGCTTAATACATTGCAGAGGTGCAGTTAACAGAAACTTCTTTTTAAAAATATATAATAGAGATAATGTTAGTGGTAGCCTAAAGCAACAAAATGAATTTGACATACCTAATGGTCGATTGAGGTAGTAATTGACTGAGCTACACAAGTGTGAGTCATTTTCAGCTTTAGGCTCCTTAATATCATATTAGCAATCAAAGTTAGAATCTTATAAGACTTACACATTGAATGGTAAGAAAAGAAAATAGATTCACAATAAACCAAACCTGCATCCAGAAGAAGAACTTCCTATCATCAGTGTTGAACTTCAATAAGTAAACCCTTCCTGATGCTTGATTAACCTGAGTGAACCAAAATTTATGATTTGAACATTAGATTTTTGGGAGGGGGCAGATCTGCATTACAAAAATCCCAAATAATCCTAAATACCTTTTCAAAAACTGCCTCATCGGGAAAGATGATCTGATCCTGTGGTATTTTTGTTAAGGAAATTTTAGCAAAAGTACATAAAAAAAACAGAAGATAAATATAAACCGAAAGAGTAAACACACAAAAACATGGAAATAGTGAAACTGTGAAGTGAACAAGAATTACAACAAAATAAGGACGTACAAATATAAGAGGGAGAATTGAACAAGTATGAAAGAACAAAGACTTAAAAAAATAATAACAATAACAAAAACAGCAACAACAACAAAATACAACTATGAAAGAAATAATCATAAAGGGCTTAAAACATTTCAAGAAAAGGAACATGCGTCATGCATTTGTGAAATACAAAGTTCCGACACCACAAATCAAGATTAGAAACTGGAAAAAGATTTTTGAAAAAATGAAAAATAAACCAGGATACATCTTCAACAACATTTTGGCTCCGATCAAGCCACTGAAAATGCACCAACCCCTCATCACCCTGATACAGAAAGAAGATAGATTTACTCTAAAATGTTGTGCCAGAAATACTTCAAATAAATATTAGATAGAATGGATGTCAACTTCTGAAGGCTAGAATTAGAATAATGAAATACCTTCGCAATGCGAACAAGTCCTTTACGGGTATCAGGAGCAACCTTTTTCCCCTCAAAAACCATTTTACCAGCACGAAACTCCAGCATAATTTCCTGCCAATAGATGTTAGTTTGATGAAGAAAGTCCAACCATGACACAGAAAACAAGAGATGAACACAGAAACATGTGTGCACTCAAACACAGACAGGCGTACATAAAAGCATAGAATTCTGCGCTTACTTGTCTAAAAGTCAATGTTTGAAACTAACATTCTGATGCCAACCAACAACATACCAGCAAAGCAAGAGAAGAAAAGAAATTGAGATAGAAATTGGAGAGTAAACATATAATTTATTTATTTTTAGTAGCAGAATCATGTTAGTTGGAGCTTCTGAATTTGTGTACAGTATTGGGAATCTGTATAACAAAATGAAACAAAGAAAGTGAGGAAATCCTACACAGAAGGTGGAAAATGAAAATCCTACGCAAAGTGTGCAAAGAAGAGAAGCCAATATTTAATAAATTTGATAGAAACTCCAAATTCTAAATGTTCGTCCAAAAGGTCCCTCAAACTATAAACTCAACAGAAACTTCACCTGCTCAATGGATATTTCCTAACAAAATTTCTCATCCATCTTCTTTTTTATTTCATGGGCAGATAAAATGAAACTCATACGAAAGTCAGCGCATAATTGGAGATGTCATTCCTTTTAAAGACCATCCAGAAAACATAAGGAGGTCCTTCCACATAAGCTAAAAAAACCAATGTTACTGTGACTACCCCGCTTACAAGTCTTTCACCCAACTTGGTGTACTGCAAACTATCATGTTCCGACATAAATTTAATCGGAAATACAAATTTTCACAGCCATAATCAAACGTTCAGGCCCTGAAAGCCCTTCCTCTGGAAAATATTAACACTTGCAATGTTCCATGGTTGTTTTATTAAATACATATCACATATGGACGAAGTCACAACTATTCTATCGCTTCCAATATCCTACAGATTAAAACAAAAATAGCTACCCATATATGTATATATATATATATATTACCTGCATTTGTGGGGTAGCTGCGTTTGAAGACGAACCCATTGTTTAACTTCCCTGTTTGCGGCCTTCAATGGCTCAAAACTACAGAATTGAAGGGGTGGGAACGAAGAAGATGAAAATATTGAAAATTAGTAAATGGAAAAAATAATAGAAGTCCAATGCTTTGAATGAAATCGAACCCTAGAGAAAGAAAAAAACAGACAAAAATTATCAAAAGAAGCAAACAAACACCAAAAATAAGATTAATAATCATCATAACAACAGTGATAATAATGAGAATAAGTACCTGTATATTGCAAAAAATATAAAGATATTTGATTTTTCGGTGAAGAGCTTGCTTGTGAGAGTTTTGTTTTACAAAGAGTGTTATTTTAGGATTCTGAGTTGTCAGGGACTCGAGGTCGAGGACGAGTTGGGCTTTTCAATTCGGGCGCCACATCGCACATATTTACTAAAGTGGCAGTCGGTCTAAAAGTTTATTTATTTATTTATTTTAATAAATAAACAAAAAAAAAAAAAAAAAAAAATATTACAACGACGAATTTTACCACCATTTTACCAAATAAATTTAACATACCATCTAATAGGGAAGGAATTTAAACCAATTGCGTGAATGAGAGTGAGTCTTGCCTCTCTTAGCTAGAAAGTCAGCAACTTGATTAGCTTCTTAAACTAATAGTGGAGATTGATTATCTTATTTTCACTTGCACTTCTTCTTTCATACTTTTCACTTCTATTTCGATAAGGATGTATGTTGGTTATGCTTAGACTCTAAACTGCAATCGATTTAATGTAATACCCATAGTTTGATTTAGTTTAGTTTGATTCGATTTAGGCCTCAAACTAATAACACAACTGTATTAATTAATTTAATGAATGTTTAGGTTCGGTCATTTTTCTTCAATTAAACAAATATTCTATATCCTTTATATATCAAAGAGAACTTTGTACAGTAAGTGAAAAATATTTGAGAAAACTTACCATTGAAAATTGAGAAATTTTGAGAGATGGTATTAAATTCAAATGGTTTTAGAAATTTAGTATTTTTGCATTAAATGGTTCATATCAATGTGGGATGGAGCATACTAACAAATAGTGATAAAACTAATAAGAAAATATTGAGTATAAAAAAAAAACGTGCAGTTTGGTTTGATTTAGACGATTTCTCAATTGTCTAAATCAAACGAAATATTGAGTGTAAAAAAAACATGCAATTTGGTTCGAATTGGACGATTTTTCAATAGTTTAAATTAAACCAAATCAAACTAATTGCGATTTGGTTTGGTTTGATCTAAAATTTCAATTTTTAGTGTAAAACCTAAATAAAATCGTTTCAGATTGATTTGATTTGATCAACTTGAACAGTACTTGCGAATTTATTCACACCCTTGCTTTTTATGACTGGTGTATGTCCATACTCTCATCTATCATATTTTGTCAAAACAAACATCTCAAGGTTATCTCTCAAATAAATGCATACAAAAGTGAACTACAGTTATCGTGACTTTTTGATTTGGGATCACAAATTTCCTTGTGTAGGGTTGCTGCCTAAATGTGGGTCCCACCCATTGTGAGAAAGAGAGGGTTGCCGCAAGATTTGAAAGATCAGGAAATAGGCTGATTTTGAATTCTAAATTGATTGTTGCTTGACTGTGCAAGATTTGCCTAGTAGTGTTGGAGAAGCAGTGACAAGTTTGATATTTGTTGTATCAAGATGTGGTGAACTGCCAGAGGGAAGCCCTTTACATAAGTTTTATATACAATGAATTAGCTTGAGCGAAGCCCTTTACAAACTGGAAACTATTATACCCTTATGGGTGAAATGAAAATGCTCGAATGTGAGGCTCCCCCTTGCGATGTCCTCTTCTGGTGTGAGATAGAAAATTTGTTTCCTTCTCATCTCTCTTTCTCCCTTTCTACTATATTGTCTCAACTTTACTCTTCAATATGAAAGATGGTTATCCATATGAAGATGAAATGGTCATTCACTCCAAAGATAGTAAGGATCTGGAAAAACATATCAAAAACAATATTACTCATGTTGGACTTCTCATTGCGGACAGTGAACCAACGCAGTCTGTTGTCAAGGAAGTTCTAAGAATGGTCTAAAGCAGGATAGGTGTTATGAAGCTCCTCAAAGCAAAAGAAAATGTATGCTCCATCACGATAGGATAAGAAGAAGTTGCGAGAAGATTGATTGAAGGAGGTCCACTGTTCATCAAAGGTTACACCATAATTGTGAAACACTAGCCTATCTATCATTCTTCTAATGATATCCAGACAAATCGAGCAGCATACTAGGTACAAGCAAATGGTATCCCCCATAATCTTTTCACAACAAAAAATGCCAGGCAGATGGGTGCTCGACTTGGGTCGGTGCTTGAGGTTGAAGATATTAATGTTGCTAGCTTTCACGGCTTCTTGAGAGTGCGCATCGACCTTGATGCCACAAAACCTCTAACTCAAGGGTTTGTCATGCCTTGACCAATGGCTGGTAAGTGCATAATTCGTTTGAAATACAAGGACTGAAAGATTTCTATATAAAATGTGGAAGCCTACGCCACTGCATATGTTGTCAATAGCCTGAAAACTCTGCAATGCTTGCTAAGGGATGGCAATTCGACGAGAAAACGTGAACACAACCTATTTGTACCATATCTGACCCCCCCCATTCACGTCTTAACACGTGGCAAAACCTGCACGGCCAGGACCAGCTCGGTGAGCCATGCCGAAACTTTGATTGGCATGCTCCATCGATTCATACTGGTAAAGTCGGCGGAGTGCCTACAAATTGACAAAAGACACCAACCTTCGGGAGACAATGCTGAGCGACCGGTCAACACATTCGACCGATTCTGACAGATCACCTCGGAACTCCCACCAAACTTGTTAGGGCATGCGTCGACCACTGAAGACACTCCCACAAGTCCCACATCGAAACTAAGTACTAAGAGCATCACAAATGCTCTCTATAAATAGAGACATTTGGCCCAGCTAAGAGGTAAGACTGTTTACTTGACTTGTGCTTTCACTCTGTCAATAGAATCGCTCTTAGTTACTAACTTTGGCATCAGAGGACCTTCGGCCAGCACCACACCAGTGTCTTAGGCTTCACTGCCGTTTCTCTCCCTAGGAAGAATTTGGCATTACCCTTCGTGGGAAGACACCACAGACTGAAGGCTTCTCGGGTCCAAACCTTCCACATCAACTGTAAGTTAGCTTTATTTCTATATGCTAGTTTTAAGCGCCAACACAACCTATCTAAAAAATAGTCGAGCTTTCTCTCTTATCCTTGGAAGGGTCCGACGCTTGTCAAACTAGACGATGTGTTCGATCGGAGTCATTGGAGCCATCGCTGGGAGAGAAGTAGTGAAGGGTTGTATGACGAACCCGAAAGGGGCATTCACGTGTGCAACGCTGGAGAGTCCATGGTCAACACAACAATAAATGAGACAAATCCTACAACCCTATCACAACATGAGCCACAGTCTTAATCGATACATCAGATGACAAATCTACAATTTGGGATGATTCAGTCTGCTGCCATTGTAGCAAACCTACACGGCCTAACTATGTCAACTTCTGGGACCCATAAAGCCACAGTTCGCTATACAGAAATGGTACCCTAACCCTAGTTGTCCAAGGGTTGTCTTTGGAGCGCAACTAGTGCAACCCAAAAAGTATCATAACTTGAGCCTTTGAATAAACCTCTACAGTCCCTGAGCGCAACTGCAATATTGAGCCTATCATTACTGAGCTAGATGGGCCCAACACAAATGAATCCTAGATAATAATTGAAGATGCAGTTCATGAGCCCAACCTCAACATTGGGCCTGTCATTACTAAGTTGGAAGGGTCCAACACAAATGAAGCTCAAGATTAACATCGATGATGTTAAAAGTTTGTAGCTTTTTGAGCCATCAAATTTGTTCTCGAAACAAGATAAAAGACAACGAAATGGTAAAGAGAAACTATTTGAATAAAGCCAAGGTGGATGCCTAAATGAAAAGGCTAGGGTTTCTCTCAATCTTATGTCCAGTTGTTCCGTTCTCCTTTCATGTAAAGGAGGAAGGAAGTTGGAAGAAACTTGCGTTGAAAATCCAGATGTGGTTGTTCCAGGAGTCGCCCATCAAGAACATCAAAGCATGATAGTGAAAATACCTTATGCATTGACAATAAACTCTGTGAAGCGATTATATGTCCCTCTAAAGAACTAGAGGAAGTTGGAATCGACTGAATGAAGAAAAATATGTGAAAGAAAGCAATAACAAACGATGTGGTGGTTGGCCTCAAGTAGCCACACAAAGTCAATGATACTTAAAGGCGAGAACAAAGTAGTGATTGCTCATCCAAATGGGTTACCACTTAAGACAAGGTAGTTGTAGCTCTCGTTCCTTAGCTGATAAAAGTACGAAAAAAGCCACCATTCCTTACCTTACATAGATCTCGCTGGTGCCACCTAAACGGTAGGTAGGTGACAGATGCCTTTAACCTTAGTGAGGTGCTTGAACCATCCTATGTGTTTAGACTCTTTTTGCTTATGTATTTCTCATTTTTCATCCCTCAGCCTAACTGAAGTGACTGCGAAAAGGAAAAGAGTCACCTGGCGGTGTGTGAGCTGAGAAGGATCTAATATTCTGCCTTTGCTATTGACCTTGTGCCGGTGTGATGGCGAATAATTCTCAAGATTCAACCTTTTTTGAATGTTTATATACCCCAATAAATGCAATTTTCTATCACGCCAAGTCTTTTTTTTATTCCTTACTCTATTGGCTGGCTCACGGGATTACTTGATCAGTGGAACCACTCCATTTGATTACCTATTTATCTTTTTTAATTAATAATTTTGTGGGTATGTCAAATATTAAAAGAAGACTGCCGAAGTGAATGTGAAACAATATTAGGTTTATAGTGAATCCTGCCTTTGCCTTTTTGTTAGCAGCTCTTTGATCAACCCATGAAAGAGTGTGTGTGACCCATACCAATCCTACATTCCCTTCAGTCGACCTATTTACCTTCTTTTAGTTGGCATTTCTTCTTGGATGGATTGATCATACGATTTTGCGAGAAAATTCTATTTCATTCATTCTTCATTCAAAATTATCTACTCCATAGGAAAATATGTTTGTTAGCAGAAACAATTAGAGGGTTGATTAACTGAAGAACGAAGTACTTGAAGTTCATTCTGTTACCTTATTAACAAAGTAGACGAATCACTCTCTTTCTTTATTGGAAAATTGGACTTCTTTTTCACAGCCCTCCCCTATTAAGATAGGTAATTGCTAGGGATAACCCGCTCTATAGAACAAAGAGGTGTGCAAAGACACTAGTTTGGTAAAGCATTCACCTTGCGGTTGTAGATCAACCTGTGAGGAAACTCAAAAGTTGTACTCATTGGGCTAGGGTGAATATTGCTAACCAGCGGATCTAATAGTCGACATTATGGCAACAGCTAGAAATATTTGTTGAAATAGAGAGATTGAAGAGGCTGGCCGCCCTACCTAAACCAATCATCATATCGGTCCTTTTAGCGAAGCCAAGTAAATTTCAGGCCACCAAACTTGTCAAAACCGATCGGAGTATTTCAAAGTCCAGAATCTAAACAACTTGGGAGTGAAAAAGGAGAATTTACCTGCCATTGGACTACGAACTTGAATAATCCTGATTTTTGATCAAATTCTCACGTCCGTGCTCAACAGTTTAAGCATTGATCCAGTAACAGCGAGAAACGTCTCTTCTTTCGTTTTGATTTATTCACTGATCTGAAACTTTCGCCACGCCACCAAAATCCCGATGAAAAATGGCAAGACAATTGTATTTCAATTATTAAATAAAGACATCTCTCCTGGAATCGTCCAGGTTTGGGGAATCCCCTGATAGTTCTCTACTTGAAAGAGCTTATTTGCACAAAAAGCCCTTATGTGGTTTATCAAAGGGAAACTAAAACGTGTAGCCACAAATTGATTACTTTAAGGAGGCAATATGGTTTCCAAAAGGGATTTAACATTGATTCCATTGGCATGCTAGAGGCTTAAGTATTTGGTGGAAGCTTGGAACATATGTACGATTAATGATTCTTGTAAATATTGGATTGATACTACTATCAGATCCTCAAGACATGATTTTTATGCAAGATGTACTTGGCTTTAAAAAACACAGAAAAAGACATGCATTGATATTATGGATGGTTTTCCCCAGGTTGTCTTTAGTGATCTAAATGAGGTGATTTGATAATTCGAAAAGGAAGGTTGCGATGTTTGGAACCTAAAGAGAAAATGTTACCTACTTAAATTCATGAGTACAACAACCTGTTGAATCATGGCTACAAAGCCCACTTTTTCACTTGGGCACATAGCCTTGGGATTCCTCTCTTGTAAAAGAAATGTTGCATTGTCGAACTCTATTGGGTAGGAAAATGACCAAACACTTGTGTTTCTATTGGTACAATGATTGGCTCATATCATTGCCTCCTGGTTCTTGAGTGAAACCAAAAATATAGCAAATGACGTCAACTTTTCATATTTAAAGCTAAGTGGCTTGTGGAGATTGAGTTAAGGGCGGACCTACGTGTAGGCTCTACTGGGCTCCAGCCCAGTGCTATTTTTCTGTTTTCCGCATGCAAGCTTAGTTTTACAAACCAAATTAGGGTAAATCAAATATTAGCCCATCACTTTAGGTAGAAATAAGCCCATCAATGCAACCAATCTCTACACGAAAAACACACATCTGCAAACAAACTCTACACATGTTGGTTCATGATTTAATGGGAAAGCAATTTGTGATTCGTGCCAATGTTTCCAGCACAAAAGAAACCAAATTATAATTAAAATAACTCTAACATCTATCAAGCTTATATAAAATATTTATAAAAAAAGGCTCTAACACTTTCCTCTTTTCTTTCACCCTTTTTTCCCCCTAACGTTTCTCTTTTTCACTCTTAATTTTTCTTCATCTCCTCCCCCATTTCTCTAGTTATTTCCTTCTCTTTCAGTTTCTCCCTTGGTTTAAGCTATCATGAATTCAAAAATCATGGGAAATACGTTCTTTTGAGGTCAATTTTATCTTGGTCTAGATTGTGGGTATTGGGGTTTTACGATCAAGCCAAGATGATTGATGGCATGGCAGATCTGCCGCCATGACCAAAAAAAAAATTTAGCCCACCCCTTAAAAAAATTTCGGGTCCGCCATTGGATTGAGTGTGCAGAGATTGTCAAATCTGATTGGGAGAAACCTATCGTTGGTCTTTCCCTAACGGGCTGAGTTTCTTTATTGGTCTTCCCTTCTTAGGCAGAGTTATTCTGTTGGTTTCTCTCTTGATTTTCATTAAAGCATGTCGTTTTGGTTTTTTTCCTTTGTCGTCTTGCTAGTTGGTGGCTTTGTTTTTATCAAATATGCTTGTGTTTACTTCAAATGGGAGAGATGAGATATTATTCAACCTTTTTGGAGAGAATCTTTTGGAGGTCTATGTCTCCCATGGCAGCCACTATGTGAGTTTATGGGTTGCTGTCGTTCTGCTTCACATGTGGTGGAATCGCAATCGTTTGAGCAGTTATTAGTCCCTAATGGTTATTTTGTTTTCAGGGTTCACGAAGCAGTTAAAGCGGTTGTTTTTATTATTATTTATTTATTTAAATTTAACACAAAAGATAAAAGGAAGAAGATGAGATGGATAGGAAAAAATAATAATAAAAGGAAGAAGAAGAAGAGACTGAGAGTGAGGGAGAAAAAGAAAAGGGAAGAAAGAAGAAAGAAAAGTGGGGGAGATGAAAAGATGAATCTGGCAGGAAAAAAAAAGTTACATTGAAAAGATGGAAATGGTGTCTTGTCGTTAGTTTTGGGACAATAAAAGAACAATATTTGTTTTGTGTTTTTTTATGGTATAAAGTAGAGGTGGGCTCGGTTTGGTTTGGTTCGGTTATGAGGCCAAACCGTGAACATCGATTTGGAGAAAATCCAAACCGTGCGCCGAACCAATAAGGTGAGAAACCGATCATCTCGGTTAACCGATTACCTCGGTTTGGTTTGGTTTGGTGAAAACCTGCTTGAAAACATGTAGACCCTAAAATTTATTCAAACTCTAAAATTCATTCAAAACCTACTTGAAATTCATTCACCATTTACATCACAACATATTCAAATTCATTCATTCAATCAATCCTTTCAATTCAAATTAAAACTAAAACATATGCATCATTCATCATTCACATCCATCAAAAGTTTCAAAGTAAACCATATGCATCATTCACCATTTACAAATTACATCAATCATTCACCTTTGAAGTACAAAGTTTACAAATTACATCCATCATTGACCTTTGAAGTACAAAGTACAAAGTTTACAAACCTATCTTTGTAAGTGCAAAAAGTTTTTGGCAAAAAATAGGTTTGTCTCATTGACTAACCTATCTTTTGCCAAAAACCTACTTCAATCTCATTAAAAAAAAGCTCCAACTCTAAAATATTTAAGTGAGCTCATCAAAAAAGGCTTCCACATCCAAATTTCCTACTGTCCAGCCATTTTCATTAACAAACCTATCTTGTTATGTTCAAAAACCTACTTCAATCTCATACAAAAAGAGCTCCAACTCTAAAATATTTAAGTGAGCTCATCAAAAAAGGCTTCCACATCCAAACTGCCTACTGTCCAACCCTTTTAAGTAACAAACCTATCTTGTTATGTTCAAAAACCTACTTCAATATCATCAAAAAAGAGGTCCAATATAAAATATTTAAGTGAACTCCAATATAAACCTACTACATACAAACTGTCCAGCCCCTTTACAAACCAATTCTTCATGCTTTCTTTAATTTTTTGCAGTAAGCATTAGTGGCCAGTGGCCATTTGTTCATTTCCATTCCGTTGCAAAGTTTGAATATCTACAAGAATAGAGAACATGTAAGACAAATTCAAATATACAAAGTTAAAACAGAAAAAAAATAAAAATAAAAACATAACAGCAGTGCCTGATTCCATTTTCTCCAAAGCTTGATAAAACTCAAGGTCATCTTCACTTGGCTGCTTGTTGAAGTCAAAAGCCACTTGGCTTAGCCAATCCTTAGTGCAAACAAGGGCCTTAATTGTTTTAGGAGTCAAAGACGCCCTAAAAGGATCCACAACCCTTTTTCCCATACTAAACGCAGCTTCCAAAGGCACACTTGAAACAGGGACAGCAAACACATCCCATGCAATCTTAAATAGAACTGGAAATCTTGGAGAGTTCTCTCTCCACCAATCTAGTAAATCAAAGTCTACTATTTCTTAATCTTGAGCTGCCTCTAATAAATACTTGTCCACCTCATTCTTAATTTGAACAACGGTTTTATCTTTTCTTGTTTTCGCAAATTTTTTAAGTCTTGGATTATTGCATTCAACTCTTACCTCCCCTTCACTTTCTACATTAGCCTCAGCAGTAGATTGGGCAGCTGCTGGTTCCTCTTTCTTATAGGCCTCATACATCCGCATTAAGAGATCCTTCACCCCTTCTACCATCAAAGTAACCTTCGAATCATCACTTTCTAACTCATCAAAGCTATATTGGATATAGTCCATTTTGTAACGGGGATCAAGCACCACCGCCACAATCAAAACTTGGTTTACTTCTTGAACATTACCCCAATACTTATCAAACTTCTTTTTCATTGAAGTTGCAACTTTTTTCAAAAAAAATGTATTTACTTACAATCATTGCATTCAACTTATCAATAATAGAAAGCATATCATTAAAGGGGGTATTGGAAGTAACCGTCTCATATGCACTAAATTTTAAGGTAGCCTCGTAAAATCTTTTCAAGAACTTCACAAAAGTTCTTGCATACTCCCAATCCACAACGGTTGGAGACTTCAACTTTTGTTTAGTGCAGATTTCCCCTTCTTGAACTTTTCTTTTCTTCTTTTTCGGAATACCATCATCACGATTACCACCACTTTGATGAAAGTAAGATGCATAGTCTCCCGCCTCCTCTTCCAACCTATCAAACCCTCTTTGCAACTTTAAGGCAGCTTCTAACATAAGATATATTGAGTTCCACCTTGTTTTACACTCCAAAGGTAATAAACCTTTGCTGTCAATTTTTTGCAAGGCCAAACAATGCCTAAATTTGTCCAACCTAGATGGGGACGACCTTGTATATACACAAGCTTTGCGAATACTCTTAATTGAGTCATGCAATTCACTCAATCCATCAAAAACTATCAAATTAAGGATATGCGCACAACATCTCATATGTAAACAATCACCATCTAGCAAAAGAGTGCCCCAAAGCTTCAATTGCCTCTTCATATGCCTAATGGCCCCATCATTAGCCGTAGCATTGTCAAGTGTAATAGTGAAAACTTTATCTATTCCCCAATCATGCAAACAATCCTCCACAAGTCTCCCAATAGCCTCACCTCTATGATTTGTGATTTGACAGAAATTGATGATTCTCTTATACAATTTCCAACTATCATCAATGAAATGGGCTGTCAAAGCCATATAGTTCACATTTTGCAAGGAAGTTCAAGTGTCTGTGGTAAGCGACACTCTTTGTGAATTTAGATTTAATACACTCTTGATTTTTACCTTTTCTTCTTGAAAAAGATCTCATACATCTCTAGCAATGGTTCTACGAGATGGTGGATCAAATCTAGGTTGACACTCTCTCATAAATAGCCTAAAACCGACACCTTCCACATGCCTAAATGGAAGCTCATCAAGTATTATTATCTTCACACAAGCAATTCTACTTCTGTCCTTGCTATATGAATGTGCAACTACAGCTCCTTTGTTGTCAAATACAAAAACTTTTTGTTTTTTCTCCTCTCTTAATGGACACCCCCCCCCCTCCCCCCCCCCGGGTACACTTATATCTCAAATGTTGCATCAATGTAGATGTCCCATTTTTTTATGGGATCACATGCATAAGATGCACGACAATACTTACAAGAAGCTCTAGGTCCTATATTACTCCCTAGTTCAAATGGTTCTTTAATGAAATGTTTCCATACCTCCGATGCTTTCCTAATAGGCTTGATCTTTCCCGAAGTGGGAGGACGTGAAAGGAGTGTAGCTGCTCCATCCCCAACTACTTGTGGTGTATCATTTGTTGTAGGTGTAGGACTAGCTTCCATATTTGACATTTTTAAGGCCTATAAAATGAAAAACAAATTCATAAGCAAACTCATAAACATGCCAAAACATGTTACACTTCAAATGTAATAAGCATTTACATACCAAACAGATTTTCAAAGCTTCCTCTTCAAAACTTTTACTTATTTATTATTGTTTTTCAAAACATATGTAAATTAAACTCATTGACTATAGATTAAAATTATTCACAACTACTTTCATACAAGTAAAGTAAATTGTAATTATATTATCAATTAAACTGCATAATATTGACTTGAACAATAACCCAATTAAACTGCATAATCAAGCCTTTTACAGAAATTTGTTCCTTAATACTTAATAGTACACTAACCCATTTTATTTAATAATAAAGCTAATCAATGATAACAATTGATAGCTAAACTAGTCTTGAATTAGAGGCTTTTATGTGTTCAAACTTCAATACACACCACATAATCACAGATATCTATAGGCTACAGCAGTTACAATTTACAAACAAAACAAAACACATATATAGGAAGGAAAGGAAACTTACCCTTGATTTTCAACACAAGCACCAGTTCAAAACTCTCCAATTTGCTAGATAAAATGTTTGCATATGCAAGAACTACAAAAATTAGGTATATACAAGAACCCCCAATAATTAGGGTTTATAACATAAACAAAAATCACAAAACAAAAAAAAAGAAATTGTTGAGGAATCAACTAACCTTTGCAGAGAGAAACCTTGTCTGAAAAATGAGATGAGAGAGTAGAATGAGTGATGACAGACTTAGAGACGTAGAGATGAGAGACAGAGAGACTGAAAGATGAGAGGGAGGTGCGTGCGAGTCAGGCTATGAAGAAGAGGCGCCGCCGACAATGCGACGACGCCAAGTAGATGGTGAGTGGTGGTGACGATGCGAGGTTGAGGTGGTGAGGCTGAGACGACGTCGAAGAGGCAAAGGGGAGGAGAGATGAATGAGGCCGCACGATTGAATTGGGGATGATCGACCTGGATTAAGTTTTGAATGGCTTGGATATGCTGTGCACAAGTGCACAGAACATAAATTATAATCCAATAGAAATCAGCCACGTGTATTATAATATTTAATTATATATAATTAATATACCCGGTTCGAATCGGTTCACCAACGATTTTTAAAATTTGGGACCGGGCGTCGAACTGTGAAGGCCGATTTGGTCCGATTCATGCGCCGTTGACCAAAAAACAAAGAAGAAAACCACACCAAACTAGACCGATCGGTTTGGTTCTGCCGATTTGGCCAGTTTTCGGTCCCATATGCCTAGCTCTAGTATAAAGTAAACAACACAACGAAAAAATATAAAGGATATGGGCTTGGAGTTGGTGAAAGTTGAGATTGAAGTTAGTTGAAATGGGGCTTGGATATGGCTCAAGTATATATATCTCAATAAATAATTATATTTATATTTAATTTGGTCCGGCTTGATTTACTACGGTTTTGGAGGAGATAAACCGGATTTGAAACCGGTCTGAACTGGTTCGGTTCAATCTTTAAATTTTTTGTTGATTTTTTTGTCAACTAGGTTTTTTCCGGTTTTTTTTTTTAAAATTCGGATCGGCTCGATTTTGTGGTTCTCCGGTTCTTTTGCCCATTCTGAGCATAATTGCTTCCTGGTTTTGACTGCTTCTGCAAGACTAAAATTGTCATCATCATCAGTGCAGCCAGTGCAGGCTGGCTGCAAGAGAGGGTTATTAGAATTAAAGTGAATACCTCACAGACGCAGACAAACTGCAAATTTTCAATCAAGAAGTAGAATTAGAACTTGACATGGAAAACAAGGTTTTAATTCAGTACAACCACACGGATCCCTGCTCATTTGCGCGTTGGACTACCAAGTACTTACCTCCATCCCTCTTTTTTGCCTTTTTTTTATTTTCTTTTTTGTTAAATTTAATTATTTTTTAAATATGGGTTTTGGCAGAGAATGCTTCCAGTTCATGTCTGCCAGGCCATGGCAACAAGTTATGGATTTTTATTCGGATGTGGTGAAGGACCGCAAGCCCTTATCAGCGTTGTTGGGCAAAGCTTGTTTGAGTAAGAGTAACATTTACAATAGGCTAGAGAGTCTACCGCCATCTCAAGATAAGGGTGGGAGGTGGGCACGACTAACATTCAAGATTGTTGTTTCGTATCATGGTGGTTCCTTTGATGGCTGGCAAAGGCAGCCAGGCCTCAACACTGTTCAAAGGTGCTAGCTTTGACAATCTTTGATGCTTTTTTGTACATTGCAAAATTGCCCATGTGGCTTTAACTGTGGTTTTGTTCTTTGTTCAAGTGTTTACGATGTTTGCTCTTGTGTTGGCACTTGGCAGTGTGGTGGAAAAATCTCTGGGAAAATTTGTTGATGAGAGGAAAGCGCAGATGCTGAAAGACAAAGGTTTGCCATTAGAAGGCGCTGCTCTTGTTGCCGGACGTACTGACAAAGGAGTGACTGCCGTTCATCAAGTTTGTTCTTTTTGTATGTTACAACCTCATTCATTGTAACTTATTTTGTTTTAGTTTGAAAAAGATCTGCTCCGGAAGTTCTATAGCAGTTGGTTCATACTTGTCATAAAGGAAAAGAATAGTAAAAGAAAGTGAGCCACCAACTCCCTTGCCGAAATAGAGTTGGTTTTAATTCTTGATATTGATGTCATCTGGGGTTGTATAAGGCTAATTGTTTATGGTTTTGCTAGAACAATTTTATTAAGCATGAGTGATCCTTTTGTTTGCATCATTTAAAAATGAGTCTATATCAATTAGATAACTTATATGTGTTTCACATTCTTTTGCGCTAACATATGCGCATAATATTTCCTCCATTTTCCTTGAAGCTGTCATTGTTTATGTACTCGCTACTGGGTGTTTGGTATTAATTTTTCTAAGACAACTGTATTTTTAATTTATGCCTGATGTACGGTAGTCTTCTCCAGTGTTTCTCCATTATTTGATTCTGCCAACTGGCGCTTTTTGGGGTTTGCAAATTTTCTAACATTGCTCCATTTGTCTTTTTTAGATACTTGGAGAAAGGATGTCAAATCTCAAGATATTACAGATGCCATCAATAGTGCAGCACCAGGAAAACTCAGGGTCATATCCGTTACTGAGGTGATGTTCTGTTCAGATTTTCCTACAAATCACTGGGTTCAAAGTGAAATCCACTAATCATATTTTGGTTGCTTCAATTCTTTTAGCAAGTTGACCTTGTTATCATCGCTGTTTCAGATCTTTATCTTCTGCATAATGTCTATATTTATTTCTTTACTTTTAATTTTAGTACTCTGATAGCTAGTCTGTCTTACTGTAGGTATCACGTGCCTTCCATCCCAATTTTACTGCCAAATGGAGGCGTTATTTATATATATTTCCATTTAATGATGAGGAGGACATGGAGCAAAGTAATCAGAGTGGAGAGAATGTTCAAAATTTTAAGAGTAAAGAAAATTATCATGAGCATAAAAATGGATGTGATCAATGCAATGAAGCAAATGTTGGAAACTTAGTTATCAACGATAATGAAGACCTTGAAACTCTGAAACCTCGGGAATTCACCGTAAGCAGGGTGAACCAACTTTTACAGAAACTAGAAGGAAAGTTATTATCGTATAAGATGTTTGCACGTGATACCAAACCATCCAGAAATGAGTAAGAATTAAGATTTGATTTGCCATCGGTACTTGGAGGCGTATCATTTTTCAGATTATAGTTTTGACTATTCCTTCGCAACTCCAATTTGCATAATCTTGACCTTGCTCTTTCAGTGGCCCTAATTTGTATTATTTGGTAACCACTGGTGCATGCACTGCCTTTGACTAGTTTGGTCAAGACCATATTAATTGTCATCCTCTCAGCTTGTCATGCACTGGTGTAAGCTGTTGTTTTTCAAAATTCTTATTGTTTCTGTTTGTTTACTTATCTTTCATGCCACATGCCCATTGCACAATCCTCAGTTCATTTGTTTCATTGTGTGTGTATATTTGTACTGCTCAGGATAACAGAAATAGTGAAGCAATTTTGATGAGATTGAAGTTCATTATAATTTGCATTGGCTTGATTCTATATGGAGGAAAAATTGAAAGGATTATAATGAGTTCTCATGTGTATCCAGCCAGATATATCTCCTGTAATCATCCCAATCCAACTTCCCAACCTGATATATAGGTGCCTGGGATTGACTAGTCTTGTATAGAAATGGATGGCAGAGGTTCAAATGCTATTTCACTGTCTAGGGTCTTTCGAATCAATCATGATTTCGTACACAAGGAAATAACTTTGCTAGCTGAATATCCACTTAATATTTCCTATCGAAATAATATCCCTTTAATATTGACTTGCCTTAGCAGAGGGAAGTTGTTCTTCCATGTTCTAACAGCATCTGTTTGTCTTTTCAGGGGTCCGCCAACAGAGTGTTTTCTCTACCATGCTCGAGCAAAAGAATCCAAACTACCATGTTCAGTATGAGTTTGCTGCTATTACTAGTCTTGCAAATCTTGTCTCTTCTATTTATATTTTCCTTCTGTGATTTAGGTTTTTTAAGTTCACATCTATTGTGTAGGATGGGACTCAATTATTTAGTTTCTGCACCCATATATATATACACATGAGACTGACACGAGTAATCATGTTCACTGATGGGAATAATGCATGCCATAATTTTGGACCTTAATTGCCTTCCTCTCTCAGTAATATGCGAATTTGGATGGACAAAGCGTACATGAATAAACTGAATCAGAAAAACCAAAAAAAAATCATATGGGGGCCTCGCCTCAGGAAGTAAATTCTTGGAAAATTTTCAGTATCATCTTGCAGTTTCTAGTCCTCAAACTTTCCACTATCTGAGGACAGGCTTTGAAAGCGTTCTAACCACTTCTTGCCCTAAATCATAAATATCTTATACCTTAAAGGCATGAGTACTTGTGTCCATAAATGTGTTCTTATAATTTATAGTTAGATTGCAGGATTTATCTGAATATAATGTTTAGAACATATAGGATTAAGCACAACGTACGTGGTTACTTTCCCTGTTCTTTTGAATTGGCTGAATTATACATTAAAATGATGTGAAATTGTTCCAAACTATTGTTTAGCTGAGCACAAAATGCTCTTGGCCGTGCCTTGCCTGCAATGGATTTGATATTTTATTTGCAGAAATTTCATAACTCTAATTATATGAGCTTCAGGCTCAAATATTACATCTTTTGTTGTGAATGTAGTGATCCAGCAAAATGTGTACTAACCCACGAGTCTATATGAATTACTAATGGCACTGTGGTTATGTGTAGGAGCATGAGAAAGGAAGAAGGGTTATGTGTATTGAACTTGTTGCTAATCGATTCTTACGCAGGGTAATGAATTTACTTGGTATAATTGAAGCATGATTAAAAAAAAAAAGTTTCTTTTTTATTTAATGTCTTGTCTGGTTGGTGGGTTTCCATTTGGTTCTTGCAATATTAGCATCGTTGAATGTCCTCTTGACATCATTGCCAGATTTTAGTAATCCTGCTGGTGATCTTATGGTCTTTTAGATGTATTGCATTTCCACTAACTTCGTAGCCAAAATTAACAAAAGAAAAAAATTGGGGGTTACAATTTTCTGCAGATGGTTCGGGTTCTTGTGGCAACCTCAATAAGGGAAGCGGCTGCAGGTGCAGATGAGGATGCATTGCTAAAGCTGATGGATGCTACATGCAGACGTGCCACTGCTCCCCCGGCACCCCCTGATGGTTTATGTCTTGTTGATGTGGGTTATGAAGAATTTGATCCAAAAGATTGCCTCATCTTGAAAGAGTGAATGTACAGTGACATTCATGCAGAGGTAGCTTCCGATCTTTAAAGTGAAAATGACAAAGCATACACATTAAACAATGATAAACCCATGTTTTGGTATTAGGTGGAAATGTAAGTCATCCGATGGATCTCAACCTATCCAAAACACTTATTTTTTCACATGTAACTCCTTGCCGCTGAAATTTTTACAGAAATGTCAAATTTTGTTGTGAGGACTATTCCAGTTTAATTCTTGTGATACTGTCTGAACTGAAATCAAGTCAGTTGTGTTTAGTAAGAGAAGTAATGAAGCGGCTTATATTGGGTTCTTGCATTATATTCATATGTCAAAATCCAGTTTGGCCGTAGTTTGCAAATTCTATGAGTTCAGGTCGGATGCCTAAAATCTTATGTCGTTTTCAACCAAGAGTGAAAGGAATAGTAGGGTTTGATGTGAGTGGGGCTAATGTAAGTTTTGTTTAGCAAATGATGCGTTAGTCTGTCATTTATTCAAATTTGAGCCCACTCGGCCTCAAATGTCATTTATCCAAATTTGAGCTCAGTCGTGAACTCATGTCATTTATTCGAATCTGAGCCCATTCGGCCTCATCTAATTAGAACAAGCAAGTCTTTCGACCCCCGAAAAAAAAAGAAAAAAGAACAACCTGATTTATTTTTTCAGAAGTAGAAGGGGGACGGGAATTTACTCTCACAACTTGAGACTTGGTGTTAAGCCAAAGACATGAAAAACTACCAGGGCTGGGCATAGCTATGATTCCCACAAGGATCATACTTTCTTGGTGGGTTATACCCCTCACTCCTCTCCGAGGGGACTTCCTTCTTTACTTTTCCCATTAAGACTGATATGTATACTGATATCATTTGGTGAATGGACTTGATGACGTGTCCCTAGTTTTATTGTGTTTTAATTACCTTCCTACCATATTATTTCAAATCCCTCCATCAGCAGCCTCAATTCCATCAATTTCGGTCATGCCTTGATTAACTCTATCAACATCATCAATTCCATCAAATCTTTGTCATGCCTTAACTAACTCCATCAACATCATCAATTCCATCAAATCTCTGTCATGCCTTGAATTCTCCTTTTTTTTTCTTTTTCTTATTTTTCTTTTTTTTGGGTGCCAAATCTGTCATGCGTTGATTGACTTCCATCATACCCTAATTTTCTCCTTTATTATTCTTTTGGTGGAAACTTTTCTCCCTGATTACTGTTATTGTATTTTCCTTTCTTAGTCACATCTCACATGCGTAATTTCTGTAACTTTGGTGCTTTGCATCCTTTGAAATACACAATTAATATTATTCAATTCCTTTTTCAATTAACATTTTTTGGTTACCTATAGAATCATCAGATACATCACACACTATAGAACGAAGGTGTAGTGAACAGAAATTAAAAGGGGTTAATTCTAGAGTTTTTTACTTGCTCCGATAGATTTCTGGTGCGAATTTTTGTCATGTTTTTAGAGAAGCCAATGTAGTGGCAGATAGATTAGCTCGTTTTGCTTTGTCGGCATTCAATTCGAGGACACTTTTATCTTTCCAGTAAATCACCAATTGTTTGAAGAAAAACAAAAATTAAATGAAAGAGTTGAAAGAGGGCTGATAGATAATCAATCTCATGCTCAAATTTTTCAAAGGTGGACCGGATAATTCTCATGCAAATACACACAATCCATGTTGCACAAAATTACAGGAATTAAGGAAAAGACTTTGTCAACTTTTAGACAACCCCATTTCCCCAATGATCCCTCCCCATTTGACCCTTGTAAACAGCCTTTCCAAACTTCTATTCTTAGCCTCTTTCTCATCTCCTCTTTCTCTCTCATCACTCACTCTTTCCCCTCTCTTTCTCAATGCCATCAAAATTAACCACTATCAACCTTCAAATCCTTCTTCACCCGCACCCTGACTCAATTTTTGCAGCGCAGCCCCCTCTAAAAGGGCGCACACGCTGCCCCTACTTGTGCGTGTACGTACAACCCTATTATGCTACGTACCTACACCACCATTATGGAACACCAACAACAACAACAACAACAACAACAACGTAACAAGAAGAACATCATGGTAATGATGATGCTTCGCGCATCATCGTTGTCTCGTACCATGATCATGTTCTTCGTTCTCGTGTTGTTGAATGTTCGTGTTGCCTCTTCTGCTGGGCCTTCTGATAGCGAAACCCTCCTCAAGTTCAAGGATTCCTTGAAGAACACGGATGGATTGACCAATTGGAAAAGTTCGTCCATTCCATGCAACGGAGCAGTGTCGAATTGGGTTGGAATTCGTTGCGATGGAAAGGGGAGAGTTTGGGGTCTGCAGCTTGAGAAAATGGGGCTCAATGGTGACATCAATGTGGACATGCTCAAGGACCTGCCTGACTTACGAACCATAAGCTTTATGAAGAACAACTTTGATGGTCCCATGCCTGATTTGAGGAAACTTACTGCCTTGAAAACTGTCTACTTGTCCGATAACAAATTCTCCGGGGCCATTCCACCCGATTGGTTCGGGGGAATGTCTTCGTTGAAAAAGGTTCACTTGGCGAATAATCAGTTTACGGGGGAGATTCCTAGGTCGTTGACAGGTTTGGACAAGCTGGTGGAGCTGAGTCTCGAAAATAACAAATTTAACGGCAAAATACCAGATTTTAGGCAGCCCGCCGGGTTCACAACCTTTAATGTGTCTAACAACAAATTGGAGGGTGAGATCCCGGAAGGCCTTCGAAAGTTGGATGCAAGCTCCTTTGCTGGTGAGTCATAAGTTCTTCCTCTCTCTCTCTCTCTCTCTCTCAAGATCCCCTGAAAGAATCAATAGAAGAAATTAGAGGCTCATGTATTCTGCTAACTGCGTTTATAATGCATTTCCCTCTCCTTCCGTTCAAGAACCAAACAAAGGGTGGTTCTTTTTTTTTCTTTTTTCTTTTTATCCATATCTTTCTTATTCAACCAAAAGTAGAAAAGCGAGAGTCGTGGATTAAGTTACGTAAAGAAAAGTCAGGCGTATCCTTCCTTCTCAGCATCCTTCTTTTAGCTTATGAAATGCCTATTTGGGGTGTTTCATCAAACACAAACACCTTTCCCCCCTAAGGAGAACTTACAGGTTGGTGAGGTAGGGTGGGAAACGGGTTAGGATTACGATGGTTTAAGTCGTAAAGCATTGGAGTCACACTGCATCTTCAAGATTAATGACATGAGGAGTTTAAGAATCTGCATAAAAGAAACTTCCTCCTAGCTACCTCAAACATTAATTGATGAATTAGGTTATAAGCCTCTTTTTAAGCAAACCAAACTCGTAGAGTGCACATAGACAACAAAATTTTGTTCTTTAAAGAAGTAGAAAATTAACAGTTTGCCGCCTGAACATGCAGGTAATGAAGATCTATGTGGAGGGACATTAAAAGCTTGCCCCTCAAAGAAGCCCGCAACCTGGAGTATCGTGGTGGTTGTGATCATTGTAATAGTAGCACTCGCAGCCATTGCTATTGCAGCGTTCTTCATCCTCAGACGCCGCAACAAAGCATCTGAATCATCAATAGAGGATCCACCGCCATCAACAGCAACTGTCCAGAACAGATCAGTTCGAAACGAACCAGAGCAACAAGCAAGTGCTCCAGGCTCACCCGAAAATTTGAATGGGAGAGAAGTAAATGGAAAGCATAACAAGGCTGATCAGAGCTTGAAGCTTTCCTTTGTGAGAGATGACAGGGAGAGGTTTGATATGCAAGACTTGCTGAGAGCCTCGGCCGAGGTGTTGGGCAGTGGTTGTTTTGGGTCTTCTTACAAGGCTGCTTTGCTGAGTGGACCAGTGATGGTTGTGAAGAGGTATAAGCAGATGAACAATGTAGGAAAAGAGGAGTTCCAAGAGCATATGAGAAGGATAGGGAGATTGGCACATCCTAATTTGCTTCCACTTGTGGCTTATTATTATAAGAAGGAAGAGAAGCTCTTGATTTCTGACCATGTTCAAAAGGGTAGCTTGGCTGTTCATCTTCATGGTAAGTTCCTTTTTAAACATATAGATGCATTGCACGATCATATTCTCTATACTAGCTATCCTACAAATAAGTTGATGCATCCTATTATTTTAATAATAAAACTATTTGTATACTGCATTTTATCGTATGGGTGGATTTTGTCTCGATTGGGGATGTGGTTTATAATGTGGTCCATATAGTATTGCTCCTATAGTAATTTGCATGTTTAATGTTCATATATGGTTATGGACAGTCTTACATTTGTATCTTAGTTGTATCATGCCTTTCCCTTTTTCCCTTTCCCCTCTCCCATAAGCAATATCACACAACTTTTGGGTATGTTAAGTATGCATCAATTGGTTTTGACATAAAGATCATATATTCTGACTATATTGTAGATCACATCTCTAATGAAAGTGAAACTAATAATTTCTGATACAAATGAATATCACTTACAATTCATGGAAGTGTTATATGTAGTTTTCTTTGATAAGATACACATATTTTGGTATATGAGTTTATGCATGGTAAAAATATACATTTGCAAATTAAATGGAATTCGAAAACACTTTGATTGAAGTAATGCCTAATCAATAGTTGGTGTTATTTGCACTTTCTCATCAGGACACCAAACCGTAGGCCAACCAAGCTTAGACTGGCAAACCCGTTTGAAGATTGTCAAAGGAGTAGCCCAGGGCTTACGATATCTATACCATGAGCTTCCCAGCCTAGTTGCATCACACGGCCATCTCAAATCCTCAAATGTCCTTCTCAACGAGTCCTACGAGCCCCTCCTCACTGACTACGGCCTCATCCCGGTGGTGAACCAAGAGCATGCTCACACCCTCATGGTGGCCTACAAGTCCCCAGAGTACATGCAAAGCAAGCGCATCACGAAGAAGACTGACGTGTGGAGCTTCGGTGTGCTGATCTTGGAGATCTTAACTGGGAAGTTGCCCACCAACTTTTTGCAGCATGGGAAGGGAAGTGAGGAGGACTTGGCGAGCTGGGTCAACTCGGTGCCTCAGGACGAGTGGTTCAGTCAGGTGTTTGATAGAGATATGGGGGCAGGCAAGAATAGTGAGGGGGAGATGCTCAAGCTCTTGAACATTGGGTTGGGTTGTTGTGAAGGGGAGGTGGAGAAGAGATGGGATTTGAAAGAGGTTGTGGAGAGGATTGAAGAGGTGAAAGAGAGAGATAACAATCATGGCGATGAAGATTTTTTATCTTCTTGTGCTAGCGAAGGCGACATGACGAAGATACTTGGTTGATGATATCATCAAAAATAGTTTTCTTTCTCCTTCGCCATGATCAATATGTCTCTTGATTTGTATCTCCGTCCCAAATCCCCCAGGATGAGAGACAAAAATGAATTGCTTGTCTATAAGATTTGGCTTTATATGCAAGCTCTCTAGGTTTAAACAAGTACTATATTTATATTTCATAACATATATAAATTGATTCTAATAACCCTTAGTCATCTAATATTAATCAGATCCTTACAAGCCCATAAACATTTTATGAAAAAAGTATGGACACATAAAATATTCCTAAGCAAATAGAATTTGCCTTTCACATGTTGCAAATTGCGAAGTTTTCCCTAAAAACAGCAATATAAATAAATAAATGTACAATTGTAATTCTTCCAATTATATGGACTATAACCCCTACATAATGAAAAAGTAAAAATGAATTATATATAGTTTGATAAAAATAATAATTATGTGGGTTAGGCCAGTTGTCCAAGGTAATATGCTTGCCCTTTTGCACCCGAGTTCAATTTCCCCTCCCCCACATTAGAGTAGTTTAGCACTTAAAGCACTTTTTTGAAGAGAATGTTTTTTCTATAGTTTGATTCTTGAAGTGTTTCTCCTTAACAGTTGTCAATTTCTCTCTCAATACTAACATAAATTAAGTAAAATAACTACTAATGTCGTTTGATCCTAATAATTATGAGAACTCTGATTCTTATACAACAGGGCCATAAAAATGAATTCTCTTGATCAGTCATTGAACAATACTAATGTCGTTTTTTCTTCTTCTTCTTTTCATTGTTCTTCAACTTCTTGGATTGCATGAGAGGCTTCTCTAACGTAACGGTACGTACCCAAGACTTTGATTAACCGTGTTGATAGACTTGGTTAATATTAGAAATGTTAACCAACGGGTCGTTTTGGCATGCATCTTCTCTAGTTAGGGTCAAAGTTAATTCTAATTAATTAACTTCCCGCTAATCATGCTGCATGCATATATATCATATATGGGGTTTAGCTCGGAACCAAGTTAATGTTTGTTTTAATTAGCTTCTAGTAGGTTTATTTAATTACTTCCATGGCCCTTAAGAATGTGAGCGGTTTAAGAGTACAGAAGGGAGAGACAGAGAGCTTTTCATTAAATTTCCTATTTTTCTAATTGAAAGGTTCTGATTTTTTATTTTTTGTAAAAATTTATTTATGTTGTCGTGTCTGCATGTTTGATGAAGAAGAAGTTATCTCTGAATTCGAGAGTTGAGGAGGAGGAGGAGGGATCAAGGAGGGAGAGAATGTCGAATATTGTTGATAATGGAAATCATCAAGGCGTAAGGACAATAGCAGTGGCCGTAGACGAGGGCATTGCCAGCCAAAATGCTTTGAAATGGGCTGTTACTCATCTTCTCTATGGATCTACCCGTCATACTCCTATCAAGCTTCTCCATGTTATTAACCCTTCTAATTCCAATAATACCCCCCATGCAACTGGTATCTCTCTCTCTCTCTCTCTCTCTCTCTCATATATATATATATATGATGAGTGATGAATAACTATTTGTTTAGGTGTTGTATCATATCTCTAATAGGAGGAGAAATTCTTTGGTCCAACAAGATCACCTCACTCATTCGCCCATAGACATACACAAGACCAAATTCTTTGTTTATGTTTTCAGCCGGACGAGTGCGGTGGTCTCACCAGACCAAATAATTTGTCCTCTAATAGACGCATGACTCACATGTCTCACATAAGTGCAGTGAGTTTCGTATGTTGAGATGGTACAAATAGTAGTATTCTTTCAAGCATGATTGAAACATTTTGGTTTCTGGGTGGCATGGGAACAACGCAATTAATGAAGGGCAAGCTCATGAAGCTCCAAACATGGACTTCATGCTTCCATTTCGGTGCTATTGTACTCGCAAACGAGTGAGTTCATTTCTTAACTTGGATTTTTTTTTAACAAGAAGCTAGCTATATTGAATGATTTGGAATCATAATAAGTAGATCATGTCGTTGATTGATTTGTGCAACTAATTAATATTATTAGGTACAATGTGAGACTGTTGTGCTGGAGGATCAAGATGTGGCCGAGGCATTACTTGACTACATCTCCCGCAATGGCATTGAGTTTATTGTTCTTGGTGCTACCGCTACATCCAGGATTGGGTTTTCTAGGTATACATATAAACACATATATACACATTTTCTCTTATCAGGACGTCCAGAATTTCTTATCGTATGGACGCCATTGTTTCTTTCAGTTTTCCTCTCTGCTTTCCTCCCTGTCTTTTGTACTCATATGCTTCAACGAGCAGCAGTGGGTACAGAAAACAAGCTTTAGATGTAAGAAATATAGCTGCAACAATGGCGTCCGTACGGTAAGAAAATCTGGACATTCCGATAAGAGAACTGATATATATACATATATATGTGTGTGTGTGTGTGTGTGTGTTTCTGGGTTTCTGTGTGTTCAAACTCATCTGATGGTCGAAACATGTTGTTCAATCAGGCGTCTGTTCAAGGCATCTGAGTCTATTCCAGGCAGAGTCCTAAAGTTGGCACCACATTTCTGCTCTGTATACACCATCAAACAAGGTAGGGTATGCGAAGGGCGTGAAGCCTCTCGTCCTCTACCAAACATTCGAGCAGCTGATGAGAGGGCAGAAGAATCTAATCACATGTAAGCAAGAGTCAATCTGATTCAGATTCACAACATGACAACATATAAAAGCATCTAAGTGTGGTCGTCCACATTCTGGACTGCACTCAAACTGCTGCTATGAATCTATCTTTTACTTATTTGACTCATTTATTGATTAATTGATTTGGTTGATGCATGTCATTCTCTAGAGGCAGAGCTCCAAGCAACAGAGCATATGATGAGGTCTCATTGCCTGACAATGACATCTCGCTTGGAAGACCAAGTACTGATAGCATATCTTTTTACCAAAATTTTGGGTCTGCTGATATGAGCCGAGTTCTTTCAGCATCCTCAAATTACTTGGAGAGTATTGCAAAACTAGAATCAGATTTCAGCAGTTTCGATTTGAACATTCCACATGAACTGTCATCAACTGCCCAAGGAATGCCATTCCTGTCACAGAAAATATTCGTATGTCATCTGAAAAAGGATATGAGTAAAAGTCAGACAACTAGAATCATTTGAATGTGGACTTAATTTGGACATGCATGTGAAAACTTGTACTTGCAGGATGAAATGGAAGATGAGATGAAAAGGCTTAGAGTGGAGCTGAAGCAAACGATGGACATGTACCATGCAGCCTGCAAAGAAGCAGTGGCAGCAAAACAGAAGGTCCTATCTACCCTAGAACCCTCTCTAATCTTCCTAGCTACTTAATGAGATAAACATTTCAATTAGGTTTTGCATTTCCCATCTAAAAATATTCACTTATGTGTTCACAATCACATAGTTTTACTCTCATGGTTTTAAGGATATATAAAAATTCAACTCTTACCTTCTAAGATTTTAGCAAAACAAATTATACAAGCATATGGTTTAAAGAAGCTCATCTGTTTTATCATTTGATTCATGTATTAGTTGTATTTGGTTTTCCATTTATTATTCTAAATTGAAGTGCCTTCATCTGATTCATTCAATACAGGCTATTGAGCTGGAAGAGTGGAAAATGAAAGAAGGGCAAAGACTAGAAGAGACACGACGTGCCCTAGAAGCAACTCTGGCAGCTATGGAGAAGGAAAGAGCCAACTCTAAGGCAACAATTTTGGCAGCTGATGGCGGAGCAGCTGAGCGGTTTGCTGAGAAAGAGTTGCAAAGGACCATAAATGCAGATCAGATCTTCAAAGCTCTAAGAGAGGCTAATGATGAAGAGAAGAAAAGGGTTTTGGATGCTTTAGGCCAGTCTCATATAGTTTTCAAATACCAAAGCTTAGTTCATATTTTAGTTGTTTTATTTTTATTTTCTTTGTACTATTCACTATTTTAGTGGCGAACTTGTTTCAACAAGATTTACAAGAGTGTTTTTCTTTGTTTATATGCAAGGAAACTAGTTAACCCTTTCAGCATTCTGTATCTTTCTTTATTATTGAAGAAAAAGAAATCCCAGATCGCTGTCCTGAGTGGTCGAAAGATCGTTGTCCTGAATTTGATCTATATTGAACCTTGAATTTTCTAGCTCATATCTTGAACATGACAAAAGGTTTATAAGAATTTGGCTGCAATCAAATCTAGCAGCAAAATCTTAAAATTTCTTTTGAAGGCTAATGAGGACATATGCGATTATATGGACTATGTTGTCAATCACATATACATATTTTGCTCAACAAAAAATTACTCCACGATTTAAAATTACCAAATTAAACTTACAGAATGACAGAATCATATCCAAACAAAAAGGAAAGAAAAGAAAAATTGGCAGCATCATAATAAATTTTATATGACTGTAACAACCTGGCTAGGACTGGTCAGTTTATGAGAGGCTCATCACGTCATATTAGGAAAAGTGTGTTTATTAATTTGTTAATTTTAATATATTATTATTAAGTTAAAAGTGATTATTGTTAGACAACCGCTATTTTACGAAAATCTTGATTGTCTAACATGGTATCGAAGCTCAATTGCAAAAAGCTGTTATGGTCAAAACCTGCAATCTTCATTCCCCAATTCCTTATGATTTACAAGATGCATCCTGGAGCTGTACTTATATGTTTTTCTCCAATTGCATTTTATCTGTTTCTCCACGTGTCGGAAGAGGCTACGGGCAAGGGTGCGTCAAATATACATTGTTACCATTCTCTAACATTTTCGGCTTTAGGAGTTAGTGGTTGTCTAACAAATTAACAATTTCCATATGCCTTGCTAACGAAAATATAAAGATGAATTTTGTTGACATTTCCTATCTCTCCTGGTCTACGCATGCAGTTGCGCAGCTGATTATCCATCCAATAACTCCTGTATTAGAAAGTCAAAAAAAAAAGACTCACCAGTCTTTGCTGTCAAAAAGGCCAGAACCATGCAACTGCCTCAAGAAGACTTCTAGAATTCTTGGGCTTTGTTTTCAACTCTTCTAGATTTTCTGCCAGGACCTTTATGGGGCAAGTTTTTCTAATTTTGGAACAGGCAGTGGATTGAAGTTACAACTGCTCCCTCCATTGCATATATATTGGAAGCCTTATATCCTATAATGTACTTTGACTCCTATTCTATAATCAGAGAGAGAGAGAGAGAGAGAGAGACACACACACACACACACACATTAAGGGTGGTGAACGTAATTGGTTTTTGAGAGAATAACACAGCTTCTGTGCCAAGGCATTGCCGGTGAGTCATACGAGATCAAGACCTTCCGAGGAGAGCATAGAGGGTGCCAAGAATACTGAGGTTCTCCATTGCTGATTTTTTTCATTATAAGAGTCTGATCCTTATCACGCTAGTTGGTTTCAGTTTCGTGGAGAGTTTTGAGGGTTTTAATTCATTCATTCACAGAAAGAGAAATGGGAAGAGGACAAGCACAAAACAGCGTAGATACGGTGGCAGTGGCAATAGACAAGGACAAATCAAGTCAATATGCTATCAAATGGACAGTTGAAAATATTCTCACCAGGGGCCAAGCTCTCACAGTGCTCCATGTTAAACATAGAACTGCAGTTTCCAGCCAAAGTACATATCAGTCAATCAATCTCTCTATCTATCTATCTATCTCTTATTCATGTATATATATCATGATCTTAATTAAGATTATAATAATACCTTCGTTCTGCTTTCCTCATCTTATTTTGCAGCCAGGGGCATGGTTCCTATATCTGAAGTTACAGAGGAGGCTGCAAAAGCGCACAAAAGCCAACTTGAAGCTCAAGCCAACGAGTTGTTTCTACCGTTCCGCTGCTTTTGCGCAAAAAAGGATGTGAGTCATTCTTCTATATAATATCATTACTTTTGTTTGCGCAACGTAATTTCTTCTCCTTATAGTTTTCATCTTTGGAACAGCTAAAATGCAATGAAGTCATAATTGAGGATACAAATACAGCAAAAGCACTGGTTAACTATGTTATCAATAATTCAATTGACATTTTGGTACTTGGCGCACCAGCAAGACAAGGCCTTCTCAGGTAATTGGTTCTCAACATTCCAATCTAACCTTACCAATGAAGTAATCAGTGATTTAGTGTCATACCTTAGTTCGTGCTTCTTGGAAGGCAACGATTAAGCATGCCTCCTAAATATATATCTATCTTGTAACAGATTCAGAACTACGGACGTTCCAAGCACCGTGTCAAAAGAGGCACCAGATTTCTGCACTGTGTATGTCATTGGCAAAGGAAAGGTCTCATCTATGCATTGTGCTACCAGAACATTGCCCCGTAAAGCTTCCTCACGTAATCAAATACAGGACCAACCCAGCAAAGTTTTTGAATCAAATGATACATTCAATCGCAACCAGCAACCTAGAGGTTTGTTGGGTTGTGTTCCAGCCTCATGTTATATGTACATATATATATATATATATATAAAACTTGTTTTTCACCTCATGTATCTGGTTTTTGTCATTACTCACTCAAGTTTCTTTGATCAATACAGCATCAGCGAGGACTCAGTATCCACCCCGTAGTATGCTAGATGGCATTGAAATCAGGTAATCTCCGGTACACTGATTGTTTGGGAGACAAAATGTGTAGATAATGATGCTAAAAGCAATTAATCATGGAAGAGGTGTACATAGTGACTAGTTAGCTGCACTCCTTATTTTGTCTAATATATATACACACACACAAACACGTATGTTTATATGTATGTATCTATGCAGGTATGTATGCACGCTTGTTTGTATGTATCTTTGTATTTATCTATGTATATATGCATCCATATAAACAGTATTTGAAGGTTTAGTTTGTATGCGACTTTTCATTTGGAAATGTTTGCCTATGATCTCATTCAAGCATGCACTATCTGTACTGCCGGGCATAGCTCGCCCAGGCATTCGCTAGATGAATTTTCAGTTAATGTGTTAAAAGGCTTCTACATGGCTAGATGTTTATGTGCAACAACTATGATACTGAAAAAGACTATATGAATGCACAATTAATGAAAGGACTAACCTAATAAAATATATGCAGGTCGCCATTCACAAGAGCAACAGCTTCAAATAACAAATCATATGAGCTCTCGTCAGAGACCGATATATCATTCGTGAGTAGTGGAAGGCCAAGTGTGGATAAATTGTTTCCTTCTTTCTATGATGGTCTGGAATCAGGACCTCGAAGTTCAATCAGCTCAGATATGGACACCATAAGCTCTACATCATCTTACTCAGGACACAAGTTCATTGACATGAATTCTTTACAACATGAATTCTCATCCTCCTCAATTGAAAGTGAAAATTCATGGTCATCACGGAATATGGTAAGACAATTTTTCTAGCATAGTAAACTTGAAGCACCACCAACCTTCAAGTTTTGGAGCTTTATCACTTTCGTCAGAAGCTAATATACCAGAAATGTTTATCTGAGACAGCTCCCATAGTGTGCCTTCAACAATTGATACATTAAATGACCAATATTTGCCATTGGTTTGAGTAATGCCACGATTCATAAAGATGCGCATATTACAAAAACATACACACAGGAATAGTTCAGAATACTAATACTTAATTGCTAATAATAGGATGAAATGGAAGCTGAAATGAGGAGGCTCAGGCTAGAGCTCAAGCAAACGATGGACATGTACAGTACAGCCTGCAAGGAGGCACTCACGGCAAAACAGAAGGTATTGATGCAATAGCTCTTTTCGAGCATAGACTAAAACAAAGTTTTGGAATCAACCCTAAAATTTCAATTTTTGATAAAATCAACGACAAATGGTGAGTACACATGGATATATGTAATGAATCTTTAGTACTATCCACGTAAGAACGGAATTTTTTTTATCATTCTACCAAACAGTGTACAAATGACCTCTCTTCACCTCACGTTTTCACAATGCAGCCTTGAAAATCCCAAAAAAGGTTTGAGAATCATCATCTAGTAGGTCTAATAATTGGTATAGTTAGCCCTGCATCTCTCTCTCTCTCTCTCACACACACGCACATATATAGGGACACTTCTATATAGTGTCACATAGTGCATCTCATGCCTCTTACAATTCCTAAAGGTGCAAGCAGATGCAAGTGTATCTAGCAACAACTGAAATAACAAAGCTACATGTCCAACCATACACAAAAAGAGATGAATTCATTTGGTGGAATATAAATCTTGGGTTTAGAACAACTATTCATCCATAAATTCTAATAACATATCATCACAGGCAATGGAACTTCAACAATGGAAATTGGAAGAAGAACGAAGATTACACGAGGCACGAATAGCTGAGGAAGCTGCATTGGCACTTGCAGATGAGCAGAAAATAAAATGTATGGCAGCCATGGAGGCTGCAGAATCAGCTCAAAGGATTGCAGTACTGGAAGCACAGAAAAGGAGGAATGCAGAAATGAAAGCCCTTAGAGAAACTGAGAGGAAGAAGGCATTAGAAGCAAAAACATATGATTTCATGTACAGGAAATACACAATTGAGGAGATCGAAGTAGCAACAAATAATTTTTCAAACATAAACAAGATTGGGGAAGGAGGCTATGGGCCAGTATACAGAGGTGAACTAGACCACACACCAGTGGCAATAAAAGTTCTACGTCCGGACGCAGCTCAAGGACGGTCACAGTTCCAGCAAGAGGTTGGTGACTTTGCTCATTATCAAACTTTAAGATTGAACTCTCACATTGTTCCCAAAACTGGGAACATGTTGTTTGAAAACAAAAGCAGACAGATTCAATGATTTTCTTATGATACTAAAGGGGAACACGAGTATAAAAAATTACTTAAAAAACAAAAAGAGAGAGAATAGAAATACTTAAATAGATAAAAAGATAACTTCTCTGGTTTAAGAAGTTGCTCGGGCATCAAACAAAGAGTTGAATCAATTAGTTCTTCAAGTGATTTATTGTACATCTAAAAGTAGTTAATACCAATCCCCCAACCATTTCAAATTGTAACAGTTCTATTAGAAATGCTAGGATTATTGATATTTCTTACTCCCAAAGGCTAATAAGCTTCTTCTTTCTAAGCCATTTATATTGTTTGTGTCTTTCTGAGAAATGTATCTGGCAACTCTTAACTATGCAGGTTCAAGTATTGAGTTGCATGCGCCATCCAAACATGGTTCTCCTTCTTGGAGCCTGCTCAGAGTATGGTTGCCTGGTCTATGAGTACATGGCTAATGGGAGCTTAGAAGACCGTCTCTTCCGGCGAGGGTAACACCCCAGTTATTCCTTGGCAACTAAGGTTCCATATAGCTGCAGAAATTGGCACCGGACTTTTGTTCCTTCATCATACCAAGCCAGAACCCCTTGTACACCGTGATCTGAAACCCGGAAACATTTTGCTAGACCATAACTATGTGAGCAAGATCAGTGATGTTGGTTTGGCCAGGCTAGTCCCTCCATCAGTAGCCGATTCAGTCACTCAATATCATATGACATCAACAGCCGGAACATTCTGTTATATAGACCCAGAGTACCAGCAAACTGGGATGCTTGGAATCAAATCTGATATCTACTCACTTGGGGTCATGTTTCTACAACTAATAACAGCCAAGCCACCAACGGGTTTGACTCATCATGTTCAGCGGGCTATCGAGAACGGGACTTTCCAAGAGATGCTTGACCCTGCTGTTCCTGACTGGCCAGTTGAGGAAGCCTTAAAGTTTGCCAAGATAGCTTTACAATGTGCCGAAATGAGGCGTAAAAACAGACCGGATCTTGGAAATGTTGTGCTACCTGAGCTGAATAGATTGAGAAAACTAGCCGAAGATAACAAGAAGTATGGCATCCTCGGTGGTGGTGAAGAATTTTCACCTAGTCATGGCCCCATTTCCACAATACAAGTGAGTTTCATAACATAAACCTTGCATTGCACTCGAGGTTCACATTACATACAGCCTGTGAAGGCTTCACAAGATTGTTAGCTCTTTTGTTTTTGGATATTTTGTGAACATTTGTACTTATTTATTAACTTTTTGGGGTTTTTCTTTCAGGATGTTATGAGTGACGTTGAGCTACCAGAGTCTGGATACTATAGCTCAAGCTCAAGGAGGAGTTCAAGGGCATCATCTTATTATGGAATAAACTAATACTTTCCCTACAAATACAGCTTTTCAACTTCTTCCAGGTTTAATCCAATTTGATCCAAACCTGCCCATAGATTGTTTAGGAAATTAGGACTATGTTGTGAGTATTGAATATGTATCCATAAATTCTTTATTTTTAAAAAAACAAATCTCCTCTTAGGCAAGGCCATCTGACATTCGAGACGTCAACACTAAATGCTCTTTTGCAATACACGAGTGGCATTTTGTTTTTTTTTACAGGAGTCATACTTCAAATATCATGCTCTGATACCATGATAGAGTTTGCAGGTTATCACACTCCTCAAAAGCTTATACTATAAGGTTGTGACCAACAGTTACTTTATTTTCTAACACAAACATTTATCCAAACTCAAGAGTATGGTCTAAGAGTTCCAGCTCCAGTCCAATTGTCCATCCAGTGGACATAAAATCTGAGTGTCAGTGCACAATGCCAGAAACCTGTTAGAAAAAATAGCATATTTTGAAGTCAACTATATGAGTACACTAATTGTTGCTCTATCACACATAATATCACTAATAGAACCAAGAACACACTCGCCTCTCGCCAAAATAATTAGTCGAAGACTCCCAAGTACAGTATTATGACCACACATATTGATTTAAGATCTATTTTTATACGTAGCCATGACAGGATGTTTTTGCCAGAATATATCTTGAGCAGGAAATTGTTTATTTATATCATCGACTTTCCAACAATTTATGCTTCCTGCAAAAGTGATAAAGCTCAACAGTTGTATCTGTTAATTTAAGAAGGTACTTTTTAAAGTCAATGAAACTCCAAGGAAATCAAAGGGAAAACGATAAGAAAGACAACACAAACACACATATATCTTCTTCTTTTTTATGAGATAGGGGGGATAAAACCCCAAAAAGAAACGACAAATAACTAATACAGATCAAGTGAGGCCTAGCAACGCCTAATAAATCATCCACCAAGAAGAGCTAACCCTAGCAATTTGTGCGATTTAAGGTTTCATAGCAGTTTATGTGAAGCATAGAACACTCATCAAAGCCAATAGACAGAAAGAGAAGCTGCAGTAAATAGCAAGGGAAACAGACACGAGGGGAATTAGTTTTGACTGACAGATTAGTTTCAGCATGTGAGATTCAAAAGAAATAGTAGGACTACTCTTACGTTTATTTCTTACTCCTCTGAGTGTACTTTGAGTCTAAGTGAATGTAGCATTTCGTTGCAAATTTGGTAAGTTCAGATTAGCATCTCTAGCATTATAATGGCACGTTATCCATCACCAATATCCAACTTCATTTCAGCTTGAAAAAGGGGAGCCTACATAAGACCTTAGAGATCAGGAAAATTTCTGTTATCCAGAATGAACATAAGAAGAAAGTGCAGAGACATACCCATGCACAATATAGAGCGATGCATATATCTGAGCTGCAATTATCATCTTGTATACATACATGCACTTGTTGAACCAATAGAATTAGAACTGTAACTGATAGACATGCTATTGTCACTGACAATCCTTCTCTAACAATCGGTCAAACATGTCTTTACATGAAGTGCAGGTCACTGGTCAGTAATTCCAAAAGATCTGGTTCCTCCGATATTGCTTTTTCAAATATACTGAAATTAACCTCCTATAAGTCCATTCCCTCTGACTCTGGAACTCCAAAAATGCCTCTGAGCTTGCATGAAAGTCCCCTTTTCCCAAAACTTCAAACACAAATGGATCTGTTAATATGAGTGGAGAATCATCCAAATTCATTTTATTGAGAGCAAAATACATATTTTTTCCTAGTCTTCTCTCTAAGTATGCATCAACAACACAACCACAAGTCACAAGATCAGGAACAACTTTCTCATGTTTCATGTGTTCAAGGCTCAGATGGAGATCCCAGAGTAGAGACATCCTAGAAAAGGCCAGAGCACGAATATTAAATGTAGTAAGATCAGGGTGGAAACCAGCTTCCACCATTCTCAGAAATTCTCTTTGTAAGCTTTTCATCTTAAAATCGGCAGCATAGGATAACAACAAAAGGTTCCATGAAAGATTTCCCAAGTTTCTTCTACCTAGACCAACATTCTTCAGGAGCTCAGCTAATCTGTAAAACTTCCTTTTCTTCAGATACGCAAATGACATTGCCCGGATTCCCTCTTCCTCTATAAGAAACCTAGACCTCTTAAGGCGGCCATAAGCGGTCTCCATCTCAGTCAGAGAACCAAAAATGCTATAGTATCTAATAAAGGCATTACCAGTGGCAGAGTCCAACGGGAAACCCCTTGAAATCATTTCTTTCAATGTACCTTCCATCAATTCAAGCTGCCCCCCTTTCCCAAAGCAAGAGATAGCCAGTGAGTAAACCTCTGGAAACAAACTTAAATTCCTCGACCTTATCTGAGCCAAAATTTCATTCACTTTTTCGAAACATCCCACATTGCCATAAGCATCAAATAACTCGGAAACAACCTGAATACTAGGCACAAAAGAACTGTGTAACATTTCATCCCAAATTGCCTCAGCTTGAGGAAAAAGACCATTGTTCGCATGGCATAGCATCAAAGCAGATAGAGTGGAGTTGCTAGGCAAAAGACCATTGGATTTCATTTCAAGTAAAAGCTCCTGGGCTACATGAGGCATCTTTTGTCTACTTAAACTTCGTATTAGCGGCACACAATCTACGTAAATATCCTTGCCATCAAAACACTCTTCCTGCTTCCATTTCCGGATTATCTGTTCTAAGCACACCCCAATGAAAGGCATTCAAACACATATCCATCAAGAAATCTAAAACAATAACAAGCATTACAAGCCCATGTATATAGACCAAGAAATAAATAATTGAGTACACGCATAAACTGCAAACATAGCAATACTAGTAGTAATAAGATGTTGAATACACTAAACGGTAAAAAGCATGAGAGAGTTGTTTCTTAGTATAACAGAAAAATAGTCTCTTTTTCCGAATAAGAAAACACACAAGTCACACTAAAACAACAAAATTCTTGAATATCCAACTGGTGCTACATAAGATGCAAAGGTGCTGGAAATAAATTATGGGCATTTGTTGAACCAGAATTTGCTTAAAATAAAAGTCCCAATTTCGCAAATACACTACTTTTTTTCTTTTGAAATGACTACAGATACTTTTAATTGATTAACTGAAAATAAGCCAAAATCATCTATTCATAATAGAAACGGAGACTGACCTTGCGTGCCAGGGCTCGACTCTGTGACTGTGGTTGATGGGAGGAAAAAGAAAGATGCTGTGGCTTGAGAGAACTTGAAACGCATGTTCTGCTCAGAAGAAGAGTGCCCTCCATTTTCTCACACGGCTGAACGTTGGAAACTGAAAGAAGTTGGAAGCGATGCGTTTTGCATCGAGGCCTTTTCTTTTTCTTTTTCTTTTTCTTTTTCTATAAAGGGGAGGGAGTAAACTTTGTAGTTTTGTGGTCCATAATTATTTGTATTGCTTTCGACAAAAAAAAAAAAAAAAAAAAAGTATTTTTATTGACAAAAAAAAAAAGAGTACTTTGTATTGCTCAAATCGATATAGTCAACCAAGTATATGTATTGTAACATCAATATAATATCTAAATTATCATATTTGGGTACAAAAGTTAGGGTGTCATCAATCCAGCTGAACTGATAAATCGGTATTCAAACCGTAATTCTAAATTTGGTTTGGTTTTTACCACAAAAAAGTTAAAAATTGAATCGGACTATATATAGTTTGGTTTCGTTTGATTTTTTAGTTTTTATAAACCGACCTAAATCAAACTTAAAAATGGCAATTTTCTCTGCAAATAAGTATAAACTACAATCGATAGCCTATCGCAAGTCTCCAAATCCGAACACATAGTAAATAAACTTGCAACGGTGAAAGGTCTAGTTCATTACCTTCAGAAATAAACAATGACTTAAAACTTCATGCAGCCATTAAAAAAATAAAAAATGAGATATTTTTGCATCCTTTGAGAGGTTTTCAGATGTTAAAAAAGTGAAAACTCATTTCAAAATCAGGCCTGATTTTGAAATCTAATAAAAAGGAGTTCAGATTGTAGTTTCCATTTTCACTTTCTTTTTTCACGCGAGCTTCGCTGCCTCTCTACTCTCTCTCGCTCTCTCAACTCTCTCACTCACTATCTCAACTCTCTCTCGCTTCATTGCCATAAAACACAACTTATGATGACTAAATTTGAATCATCTTTCGTCCAAACTCAATTTGGAGAACAAGAAGTTCGAACCAAACATTGATTGTATACGTGGTTGTAGTTTTGTGACTCATACAATATTAACATGTTTTTACTTTAAGCAATAGAAATCTACAGCAGTTTGTGCATTGAATTCCTTTTCCAATAGTTTTCATGTACACAGTAGTTAATTTTCTGATCAGTCTTCATTTATGTAAAGCATGAAGAGGAAGTTATTCATTTCTTTTGTAACGGACTTGGAGTGCCGCAATATCCTCTTCCACAAAGTGCCTGATGTGCCTGATATGCCTAATGTGTAACGTGCTTTTCTTCTTATCTGACAAGTTGACATATTTTCGTGTTCTTGTTTATTTTGTTCCAGATTTGTAGGGCAGTAGCCGCCTATGCCTGAAGTGCCTGATGTTCTCTTGTGTTATCTGTAGTGCTGATATGTTTTCTCTAGTAGTTCATTGACAGTTCTTCAGTTGAAAAACTTTAATGGAAGTATCTAGTTACAAATTTCAATTGGCTTTGCAGTTTTAAACAATGAACCAATTTCTATTAAATGCTTTGCAATTTTCTTTTTCTTAACTTCTTTTTGCATTATTTTCTCTAAGCTCAACGACTGACAGTAGAATCCACTTTCAAGTGACGATGGTGAGGTGAAATTATACCCACTTTGTCAATATTTCTAGGAACATAACCCCATGCATTGGGCAACTACATCATTCATTCAACCATTCAACATAGCATATTATTCAACAATCCAACTTACAAGTTACAAGGGGGATGTAATCTTTTGTCTTGCAACCCTTGACAGCCTCATTGGTATCCAAAGCTTTGTTCCTTTGGTCTTTGGAAGTATTGGTCCAATTGTTCAGCACATCATCATTAGTGTGGGCAATGAGACCTTACGTTATGTGTCACTGAAAATTAAGATCGCAATGTTGAAAAAGATGAAATCAAGGCATTTCTCAAACCAAAACATATTATGACTAGTTGACAAGCCAAATTTAACAAACAATGCCGGCATAACTGAAGGCCTTGATTTTTCAACTCAACAACGATGCCGGCAATACCATCCCTCGTAGGAGGGCCACATCCCAAACCGGCCTAAATCCTCAGTTCCATCCCTCGATTTTGCCTCGAAATCTCTCCTATTAGGGTTGGGGACCAGACAGAAATCCAGCCCAAAGGAGATTTGTGCCATCCCTAACTTACCCAAGAAAAACACACACAAAAGTCCATCAACCACAAAGCCTCCAATAATGTGGGAACTGGAGTTGGCTTTCACACCTCAATTTAGTGACGCATTCTGTATTATGACAATATAAATTCCATATTAGATTTGAGGCCAGCAAACAATTGCAAAGATGCCTGAAGACACTAATTTTGAACGATTGCTGCTATTTCTACCATCGTCTTATTTCCCCATCCACTTTATCTTCAAAATTTTAAAAACAGAATTACCTCTTTGTAAAATGACTTCTGACATTCTGTCTTATTTCCCGTAAAATGACTTCTTATTTCCCGTAACCCACCTATTCTCCCCTCATCCTTGTCAAACACCAACCTGCAGACCAAACTCGAAGCTCAGTTTGCAGTCCCTTCAGTACAAAGCCATTGACCCACAAAGAAGTTGTCGCAATTGATATTAGGGTTGATAGAAAGGAAGAAATCAAAACTCAAATTGAGCTTTTCAATGACAAAAGTACACGTATCACCCTCCTCTGCACCATAAACTGAATCGCATACTGGGCTAGTTTTTTTCTTTCCAAATCCAACTGCAACATTGACGCATGTATTACAAATGAACTACGAATCTTTTTTAATATTTTTGTGAAACTAAAAATAAATAATTTTAAAGGAAATAAACAATTGAGTTAGGAATAATTCTTACTGCCAAGTTGTCTCTACTCTCAGCCATGGAAACCATGATATATATGTAATTATTCTGTGTTTTTTAGTAAGAACTCTGTTTAGTGTCTGGTAAGAGATTTGATGACAGTGCACAGCCGTATCTTTACGTAGAGATGGTATGTCTAGTTACAAGCCGGCCTGTCCAATGTCACATGTTGTTTTTCGGGGATTTTTCTGGAATTCTGATTGAAGAAAATAATTGGAAGAAGAATAGGAAGAGGATGTTGGGTTTGTTTGGTTTATTTTTTGGGAGTTTCACTAAATACCCAAAATGGAGGTTGAAATTATAAAAAAACCCAAGCACTATTTAAATATATAAACACACCCAAACCCTCATTACACACACTCAAAACTCATTTATAAACACACCCAAAAAGTTAACTTTGGGGTTGATTTTGGGTGTGTTTCTATATTTAAATAGTGCTTGGGTTTTTTTATAAATACATGTCTAGGATTGGGTTTATTTATAAATTTGTATTTTTTTTTTTACTTTTTTGCTTGATTTCTAGGTTTTACTTGAATTAATACTTAAAGGGTATTTAGGAATAATTATGAGTGGACAGATAGGATTGTATTTTTTAAATTTACATGGTAAATAGAAAAATAAGACAATGAGGTGGAAATAACAACACTCTTCTGAAAAAGGGGCAATCATTGATTCAATTGTACACCATTAGATTAGCCAACCTTTATCTATACGGCAATGCATGGATTTGAAGCTACTTGCCGTAAGAAACATGAAACAATTAAATTAGAATATCTGCAAGAAAAGTAAGATGTTTTCTATAAATAATAATAATTCTTACTCTGTATATGCGCAGTGGTCCAAATCAAATCATTTAGATTTGAAGAATATAAATTAAAATAGTAGAAAAATGACAGGGCCATATATCTTGTGGTTTTTAATTCATACTGGTTAATTAGTGGGTAGAATGCTCTCTCTCTCTCTCTCTGTATATCAGTCCCCTTCTATTGAGGGATAGTCCCCTTCTATTAAGGGATCCCTCAAATAATTTTATTTGAGGGACCCCTTTAGGGTACCCTATAATTTTTTTTTCCAATGATCCAAACTATCTATTTTTTAGGTCTTCATTCATAGATCATCCTTACAAAAATTAGACAAATTGGAAACCGTTTTCGACATCCAATTGTGTCATACAAAATCAATGAACACGGTGCTTCAAGAAAGTACTAAAATTTCAATAACTTAATTGAATGGTCAAATGATATCGGATTCAAGTGATTTTTTGTAGAGATGATCTTTGAATGTGTATCTACAAAATAGACGGTTTTGAATTAGTGAAATACAATCCAGAGTGGGCCCTACAAGGGGTGTCCCTCAAATAAGTTTATTTGAGGGATCCCTCAATGGAAGCTCTCTCTATATATATATATATATATATATATATTAATATATATATGAATCGATGGCAGCCAATTGAAATTGAGCAAACAATTCAACCATTGGCGGATGAAAAGGGGATGATTATCAAAAGCAAGGTTTTATGCTTTTGTTGGCATGTCCTCAAAAGTCACACAAACAATGCTGTAGGGTACTTTTTCAACTCGGTTGGATTATAAAACTTATGGAAATGAGACCTAAAATGTTAGCTTGTTCAAGTGCTCATCATGATCTGTTATCTGTATGGGCCATAGTTTTTCAGAATATTATTTATTGAAGGAAAAACAAATAGGGAAAATGATCATTGAAGATTATGTGTGCGACAATTATTAGAATAGTGGTAGGAGCAACTTGTACTTGTATGTGATCCTCCTCATATTTTATATTTGGGGCATTTTTAGTGCATGAATTTGCATGTGATTGGTAGATTGTGCCACCTCAACATGCAATCAATCACATTGGTAGATTGTGCCACTAGAGAGGATTTCTATGGAACGAGAATTATTGCAGCGATATTTAAAGTCAATCACACACTATTATGGATGATAATACTTAATGGACTCAGCATATTATCACTATAGCATTTTCGGTGTAGATAAGTTTTTCTCCTTGTACCGACTTCTTTCTTCAATGAAGTTCTTCAGTTGACAAAAACAAACAAAAAATGCTCTCAATTAGAACTATTACTCAAAAAAAAATAAAATAAAATAAAAATTGAAGGCATTCACATCATATACATATTTTCTTTGTGATATGCAAGCATCTGAAATTTTTCTAGGTTCATTTTGGTTTTGTCATCTCTATGGAATGTGGGGTTCCAAGAGCCCTAGGGGTACCAGCTTATAGTAAACCTCCCAAAATGGAGTGTATCTGAGATTTTGAATTGTCATAGGAAAATGGAGCAGTTAATGTAATAGAAGAGAAGGGAAGGGAAGGGAAGGGAAGAGAAAAGAAAAGAACCAGGTTCGCAGAAGTTATAATCACTGATATTTTATATTTGTCCCCACTTATTATTGCTTTCTATATGTTTATATTTTATGTGACAAGAAATGTGAAATCATTGACCACAAACTCATCTTGTCTCCTTTCCTTTGTTGGCTTTTTGCATGGTGGCCTTGGTAGGTTGCTTGTCAATGCTTTTTTCTTTTAGGGTATTTGAGAATCCGTCCTTTATTTTTCACAATTTTGCAACTCTGTCTCAAATTCTTTGGTATTCCTTTGCAAATATACCTATCTAATTGAAAATAATCTTTTGTAGTTTATATATCCTTTTACTATAGTTTTCACCACATTTTGTTGTTACCTACTTGATCTGTTCCTAATTGATTGATCATTCATGTCACGCCGGGCGATGAGGACGACTACCTCCACTCACCATTTTTTTTACGCACAAATCGTCCTAATAAGTCGTTTTTTCATTAATAGTTTATAGAGACATCATTTTCGCTCACCACCTATCCTTAATAATGAATACATTTTTTTTTTCAAGTGCCGAAAGATAATGAGATGTGAATTTGGGCATATTTTAATGTTAGTGACATAAGTATCGTTAGATTAAGTGCTAGTTAATCAATATATAATAAAGAATACTTGAATGATAAAACAGTTTACTCCAATGTCATGACAAGAGTTCAAATCATACCTTTCATTATAATAAAAAATTAATAAATAAATAACGAATATGTTCATTGAAAAGCATAAAATAAAAGGCTTACACACACGAAGAATTCTTTACACAAGAAAAATAAAATAAAGCTTCAAAACACTTACAGAAACACTAGTTTTATTTAATCAGCAGGTTTTTATTTTTGTAATTTCTCTGGAAAATTAATTATGGGGCTGTGGAAAAGCCATAAAATACTTAAACGGTAAGGATTCAAAAGCAACCAAATATTTTTGGCTGCACCCTTTGCTGCTCTCCCTTTTCAAGATGCCAGAGCATATCCCCCCATAGAGGGACGTTATTAGGTATAGGCACTAATGTCAAGTGTCCCTTTCTTTTTCTTAGCAAAACAATGGCTATATATGGATGCTTCTTTTTCTTCAACATGATGCCAACAATGGTCCTTTTGGTTCTAATTAGGGCATGGAAATCAGAGCTGATTGATTTTGTGTAACCGATTTCCAGTTTTGGGCGTGGTTAGCTCATATCACCCGATGCAATTTTGTGAAATCTAGGATTGGTTGGACATTGATATTTGCTTGCATTGTTCGTAAATTCTTGTACACTCAAACTTGGTGCTCTCAATTATTAAAAATGGTAAATTTAATTTGCGACAGGTTTTTCATGTCCCATATCATTTGAGACTCGAATTTGGTGCACAAATTTGGTGTCCCTAGCATTACTGTAAAAGAAAAAGGACAAAGGCTAACAAAAAGGATGATGAAGGTTTAAATGAGCGGAAATTCATCAATAATTTTTAAGGGTTGTTGTATTTTTCCATCAAAAAACACAAAGAACAACCTTGTTAGAGAAAATAAATAATAATATTAACTAGCTTCCCACACACGTGTCAATATGTATTTTTTTTTCTTTCAATAATTCTTTTCTAAAAGAACTTTTGTTCTTTTATGAAATTAGAAAAAATTTGTTGGACATGAAGGAGTATTGTTTTACGTATTTCTTCTTTTAAAATGAAGTAGTTGTGTAGCGAAAATTTTACCTAAATGAGGAATTTAAGTGAAAATTTGCCAATATAAGGGTCTCTTGCTTTACATATATAGATTTTCTCTAATGCGGATATCCAGACTTTATTATTGTGTGGGGGGCATATATTTTCTACTACCTCTCTCTACTTTTCTCCTTGTTTATAATGACGTTCGCACAATAATAACGTGTGGCCGCCTGAATAAGAGAATTCTCTTAGCACATATATGGCCCTTTTGTACTTTGAATAAGTTATTAATATGCTAATTTTTCCTATGAACTTTATGATCAATGTCAATTTGCCTTCACACAAATGTTTTTCGACAATTTGGGACTTGAGATAATACTTTCAAAACTTGCCATTTGAATATTAAAAAAATAATAATAAAACTCGGTGTAAGAAAAATCCAATTGGCACACGATCACGCGGTAGTCTTTATTAAAGCAAAATACAATTACTTTTGGAAATGACTTTCGAGTTAGTTACATGGCACGGTTGGAGCTATGGGTAAAATTCTTTTAAAATATGACGTAGAAATATATTCACACATGTGTCAAGGGTCTAGTCTTTATTAAAGCAAAATGCAGTTACTTTTGAAATTAGTTAGTTACATGGCACGATTGGAACTACGGGAAAAATTCCTTCAAAATGTAACCTAGGAATATTTTGAATGGAAAAAAAATATGGAGAATCGTACTCTTATAAGTAAAATATTCTTTTGAATGGGAACTACATTTCTCATCAATTATACCCTTCTTCGAATTCACTTGTGGGATTGGTACAAAGCAACAATAATAGAACAAAGAATCTCAAGTAGACAAATAAAATCATTTTTGAACTCACTCAATATTAATATTATAGCTCGTTTTGGTAGACCACAAATACAATAGTCCTTTTTTTTTCTTTTTCTGGCACACAAAATTTAAAGTTGAAAAAGAAAGAATCTAACAACTCAAGAGGTAAAATTCATTAACGTAAACATGGAGGGCCAATTTAAGAAAAGGAAAGAATAAGGAAAGTGACAACCAACAATTATTACAAACTGTCGAACTCCAGAATCAATTATTTCTGTAATGTTTGCAAAAGAAAAAAATTGTATTACTTGCAAGAAGAATATATAAAATATAATTGTTATGGTAGGAAGAGGAAGTGCTTATATTGATTGCCCTTTCCCCTGAAATCACAGGCGTTAGAGAAGACCAGAGAGAGACCTGAAAGGTGGTCTTCCTCTGTATCTCTCTCTCTCTCTGCCTCTTCCTCTCTAACTGGTTTCTCTCTCTAGGAAAAAAACTGAAGTTTTATAGATTAGAGAGAGAAAGAGGAGGTACTTCTCTCAAAGCTGCACTGAATTTTTTCAAAAAAGAATCCCTCTACTTGCTTCATTGCTTCTACTTCACTCCCTCTGAATTTAGCACAAAGCTCTAGCTCTCTCTCTAGATCTCCAATCTTTCCTGGTTACCTAAAAAGAGTCCCGACTCTTTCTCTGTCTCAGTCTTCCACAGCTTTGACAATCCTCCTTTAAACTAGCTAAACATTTTGACAATCATTTGACAAAGTAAGAAAATCTGAGGGTACCCAATTGCAGATTTTCCCGGAAGATGGAGAATTTTTCCGGAAAAAAGAGACCCACCATCAGTCTCTCACTCTTCACTACCTTCTCTGAGTCAGTTTCCTCTGATAAGTATCCCAATTCAATCAAATCTCCTAGAAATTTCCAAGAGGGTGTGGTTGGACTTGGCATAGTGGCTGCCATGACTGATTTGAGCAACCCCAATGAAGTGGCTTCGTCTGAAAAGTCACCAAGGTCAAGCCCAATCCCCATAGTCTCTGCAGCTAAACCTGCTGCTAATTTCAGAGGTGGGTTTAATATGGAGAGGCCAGGGGTTGTGGTGGATGAATTGTCTGAGAGTTATACTTGTGTGATTTCTCATTTTGGGAACAATTTGACAAGGAAACGTGTTTATTTTGATGATAAGCTTAGTGGAGTTGTTAATGATCCTAGTTCTGGTGTTGTGGCCTCTGGGGTGTTCTCTGCTTCACCAGTGAGTGTTGGTGAAGTGGGTAGAGAGTTTTGGGCTTCTGATTTTCTCAGTTCTTGTTATCTTTGCAACAAGCAGCTTCATGGACTGGACATTTTCATGTACAGGTAAAAAAAAATTATGTTTATATATGTACATATATTTATGTTCTTTTGATGTATTGTTATGAATTAATTCAGTTTGAAATTTATATAGGATCAGTGTTTAGTGTCTATTTGGTAGTCTTTCTCCCCCTTCGATGAATGATTTGGTGAAGCATGATTTAGAAGATTTTGGAATATGAATATGGCTTAGTCAGAATCTTAGAAAATTTTGAATATGGCTTAGTCAGAATTTTAGAAAATTTTGAATATGGCTTAGTCAGAATTTTAGAAAATTTTGAATATGGCTTAGTCAAACTTTTACAGAACTTTGAATATGGCTTAATTTTTGCTTATTGATTATGGTGTCTTGTGTGGGAGATTATGTTTTGAGTGGATTTGAATTTGGGTTGATTGTTATTTTAGAGGTATGGATGAATTGACTAATCTTGGAGATGTACGATGCTTTGCTTCTTTGCTAGTTTAGCAATAGATTTTAAGTTTAGGGTGATACCATTAATGCTTAACAAATTGGTCAGTTCATTTCGATCTATGGTAATTCGTTGGTCTTGGCGGGAGGATGTGACTGATAGATCTGTATCCGCAGCTTGATACTTTTACCTTATTTGTAATTTTCTCTTCTGAGTAGAGATTACCTTATTTGGTATAGCCGGTTGGTGTTCTTCTACTTGTTCTACTAACAAATTTTGCTCGATTTTTATTTATTTATCAAGGTTTAAGTTATGAGTTGTCATTGAATGTTTCTTAAATGATTTAGTTCCTTTGTTAAACACCTTGTTAAGAATGATTTTGCCTTCTTCATTGACTGCTCTAAGTACAGAAGCTGAATGAATGGTTGTTTCCATTAGGATTTGGATATTATTTCAGAAATGTGGACAGGAAATCTTATGTGAGTGTTACGTAGACTGTAAATGTTGTTATCTGCAAGGAACATGTACAGCTTGATTCAGCTGATTATTAGTTCTGGCCTTGTCATTTTCCAAACTGCTAGTAGTTATTCCAGTAATGTATTGAAGTGTAAAATACAAGCAGGCCAGGCAAAGTAATTTAAGGTCAATGTTGATTGGACTTGAGTACTCTAACAGCAATATATAGCACATGGATTGATTATCACTCTCAAATCCTCAACTTAGGTTCTCATTTTGTTGATTGGAACAGATTCTATTCCGTGTTAATGTTATATGGAAATTGGGCTTAATTTTATGAACATGTCAGTATAATTTTTTATGCCAGGCTGTACACCAATCATTTGACTATTAATTGTCATTAGACTGTTGCATGCTTAAGAAGTAATGCCAGGTTTTCTTTGTCTTAGTATTCATTGAAGCTAGCCTCCTTAGAAACTTAGGATAGAATGACAGCTGTTTCCTTAATAACCACTTGCAAGTTACATCTTTGATTGGAGCCATTTGTTTGGTATTAAAGTTACCGTTGAGTGGGTAGATGTGTACTGGTACTCCTATAAGAAAGTGGTCATTTCTTTTGGAAGACAATTTTGCTGACCACTTTTTACCATGATGTAGCATTACGACTCTGCTCAATGCATCCACATGTTATACGTAATAAATATAACCACACCTGTTAGACGTGGAAAATGTTGAGTAGGGCGGTAATGCTGCACCATAACTGAAGGTAGTGAGCAAAATTGTTCTCTTTTGAGCAAAGTTCTCTTTTCTTTATCTTCTTAGCGAAAAATTGGAGTAGTCTTTTCAGTTATGGAGCATCCATAATTTGGAGAATCACCTTGACATTTAATACTACTGCTTTCTCTTTCTGGCAACAAAATGAAGCAGTAATATTTGTCAGTTATATGCGTACTTGAAATTCTTCTCTTTCCTGCACTAGCATATGTGGTTAGGAGAATTGCATTAGATTAAATATTCTATCGTTTGAGTTATGCTTGAAAGTATACTTCAATGTCTTAGAATCTCGAAATTTCATCTCGACAGCTTTCTGAATGAATATATGCATTGTGTTAAGAGATATAACATTATTGTAGACAAGATTCTAGGTAGGCCAGTTTTAAACTCCAGGTTGGTGAGATATTTAGGTGCAATTCTTGATTGAGAAAATTCCACCTGGTTTTGTTTTGTTCCAATATCTGATTTTCAGGTCTCTTAATAATTGAGATATTTTGTGATAGCGAAAGAATTTGCTTTTGGAATTGTGGTTCTTGTTTGCTATTGCATGTGGTGCTTAATTGTTTGGAATGGTTGGGATGTCAACTGATAACTTTGAAAATGGGGATGGTCTTTGTAATTTACTTGGCATCTTCTGTCCGGATGCAACTTAGATTCTTCACTAACAAAGCATTCAATTCCCCTTGTTTGCAGAGGTGAAAAAGCATTTTGCAGCACTGAGTGCCGCGACAAACACATTAGAAGCGACGATCACAAAGAGAAGTGCAGATCTGAGGCAATAAAATCAATGGATTACTCTGTGTCACCCTGCTCTAGTCCGCTGGTCTTCTTGGCGGGGGTCGCTGTGGCATGAACATTTTTACAAACCTATATAAGTAAATAATAGAAAAGGATGGGAAATGTTATGAGAATAAAACTGGGTATAACCGGGATAAGACACGGTAGATAAAAATTGAGAGGGTTCAAGCAGGCAGTCCCTACAGTCATCTATTCAAATTGCCAGAATTTTTTTTTAAAGATTGGAGAAATTTTATTGAGAAGTTGTGAACTACTATGAACCTGAAAGAGAGACATTTATAGTTTGTATTGTATGAAATGCCAGTCATAATTGTTACAAGGAGCAACTGATGTTATGCTATTTTTTAAACTTTTTTTTTATTTTTTATTTTTATTTTTTAAAGTACAAGTGATTGGGGGGGTTTACACAAGTATTAATTGGGTGTCTGGTTTACACAAATATTCATTAAATGCATAGAAGTTTCAAATTTCCACTCGCATGGATTGAGATGAAAGAGCTCAACTAACTGGGCTATACTTTCCTACAATTTTTTGCGATTTAAAAAAAGTGTTATAACATGGGGCATGTTATTCGACGACAAAAAAAATAAAAAATTGGGGCATATTATGCACTTAGAGATGGGCTTATATTTTAATTCTTCTATAACGTCTACATCACTCGGTATTGTTATGTATATTTCCAACTAATAACTTTTTTTTATTAATCATAAAACTGTTTAAGATTTGCGTCATGGTTAGATCAACATATTTGTCATACACCAGAAGTTGAAAAGTAAAACCATCACTCGGAGTCCTTGAAATAAAAATCCAGATTATAGCAAAACCTAAAACAACCCTCTCATTCTACAAAGATTCGTATAATACTATATTACTGCTATCAAGAGTCACATTGCGACCCTAAATAGCAGCAATATAGTCACAATGAAGTATATAAGCCGAAAGTAATTTAGTAATATAATCACTTTGAGACTTTAATGCAGAGAGCTAGTACATTATGATCTTTAACAAAGAATCATGTTCAACTTAGCATCAAAAAACCCAAATAAAGTCGATAACAAGGAGGGAAAGCCAGAACTTCATTGAGCTCCAAGTAAAATCTAGTCCTCAACCTGCCAAATAGAAGTAAAATATAATCACTAAGTTAATTGTGTTGTTCAAAGAGTAACAGAGAATGATTGGAAAACAGATCTGAACAACCAAATCTATGTGCGGAAACTCTCTCAAAGAAAAAGGTCGACATATAAAAGACACTATTTTTCTTCTGCTTTCTTTTTTTATTATAGAAGACTATATTTTCTTTTCCTTTAAATGGATCAGTTCAAACAGTTTCACATTGGCTAAGCCATTAAACAATTTACGATTCAAGTGTAAGTAGTTAAACTTAAGCCCACGTATATCCCATACGCTTGCTCCACACTAAATTGTTGGCCAGTTTGACCCCAAAAATGTTGTCAACAGGAGCTCTGCATACAGTAGAAAACTAGAAAGCACTAGGCCACTCATGACAATACAACTTCATTTCCTCCAACACTAAAATTCATCCAACATTGTGAATGCTAAACGGGACAGGACAGATTGTTCATCCTGAATGGACCAGAGAAAGTGGTGTTCTTCAATAGTTCTGTTTCTTAGAATCAGCATACTAGTTTAACCCACATCCCATTTTACGAACTCATAAACCATTATACAATTGGAACACATCAACTCATATGTGACTCTAAATCACTGCACAAGTAGTCATCTAATGAATGTTTGTGTAAACCAGACACCCAATGAATATTTCCCCAGCATACGAGAATGATGATGTTTGCCTTCACACTACATCAATCTTATTCTTGTACTTTACTCTAACCAAACTTACTGAACTCAGACAACATCTAATTACTTTCATCTATCAATTTTCCAAGAAAAGCTCCTCTTAGACAATCTACCTTATGGCTCCACTTGGTGCCAATGGACCTTCCCTCTCTGAAACATCATAACAATGCACCATATCAATTTAGGCATATATTTGTAATCATGATCGAGATTCTGTCTATTCATAGATCATAACATCGGATACTCCACATTGGTTTTTTCTCCCACTCAGAAACAGACACAAGAGAAAGAGAATAACTTGACATAAAAATATGCTAATCTAAATTGAGAATGCTGCAATTGAATCCCACAATTCATGCCATATGCTTTGAGCTGTCTTTACTTTGGACAAATGTTCGCAAAGTTCAATCAGCAATTTCATCAAGACATGCACTTTATGACCAATACCCATTTAGAAAATCATTGGCATTGTTAAAACTCACCATCTATGCTTAACAATTGTCCTTATTTGAAATTATGAGAGGGGGTCTTGGGTAATAATTAGTTCTAACAAAATGGGATGAATGGGTCAAGAGCATTAGCATAAAACTATCAGAAATTCAACAAAATCACAAAAATAATACAAAATGAAATCAAATAAAACCATAACCTGAGCGGGATTCGGCTCTGATAAAGAACGCTCGAGGTTCACGATTCTACCTTCAAGAGCATCAAACTTTTGCTTCACCTACAAAAACCCCCAAAGAAAATGAAACTTGTAAGGAAAACGAGAGAGAGAGAGAGAGAGAGGAGAGAGAGAGAGAGAGAGTTGATGGGTTGGTAGGTTACATCAGAGGAAAGAGCGCAGCGGTCCACCAGAAGATCTTTCCAAACCAGGTGAGAAATCGAAGCTCCTGTCAACGAAAACCCAAGACCGAACCAGAGCAAACGAGTTCTTAACATATTTTGTGTTCTTTTTTGGGGTTTTGCGATTCACAGAAATGTTACGAGCTTTATGTTCTGATCAAGGCGAGGACGAATGTTTAATCACAAACATAGAGCGAGAGCTTCTAAAAAATTCCCAACACCTTCAAGAAAAAGACTATTTTTTGTTAACGATTATTTTTATTTTTATAATAAATAACTAGAGTTTTTAATATATAAAACAAAATGAATTTTGCACATATACCACCTGAATTATTAGGGGTGTGTGCATGCATTTATCACCTAAAGATAGCTTGTATTGATTCTTCGTAGCTAATGATTTTTTTGGCTGAATCCGATAACACATACGAAAAATTCAGTGTTTGAGTCACATTGATAACAGAAGGACATGTTATTATGAAAAATTCATAATGAATGGACATAAGAACAGATAGTAACCGAGAGACACGAAATCCTTAAAATTTTAGTTATTTTATTTTATTTCAATTTTAAGCTATTGACTATATAATTTGAACATCTTCTAAAACTGTTTCTTACGTTGGATGTTTGAATAAGGAACTTATTTTGTGAAATGCATTTTATTTAAGTTTTTGGTTTTAAAAAAATGTTTTATTTTTAATATTTACTATAACGGGTGAAACGTCAAAATGGTATTTTTCAGATTAAACCTAACAATGAAGGAAGCATCCTTGCTTAAACTTATGTATGGTGCGCAAAACAAGTTTGAACACCCAATTGAAACAGAACATATCAAAATTTCAAATGGAATTCTCATATTCAAGGCATGTCAAAGTTCCTGGTGCTATTAAAAATAAATAAATAAATAAAAAACAAGAACACAAATTAAATAACTAAAATACCAACCAAAAAAAACAAAAAACAAAAAAATGGTGAAGGATTTGCAGCTTTTCTAATGTGGTCGACTAGAGCAGATGGTAGCACTTGAAGCAGATGCAGCAGCTAGTTCTTTGGCACCAAATGTTGGGGCTGTAGGCACAGAAAGGGTATTAGTAAATATAACAAAAGTTCGATGAATAAAAACCTATCACAAGGGAATAAACAATAACCCACTAAAACGTAATGAAATCTGTTTTTTTGTTTTTAAATATAAAAATTATTGTGCAAGTAAAATCTCCACTTCATCTAATGATACAATTTCTTCAGAATGGGTAAGGTGACGTAATATATCAAATGCCAGATGCAAAGATAACAAACTCTCCAGGACTTACATACTGGATGTAGAGCTGAGTGTTAAATAACTTACGAAGATCCAAAGTTATTTGACTGATTAAACCTTTAAAACCCTAATCACCTAATTAGAGTTTGAAGCTTGTTTCTAGTTGACTTACTTCACCAAAAAAAAATGGGTAACACCTGACCCCCATTCACCATCCATAACCTTCACAAGAACCCATAATGAAAAATCAAAACCTAACCAGCAAAATTATGGTCAGGGTTAGCCTAGCTTCTTACCGCGGCGAGCTCCTCTTCATGCTTTGGAATAAAAGCGGTATCAACCTTCCCATTTTTGAAATCCTCTATATCAAGGATAAGTTTATGATATTCAATGGTTGTGGGAACCCCTGTGGAATAAAGGCAATAACTAAATTAACAGCCATGAATAAAGAGAAAAATATATCTAGCTAACTACACAGCCATCATGAATAAACAGAAAAATATATCTAGCTAACTACACTCACAGTCATGAATAAAGAAAAAATTGTACATTGAGAATATGAATTGAACTGACTGGAAACTTTAAACAAGAAATCAACAAATACAACTAAACCCCTCTATTTACTTTCTTTTTAGGTACAAGGAAGGGACGAAGCCTGGGCCTACTGGCCTACCCTTCTGTTCTATTGACAATGCTATCAATTGGCTCACACAAAGTACAATTATGCTGACACAAATAGTAAGTAAAACGGAAGGATTACAACAATGAACTTTATTACTTACCTGTTATAATAGTGTCGTCAAGAGCCCTCTTCATTCGATCAATTGCTTTTTCTCTTGTTGGTGCCCAAACAATAAGCTACATTAAGAGAGAAAAATTGTATAAAGGAGCCTGAAACCTAAAATTTATACTGTACATATGTATATGAGAAACCATGGCTAGCAACGGTATATTGGTCCACAAACCTTTCCAAGAAGGGAATCATAGTTTGGAGGAACCACATAATCAGGATAAACATGGCTATCCATTCTAACAAAGGGACCTCCAGATGGTAAGTAGGCAGTTATTCTTCCTGTAAAAAAGGCAAAAGATTACGTATGCTAAAGATAAAATGAGTACAAAATGTCATTGTTAAATCCAGTGCACGCACGAACGTAATAAAATCCATGGAAGCCTTGACTGCTGAACTAACTGGGAACCCATTCATCAGGGTTTAGCTGCACCCGGTAAAACCAATACAAGATAACAGAAATGACTGAGGGAACCAGAACATAGCTAGTACACATACCTGGCCCAGGTCGGAATCCTTTAAAAGCATCTTCTGCATTGATACGACATTCAATTGAGTGTCCTCTGAGCACTATCTCATCCTGTAGTGGAGCAACCTCCATCAGACATTGAACAGGAAGCGTCATATATGTCCTACCACAATTAATTACTAATTACCTGTGTGTATCGAAGTTTTTCTCCCATAGCTACACGAATTTGTTCTTCAATCAAGTCAACAGAGGAAATCATCTCTGTCACAGGATGCTCAACCTGTGGTTCCATCGCGGGAGAAAAAAAAAGTAATTTAGCATAACTAAGCAAAAAAAAATTTGCCAAACAAAGCCATCCTCGAAAGATTAGTTTAACCTGAATACGTGTGTTCATTTCCATGAAGTAAAAGGAGCCTTTTCATCCAAAAGGAATTCAATGGTTCCAACACCAATGTAACCAATTGATGCTGCTGCGGGGACAATGAAGTCCTTGGCCAATTGACGGAAATAAAGGCTTGGACCTGATTTATTAATGATTGCAAATGCAGTGGTGAAATCGGAAAAATTGAAATCATAGCGACCAAAATTGATTTCGAGCCAAATCGCGACCAAAATTGATTTCGAGCCAAATCGCGACCAAAATTGTAATTAACCCAAAAAATATAAGTCTTCTTAAGCATATGGCACGGACCCAAAACCGCCCTGCTGCCTAGGGTTTTAGAATGACCAGTAGAATTAGAAATTGATCGTGATCAAGATCTAAGAAGGGTCAAAAATGGTGTTACCTCTCTACAGCCTGAACACCCTCAGATTGGGCTATTCAATAGTTTCTTGTACATTTGTTTCCACAGCTAAAAGATTTCTTGTTGGAGACCTAAAACCCTCACACATTTCTCTTCAAAATCATCTACTTCACAGATCCATCACCTCAAAAATCTCAGCGGAACGACACGATTTCACGGTCGCTTACCTCATAAACTCATGTGGGTTGTCCCCAGATGGCGCAATTTCATCATCCAAGTGGGTAGAGTTGCAATCCTCACAAGGAGCAGACTCTGTTTTGGCCCTTTTTGAGCAAATATGGACTCTCTGAAACCCAGATCTCAAAGGTTGTCAGGTCACGCCCTGCTATTCTTGTAGCTGATCCTGAGAAAACCCTTTTGCCCAAGCTTGAGTTTTTCAGCTCTGTTGTAGTTTCAAGGGAAGACCTTGCTAGAATTATATGTGTTAATCCCCAACTTTTGTCAAGAAGCTTGGAGAATCATATTATACCCGCTTATAATTTTCTCAGGAGTCTGATTTCCGAGGAAAATGTAGTTGCTGTTTTGAAGCGCAGCTCATGGATTTTCCTGGAAAATCGCAGAAAGAATGTGGTCCCCAATATTGAGCTTTTGAGGGAATTGGGTATGCCCCAATCATGCATTGCTCTGTTGCTAGCTCACAACACTAAGGTCTTGATACACAAGCATGAAAAGTTTGCTGCAGCTGTGGAAGAGGTTAAGGCAATGGGATTTGATATGAAGAAATCAACTTTTGTGATGGCACTAAGAGCATTGTGTGGAGAGAGCAGTAAGTCCATATGGAATCGAAGCCGTGAAATTTACAAGCGGAGTTGGGGTTGGTCTGATGATGATGTGATTTCTGCTTTCAGGAGGAATCCACAGTGCATGATTCTGTCTGAGGATAAAATAATGCAGGGAATGAATTTTTTGGTGAACAAGATGGGATGGCCTTCAAGAGTGATTGCCACATATCCTGTGATTTTGTGTTTCAGTTTGGAGAAGAGAATTATTCCAAGGTGTTCAGTTGTTAAAGTTTTGCTGTTGAAGGGGTTGATAGATGAAGACTTAAGTTTGGCTTATGTGGTGTTGCCTCCAGAGCAGCCCTTCTTGGAGAGGTTTGTGATCAGATATATCAACCGATTACCTCAATTGTGGGATGTGTATCATGGAAAATTGGATGTCAAGGATGTGTGATTTTTTGCACCATACTAAAAGTTTTGTGTGCATAATGTTTCATTTACTTGACAAAGATGATCAAAAGAAATCCCATGAACAAAATATCTTTCATCATTCTTGGCATTTTCAATCGTTCCACATTTTCTTTCATATCGGTTTTCCTATGTAGAGTAAATAAGTTACATTTTCATCCACTAATGTGACAGGAATATAAATTAGACCATATTGAAACCTCATCAACATGTGAATTGGAACTGTAAGCGATAGATACAGAACCATGGTCGCGACATTTTTGATAGTAAGTGATTGATACAGAAGTGTAGGATTAACAACAGGAGATGAAGTTGCAGAGTGAGAATCAGAGGAAGAATCCGCCGTTGATGAGCAAAAGACACGAAGAATAGGAAGAAAAGACTGTTTGGGAGGTTAGAAAATGAGAGAGAGAAAGAAAATCACAGAATCAACCAGTCGTAAGACAATTGGCTCTGATACCATGAAGAACAATGTAAAACTTCTGAATATTCTCATTCATTATTGAATAATGATTACAATACACAGATAGCTTAGCTAACCAAGCTGTACAAGCTTAACAGATACACTAACTAAACTTAACCACAACTGGTATTGATTAAACAAACTCTTAACAGAAAAGAGGGAAGCATCTGCTAGCTGTGAGGTGCATGGTAGAATTGTATAGCTGCAGAATCAGTTGCATTTGATGATCTCTCTACATGTTGAACAAGTCTTGTTTAACCGGCAATTAAATTTTTGTATGAAACTTGAAAGCTGCAATATTTGCACAGGAAACGCATGTGATTGATCGGTTTGCTCTTGTAATGTGTAAAAAGAGTGTAAAGAACAATTGTTCAGTTGAAAACATGCCTTGAGTTTGAGGATTTCAACCCTTTTGGCAAAGGGCATGGGAGGCATAGAGCCCTTTTGTTTGTTCTGTAAACAATCATAATCTTTAGTTTTTGCATAAAATCTCATTTACGAATATTAGTGTTGAAGAATGTAAAAATAAGTGAGTCTTTCTAGCACTAATAACCCAAGCCAGTATTTGTTTTTTCTTCCCGGGAAACATAAGCAAGTTATTTTAGTGGTTTATTTGGCACATTAGATGTAATCTGTAGTTTCTGTTTGGGTTAAATACCTTTTTGCTCACTAGGTTTTACACAAAAATTCAATTTGGTCACTGAGAAATTTTTTAGCCAAATTGGTCACTGTGTTTTCCAAAGTTTACAATTTATAGACATTCAGTTATCTTCCATTAAATGCAGTTTTTATTTAATTTCTTTAGGAAGCACATTCAGTCTTCTTCCTCTAACTAAACGAGTTAGGGTATATTGTGCTATTAGGGTTTAACAAATTGCAGGAAATCTTGGATTGAAATCAAGATTATGAATTATAAGGTCATGGATTGGATGCTATATTGAAGTATGAATTGATTTAGTGAGAATCTTATTGTGACTTTGGATGACAATCAAGGTGATAGAGCACCAAAATATGTTGGTAAGTTGTTGATTTCATTTTAATTTGGTTTGGCATTTTGATTTTCCTTATACCTCACAATTTTGATTTCAACCTAAGATTTCCTCCAATTTGTTAAACTCTAATATCCCAATATACCCTAACTCGTTGAGCTAGAGGAAGAAGACTAAAAAAATAACAATAAAAACTACACTTAACGTAGGAGAGCGGAATGTCTCTATAAATTGTAAACTTTGAGAAACACAGTGACCAATTTGACTAATTTTTTTTTCTCGATGACCAAATTGGATTTTTGTGTCAAATCCCAAAAAAGTTTTTGTTTTTTAATCTCTACCTCTATTTTCTTTTAATTATCAATTTTAATTTTAATTTTTTTTTGGTGGTGAGGAGAGGAGGAATCAAACTATCTCGAGTGGAATAGTAACTGCGAAACCAAAACATTCAAAAAGAAACTGTGGTCAACTTTTCACATGTGCTCAATTATTTACCTCTCTATGTGTAACTTAGTGTAGGGGCTTTTTTGTTCCAGCAACTACAGATGGGCCTGAGCTGCTGTAAAAAGCAAATGGCTGGAGTTGCCCCTATGTCTGAGTTCAAGAATCAAGCCCCAAGAGTGCTTCGACAAGTTCGTGGAGCCTTAGGGAGCACTTTGGTTTCTTTCACCAACAAAACCAATAGCTGCTTACAGACCAATATTTTGGCTTGGCATGAGAAGCTGGTGGCATAGAACTTGAGCATACATGAGTTTAGCATTAGAGAGAGAAAGCTTGGATTTCCTATGAGAAATAGGGGTTCAAAGCAAGGAGAGAGGGAATTTTGAGAAGATTTTTTGAGGGAAAAGAGGAAAAGATGACGGTGGAAGAATGGGTGACTTGAGCAAATTTCCAGCCACTTGACGAAAGCTTCGTCACGTTCTTGGAGGGTTTGCTAGAGGAGAAAAAGGAAGGAGATGGGAGAACATAGCTCGAAATTGAAGGGTTCCAGCAGTAAGGGAGGGTGCTTGCTTGCTCTGGATGTGGTTGGTTTTGCTGGGTAGGAGATGCCCATTTTTATAAGCGCTGGAAGCCCCCAATTTTATCAAGTCTTCTCCTCCATTTTTCTTCACTTTCTTCCATACAATCCTCTTTGGTGAAACTTTCCCAGCCTGAGCGCATAGGCACGAAGCCTTTTGGAGTTCCAAGATTTTCACGCGGTGGGGCTCCTTCATGTGGGTGAGGTGTCGCTTACTTTTCTTCCTAGTTTTCCTATTAGAGTGGCTTGGTGCAAAAATAAGGATTTTCCGCTTAATGTCGCCTGTTATTTGGTGTGCTTGTGCTCGAGTTTTGTTGTATTGTAAAAGGCTATAGCGAGGCCAAAATGGAACTTGATGGGATAATAAGCATGGGTTAGTAGAGCCAGTAAATTTTATGGGCTTGTCACGACCTTTTGGCATGGCGGTTTATGTATTTGCTTGGAGTGGCACGTGGTGCGAGCGCGTACGATGAACTCTTGCGTACCCAAATCGGGTTTCTTCTCAGTAAGGTGTTGTACTGGGCAGGTAATATATTTGGGCTAAGCCTTGGATTTTTTGGGCCTCAACGCTAAGTAAAGTTCTAAATGGGTAGGTGAATTACCTCTACTATAGTCTATATGCCCCAATTATTTACCTCGATGTGCTCAATTAATTACTCCTTAATTATGAAGTACGTAGGTAGAGAAATATTTTTGTTCACTATTTTAACTCAAGGTGTATCCTCTCCATCATTCTCAACACTTGACACGTGTCCATAGGCCTAACCATAGTTAACTCTTTGCTTTGTATTTGTGGAACCATAGTTATGTTAATGGACAAGTGTTAGGTGTTGAGAAGGGTGGTGATGATACAGTGGTGAGCAAAAATGTTGTATACAGATCCATTTCACTGTATTCCTTGGTGCCATTTGGGTTTTCAGTATAAATTAAAAAATATATGGGTTAATTACAATTTTGGTCACTAGGGTTTTGCTCGAAATCAATTTTAGTTACTGCGATTTCACTTTTCCTAATTTCATCACTGTACTTGCAATCGTTAACAAATCAGGTCCAAGCCTTCAAATTAAACAAAATTTTATAATCAAATATATAAAATCTTATATATATATATGGGACGGATCCGTGGCACTATGTTTTTTACACAAGTTTTGACACAATTTTTGAGCCATTAGATTATTCCACTTTTAATGGTTGAGATTAAATCTGACATGACAAATAGTTTTAATGTTTTAAATAAACAATCATTAATTTTATTTTATCTCTCATAAAAATAAATAAAATAATTTTCTTTCTCCTCCCTTTTTCTTGGAAACGTAATCTCTTTTCTTGGTAGTATCATTTTTTACTTGGTATATACCTCTCTCTCTTTCTTGGGATCAGAAAAAAAAACCTCCATCTTTTTTCCCCCTCTCTCTCTCTCTCTCTCTCTCTCTCTCTCTCTCTCTCCAGTATGAATTCTCTACTCCATTTTTATTCCATTTTCATTTTTCTTAAAACTAATACGTTTTGAGGGATCCCTTAAATAGAAGCTCTCTGTATATTATATATGTAATTCAAGTAGTTATGTATTCAGTATCTTATTTGTGCATTTGTTCGTAGTCAACAATTCATTGGTTTTAAGTCTATTCATACTTTCTTTTTGTTTTTAATTATGATTTGCATATGTTGTATGACAAGAAGCAATACATGAAGAACGCTATCACCGCCAACTACAGTAGTCAAGAATTTATGGTTGCAATTTTTAAAACCGTCATCCTCTTATCCTTATTCTCGATGATCCAAACGTAGAGTGATTTGGTGATTGAAAAAGCAGTCCCCGTGTTAGAGATGCAGTGATTTTCAAACGGAGAAAATAAAATATTTTTTAGAGATGCAGTGCAAAAAGTTTATGCCGAACAATATAACCTTTATTGGTGTTTTGTCTGCTTGTAACCATTGTGGTCTGGTAGAGGAAGGGAAAAGATGGTTTAAAGAAATGGAGGGCTTTGGGCTTATCCCCCAAATTGAGCAATATGGTTGGATGGTTGATCTTTTGGGAAGGGCAGGATGCTTGGAGGAAGTCGACAAATTGATTGAGAGAATTCATAAGTTGGTTTGCAGTTACCGAAGAGAGAGAGAGGGAAAAAAGATGGAGGTTTTTTTTCTGATCCCAGTAAAGAGAGAGAGAGAGAGAGAGAGAGGTATATACCAAGTAAAAAAGGATACTACTAAGAAAAGAGATTACGTTTCCAAGAAAAAAGGGAGGAGAAAGAAATTTATTTTATTTTATTTTTATGAGAGAGAAAATAAAATTAATGATTGTTTATTTAAAATATTAAAACCATTTGTCATGTCAGATTTAATCTCAACCATTAAAAGTAGAATAATCTAATGGCCCAAAAATTATGTCAAAACTTGTGTAAAAAACATGGTGCCACGGATCCGTCCCCTATATATATATATATATATATATATATATATATATATATATACACAGTCCCCTTCTATTGAGGGATCCCTCAAATAATTTTATTTGAGGGATGCCCTTTAGGGTACCCTACAATTTTTTTTTCCAATGATCCAAACTATATAGTTTTTAGGTCTTCATTCATAGATCATTCTTACAAAAAATTAGACAAATCAGAAATCGTTTCGACATCCAATTGTGTCTTACAAAATCAATGAACACGGTGCTTCAAGAAAGTACTAAAATTTCAATAACTCAATTGAGTGGTCAAATGATATCGGATTCAAGTGATTTTTTGTAGAGATGATCTTTGAATGAGTATCTACAAACTAGACGGTTTAGATTAGTGAAATACAATCCATAGTGGGGCCTACAAGAGGTGTCCCTCAAATAAGCTTATTTGAGGGATCCCTCAATGGAAGCTCTCTGTATATATATATATATATATATATATATATATATATATAGCAAAACCACCCCCATCCCCAATGTAACCCCACCCCATCCTAACCTCTCGACCATATCCACCATTGTCGTTGGTAGCCATGAAAGCAAACAAATATTCTATTAACATTGACTTTGAGAAGAAGAACCCATGTGAATTGCTTTATTTCTCAAAAAACACAAATGAATCCAAGCCATTAACCTTTAGTGCAAAGCTGTCAGGCTTCTCTCTCTCCTCCAAAATTGATCAAGATAGCCCACCCTAAAACCCAGCCTCCTCCTCCTCCGTCGAACCCAGCTGCCACCTCTGTCATAATTCTTCTCTCTCTCTCTCTCTCTCTCTCTCTCTCTCTCTCTCTCTCTCATCTGGACTGTATGACATTGGATTTAGGGGTGGGTTGGGGTTGTCAGAGAAGATAGCCATAAAATAGCAATTACTGTACCTCAAGATTGGTAGATTATGGAGAGAACATGGTGGTCCATCATATTTGTAATTTGCAAAGTGTGTGTTAATATGAAAATTGTATTGGCATTTCCTAGACTCTAAGTATAGGTTGGGAATTAGTATGTGAATATCTTTTACTGGAAGTTTTGGCTCAATACATTCAGTCTTTGATTTTCGAAGTATGACGTGATTGATATGAGGAACTTGATTTCAGGTAAATCACGACATAATCATGCATTCATTACAGGATTCCTAGTTATAGTTATTTTCACTAAAGCACTTTTATGTTAACCCTATTTTTAATAGAATTAGATTCTATTTCTTGAGATTACTTTTCTAGTTGGACTCTATTTTGGTTTAAGTAAAAATATCCTTTTTCATATTTGACTTGGAGAGCATGTTTCATTTAATACCAATATTGTTTCATTCTGTAAACAATTGGGATTCTAAGAGACGAAATTAGTTAGAGGGAAAACAATTGGGATTATTATTTTCCTAAGAGATGAAAACAATTGTTTCCTTCTATAATATTGTTTCCAAATTGGTTTCAATGTTTCTTTGTTAGAGTGAAAGTCATAGAGCTGACGAAATCAATTAGGATTCTAAAAGTGTCAAATCTAATCTATGGCAAGATATTGATTCGTGGGTTTTTACAAAAAGAGGAAAAAGTTATGTATAAAACAAAAAAGAAGCTTTCCCATATTTTGTTTGAGCATATAAAATTCTTAAGGTGCATATATTTGAGATAAATCATCAAGTGTTTTATGTTTACTTGGTAATTTATCAAACACTTTAATCATTAATTTGCATTGTTCGGTGACTCATATGGTTGAGGGCACCAAGACCGTGGTGGCGGTTTTCCTCTGGCAAGCTTGAAGTAATTGTGACCAGTATTGAGTTCAACATAAGGAGTGTCGAAGATCATCCCGTGACAGAAGATGAATTACGAAGAAGTCGGTAAATATTATTTAGAATGTGTCCAGGATAAGTGCGTAAGCACTTCTTGTAATCATCGTTCTATAGTGGATTTGTGTTAGATTAAGGAGTCTCGTGGATTTTCCCTATATGTGGGGTTTTACCACGTAAAATAATTCTCTGCGTGTTTCTTTGTTTTATGTTTAGCACGTTTTAGAATTGATAAGCCATATCAATCTTGTTACCGAAGTTTAATTGATATTGAACATTTGGGATTTGATGGAGTTTTAATATGAAAGCTTCATGTTCATTCTTTGTCTTATAATTCATATTAAACACAACCTTTTTTTATTTTTTATTTACGAAAGGACAATAAAGTTCTTGTCCAATTGAGGGAAATGAAGGCTTGGACCTGATTTGTTAATGATTGCAAATGCAGTGACGAAATCGGAAAAATTGAAACCATGGTGACCAAAATTGATTTCGAGCCAAATCGCGACCAGAATTGTAATTAACCCAAAAAATATGTGTCTTCTTAAGCATATGGCACGGACCCAAAACCGCCCTGCTGCCTAGGGTTTTAGAATGACCAGTAGAATTAGAAATTGATCGTCATCAACATCTAAGCAGGGTCAAACATGGTGGTACCTCTCTACAGCTTGAACACCCTCAGATTGGGCTATTCAATAATTTCTTGTACAATTGCTTCCACAGCTAACAGATTTCTTGTTGGAGACCTAAAACCCTCACACATTTCTCTTCAAAATCATCTACTTCACAGATCCATCACCTCAAAAATCTCAGCAGACCAACACAATTTCACAGTCGCTTACCTCATAAACTCATGTGGGTTGTCCCCAGAAGGCGCAATTTTATCATCCAAATGGGTAGAGTTGCAATCCTCACAAGGAGCAGACTCTGTTTTGGCCCTTTTGAGAAAGCATGGACTCTCTGAAACCCAGATCTCAAAGGTTGTCAGGTCACGCCCTACTATTCTTGTAGCTGATCCTGAGAAAATCCTTTCGCCCAAGCTTGAGTTTTTCAGCTCTGTTGTAGTTTCAAGGGAAGACCTTGCGAGAATTCTGTGTTTTAATCCCCACCTTTTGTTAAGAAGCTTGGAGAATCAGATTATACCCGCTTATAATTTTCTCAGGAGTCATATTTCCGAGGAAAATGTAGTTTCTGTTCTGAAGCGCAGTTCTTGGATTTTCCGGGAAAATCGCAGAAAGAATGTGGTCCCCAATATTGAGCTTTTGAGGGAATTGGGTATGCCCCAATCATGCATTGCTCTGTTGGTAGCTCACAACACTGAGGTCTTGATACACAAGCATGAAAGGTTTGCTGCAGCTGTGGAAGAGGTTAAGGCAATGGGATTTGATGTGAAGAAATCAACTTTTGTGTTGGCACTAAGAGCATTGTGTGGAGAGAGCAATAAGTCCATATGGAATCGAAGCCGTGAAATTTACAAGCGGAGTTGGGGTTGGTCTGATAATGATTTGGTCTCTGCATTCAGGAAGAATCCACAGTGCATGACTATGTCTGAGAAGAAAATAATGGAGGTAATGGATTTTTTTGTGAACAAGATGGGATATTCTTCAGGAGTGATTGCCACATACCCTTTGGTTTTGTGTTTCAGTTTGGAGAAGAGAATTATTCCAAGATGTTCAGTTTTTAAAGTTTTGTTGTTGAAGGGGTTGATAGATGAAGACTTCAGTTTGTGTTCTGTGTTGTTGCCTCCACCGCATAAGTTCTTGGAGAGGTTTGTGACCAGATATATAAACCAATTACCTATTTTGTGGGATGTGTATCATCTGAAATTGGATGTCAAGGATGTGTGATCTTTCTGCACTGTACTAGAAGTTGTGTGTGCTTAAGGTTTCATTTATTTGATAAAGATGAACAAAATATCTTTCATCATTCATGGCATTGGCATTGGTTCCACATTTCTATCATATTGGTTTTTCTGTGTAGGGTATAAATATAAAAGTTACATTTTCATCAACTATTGTGCAGGTCACTGGAATATAAACTAGACCATATTGAAAACCTCATCAAAATGTGAGTTAGAATTGTTGGGACGGGCTTAAACTAAACCTGGTTGAGCCCTTTAAAAAAAAATACCGAATCCAACATGTTATTCATATTTTGCTGGATTTAAGTCATTTGTTTGGTTTTGCGACCCCCAAAGTCATTCGTTTGTTTGTTTTTACTCAGAGAAAATCAAATCGAATCAAATCACACTTCGTTTGGCAGCCATGCCAAATTTTATGCATGTATATAAACGGTAGTTAGAGCAGTGTTTCTATAATGTGGGTAACCACAAGTGCGGGATAACCACTTTTTGCCTTGCTGATCAACAGGTACTGTCTATGCCAATCGATCGACGGTGCAAAAAGAGGTTATCCGCAGTTTACTGTACCATAGAAAACCTGCGGTATAGAGCCCACTTTCTTGGTAAGACTTGGTAAGAAGACAAAACCTTCAATTCAACTAAGACTAGTCGACACTTTACATTTTAACCTGTTTGCCAATAGTTTCCACCTAAAATAGCCTCATAAGTCATTGCTTCATTAAACCATCAAACATTTCATATTTGAGATAGCGTGTAAAGTTGCTTCTAACTAAGGTAAACTTTAACCATCACCTTATTACATGTAAAGGAAAAAAGAAAAAGAAAAAGAAAGTATAAATGGAGGGAGAATAAACAATAAAAAATATGAAATCAAATTAAATACATGATGAGCTTTTATGTTTAAAATTTATTCAGACTTTCTCTGCAGTTGATGAGATGAAGAGCCAGCGGACTTGAAACTGGGGATTTGAAGCAAAAATCAGCAAACTTTATTTCCATATTTTAACGGATTTGTCGTGACTAGTAGAGGCGACCATTCCTGTGACTGGTGACTGTGCTAAAGCTGATATTACACCCTCATGAGCCTGAATGGTCATACACTTATTCTCAGCCATGTTCCAGAGCTCCAATGACTGCAAGCAAATTTAAAGAAAAAAGCAGCATTAGCATCCTATAACATACATCAGAAAAAGAAAACTCAGTCTCAATGGTTTACAGAACGGATGTTCTCTCAAGTTAAATTTGGAAGAGGATAAGAAAGTCCACTCTATTTTACATAGCATTTGGCCGACAGATCACTATGGAATTGTTCTATTTCCATGTGATGTCTTGATGCAATATAATTGTGGCCAAACAACCTACAAGAGTTTATTTTTATTTCTAAGTGGCCGCTGACCAGGCAGTTCTGAGAAAATAATATTCTAAATATTTCAAACGTAAAAGAATTCGTGTGCAATCCAATTTTTCATTTCACGTCACCAAAACAAAGCAAAGTTTACCTGGTAGCCTCCAATGACCAAGAGAGTGGAGTAGCTTGGATGGAAAACACAAGAATGGAACATGTTTCCACTGGGACTGAGTTCATGAATGCACTCTCCAGAGGATAATGACCACACTCTGACAGACTCTTGACTGACAGATGCCAAATAATCTCCATTTGTATCCCAGCAAAGAGAGTGTACCTCTGTGGAGTGACCCTGAGATTCAAAACATTGTGCTTTACGATCAGTAACATATCAAAACATAACCTACTTTTCAGACTTGATTGATTAATGAAACCTTTAAGTTTCATTGAAATTAACAATTGCGAATCATACCTGCAATGAATGTGTCTGCCTGTCACTCTCAGCATCAAATATAGACACAACATTTCCAGATGCAGCAGCAAGAAACTGTCCAATTCTTGGCTGGAATCTCACCTGTGCTGAGCCTCCCTGGATCATTAAATGACTGATATTTAGAACAGAAAATAAACAAAAATTAATCATGAACTTCAAACAACTAAAGGAGAGTCCCAATAATAACCTTAGAAACGCGAGTGCAAGAATACTGATTGATATTCCAAAAGCGAATCTCATTGTTAGCATCACAGGAGCAGAAAAGGTCATTCTTCTTAGGATGGAAATCAAGTGACATTACATGTGAGGTATGCCCTGTATATGTCTGTAAAGGATAGTTTGGCTGCAAAAATGAACTCAACCCTTTAGAAACCCAAAATAATAAAATGAGCGGAAAGGAATAAACTAAATATAAGTGCCCTTTATAAATGCAGACCAAAAACTTCACTGGTGATAAAGAAAAAGAAAGTCAGGAAATTCTTGATTACACATGTCAAATACAAGCACCTAATGCATACTATGTTCGGATATTCCAGCACATAAATGGACCTGATGCCATTGATAACATACAAAATATAAAGAAGTAGAAGCTATAAAATAATGAAAGCAGAAGTCAAAAGAGAGGTCAAATATCTCTCTCTGAAGGTAGATTATAATGACAATGTTGTAAAATATACAGTATCTTATATACCATATCATGTTTGAAAGTTCAAATAAGTGAAAATCCATTCTTAGCATTCATGTTACACTTTAAATAACACTGATCATGCTTAGCTGACTATCCTGGGACATACATGGGCCAAAACAATATATAAATCTGAAAAATTTTAAACCTACGCCTTATCACACCATTACCTAAATTCCATAGTATATTAAAAAATCTTGAGTCTCCTCAAATTGAATTTACAAACTAGCAAGATTGTCATAATGCATGTCATCAATAAGACTATCCAGTTAGACAACCTCACACATTATATTGTAACAAAACTATGATTCCTTTGAGAAACAATAAGCATTCATGAACAAGCATAAAAAAATGAAGAAGTTGCCTTGCCAACTATTTTGAATAATTATTTCAGTCGGGGTCCAGATATTTAATTGAGAATAAATCAAAACCAGAGGAAAGGAAACCAAAAAATGTTTATGGAAAATGCATTTGGCAACATTAAAAATGAAACAGAAATGGAAGCACATAATTTACTTCAGCAGCATCCCAAAGTCGCACAGTTGTGTCAAATGAAGAAGTTGCCAACTGAGTTGAATTTGGTCTAAATCGAACATCAGTAATTATCAAGGAGTGCTCCTCTGGTGTGCTTTCAGTTTGCAGTGTTTCCATATTCCAGACAACAACCTACTGACATGAAAAAACGAAAGAAAATCATTCACATCATTCCTTTTCTCATTAATATTGAAATTTGGATAACTTAGGATTGTTTGAATCAATTGAAGTCACTAATTTATTGAATTCCAAAGTAAAAGTTTCAGACCATCTGAAAATAGCATCAATCTAAAAACCAGTTCTGTTACAATTATCAGATAAGAATTACCTAAACCCAATTAGTAAATCAATTATTTAGCTTACAACAAGACTTGAACTTGCGCTCTACCCCTTCCCCATCCAACCCCAATGCCACCTGAGTTGGAGTTTGCGCAACTATAGCACCATGGAAGAATCAGGAACACCACAGATTCTCTACTCATATATACCAGTTCTTCCCCTATGTGGACGTTCGGAAGTTATTCCCATGCCGATGCCATTGTAAACAAGGAGGAAAGGAGTTAGGAGTGGTAGAAAATACATGGTGTCCGTACAGTAATAACTTCTGGACGTCCGCAAAGGAGAATATCTGCGCGCACACACACACACACACACACACACACACACACACACACACACACACACGCGTATATGTGGGTTTTCTTTCCCAAATAATCCTGCCTTGATTGCACAGGTAGTTAAACCCACAATCAACACACACGTATATGTGGGTTTTCTTTCCCAAATAATCCTGCCTTGATTGCACAGGTAGTTAAACCCACAATCAAAAAGTGTTTTACCATTGATCTGCATTTTCCCCATAAGACATTATCACACACATCTTACTATGTAAAATGAATGCCTTGCCTCCAGTTGGAAATACTATGTGAAACTGGAAAAAGGCCATTCTGGGAGAACTTTATAAAATCGCAATCATACAGAGCCAGTGACAATGCATATACGCCAAAGCCATTCAACCATTTTGGTAAAGGGATCTTCAGGGATACAGCGAATTCTGGTATCAATCTATTTTTTTCTTACATGCACCTCACTAAATCAGTGTTAACTTCAAATTTTATCACAAATATGGGGTGTAACAATCAGTAGAGATGCTTTGTTTTAGATAAATAATCAAAATAATCAGAATGGCTTTCCCCGGAACTAAGTCATAACATATTTCCTTAAGTATCTTCTGGACCAAAATAATACAAGTCAGTAGTAACTAGTAACAGCATCATTCATGTGAAGCATAAATGAATAAACACTTTACAACATTATAATAAAGTAATACTAGGCTGAACAAATTTTTGTACCACATTTCAATACAATAATGTGGCAAGTGATTTGTACAAGCAACATCCAAAGAGAGAAAATCATTAATTGACATGGCATGTACACATTATTTGCCACATGATCTGGTATTTCAATATGGTGCAAAAATGTGGTGTCTCTAGCATTATTGTTCACCCAGTATCTTTAGAAATTGTAATTCATTCCCTAGAGGGAATTATACCTTCTTGTCATGCCCAGCACTGGCCAACAGTTTTCCCTCTGAAGAGAAATGACAACAGACAACTTTGCTACTACTTTTACGTATTGAACCAGCTTCACTGAAGGAAAAACCTGAGTTAAAGAGAAAAAGTCACTGCTGCAGTCAGTTGGATCAATTAACACTGTACTTAATAGCAGTAATCTTGGCTGCAATGAATTTAGCAAGATTGTCTCTTGGGTTTTGGCATAAAATAGTTATTAGCAAGAAATAAGGCAGCTAGCAATGAATTCAGGTTAACATCACCTGGAAAAGACCATGAAGGAAGACTGACCAGAAAGTACACGTTAGAAGGTCAAGGAGGGAAGAAAAAAATATCTACCACTAAATGGTGCAATCGGCCAAGTAACCAAGACTCTGGTTCTTGCGGTGCAGGATATTGATGCCCCGGAACCAAAATACCCAATTGTATTGTGGACCCATTGGTTCGTGGTGAACATTCAACCAGTTTTGGAGCGTATCCCAAAGGGCTTCTCTCTGGGAAAGAAGAGGAGGTAGGTGGTGATAATGCTGGGATAAAAAACACACATGGTCATAGGTTCCTTCTGTAATAAGGTTCCTGGGTTGCATGGACCCAAGTTGCCACGCATGATCCTAGTTTCAAGTTCAAGCTCTATGCTTTGGATGATGAAACACACCTTGGCAACAAGGTGACGAAGGAGAAGCTGTTAGAGACAATTGACGGCTAGAAGAGCAGTCATGATGGCCACATTTTTAGGCTAATACCATTAGTTGTTTGGATATCATGAATCATGCATCTTTGACCATGCTATCAATGAACATTTAACAAATTTAGGAGAAAAAAACATTTTCAAACATGAAATCATCTATACCCTTTGAAGCTTCTGCAGAATGTGCAGGGTTCCGTTTCAATGTGCCAAAAAGATCCCTTCCATCTCCATCATCAGGTGATAAAAAGGATTCCACATTATCTTCTAAGGAGCCAACATCTCCAAATTGTTCAATGTCATCCTGCAATTGAAAAAATGATTCAACAAAGACTTTTTAAATTTAGTGGGGAAAATCTGTCTCGAAGCAAGCACAATTTGCTAGAGTGGTCCCATTAGATAAATCAGGTAGCAGTCACAGATTGGAGCCATTAATCTCAAGCACCCCAATTGGACACGATGTTAAAAGTACAAATAGTTATAACTTATAACTTATGCATGGATAATAAAATGGATATGTGTGGAAATGAGAACTTCGGAGATAAAATTTTGCAGTCAAACACAAAGTATAGCACATTTAATTATATGAGATTCAAAAACCTCAGATGATAAGAAAATACGTGTCTTGCTAGTAACTTTGTACACACAACACCTTTATCAATTCCACATCCATTGAAACATGGACCCAGCTAATAAACATAATCAAATAATTAGGAGCATCAAATTTCCCTTTTCCATCCTTCACACATGGTTTTAAATCAAGATATTATTGGAAAAGGTATGAAAGTAATTAGTAATTGCTTGTTCCAATTAAATGTCTACGGTGAAGACTATTGCTTTTTTGGATCCTAATGATTTTACTTGCAAGGAATGTCATGTCTTATGGAGTTCTGAGCATTCAGATTAACCCTCCTGTCTGTAGATAACGAAGGTTAAACATCTAAATTTTACGTACCAGCTGGTTTGTGGACGATGCAAGGCCACCAGTTCCATCTGCGCCATACATCATAATACTTTTCGGAACGCTACTGGCATTTGGCAAATTACCAGCCATAGAAACTCCGTCTCCAGGGGTATGGGTGGATGGTGTTGATGGTTGAGAGTTGGGTGAAGGACCAATTGTATTTCCTGTACCAGTACTGTTAGCAGCTCCAGAGGAAGAAGGCCCTTTCCTCTTGCGGCTATTCTATTACATGATAAACGGCCATTAGTAAATAATCTAATATATATATATATATATGTGTGTGTGTGTGTGTGTGTTTTAGTATAGTATCAATTTGGTTCATAGAAAAGCTCAGACATAATTAATATTCAAACATGTGACCTCAATTAAAAATTTAGCTTATAGCAGTGAAGGGAAAATAAAGGACTTGACATCACTGTATCAACAAAAGCAAGCACAACCTGTTGTACTTGCTGAGGCTGCAAAGGATCCTGTTGTTGTTGAGAAGAAGAGTGTTGCATCTGTGACATGTTTATCTGATTGAAACACAGCAAAATTAAGAGAAACGTCATCATTATGTCTGTTTTAAACACACCAAAGGTTCTGGAAAAATCATCACAAAGAGTAGTTACTCTTAACCAACCATATGACTTATAAATCATTAGCCCTAGAGATGTTCTTTTATACACCTATACTAAGAAAACCCAAACCTTATGCAGCAGCAATCCTATATATTCAACATAAAAGTGCATAGGAGGACCTATAGAAAGATATAACATTTATAATCAAGAAGGAGGACCAATCTTGCCAAGCTTGTGAATAACATCTTACCTTCGATGAAGTTGACTGCATAGGAGAACCTATAGATCCATTATTTGTGATTGGCTGACCATCTTTGGCATTTAAATTTCCCCTAGGAAATCCCCTCATATCTCCATAGATAGGTGAGCTACCAACATTTCCTTGTGCCTGAACCTGTGCTAAAAGCTGTTGTTGTTGCTGCGAGAGAAGCTGAAACTGAGTTGCACCTTGCAGAAAAGGCTTTTGAACTTGAGCACCTAAACCTGGCCGCATTTGGTCAATTCCCTGTATTGGCACATGCCTCAGTTAAAATCGTCGGACCAGTCATATTTACAACATGAATCCCTAAGACACATGAACTTCAGAATACAACTCACAGTTAAAGGCCAACCCTTCAACGGAAGACCACCAACTCCTGGGTTCAATCCTGTATTCCAAAGAAAGAAAAAATAAAAATAATTCTTTTAACAATAATTAGAAAATTTAACAGGAAATTTTAAAAATATGACTTCTCAGGCATCTCCACAAGCATATTGCACAGCGACCCAGTTTGACACAAACAAAAGAACATTACTGAACTCCTGGGCTCAACACTTACATCCCCACACTGTTTCTAGAGTGGATGTTTGAGCACCAAGGCATGCCAACTAAGGAGCTAGCCTAATATTCAGTGCGATGAGGAACAGTCACCTGGCCTTGTAGGTACATTCATTTAATTTTACACGGAATAGCATTTTAACATTTTCCTTCTTTGATTTTCTTTTTATTTGGTTGCAGCGGGCATGGTCTATAGCTATAAACTCATTTTGAGCATAACTTTATTTTTTTTCATCACAAAGTTTAGCTTTGACATAACAAATATGCAATAGCATAAAAGATAATCGCACTTTAAGGTATAGGAGAGACATAAATAGAAAGGTCATTCTCAAATTACAAGACATTTACCTAATAGAAAGGTCAAAATATTATTTAATCTGAATTATACCTCATAAATTGTAGATTGGTGTTAGGAATGATGTGGAAGGAAACAAAGAAAGTAGGAAAGTGAGCATAAACAAACATAACAAAATCAAGATGCTTTTAATCCTTCCCCTGTCTGGTAGACAACATAAAATTCTATGCCTCTATTTTGATTCTTAAATTCTTTTAAGAACCAGGAAGTCATACCTGCATTCCCCATTCCTGGTTTTGACTGCATCATGCCCTGCCCATAAATTGAAGAATCCATAGGCAAAGATCTCTGAGCAGTGCCCATGTTAACTTCACTCTTTATGTCCTACAGACAAGGAAGAAGCAAAGCTTTACTAAAATTAGAAAGAAGGAAAGGAAGAAAACAGTACAATTAGTGTTGTATAAGTAGTTACTGTGGTCTGTTGACTTCGAGCCTGGATTTGTTGTAATGCCGCATTAACACTACCAGGGTTTCCTTGAACCATCTGACTGTATTAGCAAATGACCAAGAAAAATTAACTACCAAAATAACTAAATATCAGAAAACTGTGAAAATATGATCTTCCAGTTGCTTACCCAGGATGGTTTGTTGATTTCAGAAGGGCCACTCTAGCATCAAGGAGTGGTTGGGATGTCTCTGAGTCAATTGGATTGGGGTGTTTCACACGTTCCTCATACATTTTTGCTGCCAGTGCACTAGCAGTAGATTGCCCAAGCATTCCTTCAGAGCTTATTGAATTTAATGGACCACCAAGGGGAGGATGATTAGGATCCCTTCGTTGCATCTGAGCTTGGCGCATTAGTTGCAACTGCTGAATTTGCAGCTGTTGTTGCTCTTTTGCTTTACCTTGTTGTGCCTGCAAATCAAGAAAATAGGAGTGCACAAAGAGGTCAGTTAAAACATCAGCATAAGTAGCACAATTAACCTAGCGGCCACATCTATAGCATTAAAATTGAAACAGTCACCTCTATATAAGCTGCGGCGGCCTCAGAATGTTTATCATTTGTCCTCGCAATAAAAATGTCCCAAAACACAGACCACCATTCAAAAAGAAACCCCCCGGGAGCATCAATGGCTGCATATTATATGTAATAACTAATTACAGTTAACTTGAAGTGAAGACAGTACTCTTAGAGTCCCAAGTCAATAAGCGTGATAAATTGCTACTCAAATTGATTGGAAGCGAGCAGCATAAACAATAGGACCATTCCAAACGGATCTAATCTAGCCCAATTCAACAAGTTGAATAGTATTACCAAAGTAATTATAAGCACAAAGAAGAAGTGAATAAATTCTTTGCTATTGTTTAGTGTCCATTACCTACTGGATCCGGTGCAACCTTCCCTTCATTCATGAAAGACTTAGCAGTGGCATGCAATTCTTTCTTCACTAAATAATCATAAATGTACACATCAAGCCTATAGACAAAGCAAATTAACCAAATTTAGCAAAAAACCCACTAACAAATACATAATACATAATCAAATCATGTAACAGTTCACTAATAAATAAATCACAGTATGTACATCTTATCTGCTTCCCAATTACTCTGCGCCATTGTGTGGGTCAAATTATACAAGCCAAACTGCCAAAAACAAAGAAAACCCAATTCAGCTTTGCAATCAAAATCCAAAATTTGCATTACCAAGAACATAATCGCAATTTAAAAGAGAAAAATTTACTTCTGGTTTTAAAAAAATAATAATAATTGGGGAGATTGTTGAATTGTAACTGCATTGCAGTGGCAGGACCAACCTGAGAAGAAGAAATTGTTGGATCAGAGGCTATGAGAGAAGGACGATCGTCGTTGATCAAGCATGCGCTGCTGACTCCACCAGCAAGCACACAATTTTGTAATAGCACACGAAAATTGAGGGAATTTAAAAACTCTTGTGTTATTGGGATTTGAGAATTTAAGCAAGAAGACGTGACACGACGAGTTAGGCTTTGTCAATTGTTCGTGATCACAAAGCACACGGAGTTCCTTCCAACACTTCCAAGTTTTACGCTGTAAATCACAACAATTTGAACTTTAACCGAAGCTGATGAACTTCTTTTCTCTCTGTTTTTTTTTGGTGTCAGTGAAGTCAATGAAGCGAGCTTCTTAGCTTTCTCCAAACCTCAGCCTTGGAGCCCGAACCTGGGCCGCTTTGGTTGTGGGCTCTGTACAGTACAGTCGTGTATAATTCTATAAATTTAAAGCTTTTCTTCTCTATTCTTTTTATTTTGACGTATCACAAGGCGGTCAGGTAAAGAGTTAGGAAGCGAAAGCGACCCAATCAAAGACGTTTGGGCGCTGGAAATGGGAGTGACACACATGTTGGATGGCTCGGACATAAACGACTTTGATTGCTTGTTTTGGTTTAATTACCATTGTTTAACTTGTCTTGTCTGGCTAAAATGCTACAATATATATATATATATATATATTCCATGGGCCCTGCTAGAATGGGCCTTCCAGAGTAAGGAAAGTTTGGGAAAAGAACTTGTTCGGCTTTGGGGAGCTTCTACAATGAGGAGTTAAAGTGAGGATGTTATTTGAGGAGACCGATTCGACTATCAAAACATTTAAAATATTTAAGTCCCATGATTTCTTTACATTTGTTGATGGTGAGATTTGACCTCCTCAAATAACCTCCTCACTTTAATCCCTCATTATAGCATTTCCGTCGGCTTTGAGGGATATTTGGGCTCACACGAGTGGCCTACTGCTATTGGAGATGCTCTTATAAATATTATCATGCATCATCATCATTACGACGGGGCAAATCACCCGTCTTGCAGAAGATTGATTACTTGAAGGACAAGGTGCACCCAAACTTTGTGAAGGAGCCCGCACATTCTTCTCTAAATGGATAATCATTACACAGAACAAGGCAAATTCAAAGAATTTTACAAGGCTGGGCTGGGATCCCTACCAGAAATGTCTTCACTAGTTTCAGTCCAATGGAAATGATCATTCACATCATCTCGACAGACGTACATGCTTATTCCTTTCTTAATACTAAGCCTCTTGACGTGTGTGTGTCAATTGAGTTTTTTAATTAGTTATTATTTAAATTTATAATTCAATTCAATTTAAAATTTAAAAAATAATTAATTATAAAACACAATTGGGAAACGGCGTACGTGGCAAGGGACTAGTTAATTGTTACATATGAACGAGTTCCTTGCCTCACATTGTAACTGTATAGGCTTGATAAGTTAAAAGGTACATACCCTTCTCTATATGGATGAGTACGGACTATTACATTCAAGTTTCAAGCATATACACAAATGCAATTTTCTAACACTTCTACAAGGGTCATCCTTCTCTGTATAAAATTAAGATAAACTGTTAACATGAACATTGAAAGACTACTTCATTACAGTATTTACAAATAATATTGGACTTAAAAGGTATGTTGTTTCGTACCTCCCATCAACTTAGAGTAATGATCATACTTCATATTCTACGTTGCAACATAATCCATCTGATCACCAACTCATGAAGCATGCAACAAAAAGGTCTCTGTGCACGCATGAAGCATATATCAAAATGACTTCGTACTTTATTCATAAACAAACAAGAAACTATTGTACTAGTTATATGTATACTTGATATATAAACTCGCGAAACTGATTAGAAATTTACTGAATTATTTGATGCGATAAATTTCATAGCTATCACAAATTTGTTTTTAAAAATGATGTATGAGAGAGACAGAGGATCAGGTATAAAGATGTTGTGTCGCGAGAGAGAGAGAGAGAGAGAGAGAGAGAGAGAGAGAGAGAGAGAGAGAGAGTATGAAGGCATAATGATGTCTGGACGTTGTTTGGTTGGTCCATTAATGGCACCACAAAACCCCTTTGAATTGAATCACACACTAGACTAGGTGCTACACCTAAGAAGAAAAGAAATTGAATCTCCCCAGATCCAGATCAAGACCAAGACCACGGCTTTTTCAACTTGTTGGTTTTGGTTAATTTGACTCTCTCATCAATATGATATTATTGTCAGAGCAGAAAAGAAAAACAAAAAAGCATGAGAGTCAAAACCCTAACACCTAATAAAATTCAGAGGGAAAGAGAAGAGAGTGGGCTTTCATTTCATGTCTGACTGAGCGTGTTGGAGTTGGAGGGAGAGGACAGTTGGCCAAATAAATTACTTGCCCAAAGACAGGTGAGCCTCATTACTCCATCCAAGCGTGACAGTTGGGTGACTACATGTCGACCGACTCCTCTCTTAGCCTATTAACCTTCACTTCTCTTCTTTCACTATATAACACAACACAGCATGCTTTCGTTTTATTTGTGCACTGCGAGTGAAAGAGAGAGCTAGTTATTAACTCTGCTTCCTTCATTTTGATCAAGTAGCTTCATTTTGGGTTAAGCAAATTATCAAATATGAGGGTCATTTTATCAGCTGGTTGTGTTGTGGTTGCCATCTTATGTGTTTTTCTTTTGAGTGGTTTGGTTGTGGCGGATGATGATGCTAAGGTGGTTAAGGATGATAAGCACTTATTTCCTCATCCCCACCCACGTTTTTTTAAGGGAGGAGGTCTTGGGCATGGGATTTACAGGAAGGGGTTTAGGCATGGAAGGTTTGGTGGAGGCATTGGCGGTGGGGGTGGTCTTGGTGGAGGCATTGGCGGTGGGGGTGGTCTTGGCGGAGGTGGAGGTCTAGGAGGTGGTGGTGGGCTTGGAGGTGGCGGAGGTGCAGGTGGTGGGTTAGGAGGTGGTGGTGGTCTAGGTGGGGGTGCAGGCGGTGGGTTAGGAGGTGGTGGTGGTCTAGGTGGAGGTGCAGGAGGTGGTGGTGGTGCTGGGGGTGGCTTAGGAGGAGGAGCTGGAGGTGGTTTAGGTGGAGGAGCTGGTGGGGGTTTAGGAGGAGGAGCTGGTGGGGGTTTAGGAGGAGGAGCTGGTGGAGGTTTAGGAGGAGGAGCTGGTGGTGGTGGACTTGGTGGCGGTGGTGGAGCTGGAGCAGGTGGTGGGTTTGGTGCTGGTGGCGGAGCCGGTGGAGGTGGTGGTCTTGGTGGAGGTGCTGGAGGAGGTGGTGGGCTTGGTGGTGGTGGTGGAGTGGGTGGTGGTGCAGGTGGAGGCTTTGGTGGAGGTGCAGGTGGTGGTGTTGGTGGGGGAGGAGGTCTTGGAGGAGGTGCTGGAGGTGGAGGTGGGTTCGGGGGTGGTGGTGGGGTAGGCAGTGGCGCTGGAGGAGGCTTTGGAGCTGGTGGAGGCTTTGGCAAAAGTGGAGGTGTTAGTGGTGGATTAGGCGGTGGTGGAGGAGGCGGATTTGGTGGAGGAGGTGGTTTTGGTGCTGGTAGTGGGGCTGGCTTTGGCGGTGGAGCTGGAATCGGAGCTGGCGGTGGCCACTAATTCAAGTGCAATCATGATATGAACATTAGTTTTCTGCTGCAACTTAATTTAGAGAAATGAATTAATTTCTAGCTATATATTATTTACTTCGTATGTTCCCTATCATGAAAGTACGCAATGTGTTAATAGTAGGGGTATTATTAATTTGCAGCTTTAGTAATCAGTATTATTCTTTCATCTTATTATAATTAATTTCCTTTAATTTCTTAGTCCCAAAAAGCATCACCATGAAGCTTTTCAATGTGATTATGCTACGTACTGCTTCTTCATGCTTATAAATATAGGATAAGAAATCCATCATTTTAAATTATAATTAAACTTTTGTTTGGCTAATCTAAATTAATTTAAGAGTTCCATACTAATATGTTTTTCTATAATAATTATCCAACACAATGTCGTCTCAACGATAGTGTCAATTGTGATTTTTTTTTGCATGCAAAATTTAGTACTGCACTAGTCTAATGTAGAAGAAGCAAAATTACCATTGATTGAAGAAATAAAATATTATGGTCAACCACCAACCCAACCAATAAGTGTACTAATTAAATGCTTTATATATAGGTGGGATGATGCAGACAAAAACTTATATGAAACAGAAATATCACTGTGTTGTTATTTTAAATCAATCACATTATGTCAAGTGAAAAAGTTATCATTTGTAGTATAACATGATTGGTCGGGATAGTAAAATAATGATATTCAATCATGTTATATCAAGTAGAAAAGTTATCACATATGACATGATTTATCGAGTAGCAAAACAGTGCTATTCCGTTGCCCAAAAGTGTTTCTCGTGGGTCTGGGTGCATGTGGTGATCAATGTAGAAGGCCCCGGTTGAGAAATGACTACACAATACTAAAGTTATTATCTACTGTGTGCATCGATGCATGTGGTGATCTATATTAATTTAAAATCATTTTGAACAAACCCAGCATCTCTTTAACTCTATTTCATTTTCTCAGGTACTTAATGTTCCCAAAGCTTTTCTTTTGCCACCATGAGCTGGTTGAGCCAATTTATTAGCTTCACACAAATCAATGAAATATGCTAGTTGACACTTACTCAAATTCATGCTATCATCTGATCTCTCTAGGCAAGAAAATGAAAGATATGGGAGAGCCTTCTTCAAATAGGACAGCATCAATCGATAACTGATAAACTAGGACAAAGTAATTAGGAAAGTTTTGTGACAAGGCGAGAGCAGGCCCACTCTGTCCCATATGAATTCTCCCATGCATAAGTATCATTTACTTGAAAGGACATTTCGAACTCGGTACAAAGTAGCGAGCACACTACCCTATCACTTTCACAGTAAGAACATGATGCCCAATATATAGCTCACCTTCTGAATGAAAATAAGAGTAAAGTATCCTAAGTACCTACCGACCCTTGGCATATATTTCATAAATAATGATTTTATCAAAACTGAAAAAATGCATACATAGAACTGACATATTGGGAGAAACTACGAAGTAAAAGAAGTGAGCATATCCCTGGCATTGGGTGGTTAATTAAGATTTAAGTGACTCAGAGTCAGCACTATAAATCATCAATGTTTTATTCGATGAGACAACTAGAAATCTCTGTTGCACACAATGGCGGATCCAAGATTCTTGGTCCAAGGGGTCATAATGTAAAAGTGTGACGCCCCGATTCGAAAATAAGGAATATTCTCGAATCATGGTATGAGTCATATCATAGTCATAAAAATAAAATCCTACAACCATGATATGATGAGAAAAAAAGTCACAAATAAATACAAATTTTCTTAATAACATAGAATCAGAGTCGCAGTAGCTCGTAGTTAGTTACACACTAAGATCTTTATCAAATTGTTGACTACTTACAAAAGTTAATTACACAAATCAATAACAAAAGCCTAGTAGCTTGGTTGAAACCCGCTTCCTCAAACTTCGCCTTGAATCCTGCACAATCTATTAGGGTATGAGCATTCTAATGCCCAGTAGAGTATCGTCAAACCCTTCAAGGTCAGCTATCACAATTAATCAAAGTGTCATGCATCAAACAACACAAAATACAAAAATTATGCAACCATATTAGATAAATAAATTGCATATGCACTGATGCCATGAACTCACTCCCTTCTAATTCCATTAATTCATATCTTATGGCAATAAGCCTGCATGTCCCATACCATGCGTTTTGCCACTGTGGCTCCGAATACCCTAAAATATGAACTAGCACCCGTCCGTCCCTTAACCCAGTTTTCTTTTGTTTACAAATTTCTCAATTTTCAATTTTCATTAGAGGCATGCTCCCATCACCTCATTATATTCAAGCCCTGCTCCCGTCACTTGAATATATTTTATTTTTTTTCTTACTCAGATATATCCAAGACCTTCTCCCACCCCTTAGATATATGTCAAATGACACACACACCCCAAACACCCCTGTCTTTATGATGCATATGTAATGCAGTACAAATCTCATTTATCTCTGCAGAATAATAATATAAATAATAACAATAATATATATCAGACTTAATCACATGAATATTCACCAAACATCAAATAATATCCACGGAAAATGAGCAATAATAATATTCACATAACATCAAATAATATCCACTAAGCAAAACAACAATAATATTCACATTTATAGTACTATATATAAGTACTAAGATTAAAAGTGACATAACTCAATCATCGGGAAATCAGGAAACCCTACCTCATGTCCAGCTAGCTAAAGTACCAAATTTACCCTTCGGAGATTCTTGAAGTTGTCGAATCTACCCTTCTGATCTAATTCCTTAATAATTTTTCTTCTCTTCTCTTCTTCTTTTTCTCCTTCTTCTTAGTTTTCTTCTTCTTCTTCTCTCTCTCTCTCTCTCTCTCTCTCTCTCCCCCAATCTTATCTTTAGTTAAAAAATTAATATCATTAGCCTAGACTAGGTGACTCACCTCCCATAGATTAACAACTCATCCCCAAAATCAGATTTTTTTGAAGAGAAAGAGGGAATGGGGGAAGAATAGAGAGAAGAACAAAAGCTTGGCTTACACGTTGGCTTTTTTTTTTTCTTTTTTTTTTGCCTACAAGGATATTTTGGTAATTAACCCACACATAAGGGTATTTTGGTCATGTTTGTCCAACTTCAAATTAAACACACTTAATTTAATAATCTCAATCCAAAATCACTTGATAAAATACCCATAATTATTCTCCACCATAATATTATTTTTCGCTAAAAATGAAAATCCACCTTAAATTTTTGTGCTATTACAAAAAGTGTCGAAATTTTTTTTTATAAAAAAAAATAGTAAAAAGCATAAAGATAGTACATTTATTCAATTCTCCAAAAATTAGGATAAAGTACGGAAATTAAAATAATATATTTCTTAATTTTTATAAATTATTATTGTACTTAGACTAAAAGGTTAAAAGGGTTTTATTAATAAACATTTGGGCTAGGGCCAGACTTATATGGCCCAAACTTTTTTTAAAAAACCTACAACTAGTGAAACGGTGAGTTTCAACTAAAATGAGGCACACTCAAAAAAAAAAAAAAAACAAAAAAAAAAAGAGGCATAAAGCAAACCAAACAACTTTGAAAATTTCTATTTATAGAGTATAGCCGCACAGCTACACTGTTAAAATATTATATTTAAATGGTATAGTTGAGCGGCTATAGTGTTATCATTTCTATTTAAAGATATAGCCGCGTGGGTATTCTCTTAAAATTTCAATTTATAGAGTATCGCCGTGCAGCTATACTTTTAAAATATTCAATTTAATTATAGAAATTAAGTAATTAATTACTATTTGTTAAGCAACTTATGAAATCAGTAAAATATTTAAATATTCACTAAAAAAAACAATAAATACTAATTAAAGTAATTAAAAAGACTAAGATATTACTTCATTACATAAATTAAATTCGTATAGCTGGGCGGCTATACGTTTAAACTATTCTTTTAAAGCGTGTAGCAGCGAGGCTATAATTTTAAAATTCCTATTTATACAGTATAGATGTGCGGATATACTATTAAAATATTATATTTAATTACATAAATTTAATAGTTAATTACTATTTATTAAGTAATTTATGAAATCAGTAAAATATTAAATATTCATGAAACAAATAATAATTAAAATGTAATAACTAATTAAAGTAATTAAAAATAAAAAGATATTACTTAATTACATAAATTAAATTAAAGAAGTTTGCCAAAAAAAAAGTAAAGAAACTAATTTTACACTTTTAAAGAGTATAGCCGCGCGGCTATACGTTTAGAATATTAATTTTAATTATATAAATTAAATAATGAATTACTATTTATTAAGTAATTTATGATATCAGTAAAATATTTAAATATTAATTAAAGAAACCATAATGAAAATATAGTAACTAACATAAATTAAATAAAATAAGGTTGCCAAAAAACAAAAGTAAAGAAACTAATTTTATAGAATATTCTTTTTTAATTATAGAAATTAAGAAGTTTTGTCGGCATAGGTATATGCCGGCAAATATTTGTAGGATTAGACCTCTCCTGACAAAAGTTACCTCTATTGACGAAATTTTATCGGGCGCCCTAGAGGTCTAATACGGTAAATTTCACCGGGAAAAATACGTGCCGACGAAATTTCGTCTGGAGAGGTGCTTTTGTTTTTGCTTTTAAATTTTAAAAATATAAAATTAGTATCTTTACTTTTGTTTTTTGTCCAACTTCTTTAATTTATGAGAGCAAAACCTACATTGTAAAGCCCTAGGTTGAGTTACGTGATTATCCAAGCCTAATAGAATCCTAAGTGCCCTACAGTAGGTTTACAATTAGGGTTCGAGGCTTGCGAACGGTTATGGAACAAGTTCGGATAAGTTCGTAAGCTATGGTTGGTTCGACACTTGGATTTAGGGTTTGGAGGCTAAAATTCCATTTTTAGAATACTAAAATAATTTTCTATAATTTTTAAATAATTGAAACTATTTTAAAAATAATTTTAAATTCCAAAAAAATTATTTAAGATAATTAAATATAATTAATATTATTTATTAAGTAATTTTTATGAAATGAATTAAAATATTTAAATACTCATTCTTCATTAAATAAATAGAAGTAATTAAAACATAATATATTCAAAGAGTATCGCCGCACACCTATAAAATATTCTATTTACTATTCTATACTTTTAAATCGTATAGCCGGTCGGCTATACTCCATAAATATAATATGTAAACGGTATAGCCAATGGCTATACTCCAAAATAGAATATTTAGAATATTTTATAGGTATCTTCTTGAAGCTATACTCTAAAAATATCTTAACAGTATAGCCGCACGGCTATACCCTGGGCCACTCAACTATACCCTGTGAATAGCAAACTAGGAAAACACCTCTCCTGAATTTTCACATTCCCTTCATACCTTTTGTATTTTGAAATATGTGGGGGATTGTTGGAATTTTTGTGAGTATTTCAAAATACAAAATTTATTTATTATTTATTTTATGTTTCCAGATTTTGTGTGGTTTAATTACAATTTTAAACTGATTTTTTTTTTGGTAAATTTATTATATGAATTGAGTGTTATGATCTGATTGTGTATATTAATTTTGATTTCAAAAGCTTATTTGCATGAGTTTTAGTTAGAACAATTTTAGGCTTCAGTTGGGATAATTATTGATTTGTTTTAATGGTCTTTATGCAGCTTTATTCTAAAACCTTTGGTGTGGCAATTTCATACAAACTTAATTGTTTTTCAATGCCTTTGGCATTTAAAGATTTGAATTCAAAATTCATCTGCGTCAGTTTTGGTTGACCAATTTCTATTTTGCAATTGCTACTTTGTTTTGCCATTAATTTGGTGATATTATAGCTGTTAAGTTTGTGTAAACGGGCAGACAATTGTGTTGTTTTATTACTATTTCTTTTAATGCCTTGGCTTATTGTTGAGGCGACTAACTATATATTTAAGCCCATTCTCTTTAGTAGGAAATAATATATGAGGTTATTTTCCTTTCATATAAACTTTGAGAGAAAGATTCGAGTTGTTCATCTGACCCAAGTATTGCGAGTGTACACTTATGAGAGTCATAGGTTGTAGTATCCTGGAGGGTAGGACACCATACTACACTGAGACATTGTCTTTGAGGGGCGAATCTACTATTAAGGACAGTGAATGACACGCCTCAACCTAAAACTATTATTCTACTCAAGTATCAATGGAGACCAACCTCTACATCCCAAAAGATAAGTATTTTGCTATAATTTCATTGATTTAATTTAATCGACTGTATCAATGTAAATTACAATTTTATAATACATATTTTCCGTGATGTTTTGGAGGAAAAGTAGCATCCTTCAACCAAATTCTCCAACAGAATCTGCATGTTATGGTAAAGTTAGAGATTTCTTCCTAGTCAAGTAATGAATGCTTCCCATTTCAAAAGCAAAAGGATGGAGGGTCATAACATGCACCCCCACACAAGTGATCCTCCCTATAACATCTCTCCAGACTCATGATCCTTTCCTACTTATATTACTTTATGCAAGCCCGTTGTTTAAGTCTTTGTGTTTTCATTAGCTTCATTTTTTACTTCGGCAGTTTTACCCGAAAAGGTTTAAACTTCAAATTCCATGTCTTTCTTTTTTTTTATAAATGTACGTATGATGTATAAATGTACGTATGATGTTGAGCTGTTTGGACCGATTATATGCAAAAATATTGATATGGGATTTAATGGTTTACTCTTTGTGCCATTACTGTTTCTGGATATCATATTCCTTTTTTTTTCTTTTTTTTAATTTTAACTTTCTTTCTTTCTTACAGTTCCATCTTTCTCATAACTCATCCCAACTAGGAGTCGCGATTAGGAATGCAATGCTGCATTCAGGTGTCTTAAGGGTGTGGGCTTTATTTGGAAAAGGACCATTTTCATATATATGCTTGTATTTTTTTAATATATGTTCGAAAAATGCGTAGGCGGTAGGTGGGCGGCAGGCATGGGCCTAGAGCCTAGAGGAGTAGTCGGGGCCTACGCACCCTTTTTTTATTTATTATAAATAATTATTTTGTATTATGAATTATAAATTTGTACCAAAATCATGCAAAATAATAAGATATATATATGTATATATATCTATATATATAAAGCAAAAGGAAGAGAATGGTGAAACATTTAAAATACCAGAAAATGCCATTGGTTAATGCAAACATTAAAAATTGAAATTATTAATTAAATGAGGATAATATGGTAAATTCATAATTTTTCATATTAAAAAAATAAAATTAAAAGAAAAATTAGATAATGGATCCTATTTTTATGGAGCACAACTACCCATTATCTTTTTTCATTCTAAAATAAATTTAAAATTAAATAGAAAATAAAATAAAAACCTCTTGCAGGCACAGAAGCGCGTGCGGAGAGGCTAGTATATATAAAGCAAAAGACAGAGAATGGTAAAACATTCAAAATACCAGAAAATGCCTTTGGTTAATGTAAACATTAAGAATTTAAATCATTAATTAAATGAGGATAATATGGTAAATTCACACTTTTTCATACTAAATAAAATAAATTAAAACAAAAATTAGATAATGGATCCAATTTTTATGGAACACAACTACCCATTATATTTTTTAATTCTAAAATAAATTTAATTTTTTTAAAAAAAAGCCTCTCGCAGGAGCATAAGCGCGTGCAGAGAGGCTAGTAAGATATATAAAAGAAAACTTTAATATTTCCCAACCTTGATATTATCTTAATTTTATTTTCCTATTTTCATTAACCTGGTTATTTTCAAAAAACTGCAAAAAAAAAGTAAAAATAGGCCCATTTTAATACAATGTTTAAGGCCATTTTTTACAAACCCAACCCGTTATTAAAAATTAGGTCAGATATCGTCTTCTTCCTACCGCCGCCTTCTCATTCCTCTCTCTGTTTAGATTTCATCTTTCTGTCTCTCCGTCTTTCTTCCTAACAAGCAGCGGCTCCTGCGAGCTTCAAACGCCCTTCGTCCGCTCCTCAACGTCCAAATGCCCGCCCAGACCCGCCTAGACCAGCCTAGGCCGCCTAGACCCGCCTAGGCCGCCTAGACCCGCCTAGACCCGCCTAGGCCGCCTAGACCCGCCTAGGCCGCTTAGGCCCCCTAGGCAGGCGCCCCTAACTCCCTAGCGCCTACCCCTAATGATTAGGGTGAAATCGCGGGGGTGCGCTCCCGCCTAGCGCCTAGGAGCCGCCTAGGCGCCGCCTCGGCCGATTTTTCGAACCTATTTAAGATTACAATTTTTTAGTGTAAAAACCAAACAGAACTGCCATAAGTGGTTTGGTTTTTTGTCCAAAAAAAATGTGGTTTGGTTTGGCCGGTTTGAATGATGCATACGGTCTTTTGCCCACCACTTTCGTATGAAGAAAAAAAAACCAGAGCCTCCTTTAAAATTGAACATGGGGGAGGACTTTTTATTTCCTGCACAGCAGAACCTGTAGATCAATACGTTAATGCTGCCTATTGAAGCTCCTTTCATGTTTTGGTTAGTGAATTTGTACAGAGAATTGACAAAACGAAGCCAAATCTTAGAGTCTATGGCTGATAAATCTGTTAGCACCATTAGCTTGAAGGCCTTGGTGGAAAAGAGGAGCAACAAAGTTATCTTCATAGATTCTGATGATGATTTTGTTGATGTTCTCTTCAGTTTCTAGACAATTCCAATGGGAACAATTATCAGCCTTGCTTGTACACATTCAGTACCACTGGAAATAGGTTGCATGAAAAATCTGTAAGCAAGAGTTGAGAATGCTGATGCACTTGTTTTCCCAACTGAATCGTATAGAGAAATGTTGTTATGTCCCCGCAACGGGTTGAATCTCATTGTGAGAATCAAATTGAAAATTACCAATGGCGATCCCACGCAGTACTTTTTGTGCTCTATTGATTGCACCCACAGATACAAGTTATTTAGTCATTACAAAGATGTTCTTTGTGAGTGTGGAAAACCCATGGATCGTGAGATCTCTTTCAGTGGGAAAGTTGAAAAGCTCATCTTTTTTGGGTGATGGTGTCTTTTGTAAAGGACTTAGCGGATATATAGTAAGTGATGATTTAGAAGTGATACCCCCATTAAGCTCACCAGTCTCTTCTTTCCTTACTAAGGTTGGTGTGATGGATGCAACCACTACTGAGGAGATGACTTTCAATGTAGGAGTTGATGAGGTAATTGAACTGCATCTTGTTATGTCAACTTTTCCTTTTGTTTATAAGTGGCTCTCTCTGACCCAGTCTCTTGTTCCAGGTTTTGAATTTGCCTATATGCTCATTTGTGTCTAAAACACCTTTGACGGATATTCTGCTGAAGCATAAACCAAAACCAAAACTGAGCAGTGAAGGTGTTCAGCAAGGAATAGGTTTTAAGCGTCAAACGACAGGGGACACGGTGAAGGAGGAAAAAAACATTTCTGTCAATCTTTTGGTTAGCAAATCTAAGAAAATGGTTTGTTATGCAGAAGCAAGGGAGGATTTTGTTAATTTACTCCTCAGTTTCCTAACTGTTCCGCTTGGGTTTGTACTAAAAGAGATGCAGGATAGCTCTTCCTCTACGAAAGGCTGCATTGATCGGTTGTACAAGAGTGTCCAAGATCTTGATGAGGAATACTTAAAGTCAAATTACCACAAGGAAATTCTACTCTCTCCCAATCTTTATCCTGGTTTTGGCTATGAGAACCATCTTTTAGGAATTGATCAGGATGGCCAGGAAGCCCCATGTTATTGTGCACGTTACCTTAGGCATACTACTGTCCACGAAATATTGACTAATGATAAAGCCATTATCCCTTCTAATTACAGAGTTCCACTCAAACTGAAGTATTGCAAATCCCAAGGCGATTACAAAAGTGATGCAGGATTTTTGAGTAGACCGGCGATGTTTACAATAACTGACAGTCTTATGATAAGGTCTATATCTCCTCTCTTTGGCGTTTCTGTTTTGAACGAATTGAAAGTGCCATTCGCAGACATTGAGATGCAAACTGTGCAGGTTGGGAAGGAGGAGGTTAGTTATTTTTAGTAATTTAACTTTGTAGCAACTTATTATAGTTGATGATTTTCAGTCCCTTACACTTGCATTGTACGCACCTAATTTTCTCAGCCACTGCTTCAATTTGACTCTTCATGCATTGTCTGCGTTTCTTGTTGTTTTGAAGCTTCAAGTACATATGCTTGCTTAGTAGTTTAACTGTTGTTGTCTCTTGGATTGTTACTTGCTGCAGGCATTTCGTCTTTTGGTGACCTCTTTTCTTTGTGATTCTGCTCTCACCAGTGTATTCCTCAGGCATTAAATAAAGAACTGTATCCTTGACAGCTCGATTGCCTAATATGATGAGGTGATGCTTTGTTGCTACAAACTGGAACAATAGGCCAATATGACGATGCCCATTGGTGTGACTTGTTTGCATTTTCCATGCCCTCCTGTTTTGTTTTTGTTTTTCTGTGTTTTTTTTTCTGAGGTTTAAGTTGTCTTTAAAACTTTGTAAATCACAAACATTAACCAGCCATGAATTATAGTGGATCAACGAACGAGGACATCGTCACCTTCGCAACCTACACCTCTAAAGGCTCTAATCTGCCAAGTGGCTATGCTCATTACGGTCGATGATTTGAATCAATCTACAGATATTGTCTGTGTTTTTGTGAATGCCACATCAACTTGACTGTACATAGAGTACATGCGTCTCTAATTCTGAAGCTTCAGGTCATCTGATTTAGTGGTTAATATAAGATCCATATGAGGATCTATCTTTAGTTCTTTTCATCTTCTCTTCTAAAAGCTTGTATTAAAATAGGACTTTGTTTGCATGTGGTATCTTCTTTATTTCATCGACCAGTTGTAAGTTGTAAGACTGAATCCCATTTGTTTGGAGACACAATGAATGAGGATGAAGAAAACATTTCTGTCAAGCTTATAGCTAGCAAATCAAAGAAGATTGTTTGTTATGCACAAGTAGGGGAGGATTTCGTTAATCTGTAGTTATGAATGATTGCTTGTATTTTGTTCTAATCATTCTCGAACTTATTCAAGAATAACTTGGGATGAACTATGGTCATGAAGTAAAAATTACAAATTCCACTAAGCTAGCTATGACTAAATTTGCAGTATTTGATCTGATATATAACATGCGATATATTTTGATCACAAGATTGAGAGCGAAAACCTAAATCATAAAGCCCTGGGTCGAGTTACGTGATTATCCAAGCCTAATCGAGTCCTAAGTACCCTACAGTAGGTTTACAATTAGGGTTCGAGGCTTGCGAACAGTTATGGAACAAGTTTGAATAAGTTTGAAACTTGGATTTAGGGTTTGGAAACTAAAATTCCATTTTTAGAATACTAAAATAATTTTCTAGAATTTTTAAATAATCGAAACTATTTTAAAAATAATTTTAAATTCCACAAAATTATTTAAGAGAATTAAATATAATTAAATAGTATGTATTAAGTAATTTTTATGAAATTACTTAAAATATTTAAATACTAATTCTTCATTGAATAAATAGAAGTGATTAAAACGTAATATATTCAACGGGTATAGCCGCGCGGCTATACCTTTACTATTCTATCCCTTTAAATAGTATAGCCGGTCGGCTATACTCCATAATACGTAAACGGTATAGCCGCACGGCGATACTCCAAAATAGAATATTTATAATATTTTATAAGTATAGCCGTTTGGCTATACCTTAAAATATAATATCTTAACAGTATAGCCGCCCGGCTATACCGTGTAAATAGCAAACTAGGAAAAACCTCTCCTAACGAAATTTCGTCTGCACAGGTATATGCCAGAAAATATTTGTCAGATAAGACATCACCCGATGAGCTGTGCCGATGAAAACTTCGTCGGGAGAGGGTTTTTTGTTTTGTTTTTTAATTTTTAAAAATATAAAATTCGTTTCTTTACTTTTATTTTTTTGCCAACGTCTTTAATTTAATATATGTGATTAAGTAATATCTTAGCCTTTTTGAATTACTTTAATTAGTTATTATGTATTAATTATTATTTCTTTAGTGAATATTTAAATATGTTATTGATTTAATTCTACTGTTCAAAACCAAAAAAATAAATTACTTATTTTCGTTTTGGTGTCTTAATTACATTTCCGCATAGCCCAAGTCCCATCTTTTTTATAATTAAATATTATGTATTATCTATATAATATTTAATGCCCAAATCGAATTAAAATTCGCCAAGACATGTCTAGGTTAGGTTCGGTCACATCATACTAACTCAAGATTGAGAGCGAAACCTAAATCGTAAAGCCCTAGGTTGAGTTATGTGATTATCCAAGCCTAATCAAGTCTTAAGTGCCCTACAATAGGTTTACGATAGTGTTCGAGGCTTGCAAACGGTTTTGGAACAAGTTCGGATAAGTTCGAAAGCTATGGTTTTTGGTTCGACACTTGGATTGAAGACTAATTTGGAATACTAAAATAATTTTCTAGAATTTTTAAGTAATTGAAACTATTTTAAAAATAATTTTAAATTCCACAAATTTTTTAAAGATAATTAAATATAATTAATTAATATTATTAAAGAAGTACTATTTGCAATGAAAGAAGTTCTCGGAGCCATTGCATGGTAGGATTCCCTTGGACTTTCAAATATATGATAATTCTTCCCCAAGTCTTGTCACTAGTTGTATATAACTTGCTTTCTATTTCTGCACAGATAATCCTTGATGTCCCAATGGTACTTAGCATGGCTGTCTTCTTTGGTTGGCCTCTCCGACAGTTAGACGTCAAGAATGCCTTTTTGCATGGTGTTCTTAATGAGACAGTTTTCATGACTCAACCTCCTGGCTTTGTGGATCCTCATTGTCCTAATCATGTTTGTCGTCTTCACAAAGCCATTTATGGCCTTAAACAAGCACCCCGTGCTTGGTTTCACCGGTTTAGCTCATTTATCATTCAATATGGCTTCACTCAGAGTCGAGCCGATCAATCCATGTTTGTGTATCGCCACTCCTCTCATATTATGGTTCTTCTGTTATATGTTGATGACATAGTCCTCACCGGGAACACCCAGTCCATGCTCTCATCCTTCATATCCACTTTGGGCACTAAGTTTGAGATTAAGGATTTAGGCCCTCTCCACTATTTCTTGGGTCTTGAAGTGAATTCTATCCAATCTGGTATACATCTCTCTCAAACCAAATATAGTCTTGATCTGTTGCAACGTAATTCTATGGTTGAATGCAAACCGTGCAGCACCCCTATTCATTCCAAGGCACAACTTTCCTCCTTGGATGGTGAGCCGTTATCCGATCCTACTGAGTTTCATCGCTTGGTTGGTTCTCTTCAATACCTCACACTTACTCGCCCCGACATTTCCTTTGCAGTTCAACATGTTGCACAATTCATGAGTATCCCTCGCACTTCTCACCTTACTGCTGCTAAGCGCATTTTGCGCTATCTCAAAGGCACCTTACAACTTGGCCTTGAGTTTCGATCCTCTTCTAGTCCTCTTGCACTCCATGCCTACTCTGATGCTGATTGGGCTGGGTGTCCTGACACTAGGCGTTCTACTTCAGGTTATTGTATTTTCCTCGGTCCAAATCTCATTTCTTGGAGTGCCAAGAAACAGCCTACTGTTTCTCGATCTAGTGCTGAGTCTGAATACCGTTCTCTAGCTGGGGTTAGTGCAGAGACAGTTTGGATTTCAAATCTGCTTCATGAACTACATGTACCAGCTTCCAGGCCAATTACACTCTACTGTGATAATCTTAGTGCTACCTATATGGCCTCAAATCCGGTGTTTCATGCTCGCACCAAACATATTGAATTGGACTATCACTTTGTTCGTGAGCTTGTTCTTTCCGGCAGCCATCGTGTTCAGTTTGTCCCATCTATTGATCAAACTGCAGATCTCTTCACCAAAGGCCTTCTCAAGCAACGCTTTCAGCTCCTTCGTTCCAAACTCGTCTATCAAAGACCGCCGAGTTTGCGGGGGAATGTTAAAGAATTGTAATGTCAACGGTTGACTTGATTACTTTCCATATCAATTTTATATTTCCTGTATCAATTGCATATATTATGATTGCTGTCACAAGCTATAGTGTATGCATAGATTTATTCTTTCCATTCTTACACTGTTGTAAAGCCTTTAAATACCCTCTCTGAGATTCAATACAATGATCGAGTTCTCAAACTTTACAGGACGCTTGATGCTTGTGGACATGGCTGGCTCTGAAAATATTGAGCAAGCTGGCCAAATTGGATTTGAGGCAAAAATGCAGGTAATGTCTTGGTGGTGCTTAATTTATGCCTATATACTGTATGCAGTTTCTTTGTCATTGTAAATGTTAAATTATGGTTATATTGAATTCACAGACTGCAAAGATCAACCAAGGAAACATAGCTCTCACAAGAGTGGTTGAATCCATTGCCAATGGTGATTCTCATGTGCCTTTCGGAGACAGCAAACTGACCACGCTTCTACAGGTAAGTTTTATTCACACCAATGTCAGTTACTAGGGATTATATGGTGCCCTGCCCCCTAACCTTGTATGTGAATGACAGTTCTCATGTTCTTTTTGTGCAGGATTCTTTCGAAGATGATAAAACAAAAATTTTAATGGTACTGTGTGCAAGCCCAGACCCCAAGGAAATACACAAGACAATCTCCACCCTTGAATATGGTGCAAAAGCAAAATGTATTGTCCGTGGCCCTCATACGCCAATCAAGGATAAAATTGGCACTGAAGATTCATCTGCTGTTATTTTAGGATCAAGGATTGCTGCCATGGATGAATTCATCCTTAAACTGCAAAGGGAAAATAAGCTCAAAGAGAAAGAGCGAAATGAAGCACACAGGGAGTTACAAAAGAAAGAAGAAGAGGTTGCTGCACTGAGAGCTAAACTTGAGCTTATGGAAGGGACGGGATCTGGGAAAAAGGAGGAAGAAATCAACTTGAAGGTGACTGAGACTCTGAAACGTGAGTTGGAAAAGAAGTTCGAGGAATGCCAGCGTATGGAAAATGAGTTTGTTGAATTGGAGAGGAGGAGAATGGAAGAAAAGATATTTCAGCAGCAGCAGGAAGTTGAAACACTGAGGTGGCGGTTAGAGGAAATTGAGCTTGAGCTATGCCGCTCAGGTGATGGAAATGGTAAGGAGAGTGGGACAAAGGACCATGATGGAACCCAGTTTGCCAAAAGGTTGTTAGGGATCTATGCCAGTGATGATGCAGGAGGAATGGTAAAGTCAATGGATTTGGACATGGATGATCAAGAACCTTTTGCTGTGAGGTGAAATATGTAGGTGGCGTTGCTTATCAATCTGACAGCAGTACACAACCATATAGGGTATGCCTAAGCACTGTTTTTGAGGAAGAAGAAATGGAAGAAGAGGAAGGACTAAAGGAAAATGTGGAAGCTGAAGAAGTGGAGAAAGAAGTTATAGAGGAAAAGAGAGAGTGCATGGTTGATGGGTCTAGCCTCCAGAGTAATTATAATATGGGATCCCTGACATCTTTACCTAAGGATTATCAACATACACCAACTGTGAATCGGCCAAGCAGAAATCCAGGGGAAGAAGATGGCAAGGGGAGACCAGATGATAGGCTTGTCAGGATCCGCAACATATTTACACTCTGTGGAAACTACAGAGAGCTCTCTCAATATGTGATAAGTCCAGCACCTACTCTTGCATCAGTTAAATCAGAAAATGAGCAGAAACTGACAGAAGAGATAAACAAAAGTCGAGTATGTGATGAGATGGCTTTGGCTTCCAAGGAAAACTACAACCCTTCAGATGTGGTCACTGATGCAGATACTGAAGTGTATGTGAAATGGGAGGCTTCAAAAGAGAATCCAGGGACGTTCATTACAACAATTAAGGTTGTAAAAGATGCAAGCCTTGCTGACCTGCGAAAGTTGATTGAAATTTATCTTGGTGACAATCAAGCATTCACTTTTCTCATGCTTGGGGTATGTCATTCTAAATTCTCTAGCTTGTTGATCTCGTCTTACAAAATGGAAAACTTTATTAAGATCATCATGCTAACATGGTTGTTTTTATTGACAAAAAAGTTCTTATAAATCAATAAATATAGTGCATCTCTGTGATTAAGAAACACTTGATTAAAACTTCTATTGTGTATATATGCAGGACCCCACTGGAGCTTCAGTACCAAAGGAGAAGGAAGCAACAATTCAGGCCACTAAGCTTCCTCTATGCAACAATAAATCAAATGGCTACCTTGCCAGCTTGAGACCACCGAAGGGAATGCAAAGCCCAAGTCAGCTCCCTTTAAGTCATTTCCCATTGAAATCACTGGAAAATAGACTACCACTAATTAAAGTAATTAAAAAAGACTAAGATTTTACTTAGAGCATCCACAGTGGGAGGGTGTAAATTCGGAAGTGTAAAGCCACTTTTATATCCAATTTACATCTACGGGGGGTGTAAATATGTTTTTTGCTCCAGTGGGGGGTGTAAATTCGGGGGGTGTAGCCGTGGGTCCCAGCCTTTTATGTTGACTTTTCTTCATTTTTCTTCTCTTTTCTCGGGTGGGTCCTGCCTGCAAGAGATGTAAAAATAGATGCAAATATACATTTTATTTTACATCCCCATGGTGGTGATGTATATTTACATCCATTTACATCTCCCCATTGGAGACGATTCCGGTGACTCGGGGTGTATATTTAACATACACCCCCATATACACCCCCCACTATGGATGCTCTTAATAACATAAATTAAATTAAAGAAGGTTGCCAAAAAACAAAAGTAAAGAAACTAATTTTATACTTAGTATAGCCGCGCGGCTATACTGTTAGAATATTCTTTTCAATTACAGAAATTAAATAATTAATTACTATTTATTAAGTAATTTATTAAATCATTAAAATATTTAAATATTCACTAAAGAAAACAGTAATTAAAATATAATAACTAGTTAAAGTAATTAAAAAAGACTTAGATTTTACTTAATTACATAAATTAAATTAAAGAAGGTTGCCATAAAACAAAAGTAAAGAACTAATTTTATACTTTTGAAGCAAAAATAAAAATATGGATTTATAGTTTCATATTTCCTTTAATATATTCGAATATTTAAACAGTATTGCTAAGATATTATGAAATCATTATTAAGTAATTTATGAAATCATTAAAATATTTAAATATTAACTAAAAAATAATTATAAATAATTAATAATTAAATAATTAAAAAAAGGTTAAGATCTTACTTAATTATATATATTAAACAAAAATAGTTGGCAAAAACAAAGTAAAGAAACTAATTTTATATTTCAAATAAAATAAAAAAACCTCTCCCGACGAACGGTTTTGTTAGCACAGACCTACGCTGGCAAACATTTGCTGGATGAGACTTCTCCTGATGAATGTTGGTCGGCATAAGTCTATGGTAGTACTAATTAAAGTAATTTAAAAAGGCTAAGATATTACTTAATTACATATTAATTAAAAACTAAAGAAGAAAAAAAAAAAAAAAAAAAAAAAAAAAAAAAAAAAAAAAAACAATAACCGACAACAATCAACTAAAGAAAGTAATGAAATATATAATTTTGATACAATCACAAAACTAACCAGGCTTTGAATCAAATATTTAGTTATAAACATATAGGGCACAGATTGTTTTTGCATAACTATCACATATCCGTCAATGAGGTATAACTCAGTTGGGTGAGCTCTTTCACTATCTATATAGGCAGAAGTTCAAAATCCCCCGACACCCAATAAATATTTGTGTAAACTCCCCTTCCCCAATAGCTTGTACTAAAAAAAAACTATATCACACATATCCAAAAACAAGTTTGCACTAGAGGTACACCCCTATGATCATGATTGTCTTTTCACTGATGTGCTTCACGCGAGGATAGCTCAAGGTTGAAAGAAAACTTTCAGCTTAATCATCCCTCATTTAAAGATTTGCTCTCACTTTGACATAGCACAGTACGAGGCAATTACTTACGTCAATTTATGACAAAATGTGGAATTAATTTACTGAGTAATTAGTGGGATGACAAATTGTTTGGCTACTAGAAACTTGTTGTGGTTGACTCGCTATTTGGTTTGAGGTGTTGAAAGTGCACGCATCCTTTGTAGTGCACTCGACAAAGTATTTCAATGATTGGAACTGTCTATGTTTCAGGTCATCCTTTAAGCATTATTCATGTAAAAATCATGAAGTTGCTTAGTCATCTAAAATGTGCAAAACAATCCAGTTCGTTAGACAAAATTAAAAGGAAAATGTGGATAATAAATGGTTAAACAATTCCAAATTTGTCTAACATTTTACATGGATAATTTCTTAAAAGAGAACTTAAAAACTGAAAGGTTATGATCATCAGATTAGAGAGCCCATAAAAAAGATGTCCTTATATTTTAATTACAATAAAGAACATTTTTATTGGAGAAAACTTATATATACATATATAATATATTACATACATGCATATCTGAGCTCAAATTTCTGACATAAGAAAGAAGGAGATTAACTGCTTACTGTACAGATCCAAAGAAAAAAGGACTGCAAGGAAAGGATGATCCATAATACATTTCTGAAATATATAAGGGAATAGTGTTGCTGTCCAAAAAGATAACATGGGAGGGAATAAATGAGGATGCATGCATAATAATGTATAGATCACCAGCTGCTGGACCATGGAGGTTGTGATGAGTCTTCATTTTTGTTGTTTTTGGTTTCCTCTTTGTCTGAATTGCTTTCTTACTTGTTCGATTCAGGATTTGGACCACTCGGGACTTCATGTGCAGAAGCTTCAAATTGTTGATTATTCTTGACACTTTTCGTAGCCTGTTTTGGATGTAAGTCCATGGAAGATTGGAGGAGCTGTGTAGCTGTTGAAGATGATGAGCCAGCAGCCATGGTTAACGACTTTGAATTATTAAACTCTGACGGTGTAGGACGAGCAAAGTGAGGAACAACAAGCAGCAAGAGAAGCCCAATATGAAATAGCAACAGAGATAATGGTGCTTGTTGTTCCATTAAGAGTTGAGGAACTGATTTTCCAGCTTTTGCCATAAAATTTGAACCGATACGATAGCAATTAATCCACCCCCCACCAATCAAGAGGAGATCAATATCCATGCATGAACAGCTGCACCACCAGGTATAGGAAGCAAATTAGGGAAGGAAACAGCAGGAAAAAATGGTGACTTTATATAGAAGTGATGAATAGGTCATGTGGGAATGGATGAAGCGAGCTTTGAATTTAGGGGTCACTTTGTCTACTTGACTTCATGCTATGAATGTATGTATATATACAATGAGGAAATTATATATGCTATATATTTTATGTTCTGAAATACCATTAGTGCCCCTTCTCATTGCAGCAAACTTCAATTAATTAGCGAAAACTCCAGCTCTATCCAATCAAACCTTTTTACTGTTGAAGGTCATGATAGTGCAATAATTTCAAAACTTCAACTGCTATTCAACCTAGCTAATCTGGTCGAAAAGGAAAAAATAATCTGGAAAAGAAAGCGGGCCATAATTGAACAATCAAGGTCATGAGGATGAAAGTGCAACAGAGTCGTGGCTTTTCTTGCATGGCTGCTTGTGCAAGAAATCTCTCTTTATTCATTAAAGAAGTTAATTTGGTAATCTGTGGATTGCCTTTTTTCTTCTTCTTCTGAAAGATAAATGAAACAAGACAGAGAAAGCAAAGCAGGACGTCCTCAATCAGTATACTGCTTTTCTGTGCTTGTGAAAAAATCTGTAGGGCTTTATCTCCATGATGTCCCCACTTACCTTTAAACTTTGCTCTACACTGGAAAGGGGTCATTCTTCGTACGTAAGGTTAACATTTATCTCTCTTTCTTTTTTTCTTCTTTTTCATCACGGCAAGCTTTTTGACTTGTGCATCGCAATTGAAAAGGACCTTACTTTCATTTTCATGCATGCATGCTAGTAACACAGCTATGGCTTCCTTACAATTCTTTGATAATGGCTCCTTTATGGAAGATGGTTACCCAAGAAATGACTTGATTTTCTTTAGAGTGCTTTTTTACTTTTATCGTTTTCTTCTTTTGTCTGCGGGATACAATGGCGTGCCAATGGAGGGGTCTTGTCTCTTTTGAAATCTGGAGAAAAGGTCATAAAGGCAATTGAATAATTAAGCGCTAAAGTATATGCATGGCGGAGCATTTTCATCTACCTTACTGAAATCGTTTCACACAATAATGATGCCTTGCTACTACAATACAATCACAAAAATGAAGTCATGAAAATAATATTTTAGTCCTCACAAATAATATTTAGTTCCAACTAGTTTGAACCGTTAACATAAATATGCATGGAAAAATGAACTAGCAAAGTATATATAATATATGCGATTTGTTAAGTCGAGGCATGTCATGCTGCTATCATGCTATGTCACAGATAAGAGATATGCGTGTAAATCTTGCTTAATACAGGGGCCGACACACACACACACTGTTGAAAAACATAAAGGAATGCTACCCTTAGATTTTGCATTTTATGGGAGTAAGGCACTATTTAGTGTTACATGTTTGTTTATGTTATAAATTTTGAATCGCAAATTCTAATAGTTTTTGTTTTCTGGGTCAGAATATATGTTTCTTGGAACATAATATTGACTCCAACTAGTTGAATTGATTTTCGTTGGTACAATATGTATATAATATATATGTATTTTCTTGGTTTTTTTTTAATGATTAAATTTATTATGTACAATCATAAATTAAGGGCTGGAACAGTTTTGAGAAGGAATAATGGAATATAAAGTTTCGATTGTGGTATCACCTTTATGAGCTAATGCGCGTCCATTTCTTCCTTTTCATGTCTTTTTTTTAAAAATATAAATCGTATAGCCGAGCGGCTATACTTGGATTTTTAATTAAAAAATTGTTTAGCTGGGCGGCTATACTTGTTTTCACACGTGTGGCTTTTTTATAAATAGTCTGGCGGGGCGGCTATGTTTGGGTTTTTTTATATAAAAAAATAACGCTGTTTATTTTTTTTTCACTAAATAGTATAGCCGAACGGCTATACTGGGGTTTTTTTTAATATTTAAAAGCAGTATAGCCGTGCTATACAGGTTTTACACGTGGGCGCCTAGTCGCTAGTTTTTTTATTTTTATAAATAGTATAGCCGCGCGGCTATACTAGTTTTCACATGTGGACACCTGGACGAAAATGACTGATATTTAGAACAGAAAATGAACAAAAATTATCCATGAACTTCAAACAACTAAAGGGGAGTCCCAGTACTAACCTTAGAACAAAAATTATCCATGAATGTATATGTGGGTTTTCTTTCCCAAATAATCCTGCCTTGATTGCACAGGTAGTTAAACCCACAATCAAAAGTGTTTTACCATTGATCTGCATTTTTCCCATAAGACATTATCACGCACATCTTACTTTGTAAAATGAATGCGTTGCCTCCAGTCGGAAAAACTATGTGAAACTGGAAAAAGGCCATTCTGGGAGAAATTTATAAAATCGCAATCATACAGAGCCAGTGACAATGCATATATGCCAAAGCCATTCAACCATTTTGGTAAAAGGATCTTCAGGGATACAGCAAATTCTGGTATCGATCTATTTTTTCTTACATGGACCCCACTAAATCAGTGTTAACTTCAAATGTTATCACAAATATGGGGTGTAACAATCAGTAGAGATGCTTTGTTTTAGATAAATAATCAAAATAATCAGAATGGCTTTCCCCGGAACTGAGTCATAACATATTTCCTGGACCAAAATAATACCAGTCAGTGGTAACTAGTAACAGCATCATTCATGTGAAGCATAAATGAATAAACACTTTACAACATTATAATAAAGTAATACTAGGCTGACCAAATTTTTGCACCACATTTCAATACGACATAATGTGGCAAGTGATTTGTACAAGCACCATCCAAAGAGAGAATCATTAATTGACATGGCATGTACATTATTTGCCACATGATCTGGTATTTCAATATGGTGCAAAAATGTGGCATTATTGTTCACCCAGTATCTTTAGAAATTGTAATTCATTCCCTAGAGGGAATTATACCTTCTTGTCATGCCCAGCACTGGCCAACAGTTTTCCCTCTGAAGGAAAAACCTGAGTTAAAGAGAAAAAGTCACTGCTGCAGTCAGTTGGATCTTGGCTGCAATGAATTTAGCAAGATTGTCTCTTGGGTTTTGGCATAAAATAGTTTATTAGAAAGAAATAAGGCAGCTATAAATGAATTCAGGTTGACATCACCTGGAAAAGACCATGAAGGAAGATTGCCCAGAAAGTACACGTTAGAAGGTCAAGGAGGGAAGATAAAATTCTCTACCACTAAATGGTACAATCTGCCAAGTAACCAAGAGTCTGGCTCTTGCGGTGCTGAATATTGCTGCCGCATCTGGTCAATTCCCTGCATGGTCTATAACTGTAAACTCATTTTGAGCATAACTCTATTTTAATTCTTAAATTCTTTTAAGAACCAGGAAGTCATACCTGCATTCCCTATTCCTGGTTTTGACTGCATCATTCCCTGCCCATAATTGAAGAATCCATAGGCCCATGTTAACTTCACTCTTTATGTCCTACAGACAAGGAAGAACCAAAGCTTTACTAAAATTAGAAAGAAGGAAGGGAAGAAAACAGTACAATTGGTGTATTATAAGTAGTTACTGTGGTCTGTTGACTTCGAGCCTGGATTTGTTGTAATGCCGCATTAAAACTACCGGGGTTTCCTTGAACCATCTCGCCGTATTAGCAAATGACCAAGAAAAATAAACTTCCAAAATAACTAAATATCAGAAAACTGTGAAAGTATGAGATCTTCCAGTTGCTTACCCAGGATGGTTTGTTGATTTCAGAAGGGCCACTCTAGCATCAAGGACTGGTTCGGAAGTCTCCGAGTCAATTGAATTGGGGTGTTTCATGCGTTCCTCGTAGTATAGCCGCGGCTATAATATTTTCGACACGTTAGTCTCTTTTTTAAACCAAATAGTATAGCCGGTCGGCTATACTGGGGTATTTTTATTTTTCGCCAGGCGGCTTTACTATTGTAATTTTTGGAAAAAATAGTATCGCCACCCGGCTTTACCTGTTTTGACACGTGCACACTTAATCGCTAGCCAGGACGCCCCCACCTCCGACACACAATAAATAGTATAGCCGCGCGGCTATACTATTTTTGAGCTTCACTTTTTTTACATACGCGCGGCTACACTTGTTTTATTTTGAGCTTCACTTTTTTTACATAAAATAAATAGTATATCCGCGCGGCTATACTTATTATGAGCTTCGCTTTTTTTAATATAAAACGCGGCTATACTTGGGTTATCATTATTTTTTGGGAGTTTCACTAAAACACCCAAAATGGGGGTTGAAATTATAAAAAAACCCAAGCACTATTTAAACATATAAACACACCCAAAACCCATCATTACACACACTCAAAACCCATTTATAAACACACCCAAAAAGTTGACTTTGGGGTTGATTTTGGGTGTGTTTCTATATTTAAATAGTGCTTGGGTTTTTTTATAAATACATGTCTAGGATTGGGTTTATTTATAAATTTGTATTATTTTTTTAATAGTATAGCCTAGTATAGCCGCCCGGCTATACGTGTTTCACACGTGGGCACCTAGCCGGTGGGCGGTTCTTTATTATTTTTCAGAGTATAGCCGTGCGGCTCTACTATTTTTGACACCTTGGTCTTTTTTTTTTACTTACCCATTTTTTTATTTTTAAAAATAGTATAGCCGCCCGGCGATTCCGGTTTTCACAATTGGCTGATAATGCATGCCGTAAGCGCATGACCATGTTGGTAAAATTTGTGCCATCTTAAAAAAAACACACAATTTCACTATAATTAAAAAAGAAAAAGAATTCCTAATTGAAACGTCAAACTTAACATCTTCTCCTCTTCTTTTTTCTTCTTTCCCAAATTCTTCATGCCTCTTCGATCCAAAAATTTCCTCTTTCTCATTAGAAACCATGTCTTTTTATATATTCTTTATATTTATTCTTTTGATCCTTTGTAGATTAAGACTTGATTGGATCCAATGTTTTGTCACTTGAAAGTGGAGCTCATTAATTTATTTTGGGTGTTGATTTGATTGTAGATTTTTTATAGGGTAGATCCTGGGTTCGTGGTTTGAAAAATGCAAAATAAAAAAGGAATATTTGTAGGATTGGACACTAGGTTCGTTTGTATTCAGTCATTAAATTGAACAACTAAAGCTTCAGCGTTCTCTCTGCACCAGGTTTTTATGGTTGTTCTACGGTTTTTGAAGTTCATATAATTTTTTTTCGGTAAGTTAAAAAAAATATTATATGAACTCAAATTAACAATTGTAATAGAAATGAACAAACAACATGTAATTTACACAACAACTTCATAAAATATGTCTCACTTAAATATAACTCGTCTTGCATTTTTTATGCAAAAGTATCAATCAAATTTTAAATAATCAAGCTTTTCTACCATGTCTTTTTCAATGGACAACATAGCTAAACCATTCAATTTTTCTTGTGATATAGTTTGTCGAAATTCAATGGTCAACTAATGCTTTATATTCTTCCTTGAAAAAAAATAAATACAAAAAATAAATAATGATGAAACAACAATGAAAGTAATACCACCACTCTTACAACAACTCACATATTTCAATTTAAAAAAATATAAGATTGGCTGGCTATGTTGTATCATACAACTTGTATGCTATCGAAACCTCTTATTTCAATTTTCAATTTTCAACTTCTTGCTTTTTTGGCGGGTTGTCGAAATATCTATTGTATGCTATGTTGTATTTGATTTCCTAATTGATTCATCTAGGTTAATTGATTTATGCTATAAGTGGGCCTTTATTGAGTTTTCTCTTTTTAATTTTGAATTGAGTAATTGGGCATGTTTATTAATCTTTTTCAATGAGCGGGCCTTTATTGAGTTTCCTCTTTTTAATTTTGAATTGAATGTTGAGTAAGTTTTTTTTATTTACAATAATTTGACACAAGTTTTGATACAATTTTATAGCCTTTAGATGCAAGCACTTTCAAGGGCTAAGATTAAATGTGATTTTATTATTTATTTATTTTATTTTGATAACATAACAAATAAAATAAAATATTAAACTCACCACTTTTCAAGGTAGCATAAATGTAGGCTAAAATCTCTCCATCTCCTCCAATCTCATTTATTCTCACGTTTTGAGTTTGAACTTTTTTTTATTTAATTGTTTTTCCTTTATCTGGAAACAAAGTTCTCATCTCAGTTGATCCAAACACACAAGGATCTATTTCAAATTTTTCCACTCCAACACTTCATGCAATTTTCGCGAAATATTATGGAGATTGTTTGAAAATCTTAATTGTTAATTGTGCTAAGAAGCTATGGATACTTTTTGCTGCAGTTAGATGCTAAACTGTTTGAGAATGAACTTGAACTTCTCATGGTAAAAGACATTAAGAAATCCACAAATGTAAGAGGAAAAAGAAATTCGAATTGAAAGTAATCCAAGGATTTAGAGACTCAAAGCTCAAGAAAATAACAAAAGAACCAACATACAAGACTGCAAGATAAACCTCTCCAAATTTTGCTGCAAGATAGAAAGAGACAGTAGTTGAACCAAACCCCAAACGAATAAAAAAAAAGATCAGAAAAAAAATTTCATACTCAGAGAATTAGATCATACCATTTATTTATTTATTATATTGATTGAAATCTTAGGGGGAAAAAATTAATGGCTAACATGTGAAATATGGAGGGAGAAGAGCTACTTCTTGTTTAGTGCTGGTAGTGATAGAGAAACTGTCAAGTGCAGAAGGAAGATTTGGAAGAAGAAGAAAAAACAGAAGTGAAGGCATGAAGAAGAAGATGACGTGAGAGAATATGTTAATGCTTTTAGGAAGTTGGGAAAACATAAATGAAGAGAGATAAAATATTATAGTAAGTTAATTAAAATTAATTTAAACAAATAATTATTTAAAGAAAAAGAATTAATTTGTTTAATCTTAACCATTCATTGTAGCCTAATCTAATGGTTAAAAAATTGTGTCAAAACTTGTGTCAAATTTACGGTGCCACGGATCCGCCCCCTATATTATATATATATATATATATATATTTTTTTAAAGGGGGCGGATCCGTGGCACCATATTTTTGACACAAGTTTTGACATAATTTTGGGCCATTAGATTACTCCACTTTTAATGGTTGAGATTAAATATGACATGGCAAAATAATATTTTTCTCTTTAATTAATATTTATACATTGGGATTAAAATCCTGATACCATATTAATTAAGAATTCATTCTCTCTCTTCTCATTAATTATCTTTAATTAATTAATTCTCTCTCTCTCTCTCTTCTACAGAGAATTGACGCCTCTCTCTCTCTCTCTCTCTCTCTCTCTCTCGTCCCCAAACCAACTTCTTAATTAATATTTGCATTGTGGTTTCATATCATTTTCATTTTCCTCCCAAATTTCTTCCTTTCACTTTTTATTTTAATGTCTAAGAGGTGGAAGAACTAACTGTCATAAGAGAATTTATTCAATGAAATACTTCATTGATCAAAGCTATAGACAAACCTTACTATTCAATCAAAGGAAAGAGAGAGAGGCGTGAGAAGTGGGATTGTGGTTTGGGTATTTACTTTTTGGTGAGATTGTTTATTTATTAGACCCTAATAAATATTTGAGATTAAAGAGGCAGGAGAGATTACGTCTTCCAGCAAAAAGGTTGGAGAGAGAAAAATTTCCTTTTATTTTTATGAGAGAGAAAATAAAATTAATGATTGTCTATTTAAAAAAATTAAAACTACTTGCCATATAATATTTAATCTCAACCATTGAAAGTGGAGTAATCTAATGGCCCAAAAATTGTGTCAAAACTTATGTCAAAAATGTAGTGCTACGGATCCGCCCCCACATATATATGGATTTATACAAATTGGGCGTCCTCCAATTTTGGGGCCCTAGGCGACCGTATTGCCTGCTCTTGCCCAGGGCCTCCCTTGGTCCATAGTTGCGGGATTGGACACTGGGATTATCATATGGGAAGATAAGATTTACTTTTTTGATAAGGAAAGAAAATAGATTTTAAGGTGGGACTTAGGTGTTTACTGAAGTTTCCGAGGGAAATAAAGCTTGCTTAGAGAGGGCTTGATGAATATGAAAGAGCTAATATCATATAATATATGATGCAGAATTATATTAGACTCAAAAGAAGAAGAAAGACTAACGGTTGCAGAGTTAAGCTTGGAGTTTGTCTAATTACAAATTTTTTTATTTTTTTATTCTGATCAAATTGAGTTTGTCCATTGGTTTGAGGATGATTCGATGTGGAGAACTTCAACTGAGATCCCATCATGTTAAACAAACTTGTTCAGAACCTGCCTATAAACCTAGCATCTTGATCGCTAAAATCCTCCAGTAATCCAAAGTACTTCACCACATGTTTAAAAAACAAACATTATGTCAGATCCGCAGGGTAAGCATGTGGTGTGGCTATGAAAACCGCATACCTTGAGGATCTGTCAATCATAACAAGGATAGACTGCATACGTTCTATCTTTGGTAAGTTGGTGATGAAATTCATGGACACCGATTGCCAAGGTCTATCAGGTATAGGCAGTCGTTGTAGTAATCTTGCCTCTTTCTTTCTTTCAAACTTGTCATGTTGGCAAACCAAGCAAGTTTGCAGATAGGCTTCGTCCTATATCTTTGGCCCGTAGTAGGATCTTCAAACCAATGCAATCATTCTGTCAACTCCAGGATGTCCAACCCATTGCGGATCTTCCTCCTTTGGCATAGAGTAGATCTTCCTCCAACCAATATCTTCTCACAAGTCCCTCCCTTACTTGTTGTTGAAGTTTGATGTAGGCTGAATCATTAGATTGGTCTCGAATCCAATCTAAGAAATCTAAGTGCACTAGGGTAAGTGTAGCCACAAATTCCTTAACTTCTTTATGACTCAACACGTCCGCCAATTGATTTAGCTTACCAGGTATGTGCACCCAATCAAAATCAAATTTCAACAAGAACTCTTGCCAACGTGCTTTCTTTGGGGTCAGCTTCTTTTGGGTCTTGAAGTATGTGTTTGCCACATTATCTGTCACTACCGTGAATTGAGTGCCCACTAGATAGTGCCTCTAAATTTCCAAGCAATGCACAACTGCAGCCATCTCCTTCTTGTGGGTGGAGTACCGTTGCTCACAATCCTTAAGCTTACGCCGTGCAAAGGCAACAAGGTGTACTTCCTAGACCAACACCCCACCAATAGCTCTATCCGAGGCATCAGTGTGAACTTTGAAATATATGTCTAAGTTTGGTAGCTTGAGTACCAGCTCCATAGCCATGACTTGGTTTAACCCTTTGAACGCTTCAACACATTTTCCTGTCCAACACCATGGTTTGTCATTAACCAATCTGTCAAGGCATTCACCTTCTTAGAGTAGCCCTCAATAAACTTGTGGTACTAGTTAGCTAACCCAAGGAAACATCTCAAGTTGGGCACTTTAGTAGGTGCAGGCCAGTCAAGGATGGCTTGAACCTTCTTCCCATCTATGTGTATCTTACCTTTCCTCACCAAATGACCCAAGAACATTATATATTGGCAGCATAATTCACATTTCTCTTTTTTGACATAGAGTTGATATTTCCTAAGCCGTGAGAAAACAACTCTAAGAGGTTTCAAGTGGCTTTTCAACGAGTCACTGTACACCACAATATCATTCAAGTAAACCATAACAAACGAGTCCAAATACTCATAAAGGATATCATTCATTAAATTGTAGAAAGTAGCAGGGGAATTGGTTAACCCAAACGACATTACAAGAAATTCATATGAGCCATATGTGGTTACACAAGCAGTTTTTGGTTTATCTCCCTCCACAATGCGCACTTGCCAATAACCGAGTGCAAGTCCAACTTTGTGAAGTATGTAGCTTTCGACAACCTATCAAACAAGTCAGCCATGTTTGGAACATGATACTTGTTCTTCACGGTCGCCTTGTTCAAGGCACGATAGTCCATACACATCCTCAACGTTCCCTCTGCTTGGAGCACCGTATGAGGCTTTTGGAGGTTGAATCGGTCCAACATCCAGAAACTTATTCAACTGTTTTATGAGTTCTGCTAACTCAGATGGTGCCATTCGATAAGGCGCCGAGGAGGAAGCTGCTTGGGCAGTTCCGCACACAAAATGTCCACGAATGCATCCAAGTGTTTAAGTTGGAGTTTAATGATAATCCTAAAGGTGGTTCTCCTGAACCTGCTCCTGCTCCTCGATTGGTAAAGGTTGTCAGCTTTGGTGATTGAAGATTGATTCTAAGAGAGATATGCTGACAGGACCCGCCCCGGAATTTCTCCCGAAACCGGGGCGGACCCCGTATTGTTGCCGACATCACACCGATGCCGGGCCCACTTACTAAAAACCCAAGACATCCTACCAAAATTTTGGCAGAGTCTCCCCTGTAAGATGCTCAAACCCAACAACATTCAACCTGCATAATTTACATAATATAAATCCCAACTGCCAGCATGCTTTCAACATACATCAATTCAAAGTAAAGTGCCCTCCGGCCTCAAGTAACAGCCTAACATGGGCGATAACAGAGCATCTAACAGAATTCGATTACAACAACAGCAGAGTAGAAGGAATTTACACGAACCCTATCTACAGATGAAATGTTTGGAGCTCGGAAACCGCTCGAACGCTTCCAAATGCCACTACTGTCTGGGGGGCGCAAAACGGAAATATGTGAGTGGACAAAAATAAAGTTTGCATTTAAAACAACATAGTAACCCCACCATGTAAAAATAATGCTCAAGCATGCAGTCTCCACATCCATAAATCAAATACTCAAACATAAAATCTCAAAGTCCCATAACTCTCAAAAATCTCAAACCACAACTCCATTCCCACAAGTATGCAACTCTCACCAACCCATACATATGTATACCTATATAAGTATATATTTATATATATATCTATCATATAACGTATACTTCTCTCCATACTAATGTACCGGGGAAGACAATCCAACCGGGGGATTGTTGGCTGGTACGCAGGATTTTCGAACCAGAACCCGCGTCCAGGGATGAGTAGTCCAACCGGGGGACGAAACTCCATAGCTCACACGCCGGCACTGCCAACGCCACGTGTAGCTCACAAATCTCATATCTCATATCAAGTCCTACGCGCGCAGACAGTATCATCCCCACACCGGCACTGCCAACGCCATGTGTGATGATACTAAGCAATATACATACTCTTCCCATACACCGGCACTGCCAACGCCATGTATGAGAACAGCAAATCTCATGACCTTCCCACCACACCGGCACTGCCAACGCCATGTGTGGGAAGCCTAGTAACCAGGGAATGGTACTCACCTAACATACTCATACATCTCACAACCATCCCTCAAATCATATCTTTCCACAATCTCATAACAACAACTCCTCATACTCCGTACATAGCACAATCTTACAACATCAACTCCTCATACTCTATACACAGGCAATATAGATAGATATCCCAAAATCCATATAAACATATCCATAATACTCAAACATAGCCATACTCAAAATATATTGCCAATACGTATATGAATATCCAAAGTCATCAACCAAATACTTAATAAATCACATTTCCATTTAAAACATATGCACAAATCTTTTATCAATAAAACCATGCAAATGCTTGAAAACAAAGTCCACTCACAGGTAATCCCACGCTGCCCGGCCCCGAGAGGGTCCTGCCTGCTGCGAACGATCGACAGAAGTACCTATTTCGAGATACGAACCCTTGATTAATATAATACACTTCGAAACGGGAATTCACAAAAGAGAATACTTAAATCCCCAAGATCCCGGTGCGTGTACGTCCAATAGGATATCCTAAAGTCCGGTTACAGGTTTGGGAATCGCTTCCCATTCTACGGTTATCGTTAATCCCATAAACTTCGAATTATTGAATCGGAACATCCGGGGCTCCGATTCACGATCCGCGAATTCCTATAGGTTTCTAAGAGTACCTAAATCAACATACTTCAGTTTGGAAACGATCCAACGGTTAGAACTTATCGAACCCTAATAACGCACAATATGCGAAATCCGTTCGATAGTCAAACGACATCCAAATTGAGATCCGTAAAATCCTACGCACTCGTGACAACCTAATGATCTCATCAGGATAAAAAGCAACTTCAACAGCCTTGCCCACGCGCCGCCACACGCGCCGGCAGCGCGTGGGTGTGTAGAGGAATTTCCGGCGACGGAAAATCTCCACACCAACGCTCACCCTTCCTACCCTAGCTTCTTCTCAAGGTCAGGATCACTTTATTCAACTACCACGAGGTCCAATTCGCACGGGAACTTGCCGGAATTTCAAATTGAAAACCGGCCAAAACCTAGGTTTCCAATTCGGTTCCAAAACTCAAAATCGATCCAAACCTACCCCAAAAACAGCTAGAGCATACAGAGAGGGTTCGAAAACATACCAAACTCGACGGAAAAACTGGCCGGAATCACTGCGCTGTCGTGAAGAAAACCGGGAGAAAAAAACCAGTCGATATCGTGGCCGGATTTCGAGCTTTCCGGCAAGGAAATTGGGTGGGTCTTAATCGGGACTTCACGACGAGTCAAACGGAACCGGTCTCGAGGGCTGAGGTGGCCGGACGTGACGGCGGTGAGGGTTTTCCCGATTCGGTGAACAGTGAAACAAGGGGGAGGGGGAAATCGCAGAGGGAGAAGACGCGGGAGAGAGAGAGAGAGAGAAAGTGAGGGGTAAATGTGAAAAATCTGATTTTACCCCAAACTTACTTTGAAATAATTACGGTTCCGCCATCGAGCTTATTTTGATCGCCAAAACTTCATTACAACTCCGATTCAAGCCTACCGCCTGTCTACGGTTTCGTCTCAGTACCACCTACACAACCAAACCACTCGTGGTCCCGAACTCCTTCTGGATAAGAAAATGACCAAAATTACCCTTAACCCAAGAGTAAATTAATAATTCTCTTAATTTAATTAAAATATGAATAAATTTGGAGTCGGGGTGTTACAATCTACCCCCCTTATAAAAATTTCGTCCCCGAAATTCACGTACCTGTCAATGGAAGAGATAAGGGTACTTGGCCCGCATTTGCTCCTCGGGTTCCCAAGTAGCTTCTTCAACAGTTTGGCTTCTCCACAGAACTTTCACTACCGGGATGGATCTAGAACGCAACCTTTGTTCTTTCCTATCCAAGATCTGTACTGGTTGCTCTTCATACGATAAATCTTCTTCTAACTCCACAGGTTGATATTCTAATACATGAGAAGGGTCTGGCATGTATTTCCGGAGCATGGATACATGAAACACATCATGTACTCGAGATAATTCTGGGGGTAATGCAAGTCTATATGCAACAGGTCCAATTCGCTCCGAAATCTCATAAGGTCCAATGTAACGAGGGCTTAACTTCCCACGTTTCCCAAATCTCATCACACCCTTCCAAGGAGATAATTTCAGGAACACCCAATCCCCAACTGCAAACTCAAGATCCTTAGACCTGTTATCTGCATAACTCTTCTGTCGGTCTTGTGCAGTTTTCAACTTCTCCTTTATCATCTTCACCTTCTCATTTGTTGCTCGGATACTATCCACTTTTTCCAGTTTCTTGTCACCCACTTCATTCCAACAAATGGGAGTCCTGCACTGCCTCCCATACAACGCCTCATAAGGAGCCATCCCAATACTTGAATGATAACTGTTATTATAAGCAAACTCCACCAAGGCAAGGTGAACATCCCATGCATCCTTAAACTGTAACACACAGGACCTCAACATGTCCTCCAGAGTCTGGATAGTCCTTTCCGATTGCCCATCGGTTTGTGGGTGAAAAGCGGTACTGAACTGCAATCTAGTACCCATAGCTTCTTGTAAACACCTCCAGAATCGAGAAGTGAACCTAGGATCCCTGTCCGATACGATGGACACAGGTGCTCCATGCAATCTCACAATCTCATCCACAAAAAGTTTTGCCAACCTTGTTAAAGGATAGGTCTCCTTAATGGGTAGAAAATGGGCAGACTTGGTGAGTCTATCCACTATCACCCAAATTCCATCATGACCCTTTGAAGTACGTGGAAGCTTGAAAACAAAATCCATGGCAATACGCTCCCACTTCCATTCAGGAATCGGAAGTGGTTGCATGAGTCCCGATGGCTTCTGTCGCTCCGCCTTCACTTGTTGACAAATCAAACATTTACTCACATATTTGGCAATGTCTCCCTTCATATGCGGCCATGAATAATATGCCCGTAGCGTCCGATACATCTTCGTACTACCCGGATGCATAGTGTAAGTGGAACAGTGAGCTTCCTCCATGATTTCTCTTTTCAATTCAGCATTCTTACTAGGTACACATAGACGAGCTCCTTTTACCAAGGCTCCGTCTCCCCTTATGGCATAATCTTTCCGTGTTCCATTTTCTACTTCTCCCCTTATCCTACAGAGTGTAGGATCTCCCAACTGGCTTGCAATTACCCGCTCCACCATAATGGGTCTCACATGCAAGCTAGCAAGGATTCCACCCTGTTGAGTCATTTCCATTTCTACTCCATCCTTCCGTAGTTCCACCAATAATGGAAGATAGGCTGTCCTGATGTGAGCTAAGTTCGCAGTGGTCTTTCTACTCAATGCATCTGCAACCACATTAGCTCGGCCTGGGTGATACTCAATCGTGCAATCATAGTCCTTGATCAATTCCAGCCAACGCCGTTGCCTCATATTCAGCTCCTTCTGGGTAAAGAAATACTTAAAGCTTTTGTGATCAGTGAAAATCTGACACGTCTCACCATATAAGTAGTGCCGCCAAATCTTCAAAGCAAACACCACTGCAGCAAGTTCCAAATCATGAACTGGATAATTCCGCTCATGCTTCTTGAGTTGCCTCGAGGCATAAGCAATCACCCGATCATGTTGCATCAGAACACATCCCAAACCTTGCAAAGATGCATCACTGTAGATCACGAAGCCCCCTGAGTTATCAGGAAGAGCCAAAACAGGTGCGGTGGTCAACCGCTTCTTCAACTCCTGAAAACTCTGTTCACACTCCTCCGTCCACTCAAATGCAACATCTTTCCTTGTCAACCTCGTGAGAGGTGCTGCTATCGAAGAGAACCCTTCCACAAATCGACGATAGTAACCTGCTAACCCCAGAAAACTCCGTACTTCCGTCACACTTGTGGGTTGCACCCAATTCACAATAGCCTCAACTTTCTGCGGATCCACATAAATCCCTTCCGTTGAGATTACATGTCCAAGGAATACCACTCTATCCAGCCAAAACTGACACTTGCTAAATTTGGCATAAAGCTGCTTCCTCCTTAAAGTCCTCAATACCAATCTTAGATGCTTCTTATGCCCTTCCAAAGTCTTGGAGTAAACCAAAATGTCATCTATGAACACAATCACAAAGTGATCCAAGTATGGTCGGAACACTCTGTTCATGAGATCCATAAACGCTGCTGGAGCATTCGTCAGTCCAAACGGCATCACCAGAAATTCATAATGACCATACCGCGTTCTGAATGCGGTCTTAGGAACATCCTCTTCTCTAATCCTCAATTGATGGTACCCTGATCTCAGATCAATCTTAGAGAAATACTTGGCATCTTTCAACTGATCGAACAAATCATCAATCCGAGGCAAAGGATATCGGTTACGTACTGTCACCTTATTCAACTGCCGGTAATCAATACATAACCTCATGGTCCCATCCTTCTTCCTCACAAACAACACCGGTGCACCCCATGGGGAAACACTAGGTCGGATGAAACCCATATCCACTAATTCCTGCAACTGAGTCTTCAACTCCCGAAGTTCGGATGGTGCCATCCTATAAGGAGTTAGATAGATAGGATTGGTGCCTGGAAGGAGTTCAATAGTAAACTCAATTTCCCTTTCAGGAGGTAACCCAGGAAGATCATCTGGAAAGACATCGGGAAATTCACTAACAACGGGAATATCTTCCAGATTCAAGGTGATCTCTCGAGTGTCGATGATATGAGCTAGAAATCCTTCACACCCTTTCTGGAGTAACCTCTTAGCTGTAATAGCAGAGATAAGGCAAGTAGGGAGGATTCTACGTTCTCCCCGGAATATCACTTTGGGTTGTCCTGGACTCCGGAGTGTCACTTCCTTCCGGAAACAATCCACGGACGCATGATGCTTCTCTAGCCAATCCATCCCCAAAATAATATCCAAATCCACCAAATCTAAGGGAATCAAATCGGCTTCCAACCATGCATCATCTACTTGAACATAACATTCTCTGAATACTCGGTCCGCATACAAGACTTCCCCCGCAAGGCGGTAGTCATCGTGCGCGTAAATTGACTCAGCACTTGGCGCAAGTCCAAGGCATTATCTCCGGCAGGTGGAGATGGTGGAGGAGATGGAACTGATGGCGAAGGAGGTGGTGACGGAGATGGTGGTGGAGGATTTGGCCCCCATCTCTGACCACGACCTCGCGTTCTTAGTCGACGAGTCGACATGGTTCTACACAAAGAAACCATAACATCATTAGATCAACAATGCAGCAAAAGTGCAAAAGTCGAAGGAAAATGAACCTAATGCTCTGATACCAAGCTGACAGGACCCGCCCCGGAATTTCTCCCGAAACCGGGGCGGACCCCGTATTGTTGCCGACATCACACCGATGCCGGGCCCACTTACTAAAAACCCAAGACATCCTACCAAAATTTTGGCAGAGTCTCCCCTGTAAGATGCTCAAACCCAACAACATTCAACCTGCATAATTTACATAATATAAATCCCAACTGCCAGCATGCTTTCAACATACATCAATTCAAAGTAAAGTGCCCTCCGGCCTCAAGTAACAGCCTAACATGGGCGATAACAGAGCATCTAACAGAATTCGATTACAACAACAGCAGAGTAGAAGGAATTTACACGAACCCTATCTACAGATGAAATGTTTGGAGCTCGGAAACCGCTCGAACGCTTCCAAATGCCACTACTGTCTGGGGGGCGCAAAACGGAAATATGTGAGTGGACAAAAATAAAGTTTGCATTTAAAACAACATAGTAACCCCACCATGTAAAAATAATGCTCAAGCATGCAGTCTCCACATCCATAAATCAAATACTCAAACATAAAATCTCAAAGTCCCATAACTCTCAAAAATCTCAAACCACAACTCCATTCCCACAAGTATGCAACTCTCACCAACCCATACATATGTATACCTATATAAGTATATATTTATATATATATCTATCATATAACGTATACTTCTCTCCATACTAATGTACCGGGGAAGACAATCCAACCGGGGGATTGTTGGCTGGTACGCAGGATTTTCGAACCAGAACCCGCGTCCAGGGATGAGTAGTCCAACCGGGGGACGAAACTCCATAGCTCACACGCCGGCACTGCCAACGCCACGTGTAGCTCACAAATCTCATATCTCATATCAAGTCCTACGCGCGCAGACAGTATCATCCCCACACCGGCACTGCCAACGCCATGTGTGATGATACTAAGCAATATACATACTCTTCCCATACACCGGCACTGCCAACGCCATGTATGAGAACAGCAAATCTCATGACCTTCCCACCACACCGGCACTGCCAACGCCATGTGTGGGAAGCCTAGTAACCAGGGAATGGTACTCACCTAACATACTCATACATCTCACAACCATCCCTCAAATCATATCTTTCCACAATCTCATAACAACAACTCCTCATACTCCGTACATAGCACAATCTTACAACATCAACTCCTCATACTCTATACACAGGCAATATAGATAGATATCCCAAAATCCATATAAACATATCCATAATACTCAAACATAGCCATACTCAAAATATATTGCCAATACGTATATGAATATCCAAAGTCATCAACCAAATACTTAATAAATCACATTTCCATTTAAAACATATGCACAAATCTTTTATCAATAAAACCATGCAAATGCTTGAAAACAAAGTCCACTCACAGGTAATCCCACGCTGCCCGGCCCCGAGAGGGTCCTGCCTGCTGCGAACGATCGACAGAAGTACCTATTTCGAGATACGAACCCTTGATTAATATAATACACTTCGAAACGGGAATTTCACAAAAGAGAATACTTAAATCCCCAAGATCCCGGTGCGTGTACGTCCAATAGAATATCCTAAAGTCCGGTTACAGGTTTGGGAATCGCTTCCCATTCTACGGTTATCGTTAATCCCATAAACTTCGAATTATTGAATCGGAACATCCGGGGCTCCGATTCACGATCCGCGAATTCCTATAGGTTTCTAAGAGTACCTAAATCAACATACTTCAGTTTGGAAACGATCCAACGGTTAGAACTTATCGAACCCTAATAACGCACAATATGCGAAATCCGTTCGATAGTCAAACGACATCCAAATTGAGATCCGTAAAATCCTACGCACTCGTGACAACCTAATGATCTCATCAGGATAAAAAGCAACTTCAACAGCCTTGCCCACGCGCCGCCACACGCGCCGGCAGCGCGTGGGTGTGTAGAGGAATTTCCGGCGACGGAAAATCTCCACACCAACGCTCACCCTTCCTACCCTAGCTTCTTCTCAAGGTCAGGATCACTTTATTCAACTACCACGAGGTCCAATTCGCACGGGAACTTGCCGGAATTTCAAATTGAAAACCGGCCAAAACCTAGGTTTCCAATTCGGTTCCAAAACTCAAAATCGATCCAAACCTACCCCAAAAACAGCTAGAGCATACAGAGAGGGTTCGAAAACATACCAAACTCGACGGAAAAACTGGCCGGAATCACTGCGCTGTCGTGAAGAAAACCGGGAGAAAAAAACCAGTCGATATCGTGGCCGGATTTCGAGCTTTCCGGCAAGGAAATTGGGTGGGTCTTAATCGGGACTTCACGACGAGTCAAACGGAACCGGTCTCGAGGGCTGAGGTGGCCGGACGTGACGGCGGTGAGGGTTTTCCCGATTCGGTGAACAGTGAAACACGGGGGAGGGGGAAATCGCAGAGGGAGAAGACGCGGGAGAGAGAGAGAGAGAGAAAGTGAGGGGTAAATGTGAAAAATCTGATTTTACCCCAAACTTACTTTGAAATAATTACGGTTCCGCCATCGAGCTTATTTTGATCGCCAAAACTTCATTACAACTCCGATTCAAGCCTACCGCCTGTCTACGGTTTCGTCTCAGTACCACCTACACAACCAAACCACTCGTGGTCCCGAACTCCTTCTGGATAAGAAAATGACCAAAATTACCCTTAACCCAAGAGTAAATTAATAATTCTCTTAATTTAATTAAAATATGAATAAATTTGGAGTCGGGGTGTTACATATGCAATCAATTATTTCAAGGTAGCAGTGAAATAGTACTTATGATCCCTGTGATAGGGCACTAAAATACTGCATCTATTGTGCTTTAAAGTTATTACTTTCAAGACCTCGACATGTCTAGTTCACACCAAATCCTTGGTAAGCTTAGCCTTATTATTAGAGGAAGTGTAAATTATACAAAATGGGTCATTGGACTGACTATCTCTCTCTCAAGTGTTTGAAGTGTTGGAATAATATTCATATGGTCAATGACTTGGCAGACTATGTTGTTGTTGGTTAGCTTAGTGATACCACCTTTCCATCATAAAGTAATCTTATGAATTTGTTATAGTTGTTTCATTTTTAAAATTTGTAATCACTAGCTTTATGAATCCCATAGATTATATAGCTATTCATATACTCTCATATCTTTTTTCTTATGGGAGAAAGAGTAGTGCTCTGAAGCAAACTCCTAATTGGACAAGTGATAAAACTAAACAAGAGGCCACTTGTAAAGGCCCTTAATCTAATCATATTGATATACTAATAAAGCAAAACTTGTGGTGCACTGGATTACTAATCGGGCACTGGTTTTTTTAACTGAGCAAGAGATCTCTGTAATTGAGTGGCTGCAATTCAAATCTCTTATATGTTACGATATGGGGAATACGCTTAAAAGGGAAGTTCAAACACTTAAGGGAAGACTAGAGAAAATGCATTCAAACAATATCTTAATTTTGACTTCTGAGCACAATGCAGGGTGGTGTGCAACCCTAGCTATTAGAGGTTAACTAGGAGAAAAGCCATCTCTCAATTATAATTAGATGAGATGCCTCAAATGCATACGGAGGCATGGCATGGAGCCAAGCAATGCGTAGTGGCTCCAGTGGTTCCAACGACATCATGGCATGGAATGACTTTAATGGTTTCCATACAAACATGCACCCATTCCAGCTAATTATTACATATCTCTATCTTCACCATGCCTTGCTCAGTCATCTCTTTCCTTGTTTCAAGTTCAGACTGCATCATATCACCACAACAATGATCATAAATTAATGATGTATGATGTACCAAAAATTTCAAAAAAATTCGTTCTTATATGTTTTACCTTTATATGATGTATTAAGCCTTGAATTAATTGAATCACCCCACCTTGAATTCTTCTTGCTATTTCCAAAAGCAGTTCAATGACTTGTTTCCCTATTTATTTGCTTAGGGCAATTTCCAAAGCACAAAGGGTACAAGTTAGTCTTTAAGTGCGTATGTTATCTCAAAATTCTCCATGTCCCTTATTTCCCAGATAAAATTCTTGCCGTCCCCAAGTTCTACCTGTGTAAAATAAATCGAATCAAAACTAGAACAGGAAAAACTAAGCAAATAAGTATATACAATATGAATACATACCATGGCATGTGAAACCAGTCCAATTAGTTGCCTAGTTGAGTCGATGCTTGAATTCCAAGAAACTTCCTTTTGAATCCTAGAACAAAAATTAATGGAGGCTGAAGTTTGAAATTTAAAACTTATTCAAGTAACACTAAATAGAGTTTGAGTAATTTACCTTGCTTCAATGCCATACAGGGCACAATCGAGAGGTAACATGTCTTTTTAGTTCCTTAGACAATTTGTTGTCAAGGAACATGAAGTAAGGAACATGAAGGACATGCTACCTCTCGATTGTGAATACAGCAGCATGGCATGGAGTTGAGCAATGCGTAATGGCTCCAATGGTTCCAACAACGACATGACATTGAATGGCTCCAATGGTTTCCATACAAACATGCACTCCCCCCACACAGTTATTTACTTAAACTCATTCAAGTAAATAACTGAATGAGTTTAAAATCAATAGAGGTTGAAGTTTGAAATTTAAAACTTATTCAAGTAACACTAAATAGAGTTTAAGTAATTTACCTTGCTTCAATGCCATACAGTGTACAATCGAGAGGTAGCATGTCTTTTGTGTTTTTAGACAACTTCTTGTTAAGGAACATGAAGGACATGCTACCTCTCTATTGTGCATATAGCAACATGGCATGGAGCCGAGCAATGCGTAATGGCTCCAATGGTTCCAATATGCACCCCCTCCAACCAATTATTACATATCTCTGTCTTCACCATGCCATGCGTAGCCATCTCTTTCCTTGTTTCAGGTTCAGACTGCATCATATCACCACACCAATTATCAGAAATTGTTGAGTGAGATAGATTCTCTCTCTCTCTCTCTCTCTCTCTCATGGCCACCATACGCCAATCCTTGAATTTGGTGTTTGGGATGTGTTTGAATTTGAAGCCCACTGGATCAATACGGACGGACGGCTTCAACTATCAATGGCTGGGATGAAGTTGATCACATCTTCACCGCGAAAAGTCTATTCAGGTGAAAATTTATCGGGTAGGAATAAATTTCTATTTAAACCCCACACTTTTCTTTGTTCACTCCAATACTTAAATCATTAAGCTCTTAAGTTTTATTATTGCATAAAAAGACAAAAAAGGTGATCCCAACTTAATACTTAACCCTAATACATCTATACACGTACACCTCCACACACCCCACCACTATTCATATTAAGTTTTAGAAAAACACAAACTCCTCTACACCTTATTGCCAGATTACTTTTCTCTTTCAATTCAAGAAATCTACTACTCTTATTTTCTCTTCACAAAACCTCCTAGTTCATTCTCAATGCAGCTACACATTTGATAACAATATTTTTATCTCTTTAAGTAATGTGAGGTTGAGGTGAACTTAGAATGGTAAGGGGCAAGATAGCAAGGTGTGGGGTGTGAGGTTGATGAGTTTAAAAAAAAAAATCTTTTTCTGTTGGGTGTATATTTAGGGGTAGTTTGGGAAGATAGTGAGGTTTTCTTAGAAAATTGTGAAAATTTGAATTAGAAGTTGGGTGAACTTAGAACGTGGGGTGAACAAAAACAAGTGCGAGGTTTAAATATAAAACTTTGAAAAAGGTATGCGACAATTTGTTGGAAAGGTCTGTCTGGCAAAAATTTGTTGAGAAGAACAAAATTCGCGAGGAAAGGTCTATCTTGTCGAAGTTTGTCAAGAAAGAATAAGATTCGCTAGGACAGGTCCACTTGGTGAATGTTTGTCGGGAAAGAACATAATTCGTCGGGACAAGTCTATCCCGTCGAAAATTAGTCGAGAAAGAACAAGATTTGTCGGGAGGAATGTCTTTCTCAATGAAACTCTTCTTTTGTTTTTTCCTTCTTTATGTATAAAGATATCTTAGTGCTAATGGGTCTAGCTTAGTGGAAAATGAACTTGACTTGCAGATCATTGGTCTCAAGTTTAAAACTCCATGACATCTTAGAGCATCTTTAGCGCTGCTGGTTTGCCCGAGCAGCAGGGGGCCTAGGCCCAGCTTCTGGCTCTAGCGCACAAAGGCAAGACCAGGCAGTTAATGGGGCCACAAGCCTGGGCAGGCTCAAAGGCAAATCTTGCATGGGTTTGCTGACGTCAGCAACTAAATTTTTTTTAAAAATACCAAAATTTTCAGAATTTTTTTATATATAAATACATAGTCCTATTTTTCACTTCTCATACCAAAATTAATGGTTTAAGTATAAAAAATATATAAAAAATTAAAATAAATAGTAATTGCCCTTGCCCTTGCCATTTGGGGGTGGAACCAAAAAAGGCAAGGCTGACACTATTCATGTGAATAGTGTCAAACCTTGCCTTGCTTTAGCCTTTTGGGGTGAACTTGCTCTTAGTTGTGTGTGTATAAGAAACCTCTCTCCCGTGTTCTCAAAAAATATATCTTCGTCAATTCATATATAATCTTGTTTATTGTTATTTCTCTTTCAATTTGAAAAGATACATTCAAATCCTCACACTTTTCTCATATCCATAAAAATTAGATTTTTATTTTAGGCCAAACGACGTCGCTCGTGGCTTCTCTACTGAAAATTTTCGGTTTTTGGGTAAAAATAAAATAATCCTAGGAAATTTCAGTTCGCCCCTCCGTCCTCTTCCCAACTCCAACAGCCACAGATCAGACCCTCTCTCTCTCTGTCCTCCCATGGATTTGCTTGCACGCAGTATCTGCTTCTACCTACTTACCATTTCTTCGTTTCTCTTCTCGCAAGCTAGGGTTTGCGCTCTCTCGCTCTCTCGATCTATCTATATATTTTTGTAGCGATGACAAGTCGTCGATCTGATTATTGTGTTGTTCGATTTTGATCCAGGCCGAAGGTACTGCTTCCGTCTTCTTCATCGATAGCTCCACCCATCGATTTCTTCGCAGCCCGTCCTCAAACGATGTCGTCAAGGTAATTCCAGCAATTGCTTCTGCATCTCAATTACCTATCTATATTCGTCAATTTAATTCTGCCTATGAAATTCAGTAGAATTGAACTAAAATGGTCAGAAATATGTCGATCTATTTATGATTTTACCTCTAAAAGGGACTGTTGGGTTCTTCTTAGTACCGAATTTTAAGCATACCCACATGTAGTTTAACAGTATTCTTTTGTACATAAAGGGATACTTAGATGTTGTTCGTCATTTGTTTGCTAATATTACATGCTTTTACCTTCACAGCCTGACTCAATGTTGCTCCCAGAAGTCAGTGCAGCAGTGTCGGTCTTGCTTGGATTTGCACCACCTGCCACGCTCTCAGCTGCTGGTTCAGCTAAGGTGTTTGATAATAAGTGATGTGAAGTTATTTTATCCAGTTACTTCGCTTCTCGTTACTCAAATGTCTAATTCATGATATATCCTTGTTTCTTTTTGGTAGTTGAATGAGGTTCTCTTGCCTAATCCATTCAATAGACCTCGTGCTGTTTTTGTGCTGGAAGTCAGAGGAATTGATGGTATATACACTTGGTTCAAAATGCAAGCTAACCTGTGGATATTTTATTTTGTCATTATTGTTTTATGTTGTGCACTGACTATCAACATGAATGTATTATACATGCAGATCCTAGTCTTGTAGTCAAAGATAACGCCATGTTCAGCAGCGCCTATACCGCCAAGATTGATTTTGGCTCAAACAAAGCTGACATTGAGCTTCCAGGTATATTACTTTTTATAAATGTATTAGTGGCTAAACTAGTGCATGAACATTACCATTCATAATCTAGAAATACATGAGTTTTATTCATTGTGTGTGTTGTTGCAGATCAAGGTGAAGTCTCTGTGTTTTCTTTGGATGAACAATTGGCAGATTATACTGTCAAAGAGATTGGCGATTTTGTGAGTCAGGCTTCAAGTTATTCTATATCATATTTTGTTTTCCATGTTGTTTATCTTTTCCATATTCTTGGTTATTTACCCTGTATACATGAAAAGGAATTTGAGTTCTCGTTTTAATCTTAATTCGAATTTTTTTTTTCCCTTAGGCATCTTGGATGGGTGGTTCATATGTTGTTGATACATTGGAACCATTAAATGGAGAGTTGACCATCCCTTTGGCCAATGGTGACAACTTGAAGCTTCATATGTCAAAGGTTCTCTTATATTGAGTGTTACATGGTCTTTTGTTTGATTATATATTATGCATATATGTTGTAAATTTGGCCACTTAAATCGCAAGGTTTGCATTGCATATCTTTGCAGGAGGCAGACAGGATATTCACAACTAGCCTTTTGTCTCTCATCCGCAACTTTAGAAGTGCAATGGAGATGCATCAAGATTTGTCTCACAGTATCCACAGCCCAGCTGAGTTATTAACAGGCCGTTTTGATCGAATCAAGGTGTTGTTTCCTTCCTTTTTATTCTTGGTAATTTCAAATTTTAGAATGGATGTTAGAAAATGTTCTTGTCAATAGAAATGAAGCTTTATATAATGTATATTTTAGTTAGTAATGTTACAGTTAAGATAAGGAAGACAGAGGTGTAGGAATTCTGCATGGATTGTGTCAAAGTAATAACTAACTAGAGTATTCTTTGTGTGTGGATATGTTTATGTTTACGGTGGGAGGGGGAGGAAGATCTAAGTCCCTCCAGGCCCAGTTCAGGGTGATACTTTCAAATGGATCATAAAAAATAGTAGACTACTTTCAGATATACCCTCTGACAAAGACTCCATGTATTTATCTGATCATAGAGAAGGCATTCCAAGAAACCACTAAGTTTGGTATGATGACAAGCCACAGTTTCTCAGTTATTTAAAAAAAAAGTGAGAACGTACTCTTACCCGAATAGTTAAAAAAACGTGTATTCTTTTTAATTATTCCGGATGAGGGGGAAGTGGAGGGTAGGTATGGTGTGGAGCTCACTTTTGGGCATCATGCTTTCACATCCTCTGGATTTTGGGATATACTATTATCTCTTATTTTTGTCGATTGGAAGGCTGCATTGTTAAGTTGATTTCAGTTAGCCTTAGATGTTTTTTGATCTAATTTAAGATACTCCGAAACCCAGCCCACATCAGGAGCTGACATGCCTGAGTCGACTCTGCCGACTCTGCCATCGAGTTTTCCTTACTCAGCCTCACATATTTAATATGTTGTTTGTAGCTGCTTGTTGGTTAGAGGTCTTTCCTTTTTTAGTGGACAGCTTGTTTGTTTTTTGTTGTATTGAGTATTGGTATTTATATCATATTTAATAAAATCCTTTTGTTCCTCCTTAAAAAGAAAAGAGTACATCAAAACCCAATGCGTATGTTACATATATTCAGTACATGTGCAGATATAAACACGCACACCCACAGAGTCAAATAATGTGTTTGCACTTTCTTTTCTGCATGCGTCATTGTTTATTCTTATTACGCAACTGTAGTGAATTCCATAGCTTAATAATATTTGTTTTATAACACTATGCTAGGTTTTGCAAGAGCAGTATGGAACTGAAGGTGCTGCTCATGGAGTGGAGCTGCTACTTGCTACACTGTCCAAGATATTTGACTCACTCGATGATGCATACAAAGGTGATCTTGGTTTTAACTTTTTGGTAATTATTATCTGATCCCTGGCTGTAGCTTTACAATATTCCTATGCCTAGGGGAAGAAAATACCTGACGTTACATGACAATCTGCACATAACTAATTCTTGTTCTTTTAAAGCAACTCCTGTTCCTTGAAAGATTGTAGCCAATTTTATGTATATATCTGCCTTATCTTTGATATTGTTAAATCATTTGTATTTTTCGTTGTTTAATAGTTTGGTTGAATATATCACTGTCTTTAAAGTTGACATTAATTTGGCAGGTCAAATTGTTGGAGCTATCCTTTTCAATGGAGTTGCACCTGTGGAGTCAGGGAAGATGTTGAATGTGATGTTTACTTGTCAGCCATCTCCTCGTTGGTTGGCTGAAAAAGAAGTCCCGAAAGATACAAAGATTGTGCAAGTGCTTTTGGTTAGACGTACACTTGCTTGGATCACTGGAATTATTCTCATCATTTCAACTCTATTGGGGGTAAGGTTCACTTGTCATTAAAGACCCACAGTGAAACATGAAAAGGAGAAGAAAAAAAACCCAGTGGCCATGAACCAAATTTTATATGCTGTTTGGACTTTGGTCAAGAAAATTGCAAGTTTAAGGATGAAATAATCAAACTAATTATAGTTGAAACATCTGCTCTGGCTTGACAGACTAAGGAATTTAAATAAATTAAAAAGGCTTTCTTGAATCATTTTTGTTAGGATGTCCAGTAGGTTATGAATCACCTGTAGATTGTCAGATACATGTTTTTGAGTGATTGTACAAATGATACAGTTAGACAGTGGTTAAAAAGGATATTTCACATGTTTTGTTGCCCTTGTTTCAATGTAGGTATGCTTCCTTCTGAATATGCCAGTCACCAGGGATACCCTACTGTACTCTAATGTCAAGCTGGACTAAGCATGAAATGGAGCTACTTATTCAATGTTCCGAGTGCCTGGAAGAGGCCCAGGTTGCCACTAAACCTATTATGACATGTCTTATGTAGATGCCTTGTTATATGTATCCATGATTAACATTGTTGTTGGGATACTGTTATCTGATGATACTGAACAGGTTTCTCTAGCTAATCAGATGCTCTCTATCACACTGATGGCATGAATTGAGAATTGGCTTTATGGAAACGTTAGTTATTAGTCAGAAAGGTTATTATTCATTTTTTATTATAAAAAATGTAAATCATGGTTTGGGCACCAGGGGTATAAACGAGAAATTTCTTGTTTGTTGAATGAGGTTTATTCTCATCATTAGGGTGACTTGAGGAGATTCTCTATGATATATGTATTTGGTGTATTTAAATCTAGAGTTTTACATTATATGTATTTTATCTCCCGAGATTTGAATAAAAAAACCATTCAATTTTCTTTCATATTCAATTTCTTTTCATGGAGGCATGTGTACGTGCTCTTCCGATTTTTCAAAGTTGTAAAATACGGCCTTATTTTGCTTATCAACCTGGAATCATCATGCTTTGTTCTTTTTCCTTGTTTTGCTTATATTCCACCAAGATGGTTAGATGCCTTGCCTTCAATCTTGGTGAAGCCAGTAGCCCTCCAGTGTTTTGGAACTCGCCTCCCAAACCTCATCAGTCCCTCCACCTCTCTCTCTCTCTCTCTCTCTCTCATGGACTTTTCATTTAGTTTTTAGATATTTTCATCAGTTATTTAAATATTGGCTATTCAAAATCTTGTTTTATTTATTACAACAACTGAGATACTGAATAGGTCGACTAAAAAGGTATATAATTTCGCAATTATAACATTATTGCGTTAAAAAAAAACACCTAGTAATCACGTTCGCAGTCACAGTATGACGGCAGGGCAATCACGTTCGCAGTCACAATATGACTGCAGGGCACCGATGTCAAGAGTCCATGTTCACTCAAGGCCAATAGCAAGAGAAACTTGCTCCTATATTTTTTGGATAGGAAAGAACGGACGTGTTGAGAAATATCCATTTTTACTCAATTTCTTCAGCTTAGATCTCATTTATTAACATTGTTAATTACTCTAGGGTGTAGAATTACTTAGACATCATGATTCTAGCCTTGGATTGATCAATAGCTTCTATTCTATATTTGAAATCTGGTTATTCGAAACCCTATAGCACATTGGGTGTGTTAGAAAATCTCATTCCCCAACCAATTTTAAAAAACCTAAAATCGAAACTTAAGGTCATTAGATACCATAAATAATCAACCATGCCAATAAATGAGATCAAAAGTCAAAACTTCAATAAAGAACAAACGTCATGTGTAGATCTTGGATTTTTTTTTTTTTTTTTTTTTTTTTTTTTTACACTTATATTTGTTGTTGATTTGTTAGTATTATTAAAAGTGAGCAGTTATAAATAATTTGTGTGTAATTTAAGGCCAAATTTTGACTAGTGGAGATGCTCTCCTTGAGATTGAGTTTGAGAGGGGGGGGAGGGAAAGTGACCGTTGTAGCAAACGGTGACAGTTGAGTGAGGCTTGTATTAACCAAACCCCAAACCCCAAACCCAAGCGTGTGGTTTCGAAGTAGAAAACTTCACCCTTCATATCCACTCAACGCATATCTTCTTCATCTTCTTTCTTTCTTTAATTTCTCTCTTGCAAGTTACAGCTAAGTTTTCTTTTTCTTAGATGTCTTCTTGCTCTCTCACTCTCTTTCTTCACCCTCCTCCTCCTCCTCCTCCTCCTCCTCCTCTTCTTTCACTTCCATTTGCCCCCAAAAAACCCCACCAATGTTACTCTCTCTCTCCACTTTCCCGCACTTTCAAATCCTTCAAATCTCCCCACGTCATCTGCTTCTCTTCAAATTCTTCCTCTTCCCAAAACGACCGCGAGGAGTCCCGCTGGCTCCGCGAAGAGCAGCGATGGCTCCGCGAGGAGCAACGCTGGCTCCGAGAAGAACAGCGCTGGGCCCGTGAACGCGACTCGCTCCTGCGAGAAATCGCCGAGCTCAAGCTCAAAATTCAGGCCCTAGAGCATCGCCAAGAAGGAGGAGGGGCTTCCGTGTCGGAGTCCGAGGCCATCGCCAACATCGCCGGCTTGTTGCAGATTTTGACGGAGAAAAATCGGATAGCTGAGACAGGGTCGAGTTCCAGAGCCATAGAATTGGACCATATTCAGGAGGAGATTCAGGAAGTGTCTGCCGTTCCGGAAGTGAAGGAGAAGAAGAAGAGCAGAAATGCTTTGAGGAAGGGGTCGGAAGGTGAAGAGGTCCGAGCTATGCAGGTCTGCTTGCTTTTGAAAGGCGAGTTTTGATTTTTGGGAGTCTACCATTCATTTCTTGTGTTTTGTTTATGATTTAGTGTTGTCTTTGAACTATAAAATGGTACTTTTAAATTTGGCAAACTGAAAACTGAGCAGCATACAGTTAATTACAACTTACTAGGGGGTATTAACTTTCTTTTTAGTATAAAAAGTTGTTAACTTTTGTTTATTTTCTTTTTCTGTAACTGGGTTTGTGTGGTTCTTTCCTTTTCTAGTGTTCGCTTCGTTTTTGGATGTAATATTTGTGATTTCGACTTGTTCTAATATAATGTTCCTGTTATTTGACAGGAAGCATTGCAAAAACTAGGATTTTACTCGGGTGAGGAAGACATGGAGTTTTCCAGCTTCTCAATCGGGACCGAACGTGCTGTCAAGACTTGGCAAGTAAGTTTCAATTATCATTAGATGTTACTATGTATAATGCATGAAGAGTAAAATTTCATAATCATCAAGTTGAACAAAAATTTCACAACGTGAAATATATATGTTAGTCAACTTGTAATATCTTGTTTGACAGGCTTCCTTAGACGCCCCCCAAGATGGCATAGCGACTGCAGAACTTCTTGAACAATTATATACGTTGGCACAAATTGAGGGTGGTCTGGATAACAAAGGGAGTACTCTGACTGCTACACAAACGGTATAGCCTTCTGACGACATACCATTAGCCTTTATTAAGTGGAAGACGTTGATGTTTTAAGTTTCAGTACCAATATATCATTCCTCACTTGGAACTAAACATAATGGTTTGGTAAGTCATCACTTGCATTCCTCAAGAGGAGCCAAAAACTCATTTGATGGTTCAATTTGAAGTGAACTAAGCCTTCATTTTCTTCAACCAGATTGTAACGAATTGTAGCAAACAGTACTAAGTACCAACCAAGAAGCTCTGTTACTTAATTGAGAAACGGACCTGAAGCTCCGACTCTATTTTCAGTAACTCAGACATGAGGTTTCTTGGTTCCAGTTCATGAGACAATCACTTAACATGCAAATAAATACGATATGACAGTGACGCAATGTGCTGTGATAACTGGTAACACACCATAACTTATTTTGGATACTAATAAATGAAGCTGATTATATTGGTAAACTGATTTTCTTCTCCTGGTTGGCCTTGAGCTAGCTACTTGATCATTTTCGTATAAGCTATAGCGAACCACTACATAGGAGCTGAAACATCGTAATTCTTCTAATGGTTACATGGGTTCTGTTGTTTAGGAAGATACAAATGGAGCTGCAGTTACTTCTGTAACAGAAATTTCAGAGGTCCAGCAAACACTTGTGAAAGAAGGTGTTACAGAAGTAGAGGTATCTGAGCATCGTGTTTTTCTTCTAGGAGAGAACCGCTGGGAAGATTCTTCTAGACTTAGCAGGAACCAAAAAAAAGGAGGTGAAAGCAAGACAATGAATACCACAACAAGGTGTCTTACTTGTCGAGGGGAGGGTCGCTTATTGTGCACAGGTACCTCCTGTCTCCCGTCTTAGTCACTATATTCAAGTTTATAAACCATTGCCTTGCTATGCCAAACTTTTGCAGAAGTACTCTAAATCCACCCATACTATGTATTTGTATATTTATTTTGTTTGATCTGATTTTTAAATATAATGTTGAACACCAATGGCTTTGATGATGATATGCATTAGTTTTATTTTTGTACTTTCGCATATTTTGTTTCAACTATCCTCAGTCCCCTTGGTAGCTTATCTGTGTATTTCTTTGTTGCAGAATGTGATGGAACAGGCGAGCCAAACATTGAAGAACAGGTTAGAGGTTTCAAACAGAGATATTAATATTCTCATTTTCGAGCATTATCCATCCAGGATGAAGTTTTAATTATTTTGTTAAATGACAACAGTTCTTGGATTGGGTGGAAGAGGGAGCAAAGTGTCCATATTGTGAAGGTCATGGGTTTACAATTTGCGACGTATGTGAAGGGGCAACAGTAGCTTAGGTATGAAAATATCTTCCCATAAAGACATGTGCAGTTTTATGCTTTAGTACATGTGTTTAACGGTAGTTTGCATTTATAAACAAATGCAGAAAATCATATGTATATCTACTGTTTATTATACAAGTCAACGGGGTCTAGCTCAGTGGAAAAGGGCGATGACTTGCAAACCAGAGGTCTTTTGTTCGAACCACGACATCATATTTGTGTGTGTGTGTGAGAAATCCCTCTCCCCTGTAGTACTATAAAAAAAAAAACAAGTTGACGTTGTACTTGGAAATTAAAGAGAAAAATAAAAAGGAAAGTTGCCAATCGGCAAGTTTAATACTTGATCAATAATTCAAGGGAGATGATGGAGGCGAAGAGATGAATGGGAGGTGATGGACGTGGAGAGATGAGAGATAAGCTATGTTGCACCGATACTCCTAACTGGTTATGCTGGTATCTGATATTCCGATATGCCAATATGGATACGATAAGCCTCTTATACGTATTTGATACGGATATAGGAGTGTCATTGACTTTTTCTGAAAGTTTGACCTTTCAATACGTTTCCGATACTTCAATGATATGTTTTCGATACTTGAAGGGGTAATTTCGAAAATATATTTGGTCGTTTTCAAATTTATAAAATCCTACGGAGCTGGATTTGGGAAGTGGCTTCTCAATGTTTTAGTTTGTTTTTGTGTTACCTTTTTTTTATGATTTGAACAATCCTATGGAGACTTATATTTTGTGTTTTGTTTATAGAGACTAGTATTTTGTGTTTAGTTTTATGTTTTGTACTTACGATGGATGATTATAACATGATGGATGTAATATTAATTTTTGCTATTTATATTAATTTTTAAATATATATTATTTTAATCACCATATCGGTGTCGTACTCTTATCCTAATTTTTGGAGTTTTGCCGTATCTGCAAATCATATTGTGTCGGCATACCCATACCCGTACTTGTGAAACATAGGAGATAAGTGAGGATAGGGTTTGTCCCCAAAAAGGTGAAGACAGGGTTAGTGAAACGCCGTGTTTCACTTATGGGCTGGTATTTTAACAAGGTTTTCTTACGGGCTTGGGCCCATATACTAAAACATTACCTAATTGTGTTTTTATTTCAACCCTCTGCTTTATATCATCAAAGCATATATCATGACTGGCATATATACATTTTCTTACTAATTTTGGTATAAATTCATAACTTATAATACAAAATAATTTTATAAAAATAGACACCCAGGCGGCGGGCTCCTAGGCCTTGATTACTCATCTAGGCACTAGGCCCCTGCCGCCTGCCTACCGCCTAGCAATTTGTCAAACATTGAGTATTAGATACTTAACCTTAAGCCCCACAGCTAAAGCAACTTCACTTTGAACATAAGCAGAAAACTTAATTGTATTTTATTAAAAAGGGAGGAAGTAAATTACTCGTGCAATCAATTAAACAGTGTCTAAATTGACAGATATCTGCAGTGTATATAAAGCACGGCAACACTATCATGGATCAACTGATACGGTTATGTAGAGATCAATATTGTATCTCCATCAATCATTTAGAACTTATACTGCCCTACAAGCTCTTATTGTGACAGAATTCAACCAATTTAAATTTCCCAAAATATATCTATGTTTCCTCCTCTGGTGAATGTGAAACAACTACGTAAGCTTTGGGAGGACAGGACTAACTCCTCCAGACCTTGTATACAAAATCTTTTCGTCCTATTGCTTGCATCCTTATAGATTTGTCTTTGGTTTGCTACCTGCAGCAATACGCCTCGTCACTGAACGCATTGTCACAAATTCCTCTGCTGCAGAAGGGTGTATTCCCACCTGCACAAGGAACAAAAAATAACTTTCAGTATAGGTGAAGCCACAAGGTAAAAAAGCATTTAGAAAACAAAACAATTTACAGGGGAATATACTCAGAATAAAATCACCATTTACTTTCCCTTCCAACATCCATAACAAAAGTTAAAGGATGGTTACCACCTCTCCCCTCCCCCCCTATTGCACCCAACTCATCCTCTCCCTCTCAACCCATGTTTCTTTCTGTCCTTAAAGAGAAAATGTGTTTATCCTCTGCTTCTGTGCAAATAGTTAGTGAATAAGCATTCTTTTTTGTGCATTAATTCAACAGACTGTTTTCCTTAAGCTAAAAACAAGACATTAAAGTGGCAAACACTTGAACTACTTAATAGCCATAACGAAAAGTCCAAGTATGATCAATGGTCCTAACAAAATACACAAAGTGGGTGATTTGAAAGTAAAACTCAGAAATGAATCTTCGCCCAGCACTAATACCCAACTTACCGTACTGTCAAACTGTGCCTTGGTTGCCCCACACTTCAGTGCAATAGCAATGCCCTGTGTAAGACACCCAAAATGATGTAATTCTCTGAACAACAATAAGATGGTAAAATGAAAAGAAGATGAAGAGTACTATAAACAGCATTTAGAAGCAGTATAAGCTCAAATTACACAAAATCTCTGCAACATGGTGAAAATTAACCTTTGTCTATTAGAAAATGATAACTCATGATTCTAAAGGCTTCTATGAGCGCATTTTCTTTAGCTTTTTCAACCTAATCTGCTCAAAATATCGACAACTAGTGAGAAAGAAAAAGTGACAGCAGGTCACACCTTGACCCAATGCCCTAGAGGCCCTGAACTTCCGCCTAAACCCTTTTATGTATCCATTAAGCAACTTCCTCCACCCTACCCCCAAACCCTCTTTTTCTGTGACATTATCTAAGAAGATCCACTACACATGATATTACACCTTTCAAAATCGATCTTGAACACTCTTCCAAAGTTTCCATAATGTGAGTCATCAACTTAGTTCCATGATAGTTTGTACAACTTTAAATATCCCCTTTATTCATGTAGTACAATACTTTATCTCCTATCATCAAGCATACACGCCCTCATCTTCTAAACACTTCAAAAACCTCAATAAGAATATTGTTTGGTCCTAAACCCCTTCCTGTGCCTAATACTTTGTCAGATCACAAACTAAAGATGACAATTATCCAAAAGATTTTACTCAAGTATCACACAAGATTAAGCTTTCTATTTTTCTTCTTTAATACTCATAATATACCATCACTTAGGTAGTAAAACAAAGGATCATGGGCAACAATATTGCAAGGTTCCTCTCAGGAATTACTAAAAAAATAGAGCTGAAAATACTTGATTCTTGAAGGACTCTCAACATGCAGACACTGCAATAACTATTCATATCTAGGGATACAGACAAATTAAAGCTAGAGAGAAGTCCCGTTGTACTCGAGGGCAAATTTGAACAGAAAATAAGGAATTAGTTGACTTCAGTTATGCAAGCGCAGTTTTGTTGAGTCGAAAAGTTCTTTTATATATCAAATTACAGCAATTGCAAACACAACATAGCATTTGAGATTTACGGAGTTGTACAAATAACACAACATATACCTGCACAATCTCAGGTGAATCTGGCCCACACATGGATGCCCCAATAACTTTATCTGTCTCAGCATCAACAAGAAGCTTCATAATTGTCTTTTCTTGTCGTCTAGATGAAAAATATTAAAAAAACAAATACATTGAAGTCAGTGCTTAAAACACCAAGGGAATGGACTATAAATTTGCTCAAAGAGAATAAATAGAACTTCAAGCTTATAATTGTACGTAAATGATTTTGCTCATAAATTGAAATCAAAATTTTTGCCTATAGTTCAATTGATAATTGAGCTCTCATGTTGATGACCTTATTTATGGAAAGCATGAAAGAATCCAAATTCAAACTTAATCATGGGGCATCACAGTACAAACCAACAAAGCAACAATTGTAATTTTCAGTCAGCGTCTGTACGGACATATGCAGTAATGCAAAGAGTAAGACCTCATAATGCCGTACGTACCCAGATACAGTGTTCTTCATTGGAGTGAAGGTCGATGTGAAGACCAATATATCACCTTTGGCTTGTTCTATTGCCTGTTCTTCACTAAGGCCCACAACAGAAAGAGGTGGAATGCTGCAAACATCAAACAGAAGTTCATTAGGGAAAAAAATTTATCCAAATGCAAGAAATCAGAAATGTTTGAGTATCATAAGATTGCCCTGACACAAATTTAAGTAACCACACAGCTACTGAGAAGCCAAATAAAATGGGTAGACTTAAGATGTCTAACATGACCAAAGGCAAAGGCTGCAAACCACTTCTTAATTGTTATCAACGTGGCAGATTTCAAGTAAAAAACCACAGCAAGTTAATGACCCAAGGCCTAATCCAAAAGTGCTAGCTGAAGGTGACTTTTGGACTCCTAGGCCTTGCTTATGTAACATAGATCTTCCCAGCGCATTTTTTATGTGGGATTCGGGGTATCACAACCTGCCCTACTTTAGGACTTGGCATCCTCACCAAGACGGGAATCACCTTTATCAAACAGGCAGGCCTTTCGATGAGCAATTCAACCATTTAGCTGCCCACAGATCCACGTTATCCCGTAGCACAAGGGGGTTGGCGCTCTTTCCCTCATCGGCAGGGAGACGTTGTCATAACAAAGGCCCACAAATCCCACATAGGCAACCGGCCGGGTTGGGGTGTGATACCATTTGTAACAACCCAGGCCTCGTCCAAAAGTGCTAGTTGAAGGTGACTGGGTTTCCTAGGCCTTGTTTATGTGGCAAAGATCTTCCCAGTGCATTCCCGATGTGGGATTCAGGGTATCACACCAAGCACCCGGTCTGGTGTTTGCACTTCTCAAGAAAAAGTTCAACGCTTAACTAATTCTATAAGTAATAAACCCAACACTTCAAAAGGATGAAAAACTTTTATAAAATCACAAAATAGTAATTCAAAATATAATTCAACTACTATGATGTTCCTATATTTACAAGAATATTTCCCCATCTTAAATGAAGTTAATTGGTCCCCAGAAAAACTAATGTTCTTCATTCCAATCTTTTTCACCTAAAAGATTCTGCAAGGGAGCTCTGAAGTTTAAAGCATTCACATTCAGATCCATAAGTATCTGTAATTAGATTTTCATTTGAGTTGATCATGCCATATTAAAAACAAAATTCAAACCATAATGCATCTTCAAATCCTTCAGGAAAAGAGGGCTTCTTATGTTGATCCACGGGTGGTATTAAATCTTTACGAAAGAACAAATATCTAACTTAAAATGCCAGTCCTCATACACTCTCTATATGCGGAGGAGTTTTCTGGCAAGAATCACTTATGAGTTAATGTATTCTAGAGATCTCATGAGATCATAAAGTGTATTTATTGTGACCAGCTCCACCACACAAAAAAGTCACCTTTAAAGGGGGGAAAAAACATAAAAACAACGGAAGGCCCTTCTTTTGAGGGAGAAACTATTACCAAAACACTGCACAGGGTATATCGCGGTGATCCGGTTTGCTAGGTTGGTCACCAAAAACAGTTTTCTGTTGGGAACATAAGATAAATTATTAACAACATCAAATCATCTATTTGTTGATAAAGCTAAGAATCCAGAGAAAATGAAAATTAAGCAATCAATAAAAAGTTTAAGGAAAAGGTAGAAAGAAAATACATACTGCGAAGCAAGTTCCCTCCATTAAAGCCACAGGGGTAAGGTTTGCTCGGTTTGTAACATCACCGACAGCCCATATGCTAGGTATGTTGGTACGTGAATACTCATCTACCTGAAAGAGAAAAGAGCCGAGACCAATATGGTATAATTGCTTGCCACAGTAAAAATCTCTCTCTCTGGGAATGGCATCACTGATTATCGGATTAGGACAAAGCATCAGACAAAGAAAACAAAAAATAAATTACTAAAGAAAAGAGAAAAGGAGAAACAAGGGAAGTTGCATTAAGATTATCAACTGTATAACTCTATATTGTTTGAAACGACGAAACCATAAATCCCACTGGCTCCATCCACTAATTGGAGACCACCCTGAACCGGTCCTAATCCTCACATTACCATTGAACTTTGATTGTCACATTGATTGACAGCAGAACAAAAGATGAGGTATTAGGGTTTTACAAAAATTAGGGGACCCAAAATGCGTAAGCACGATTATTTGCCTTCTCATAGAGAAAAAGGGAAAATTAATTCAAAATAAACATTGAAGACTCAGATTTGCGAATACGGAAAACAAGAGATATACAAGATACTGACACCAGGTTAGTGAATCAAGTTTGCAATAACTTCAAATGTCTAGAAAAAAACCACTGCAGAACTAATACTAAAATCAAACACATACAAATTCAATTCAAAGTTGAAACACATGACAAAACGTCAAATGAAAATAACAAGATGCAAAAGTCAAAGCTAGTAACCTTCACAGCTCCTGTTTTATCAAGTTCCACACCTATGGCTTCCAAATTCAACCTCTTTGTATTGGGAGCTCGACCTGTCATTTGTAAATTAGACCAAGGCAATCATTTTCCTGTGAGAGACTGAGCTAAACCATAATACAAATATCATTACTAAGTTCACCCCTAGTGCTCTAAGTTACGAAAAACAAACACAAGTTTATACTACTAGTGAACAGACTATTAAATGCATGAATTACATGAATCCCAAAATGTCTGGATACACGGATGATTGGAGATGATAATTCCACAAAGTAGTGCAACTACCGAAACTATTATAATCATTTACTATGCAATATGGTGGAAGCCAGACACATTAAGAAGCATGGATAAGATGCAAGAACAAGGATTGACAGCTAAACTTTAAAGGAAAAAGGTAGCACTATTGCTGTCACATATGTTATGAGAACTTTGAAGAAAAGTAGCACATGAACTCAGGTGATGTCTAACAGCTAACATGAAAAGGAAAAGGTTTTCACTATTGTAACACTGGGTGACTTGTACAATTATTTAGATAAAAGAAAAAAAAACAGCTAAACAGGACAGCTCAATATCAAGCCATGACCAATGACATTGCTTTACCCAACAAAGGAGGGAACCCTAGATGCTGTTCAAACTATTGGCAACAAGGGAGTCTTATCCAAGGCTTGTATGATGCAATGTGAATTGCTAAAAACATAGCGGAATATATCCAACCAACAGAAGAGTAAATACATAATTAAAGTGTTCAAATGGGACAGTCTGACTGTCACCGAGGGTTTAGCCGAGTGGTGAGGCCTGTGGTTTGCTCTCCTGGAGTTCAGTTCCTAAGGGACCTACCTAGCTATTTGCTACAGTTCCTGCCTCCCAAGGATTGCAGGGTTCAGCAGAAGGTCCCAGTTCCGATTTCACAATTCAAGTATTGAAAAAAACTGAAAATAATTTCTTTTTGGCCTAGGCATGAGCTCGTGGTTTTTAATTAATTTTTTCTTTACTTAGTTACAATTTATAACAAGTAGCATTAACTTCCAACCCCATTATCAGAAACACAACTAAATAGGTCTGTGGTTACCAGTGGCAAACAGTACAACATCTGTTATCAGCTCTTCACCATGATCCGTGATAACTTTTATGCCATCCTCTGTTTTTATCAACTGAATTTGCAGGAATAATCATTAGCACTAGGACAAACAAAGATCAAACAAAAGTCAAAACATATACACTATAAAAGTAAGAGCAGCAACAAAGGTACGTCTACACTTCCTATGAGTCACAATACCTCTGTCAAATTTGTCTGTGGGTGTAGATCAATTCCCCTTCCTTCCAGATTCCGTGCAACCGCTGCCCTCATTTCATCATCAAAACCTCTGTAGTAGGATATGGACGAATCTAAGTGAGTCACAAATGCTACTGTGTCCTTCACAATAATTTGTAACATGGCATAGGAAACACATTTCAGAGTGCAATGTTCACTCCTCAAACATGAAATGGCAACGAGGTTCAAAAAATGAAAGTTGTTTTCTGGGGGAACCAAAAGGTAGTTCAGCTTCCTTTCCAAAAATTGTTAAAAAGCAAAAATCATTTTTTCGATCCTTCTTTTTCATTGGATCGTTATAAGGGGCTTGTAGCTTAGAAAGACTGGGAGGGAAAAAGGAAAGGAACAAGCATTATATTTCTGTACACCATGCAAGCTTAACATTTTACATCACTCAACATTTCAACATAATCAACTTGCCCCCTCCTTTTCTCTCCTTTTCAGTTTCTTTCTCTCTTTCCCCATCAGCATGCAATAACTCTTTCTTCATAACAGTGGTCCATCCACGAGGAATTACCATGATTGATGGTCCAAAATAGATTTACACTTATTGGCATGGCGTGTACTGTTTTGAGCATCAATTTTCCTAACTTCATAGTCATTCCCAATAAATAAAAACGCCTTACTGTGCAATTAAAAAAATTTCCAAAAAGCACAAAAAAGTTAAAATTAAACTCAATTCCCAACAAATACCTTAGTGCCTCAAACTTGCAACAAATATTACATAATAGACAAACAAAAGCCCACATGGCAGCAACTCCATTATAAACATCATCAAGGCTAACAGTTCGAAAGGGAAAACGCAATAATATCAAAAATAACAACCTCAATGGAAGTTCCTTTCTGAAGAATAGATCCACTGAAGCACCCATCCCACGCCATATTGAAGCAAACTCAACAGCAATGTACCTAATAACAAGAGAGGATAATGGGACTAACTTATGAGCATGCAAAGCAGATAAAATCAAACAAACATCATAAACAAAGAGATTAAGACAAACCCTCCGCCAAGCACCACAGCACGTTTAGGTAACTCCTCCAAACTCAATGCTTCATCAGATGATATACCCAATTCCTAGAAAAGAAATTAAAATGAATTAGAAAGAAAACAGAATATGTGTAAACAACAATAATAGCACAAACAGAATCATATTTGAATGCAGCGACCATGTTATGTATCAAACTTAGGCAGTAGTTGCAAATGAAGGACAGTTGAATGCTATAAAAATCAGCTCTATTAATCCAACTGGGGTGAGGCTTCTTTGGCTGTATTTTTAACGACAAGGGACCTCTTTGTTTTAACAGAAAATTCAAGAAGAATTATAACTTTGATGATCAACAAATCTACCTTTTGTCAAATAAAACTGTATAATATCATAAAGCACACTCAGGCCAAAATAAAATGTCGAATAACACAACTTCATATTTAGCATACAAGTTTAAATTCCAATGCAGAATTTTACCTGCCCAGGAATAGCAGGTCGTTGAGCCCGACTGCCAGTTGCAATCAATATGTGCTTGGCTGAATAGCTCAATTTAGTGCCATCTAGCTGTGTCACCTCAACTTCGTTGGGACCAACTATCTTCCCCTCTCCTTCAAACAATTTAACCCCAGCATTCGACAATAAACGCTTGTATATTCCATTTAATCGAATTATTTCCTCCGTCTGTGAAAGAAGATAGGTAAATATCAGTTTTGAGTTATTAAATAATTAATAAGTAATAAAGGCAATTAAAATGAAATGAGGAAAATTTATTTATGGATTTCAAAACAACAATTCATTATATAAAGAAATCAAACCAATCAAAGATATCTACCTTCCAAATGGAGTTTCATTGTAGTAGTTCTTAAATATAATAGGAAAGTAAAACCCCACAATAATATTTTTGGTGGTCTTCTTGTTGTACCTTAGTGAATTTTCTATCAAAAAATCATCTTTGTTTCTTTAATTAAAAAAATTATAACAAATTGAACCGCAATTGAAATTTTCAAAACCAACAAAGTTGTCGAAGGCTCTTTTGTGATTTTGATAACAATTAGACGAACCAAGAAGTCCCCAATTGGTAACTTTGTAATAATTTTGCAAGGCAACACACATGATATTAAGGAGAGTGAAATTTAACACTCAAACTCTGCTAACCAACCTTCTTATGCAAAAGTTTCTTCCAGTTGAAATCAACTTTCTCATTCACTTCCCACCCATAATTCCTGGCATCCTGCAATAGCAAAACCAATAAATTCATCAGACCATTTCTTTTAATAAGAGACAAAATACTTGATCAAATATACAAAATAAACATCTGTAAAAACGTAGTGAACAAGCTATCCACTGGAAATTCATATGAAGAACTTCCACAGTACAGCTGCTAGAAACCTCGCATTGTGCTAGATTATCCAGTAGATCAATTAGTTTGAGTGTCAACTAAATGGTGTGATGACTTCCTTTTTGTTAGTTTTGGCTAATTCACATGAAAATAAGTTTGTGAGCTCCTGCTAGATGCATTAATTGGGGCAAGGGCAAGTACATTCATCAGACGAATTAACATCAACTATAAACAATAAATTTCATATTCTCACCTCGATTTCACCACCAAAAGATGCTCCATACACCAGGATCTTTTTGGGAACACAACCACGAATGACACATCTGGAAAACCAAATGTGCAAAACATAAAACCATATAAGCAACATCAATTTTCAGAAGTCCTAATTTGTCACAACAACGTGACAGACCACTAACCACAGCATTGAATTTAATAGTTTCAACGAACTTACGTTCCACCAACTCCTCCAACTACTTCTGAGCTGATAGGATGAAATGGAAGCTCACATATCCCAACCTATGAAATCAAATGAAATGAGCCCATAATATGCTTCTGTCATAAAAGGGAATGGATGAACAAAGTTAATAGAAGTATTTTCCAGTAATGTATATATTCGTACCTTTGCTCCAAAATTAGCGGAAAATCTGGAGGCACGGACACCGCCGCTTCCAGCCCCAATAACGAACAAGTCGAAGTCATAGTGGACCTCTCCTTCATTAGGCTGGCTCACCTCACCATCAATAAGCATCTTCCTCGACATGATTATAGAGTAAATCCAACTGAATCTTCAGAAACCACAATATCATCATCATCATCATCATCAAGTATCTTTTTGGAAAAGTGCACAAAGCAGAAAGGCTACAATTCTATTTGGCTGCGGACCGAGAAAGTGGGTGAAGCGAAATAAAAAAGCAATCTTTTTTTTCTTAAGCCGAAAAACTTATTTGATTTTGTTCAAATCAAAACAGACATCAATTACCAATTAAGAGTACTAGAAATTAAAAAGTAAAATTAAGAAAATCCCATCAAAGAGGGTGTCAAATGCATGAACTTTTTTTCGTAACCATACCAAAAATGAGAATTTGAAAATTTGAAATACTGTATATAATTTGGTTTGGATTGTATGATTCGTACAAAACCATTAATGTTTTGCAGAAGGAACGATCTTGTGGGTAATTAAATTAAAAGGAAACGTGGATCGTACCTTGAAGTTGAAGATGGCGAAGCGACTGTTGTTGTGGCTTGTAGGGTTTTAGGATATAGAACAAAAACAATGGGAAAACTAAAATGCGAGTGCGCGGAATGTGAAAATAAATGGGAGGTAGCTGCAGAAGCAAAACAGACCGACGTAGGGAGAGTGAGAAAGAGAGCAGAGAGAGAGGGAAGAGAAATTTGTTATAGGCTGCTGTTCCTTCTTAAGCAGAGGTTTCGTCCAGTCAAATGCGTGGCATTGTTTAGTTGTCGAATTTTGGATCGATGATTTATTTGTGTGTCTGTCTGATTATTACTAATTAATTGCAGTTTGACACGTATCTCTTTTGAGAATACTTTTACGTTTCTTCCAAATAAATAAAATTCACAAGGTCCATGTGGCGTGTCGTGGACCATACACAAAAGAAAGACTAATTGGATTTTGATTTTGCATCTCCTCAAGCGTAGTGCACTAAGCTTGGATTTGTATATTTTAATTTCGATGGTTCCATCTTCCAATAAAAAGGCACAAGATCAAGTCAAGAAGTTGCAAAAATAACAATATTCTCTTTAAATTGATGTTTTTGTGTGTAAAATAACTCGATTTACAAAAATACTACAACTTGGATGAAAAGAGTGTTGAAAAATAGAATGTACAAAACACAGAATCGGTCTACATTCATCACTAATGAACCAGGACATAGTTGCTTTCTTATGCATCTTATCCCTAACAAGTTTCATGAATGAATTGCATTTACATGTGTTATAAGTAGAAACGAACAGGTCTCCCTGGGAGACAAAGACAACCCGCACTACGGTTGTGAACTTTGTGATGTCATGGACAATTTGCTAAAGGAGGTGAATAATTCAAAAGGAAAAGCAAAATAGGGACCCCCACAAGAGTGACAAGAAGAAGGTTTGCTATTGTTTTCCTTCTTGGAATTAACTCTTTTTAGGGTATATAATGGGTGGGGCAGTGATGAATTGTAACGTTGTCACATTTCAATATCACCCATCCAAATCCTTAATGGGTTGTTATTTTCAAGTTCAATAAAGAGTCAAAAGACAGTTATCGTCCAAAACAAAAGGATAATAAGAGGCTTGAGGACCACTTTCGAGTCACTAAAAGGTGATATTTGAGCTTCATGATCATGTTTTGCTATCTACCCCCCAAACAAACCCACATCATATTTCTGCATTGCATTCCAGTTTAGATCTCAGACTTCAGATACCAATACAAGGAAATCACTTGCCGTACTTTTGCTTTTGATTACTCACAACAAAAAATTTCAATGACAAAGGAAAACTAGTGTGCATATCATGTAAATGAAATACAACTCAATCTTTTATTACCTATTTGGCTATTTCGCCAAGGCTTCCCCAAACCTCTCCCAGCATATATTAATTTACAGCGAGAGGGTTCCACGAAGCAAAGATTCGCTAGACACTTCTATACAATACAGTCAATGTTACAAGTTACAATCAGCATGCACAGTTGAACACAGAATTCCCAAAGCACTTTGCCTTGGTTGCTATCTTTATCACACCTGATTCATTTTGCGAGGATCTGGAACTGAAAGATGACAAATGTATTCTATCCATTATATTAATAGCAGGAGCCTCAAGAATTGCCTTGGGCAGATTTAACGCCCATTGCATGGCCCAAATAGAGAGCGGCCTCATATATATTAGAGATCTGAAGTGGCCGTCCATTGTCCATCCCTCAGGAGTCTGGAACCCGTATCTATACGTAGCAGAAGATGAGAGTTATATTTGTCATGCCAAAAGAAATAAGTTTTTTGTGTTCACAATATGATAAAGAATTCAAGATATTATTTCTCCGCCACAAAAGTTACATGATGCTAAAATGGTGATCTGGAGAAATGCACAAGTACTGATGTGAGAAACTTAAGACTAGCCAAATATTTTAGACCCTATTGTTAAGGTTTAAAGAGAAGTGAGTGCAGGTCCATACTACTATCCTCATTAAGGGGAAGCAAGTGTAAGTGGGGAAATATAGTGTATACAATAGGAGACAAAACTCTCAACCCTTATATTGATATGGAAAAAAAAGCTCCTTTCCGGCGTTATAGAAGTTACAAGAGGTTCTTAAATTTGAGGGTCACATCTTCTGTACACCACAAATACAACAGCAGTTGAACATCAAAGCTTGGCAAGTGAATACCATAAACCATACATCTTTATCTGACCTTGTATTTAATTAATGCATAACTTCCTAGAAGTGATTACGGAATACATCCATAATCTTAATCTGGTATATACTGCTCTAACATATGACCCAGCTTTTAAGTTTAACCTCAGAAAACTATCCAGAATGCATTTGAATCAAATTCATAAACAACTTCATTAAAGAACTTCGTGAACTATTGCATTCATCGACCAGCCCTTTCCTAGTATCTTATGCTTTTAGAAGAATTGATATCTGCCTTACTGGACAAATATGTTGACCACAGGGAAATATTCAACTTGAAATAAATAAATAAATAAATACTAGGATTTTTTTTTTTAAGTCCATCATTTTCACATCTAAAACATGACATGAATAGGTTTTTTTTATAAATTAAAAGAATTAAGAGTGATAATACATCAACTATACTGTACTGAAAAATAATTGGAGTGTGTTTTGTACTTACCCGTAGCCCTCCTCAGACCAGCCGGCAATAAAAATACCTTCAGCAGTAGCGAATGCCTCTTTCTCCTTTCCAGCCAGGATCATTGTAGCAGCCACTCCATAGGTGACACCAGTCCATATTTCACGCGACTGCATGCAGGACTCATCCACCTTTCCACTGGGGTGCATTCCATTTACGGCACCCATCCTGCCTCCTTTAACTTTCATGACATTGAAATCATAGATCTTCTGCAGAGCACTTTGGATTTTAAAATCATCAAAAGGGAAGGTAAACCTGAGGATGCAGTATACCACTGCCCAGCCAGTTGATCTGCTTGTATAGATTTACTGTTACTACTTGATCCGCTATCGTAATTAAAATAAGAGCCATTCCACAATTTTTCCTCAAAAGCTGGTTTTGCCTTTAAATATTTAGTTTTACACCATTCAGCAAAAGCTTTGTCGCCTAGTTGAAAGGCCATCGCAGCTGCAGCTTGAAGTGCAGCAAGCCACAAGCAGCCACAGTAAGCACTAACCCCATGAACTGTCCAAGCATCGTAGGTCTGATCAGGGAAACCATCATTTTCAATGAGACCATCATTGTCCCTGTCAAATTGTTCCATGTACTCCATTGCAGCACGAACAGCAGGCCAGACATCAACTCCAAATGCCATATCCCCTGTTGCAGAAAAGTCTCTATACACCTGAAGTACAAACTTGGGGTTCAAATCCTTCCACTTACTAGTATCATGAATATTGTATGCATTCATTTCGTTCCACGGATCATGTGTTCCCAGATCATGAGGGACAGCTCCTCTAACCTTACGAATTCCCCAATTGCCTTCAGCCAGAAACTTTACTTTTCTTCCATCTTCAGATAGGACAGCTTTTGCAAAGTCCCTTTGAATATTGAGTTCGATTTTGGGAAACAGCTCAAGAAGGGCAAATGAAGCATAGAAGTGCACGTCATATGTGTTCCACATGATATATTCCACTCCTTCCAAATAAAGGAACCTCCCAACATCTTCGTTGTCATTTTGTGGATCCAACTTTACACTCCTATGATGACCAGTTGCAGTGTGCTCGACAACTGTGCCTTGTTTATTGTTGACTTCAGCTTCAGTAACCTTGACGTCTGTATATTCAACATTTGTTAATTGACGTTGATTTTCATTCATGTTTGTTACTGGTAAGGGAGAATCTGCAATAAAAATCATTAGCTATTATAAGGGAAGGTAATAAGCAATTAAAAGTACATGTTAGGGCTAGTGCTAGTGCCCACACAACATCATTCTTAAAGCTTGGTCAAAACGTGAAATATCAAGAAAATCAGTATAGATGAATACCAATCCAAACTGTTCCTCCAGCCACCAGAAAGTAGAGCTCATTGAACAATGTGAACTTGTACCTGCAAACATTGTACACAGCATTTAGTATTAAGTACAGAAACCAGCAATGAGTAATAGCTCAGTTATGTCCTAGATATCTAAAAGTTCCCATAATCAATCAGTGACAAGTAAGCATTGCAAAGCAACTTAACAAAGTTCACTTGATGATTCCATTGTTGTGGGTCTTTCCATTTGTAATGGACCTGGTTATGGATTTATGATGCTTTAATCACAACACTTAAAGAGAGTATTTACATGCTTTTGACGGGTTTTCATAAGGGTATCTGACAAGACAATCTCTACTGCACAATCATCACTGGCAACTGTTAGTTCTTTTTTGGGGAGCAAGCTCGAAACAAGCTTTCAGTTGGAGACCGTTGTGGACTGTTAGTTGGGTGTACACCCAAAACCATAAGAAAAAAATTTATTGTTTGATAGAACATTACGATTTAACTAAGAAAAACAAAAGATAAATACTGCTTGAACTAAGAATTACCATTCTGGTAATTTTTCATCCTTGAGGATAGGGTTTTGCCACTTTTCAATATCTTCTTCCCATCGCTTGTAATCTGTCCAAATTTCAAGATTAATCAGCATCCAAAAAAAAACACCAAATTCCCTTGTTAAATTTGAAACAAATGCCAAAAAGTAAAATCTAGGAAACTTCACCAGATTAGACTCTCGGTTAAATGTTGCTCAAAGAGGTCTCAATTGAAAAACAAAAGATACATACTTGTTAAAGCATGATGCACCAAGTCCTGAGCTGCCCTTTCAGATGTTCCATAGAATTTTGTGTACCTCCTGAAACAAAATTATAAACATGAACAACCAAACAACCACATTACCATTCTTTTCATTAGCTGTCCAGATTACAACTCTCATACACATTCATTTGTAAAACAGTTAGCTCCTTTGGATACTAATAGCTATAGTACAAGGAGCATCCCAAAAGTCCCATTACATGCACAAAGGAACAAGGGGAAAAAATAATTTTCCAATTACATGCAAAAAGGAACAAGGGGAAAAATAAGATTTGCAAGAAAATTACCTATGGTACGAGCTTCCCTTCAAAAATTTTACTTTTGGAGATGACCATGATAGACCAAATGCAATAGTGCATTTCCCATGAGGTTCCACCCAAGCAGAAGCTGAAACTGCAGCACAGAGTGTCTCTCCAGGTGATGAAGACATGCATGGCCCAGAATTGAAATTCTCCCGATCAAATTGTCCATCCTTAATAGATAAATGCACAAGTTTTTAAATAAATAAAAAATTGTCTAGTATGCATAACGAAATCTAAGTAGAAGTAATTTTAAAATTTAAATTTAATCAACAAGATCACCGAATTGACATGTTCAAGTTAGGACAAGCAATTGAATTTCAGTTAAATGCCAGAGCAAGATGAGACACATAACATTAAGCAACCAAAAACACACATTATACATAGCATTAGAACACCAAAGCACTGAAAATAATACCTGCACCATTTTATCCCACATTTCTTTAGCGGTAGGGCTACTTCCTTCAGATAACCCAAAACATGGCAAAACGGTCACACTCACGTTTTGAGTTTCGCATGCAGCTACCGCAAAAGTAACAGGAGGATTCCCTTTTGCAGTCCTGCAACATATGATGCATAGTTCATAGAAACAATTAAAATCTACTGTTAGGGAATAGTGACTGACAGAAAGAACTCAAGAAGAACTTGCAAGAATCATGCATCGTGATAACTCAAATTGTGTTGGTTGTTCAGGTTACTAAGATTTGAAGGGGCAAAATAAAGCAGAATTTTTAAAAATTGCTACATGGAACAAAAACAAGCATAGGCATTGAATAAGGTGCTCACCAGCAGACATTCCACTGTTAACACATGCAGTTGCATGACATGTTTCACCAGCAAATAAAGAAGAAAGCGCATAACATACTATACCATTCAACTAACAAAAAATTTCATAGCAACAAATAATAACACATGAATAAGATTCCAAAGTATAAAAAATTTGGCAATTATTTGTTGAAGTACAATTTCAATTTTTTTTCATCATATACAATTTTGTATTAATTTCCCAACACTTTTACAAATGAATGACAATTAAAATAGGAGTAATAATAGAGAAGAAGTGAAATTGAATCTCATTTCAAGTTTGTTTATGGTTCAAACTACATAGAAAATTAACGTATTTGTTTGAGAATCCATCATTAACTTGATATAATAAAACATGACACAAATAGAGATTTTATTATTTATAAGAGGTATTCTTGTACCGTGAATGATTTAGCAACATCAGTTATGTAGTAGACTATAGTTCAAATGGTATTCCCAAATTCCAGTAGGCTTCGAGTATTACCAAAACAAGAACACAGCTATTTTATGAAATCCTATATATGGAGATTACAAATATGCTTTCTTTTTTTTTAATTTAATTTTTTTTACCACACCTATGATTAACATACTGGCATATGTAATGAAAACCCAATTCAGATTAAACCAAAATGCTTAATGAAAAGTATACGAATAATCATGCCAGTCAAAATTAAAACCAATCAGCCAATATAGTAAACAATGGTTGAATGTCTAAACGATATTAATATTTAATCTTAAGATTGCAATATATAAGCAACCATATTTTACTTTACCATCAAACGATGATCAAACCCCCTCTCTTTTTTGCTTGTGTGATTGTGCTGTTCCACCTAATACATCTTAAGTAGGTAGTTTTTCAAATCTTTAAATATTTATGCTTAAATGCTTCTATGATAGCTGTCATACTTTTGTTTTACTCTTTGATTCATTTCGTGATATTTTAAGAATGGATTTTAAGGTGGTAAGTTCATGCAGAAGCATTTTATTTTGTCTCATGGTCCACTTTCTTTCACTTTGTTTGGGAGCTTTTATGCCTCAACTGACGGGCAGGGAGTTGTCTAAACACATGGTCTTCATTTTGACCTATTAAAACACTGTATGGGCAGAACAATCTGCAAACCAACCGTCACAAAAGTGTAATAAGGTTTGATGACTTGCTTGTGATGTAGAAGTACACCAGAGACTCCATCTTCGCCTCTATCAAATGAGAGAAGTAAGTCAGAATATATTTGAAATATGTATGGTTCCGTAATAACATACAGCAAACACCAAATTTACTCACATAAATGGTTCATTCACATGATCTCCTGACAAGTGTGAGATTCCTCCAATTGAATTCTACAATAGGAAAAGCAATAGTTACTACATATCCAACAATCTTTGAATCGCTCGGAAACAACTCCAGAAGAAATATAATCTTACCGCCCATGTAAATAGAAGGCTGACTTTTGCTCTTTCTTTTCCAGTGTTCACCAACTATATCAGAAACAAGAGTCTTAGAAACAAAAGAAATAAAAGAAAATCATATTGAAAATCTTGTGCTAGGATTTTTAGATTTGCAGCTTGTCAAATACATCAAAGAGGTTATGGAACTAAAGATATTTTTCATTTAAATGTGTATGGCATCCGGTTGAATGAGCATACCGTGTAGACAAAAACAGCTGTAGGAAGACTGCTTTCTCTGTAATTATGAGGAATGAATGGTGAAATTTGCCGACAAGAAATTTTCAAATCTGGGTCAGGTTCACCTAAAATAAATATATTTACAAAAAAACATGTGAATTAAAACAGCAGTGCAATGGGGAAGTCATACATGAGCAATAAAAAAGAGGAACGAAGAAAGAATGGTACCATCGTATACGGTCCACGCCCTTGGAAATAAAGCATGGTATGTGGAATGCTGGCCACCCAGGTTCCAGCCCCATGATGATATACCCTGATCACCAACTCTCCTGTAAAAGAAATAAATTAAATTAGGATATTGAACAACTAAAGGTAAATTTGGCACTCCCAAAAAAGTAGTACAACCAAGTGAATGCACTATTCATCAAAATTCCAGGAAGCCATAAACAAAACTGAAAAGTGAAATGCATTTTATTCCAATAAAAATCAATAACCCTCTGAAAATACAAACCAGCTACTCTAGCATAACATGGATGAAACTGCCAATGGGCTTGAGCTCATGGTAAAGAGTGGGATAATCCAGGTCACATTCGAATCTTGCATTGCATAACAATACAGTTATATGTTCATTGTTGCTTTAATAAATTCTTAATTCTCCTTCTTTCCTGTGCTATGTCAAATCAGGATTTTTGTGTGAAATCTTAAAGGTTTGCTGATACGTCTTTCCCTATTTCTGTACATAAGTTGCAAATCCTAGTTGTGGAGTCGTTAATCCCTCTAAGTTGAAAGCCTGCCAAATGGTTATAAGAGCTAAGTATCTTTTGATCTCCACATCATGTTAATAGCACGACTTGCCAATTTCTTACCTAAGTGTCAAAGCATACCACCAAATTCCAAAGGGGCCAGGTTAACCAAGGAACATCTGCCAATGTAGCATTCACTTGCCAATTTAGAGAGACCTCTAAGACTTCCTTTAATGCTAAAAAGGAAGACAGGGACTCTCAATATGACATATGGACCCAAAGCTTGGTCTTGACTTGCAGTCAAAGATTGTAAAGAAGCATGTAGAATTCATATGATGGTTTTTCAGAAATGGTTTCTAAACATAAAATTATCCTCTTACCCTAACCCTTCATGTTGACCAGGGGCCAAGACTGATGCATAATTTTTATTCCCACCATCCCTAGATATAAAAATCTGCAACATCACAAAATGAATCAAATTGTCAGAGTTAACTCATGATTTGAAGACAATAGGGCAAAACAATTTTCTTCTTCTCTAGAGATAACTAATAAAATATTGATATTCACTTCGCTTATATATTGTACAAAAGCAAACAACAGTAACATTTCTGAGCTGAATACAGTGTCAGTAACAGCCTGAGGTACTAAGAGCAGCCAAGCTGGACTGTAAGCATTTAGACAACAATCCCAAGATTCTAAAGTTTTTAGATGCCATCAAGCCCTTATATATTCATAATTTTCAACCCCTCCCTCCCCGAAAAAAAAAAATCATTTTTTAAACTACTAATTTGCTAGGTAAATATTGGGTAATGAATTTCACGACACCATCTCTCACACCTAACCAAGACCACCTTATCAAATATCAGTATGAAACTACATAAGTAACAACCATCTGCAGGTAAACAACTGAAGTAAATAGATTGATTATTTGAAGCTTTGCCGCATAAATCCTTGTCCATTGCCTTTTGAACGTATTACAAAGATGTCCTCTTTCTAGCCATATAGTAATATTGCAGTCTTTCTACCATGATTCTACACTACAACATACAAAGTAAACTACAGGCATAAAACAAAACTCTGATGGTTTGAGTGGCAATACCAACAGCACTGCTGGAGCTGGCGGCAATTGTATGGTGACATAGACACAATGTCAGTGCACATGTTAAAGGCATTAGCAATGCTATGGCAGTGGAAAATCCATATCAATGGCAGAAATGATCATAGTAATGTATATCACTATATGTGACCATTTAGTTGCTTATGAAGGAAACAATGATGATAAAGGATTACAAGTTTTCCTATTGAGCATTCAGCGCGATACAGATTGCTTAACATTTTCAGTAATTTTTTTCATACCCGGTGCTTAAATTTTTCATCAAACACACTGAAATCTTTAATGCTATCCCATTATCAGATGCATTGAGAAAAAAAATTTAAGAAGTTATCAAACACAATTAATCATCTGTTGAAACTTTCCATTGTCAGTGTTGAATTGAGTTATCAAAGACACCTGACTTTAGTGTCAACGTAATTAGAAAGCAAAACAGCATATAGAACAATAACTTTTAAGGAAGATCAACTTTGAACTGCTGTCAAAACAATTCTTGACAGCCTGCTCCAGGCTTATGACAAAAGAATAGTTAAAACTATTTGTTACTTATATGGAAGAGTTTCCTAGGACTCTCAGGTTATCCTGATTTGACATCCAAACACAGAAGGTACTTAGCACCTGTTATTGTCTGGGTATTACGGAAGATATAATTAATAAAAGGAATTAGATAACATTTTTTTGGATGCATAATTGACATGGTTGTGTACCAATAAAAATACAGTAGGAACACTTAAAAGAAATAGATAATATCAACGCATGAGTAACACGCGTTCCAAAGAAGCAAAAGAACAACAACAAACTACAATTAAATAGGATAAAGGGTAGAACTTTACAGAGAATTGATTGGCCATGACAGGAGAACCTTCACATATACCAGGAATTATTTGCCATTGCCTGAACTCGCCTCTAAAACCTCTAGATATGCTGCCACTTCTGTAATACATTCAGATAAATGTCTGGTATCAGATTAACAAAGATAACAGTTCAAAGAGTTGAGTCAACCTATTGATTCATAACATACCCCATCCCTCCAAGTGGAACCCCCTGAGCTGCAGATGGCTTGCAACTTTCTCGTGTAAAAGGATCAATAGGTGCTTTCTGCATGACACAAGAATTTTAACATCCTTTGTAAGGAGGAATCTTCACCCAATTGTTGGACAGGTATAACTCATAGAAATATCAGTTGTAAAGAAGGGCAAAATGGCATATATGTCTAGAAGGTTGAGAGATTTTACCCTTCCATGAGAAGCCTCTTCCCTGATATATGACCACAAGCGTATACCTAACCTAACCTAGAAATTCAAAATTTTCACACTAGTTAAAAAAATTTAACCAATGAAGTGGATGCTAGAAAATTGGTAAAAACTGAAAAAGCTCCAAACATCATAATGTACAGGATGTTAGTCGACAACATTAAAGAAAACAAATCACTGACCATCTTTATCGCTTCCCTAAATGTAACACTAAATTCTCTGAGAAGATTAGCATTGCTGTTCAACTTCCTCCTCCAGGCATGTTCTGGTGGGGCCGCACTATCAAAATCAAACTATAGAAAAGAATGAAAAGAAAAATTAATAAGATTGAGTAGAGAGTAAAGTTAACCTGACAGGCTAACTGCCTATCAAAAGGGCACAAAAAACACAAAATATAATAGCTCAGAATCAGTTTGCTTGCTAATACACACTACACAGTAAGAAAGATGCTCAACAAAATTCACAAAGAACAAGAGAATTGTGTTATTTATTTTTTATTAAAAGTTTATTCATTAGAAACAATAAATTGACAACTAATAACCCAAAATCTAACAGTGGTAGCAGACACAAATGTTGCATTACGATACGGCTTGAGTTTCCAGGCATGATATGTTACCACATTGTACACAACAACCAAAAAAATGTAAAAAAGACTTCAAATTAAGCATGAGAAGTCCTTCAAATGAAACATGTGTAGAATTAACATTTGATAAATTGCAAAATTTTGAGTTTAAACTTGGCACAGATTTTAATCAGTCAATCATGCAAGACAAGCTATTTGATGAAACTAAGTTCAATAAATCAATATTTTAATTGCGATTCTTCTCCACTGGTTCAAGTTAACTGGAACTCCCCTCCACCACTCCAATTAAATGGTTCGAACACCTTAGAGAAGTAAACAAAATGCATATGAAGACCAGACAATTAAAAGACACTTCAATTTTATTTTGGGCTTCAATAGTGAGAACAAGCGTATAGCTATGCCCTCTGGCTTTGTTGATCAAATTCTAGACTAGATCAGAACTGTCAGTTCTTTACTTTTCCTCCCATCTCTTACATTTTCTCAGCAACCAAACATAGCCCAAACGAATAACACAAATGTTTTGAGAAAGAGAGAGAATGAAGTAGAAGAAGAAGCATACCAACTGCAAAGTGTTTCTGTTGATATACTCCTCAGGCGGCCATGAATTCTTTCTACAATGGAACAAATGCCCACTGACCATGTCGACTAATTCTTAGCTATTCACTAGCCCAACAAACAAAAAAACTATCTGAATTTCCAGTTAAAATATATCTACAAATTAAGCCGTCCAAATTCGATTACAAGGAAGACCCAGAGACCTTCCTTCCACCTCCAGAAAACGGCAAAGCCCGAATATAAGCGTACACGAAAGGGCAAGCAAGCAAGCAAATAGCTTTGAAGCTTTCTTTGAGCTTTCTTCACAGCCAAGATCTTAAATTTGAATAGGCATAATAAGCAGCCGGAGCTGGAGCTCCACCGAATCCAATTACTTTGGGGATTCGAAAAGCAAAGATTTTGAAATTGATATTTGATTTGATTGAATTTGATTGGATTGGATGGATTGGTGGCTTGGTGGGTCTGTGAGTTGAGAGTCTTCTGTGTGAGGATGTAAGGCGATTGAGAGATTGTCGTGGCGAGCAGAGAGTCGGCCGCCTGTAACTCAAACAGTCTCCAAATGCCTGCCGCAATCAACTACGTGTCTCAGATCGCCAGGTGGGGCTTCTTTCTGCTCTCTTTACTCTCTCTCTCTCTCTCTCTCTCCTGCCCTGCTGTTTATATGACTTCTGTTTTGTTATATGGGTATTTAACAAATTTTAATAAATTTGGGTTTTTTATAATTAAAAGATAAAGAAAGGAAGAAGAGCGCGTGGGTGAAAAGTCAGAAGCTTTGCTTGCTTTCGTAGCTTCTAATTCTACCCGAAAATGAGAGAAAATGAAAACAAAGCAAGAACAGTGAGAGTGAAAGTGAGAGAAAAGCATAAGCCTTTGTTTATTTGTATGTTGTTGGTTTGGGGGAGGGAGGGAGGGAGGGAGAGAGGGGGCTATTCCTGTTTGCCGTTGCGTCGTCACTCTTCGTGCGTACAACTTACAAATCTGTACTATTCCTTATATTATGCTTCAAAATCCGATCATTGTCCACCGTTAAATGAGCGAAGATGCCCACTATAAACTATTCGTAATATATATGTTAAAATTCAATAAGTACATTTCAATTCTCCGTTTCTTAATATCACTTGTATATTTCAAAATAAAAAAAAGAATCTCCTAATATATTTCAGCTCATATTGTAGCTCGTTTAGATCCCCCAATTATATTTTTGTATGAATCTAATACCATTATTTATGCAGCAAATTTCGAAAGAACCGTCTACATTTATATTTGTAGATTATTGTGTTATTTTTTTGATGTGAAATTATCACCAACCACATTTGTGAGACCGCTATCCACTATCGAGTCACACAATCCCCAACAAAGTGACCGGATATTATAAGATGTCAACAAAAGTACAAATCTAAGTGAAAACATTTATTTGCTAGGCCTGGAAATCTTGTAAGATATTGCATTTGTACATCAAGACTAGACTCTATAGTTTGTTTTGATTAATTCTAAAAATTTGCATTTGAAAGCCATCAATACTACAAATTTATATTCTATAATTATGTAAAAATGAAAATGAAAAACAATAATAAATTTTCTTGACAAGCGGAGTCATACAAGGTGGACTGTGTGGGTATGTCTTAGCAAAAGCACACGCACAAAAAGAGAAGAAAGACAGGACGGTAAAAGAGTCATGGAGGGTGTGCCAGTCATTGATATATCACATTACGTACATATTGGCATTTTAGTCAATGTAGAACCATCTATTTTCCACTAAGCTTCTAGAGGATGTAACAATCTATTTAAAAGTCATTACTCATTATACATTTCTTGCCTCCTTCCTCAAAGGAAAGGAAGGACATTTCTCATTTATAAACCAAACTTATTAAAAGTATCTTTAAAAAATTATTGATACATGTTAATTGACAAAAAAGTAAGAATTTCTACATCCAAATAAGTATTTTCCAAAAGAAATTTAGTGATCATATTTTATACTATTATATTACACGTAAAACAATAGTAATAATATATATGAACTTATCAAATGGGTTAGAACAGATGTGCTTCTATTCTACATCTAAGTTTGAATCATCCTTCTCATAATTTAGACTAGTTTAAAGTAGAGTATCGCTCGTATAAAAAAGAACAATAGTTGTAAAAAATTTTGTGTTTGTTTTCATTAAAGGCGTGGGCCTTGGTGTCTACTTGTTCTTATTTGGTTTTATTATTATTCTTTAATTTTTTTATAATTCGAGGGGCCAAACGGCAAAAGGCGGTACAAGGAAAAATAATAATGGCGGTGGGGCGGTGGGATTATAAATAAATCCAATCCAATAAAAATAATCAGGTAGACATATGATTGACTGTATTTGATTATTATAGTACATAATTGTCACATGTGTGTTTTGGATTTTGCTTTCCATAATAATCCATTGAATTATTAACCTCTCACTTCCACGGCCATCCAAAATGGACCCAACCGACTAAACAAAGTTCCCACCGCGCGCGCTTTGCCCGACCTCTAGCCGTTGACTCACTCAATTCTCAATTCTCAACTCGAACTCCAACTCAAAGTAAGGAGCTGTTCAACTCTTGGTTACAAGCCCAAACCCATCATAGGCCCAAGCCCTAACAAAAGGCCTCCCCGAGTGTCTTTAGACTTTTAGCTCAGCAAGCAAGCAGGGGCCACGTTGAATGAAAAGGAACTTCAGACTTCCCATCTCTTCTGCTCAGCCAAGTTCCTCCTCCGTTGTTTCACTTTGTTCTGGTTCACTTGTCCTAATTCCAAGAACCAACACCACTCCACCAGGTGCTTTTCTTTAGTCCGACATTCAATATAGGTTCCGGGGCTTAAATTAGGGCAGGATTGTGATTATTGGGGATTTTGTTGAAATTAGTGCTTTAATTTTTATGATATTTTGCTGAAATTGTGGCTGTGGTAGTATGATTTTTGGGGATTTCGTTTAATTGAGGGTGCTGTGGTTGTTCTAAGTGTCATATCCTAATTTCTAGATTGTGATTATTCATTATTGTGAGAATCATATCCTCCTTTAATTGCTCAATTTCTCTCATACTATCTCAGTCAAATTAAAGCGCAAATGGGGGATCATAATGCGTTTAAAGATCAGATTTTTAAGAGAAACCAAACAAAATTTAGAGGGCCTTTGAATATAAAAACGTTAACCCCAACTTAACTATGCATATAGTCTATAGATAAACAGTTTTGATTTGAGTATTCCATGTATACTTTTACTCAAGTTCACTTACAAGTTTTGCTGAACTGACCATTTTACCCTTCATTTGAGCTTCCACCTGACACACCTGAAGAATAAACAATAAATGATCGAACTAATAAGAAAAGCACTAATGGAAAAACACCATGAAAGATCCAATCAATTCTCGGCAAAACTCACAGCTAGTTTGATTATGTTTTTATATTCAAAGGTTCTGATAATAGTATATATGCAGCTGTTTTATCAATGAAATTCAATCGTATTGTCGAGTTGTTTAGGATCATTTTATTTAGTTCATTTGTATGATTTTAATAGGATTTGCAGAAATTGGGAAATTCTAAAGAAGTAGTGGAAGCTCGGCCAAAGTTTCGATAAATCTTTTTCACTTAGGAAAAAACTTGGTATGTAAGCTCAGCCCAGCCCATTTTCAATCCTGCTTCCAGCATTGGCTATGAAATAGTGGAAAATATTAAAACAAAAAAGAAAGGGATAGAAAAGAAAAGGACATGGATCCGGAGCAGACCTTCATACGAGTACAAGAGCGGTTCTCGCAGATCCTTACTCCTAAAGTCAGAGCTGCTTTGGAGTACATATACCTCTTCATAGCCATTACGTTGTTTTGTATTCTCGTTGTTATGCATGCCAATTACGTTCAACAGGTTTTTCTTCCACTTTCTCAGTTATCATAATTTTAAATTTCATGGTTGGTTTCTTTTGATATTGTTAGATAATTTTTTCAGTGTGCTCCACACACATGCATGCTTTGTATTTTTCCTCATTGATTTTTTACCTTCCTCGATATCTTGCGATCCCTTGATTAACTTTGATTCCCTTGCACTGGAAGCCTGGCTGTTCAAGTGAACTTTCTGGGGTTGAAACAACAGAAGCACAAATTATTCAAATTAAGGTATATCATGTCTTCTATTTCTTGAGCTTTTTGATTACTTATTCACTTATTCATTTTTGTGTTGTCTCACAAATCTGGTAGAAGATCATTATGATGCTTTTGATTAAAGTTTATAGGTTAATAACAATAAATGTTAAGCTTGCATATTCTTTTAAAAAGCAGCTGCATTTTCTGGAGTCCTTGATTTATCTGGTTGTAAACATAATAATACTGTTTTTGAATATAGTGCAAACACTTAACTTATAGTTTCATTGGTGGATTTGTGTTCAAATTTTATAGCCAAAGTTGTTTTTTTTTCCTTTCGAAAATTCAGATGTACTTGATTTTTAATTTCTTTTTTAGCTTTAAAAGTCTGTTTTCTTTCCTGGATTTGGGTTGCACATTACAGGCAACTTGAGTTTGTTTGTTATCTTGGCCTGGTCATGTCTAAAATGCTGACTTTATCCCTTTCACTTAGATAACCAGTGCAGGATTGTGGTCGCAGAATGAGTCAGAGTTCACCAACGTGATAGATGATGTCCCAGACACAAAATTTGTAATGTATAAATTAGAATTTTGCTAACATAGATGGAGATGGATTGACATCTTATGCTGCAAAATTTTGGTTGAATTAAATTGGTTCTGGTGCTAGGAGGGGGAAATTGGCATTGAAGTCTGATTCTGAAGTTCTGGATCATCCGGCAGATAGCTCTACCAATAGCCCCAACACTTTGCCAACAGCTGATGATGCAGTTAGCAAAAATGAAATCAAGGAGGCCCGTAGTAATTTTCTTTTATCTGTGAAAGAGACAGTTAAAGCAGCACTTATTAACTTTATCAAAATATGGCAAATGCGTCCCCGCCTCTTGTCAGTGTTTCGGAAACATGGAACACATATCTTCGGAAATTTGTGGGTGAGCAAATTTCATTGGCATCCTTTAATATTGAAATAACTGCTGACACTGCTCCTGGATTTACAATAAGTTGTGTTTCAAGGTCCATTTACCTGCATTTCATCTGGTCCATTTCGAAAGTTATCATTGTTGAAAATGTCATGTGCATGTCTCTTTCTTTTCAATAAAAGGAAAAAAAGGCTATATCTGCCTTGGTTTTATTGCCCCATTTATTCCTTGGCGTTTGAAGGATTTCAAATCAGCCTCTCTCTCTCTCTCTCTCTCTCTCTCCTCTCTCTCTCTCTCTCTCTCTCTCTCTCTCTCTCTCTCGGATTTGACCAATTTCACACTTGTAAATGGATTATAATTACATGCTTACCGTGAACATTATTTTATTTCTTGTATTGTAGTTTAAATTTCTCTTTGCTGATTTTTAATTTTGAATTGCAGAGCATTGCAGGTATACATTTAGATCTTGATATTCCCAAGTGGTTGCGCATACTTCGTTTGGACAGGGTTAACTTGTATGCAGGTTGCTGACTATCCTTTTAATTATTCTTTGCTTATCATCATTTTGGTTTTCAAAGCAACATGTCATTTTTATAATTACTTTTTTAATCCGGGAAAAAAAAGGTAAGATAGTGAAACTGAATTTATTGTTTGGTGTTTAAAGGAGCACATAACATTTTTCCACTTTGTCTTTTTTTTCTCCTTTTATTTGGCCTCTTTGTCAATAGCAAGAAAAAAAAATCTCTTTGCTTTAGTTGGATTGAATTTTAATGACATTTCCTGATATGAAATATTTTATTCTAATGTTGTTTCAATTACTTGTTTGCAAATGCTTAATTGGATACAAAGAAAAGGCAGAAAATAATCATTGATAGCGAGTTCTCTGGATATTATGACCCATGAGCTTGTAATTGTTGTACTATATTGAGGATGTTGTTTTTTATATTGAAAGTCAAACCTTTGGAGGAGCTTCTAGTTGCCATAGTACCAAATCTTATTATATCTTATAGATGTCCTGAAAATTTCTTATGTGCATATTTATGTAAAAGCACGAAGTCCTAAAGCTAAAGAGTGAACAACATAGTTACCCTTCTCGGGTTAAAAATATCGGTTATGGAAATAAAATTTGAAAAAGGTTTTTAATGAAGAAAAAAAAAAAAACTCTTTATGAAATGATTACAATGATATTCATCTCCTGTTGTATTTCTATATGCTTTTCTATGAGCTTATTTTTTTCTATCCCAAAAAAAGAAAAAGAAAAGAAACACGATAGCCGAACAGATGTTTCTAGTTATCGTTACTTTATATCCATTGTAACCAAGTTACTGTGACATACGTTATCAAAATTCTGCAGTTAGGATTGTACTGGATCTTTTGTTCAGTATAATCAGTTTTTCAACAGCCTTTCTTGAACTTGTGAGAACTGAATGCAACTGTTATTGACAATTTGTTTTGAATGTGTCTCAGTGCAGTGGCTTGAGAACAGAAGCAAAACTTTTGAACCAACTTATTTATACACTATGGAAAAGGTAATTTCTGAATGTGGTACTTCCACTATCTCCTGAGCTTTCTCTGAGTCAGACTGCACAGGTTTTGGCTGCAAAAGCTTGTGATGAATAATAGTGCCATGGTTTTGGAGCTTGTTTTGTATTATTTTGGTAATTTATTTATCAAAATTTTGTTTGCAGGGTTATTTCTTATTACCTGAAAGTGCAAGGGCTCAGCATAATATTCGTTCTGTAAACATTAGCATATCAGCTCGACATTCTTGTTTTGGGAACAGGTACCAATAATATCTCCTGAAAAATTACTAATCTACAGTCAATACTCATGATGCAATTTTTTTTTTCAGTATTTGTTTTTATTATGAAAGTACATTATTTATGCAAGAAATATCATGGCTTATTTGGATTCATAGTTTTGAGTAGTTAATGTGCGTATGGGAGTTGTATACTAGCAGGTGTTTTAATTGTTGTGTATTTACATGAAATTACCAGGTGGCAGCAACTGCTTATTAACAGATTTGTTGGATATGATACTATTTTAATTAATAGTTTATTGAGTTCTCCTGGACAAGGTAAATTACCAGCTTTTTGCCCCTTTATTTTTCCTTATATCTTGTATTCCTAATGTCGCATTAATGAAAAAGGACCCCTGTGCAACAACCAAATGAAATTGACTGTTGCTTAAACCAACTCTCTTAAAACTGTTGGTTTATAATAATAATAATAATTTTTATCATTGAAATAAATAAAATAACTGGTTTTTGGTGATGTTGCTGATTTGATATTGTGTGTTTTGTCTTCATTACTCAATTCTTGAAACAAAACAACCCAATTATTGTTAACCTTAATAGTTAATGTCCAAGTTTGACTAAGCAAAAATAAACAACATGAAAAAAAGTAAAGCCCCCACATGGGCCCATGTCAAATCACGGACACGTGCAATTAAGGGATGATTAAAGACTCATGCTTTGCCAGGGCATGATTGGGCTAATTCCAACAAAGTCCATTATAAACTTATCTGTTTCATTCTAACTTTGATTGTTCAGAATCTGTTATTTTGAGTTTGGTTTAGCTCATGGTTTACTTTCATAGTTTGATTTTTATTAATTATCCTGTTGTGGCTAAGCTTGTTATGCCACCCATTCCAGGTTATCTTTATAATTTTCAGACAAAGGAGTTCTTTAATCTTAGTTATGCACAAGAACCCCCAAAAGGTCCTGCAAGGTTTGGAGGTTTGTTGACTTATGCCTTCGATTTCCATTCTTGTGCTGCCTCTCGTGCAATGTGGTTTCAATATCTACTTGTGCAATTTCATTACGCATCTCACTGGTAAACTTGATATTGAGGTAGAAGCATGGGGAGGCCCCCCCCCATATTTGTCTACCAATAACTTTAAGATGAAAAATTGCATGGTTAGAGTATTAAGCAAACAGGCTAATTTCTGGCGTTTCTGTTTATTTATTTATTTATCTTTTCCACTGGTTGATGATAATTGATCAACCACTGCTGTGGAAGATAATTGCTTCAAGGTTCTAGCATTCTATCACCTCCCCTCTGCCCTTTCCTCAAAGATTCTAGTGTTGGCTGTGTTAAATCAACTTTTAACTTTTGGCCCAGGCCATGAATACTTAAGGAGCCATTTGTAAATGAACTTATAAATTAATAATTTTTTTCTTGAGATGCTCTACATAGATTTTTATCTCGGACCAATCTTCGGTCAAGTAACATTGTAGAATTTTGACTTTTCATTGATAAATTAAATGAAATTGAGAACTTGGTCCCTGGAAATCAAATTGTATTAGTTAAAGAAAGTATGACTCCCAAACGTTTAAATGCAGTCAAAATAGAAAAATAGAACATTGTGGTTTAATACCCAAAAAACAACAGTATTACTAACATGCCGTTCACTTTTCACAAACAATCATAAAGTTGCCACATATTTCCTTCTACATGTCCCTTTTTTGTGAAATTTTCATTTTTGAAAAGCTGTTGGTGAGGTCATTTGTCTATAAAACAAAATACATGATGAATATAAACTTGTGTAAAAAAATGCATCTGTTCCACAAATATATAAAGGAAGAGTACATAACAAGCAGGTTCCATTAATATACTACACAAGCCTACTTATTTTACTGTTTGCGCCTATGGGAACATTGCAACAATACTTGATTTTATTTTATTTTTTTATCAATCAGGGAGGGGGAATTGAACTTTTTACGTCTTCCAATTTTGGGAAGAAAAGTACCACTAGACCAAGAGCTAGTTGGTACATCAGTACTCGATGTGTATATTCATCTATCTGTAACTAAATTGCTTGTAGTTTAATGTACTTGTGAGTCTGACATAATGGAGAATAAGTCTGTAAATATCTTCTGGAATAATGACTGAGAGATTAATTGGTTGGGGTTAGGTTTGCGAGTCATAGGAGAGTTGCGAAAAGGGTTTGGACTTTGTGGAAAATGGAAATGAGACAGCATAGATTTGCTGTGTGGCGACGGGGTTTTAGGACTTTGGGTGGTTTGGTTAATGCAGCTGTATAACAGTCACATTATTTTCTTTTTCATAATTGATTGGGTGGTTGGGTTTTAGGACTTTAGATATCGACTTATGCTTCCTGAAAAGACAAATTTTGTAAAAGGCGGACATGTGGAATGTGTGTTATGGTATTTTAAATTGTGATGCTTTCAGTGTTACAAAAATGTTCAATATGGGTATCTAAAATAATGACATGTGTGCTGTAAAGATTAAGGATCTTATAAAATGTTTTATGGATTAAGACTTATTTTAGTTATTTATGAACAAAGGGTCTTAAAGACTTATTTTACCCTTGCAATTTATGTGCATTATGCTCAGAAAAATTCTGGTTTCATTTGGTTTCCATGCAGACTACCTCGTGACAAAGTGTGGTGTGCTTATGATGTCACTCTTTGTGTTCTTTACAACCACCATGTCTGTGTCATTCACATTGAGAGAAACACAGACTCGCATGCTGAAGTTCACAGGTTTGTGTTATTTTATCATGTATATTCTGGATAAAGTAGCTCTGTCACTGTACATACCTCCATTAATGTGTTCTTGAGTCCTTTAGCCAATGAAATGATGCATGTGAACTCTTAACTATTTTTTATTATTTTAACTTGAGAAATAGCATTCATCCTTGTGGAACTATGAAATTTAGAGTTTGGTACCCAAAACATTATCCATTTTGTTTGCCTGGTTTGATGAGTATCATTTGGTATGAATGAAGTGAGGTGGCAGCATATTTGGGTTTCCTCGTGTGTCATGCTTCCTCCTTATTCCCCCCTCTATATTTGGGTGCTTACTTTTGTCAAATTATTGCAGTGCAGCTTCAACACCATGCTCGTCATCAGCTTCCGACATTCCAGTTGATTTTTGTGCATGTAATTGAATCACTTGTCTTTGTGCCGGTAAGAACACATCTTTTTGGTTCACCATCAATACAATATATATATATATATATATATATACTGAATTTTTCATGCCAAAACCCTTTTTGGTTCTGCAGATTATGATCGGGATTTTATTTTTTCTGTTTGAGTTTTATGACGATCAGCTATTGGCTTTTATGGTCCTAATACTTGTCTGGTTGAGTGAACTGTTTACACTAATCAGGTTTCTCTTTCTCTCTCCCTCTTTCATTTTAAATATGTGGCAAATGATTGGGTGCCGGTGTACATACTCTTTCATAATGGCTACTTTTCATGTAAAAAGTCATTCACTGTGTTTAGATTCTGGTTTGGGCATAGGGTTTATGTAGCTCCAGGCTTAAAATGGATATAGTTTTGAGGCTGGGTTGGGTACTAATTGACAGTCAGTGGTAAAGTGATGTGGAGCTATTCCAGTGATCTCTGCGGTAGGGTGCCTGGATCACGGGCTTTGATGTTTTGAGTGGCTGATTAATTGGCTTAAGATATGCTCTTAGCAAAGGATTATGGCTCAATTCATAGATCTTGGCACCTGGTATAACAATGAGAGGCAAATTTTCCCTGCATTAGGTGTGCCCTATTTTGCCACATTTCTAGTTTGTGTCATGCTCTTTTCATTTTATTGTCTTTCTTGCAGTGTCCGCACACCCATATCGATGAAGTTCTTTCCCCGCTTCTTTTTGCTCTACTTTCTGGTTTTCCACATCTATTTCTTTTCCTATGCTTATGGTACGTCACTACTTCTTACTTTACTGGTAGATGGAAACGTTTTTTTATATTTGTTTCTGAAAACCTACCTTCAAACTGTTGCAGGTTTTTCTTATTTGGCTCTTTCTACAGCTGCAGCATTTATGCAGCATCTCATTCTATACTTCTGGAACCGTTTTGAGGTAACCCCGCTGTGTAGTTTTTTCTCTTTTGGGCCTGGTTTATTGTATAGATGATTATATTATTTTTAATGGCACCTTTTCTTTTGCAAAGTTTGGTTGCTTATGATAAAACAGTGGTAGTTTCATTTGGCTTTCAATTTTACGCCAGCGGAAGATGTTCAGATTTGGTGTTCTTTTCTTTATTGGTTGTTTTAGGGGGTAAAAAGGTCTAAATAGCTATGTTTACATTCTTGTTATTCATTGATAAAAAAAACCAGAAGATTTCATTATGTAAACTAAAATTTGGCAATAAAAGCTTATCTGAAAGCCATAAAAAAACGCCGTAGATAGAGAAATTAGTTATTGGAAAGAAATTTTCGGAAAGAAAAAGATGTCCTTCATCTTGAAGCTGGGAGCAACTACAAAACCCTGTCTATTTTATTATGGGAAGTCGTTCACTGCTTGATGTTGTATGCTGTACCGCTTTCATCAAACTTTTACTGTTGAAACTACTAGCCTTTGTGTATTTTCCTAGTTTGGTAAGAGACCATAGGAGATGCTACAGATATAGAATAAGATGATTTATGGCGTGTTCGAGTGTGGTATTTTTGTTATTGCAGTAATCTGTAATTACCTTAATGAATCGATGTTTGAATAGTTATGGTCTTGGTACAGGTGCCAACTCTACAAAGGTTTATCCAAAATCGACGATCACAGCTCCAGCAACACCCAGATTTCCACATTACTTCATCAACATTCCTTGCCTCAACTTTACATATCACAAGATTGAACACAAGAAATCCTGGCCTGGTTAATTCTGACTTGGCCTCTGGACCTGGGCTGAGATCTGAACCCAATCCAGCAGTGCCATCAAATGGAGCAGAAGTTCCTGGGCTGCAAGAACAGTCAGGTAATGACAACCCAGACCGGGTGGGAAACCCTCAGGTTCCAGGCCAAGCTGACCTGAGTGAAGCAGAGAATGGTCCTAACCCCGGCGCTATGAATCCATTCAGTTCACTTTTGTTATGGATCTTAGGAGGGGCTTCGTCTGAAGGCCTCAACTCTTTTCTTTCTATCTTCAGAGATGTGAGAGACCAAAGACAAGTTTATGCTGAACCCCCTAGGCAAGAAAATCAGGATATACAAAGATAGTACTACCGGAAGGCCGGAGAAGATGTTAGTTTGCCTTCAGTTGTTCATGTATGTGAAGTAGTATAGGTTATGCTGGATATACACGTCTGTATAGAAATCATATATGCGGATTTATCTTGTCACAAACTTTTAGTTTATCTAAGAAAACAAAAGAAAAGAAATATTGGGTTCGGAGATATCCAATTTTTTAATGTCTAGATTCTCATTTGCAGGACATGTGTGGGTTGCTTTGGGAATGATGATCACTTCTCTTGCAACTGAACCTCCCGTTTATTTTTTTCCCCTCTTAATCTTTCCAGGGTCCAGATTCATGTAGCAAGTAATTGCCTAATTTGTGTAGAAGTGGCAAAAGTTAAAAGGTTTCAAATTATATGGATTTTGGATAATGTGTACTTAGCTGTCTTCACAATGTATTTCATAACTAGACCTTTCATTAGATCATCCTTGCAAAATTTCAGTCAAATACAAATGCATTTAGTTATCTACCTTTGATCAAATAAATGGACGTACACACAATATTTTCAATAAGCAATGAAATGTTAAAAATAATAATAATTAGTTTCCGATTTCGGTGAATTTTCAACAAGCGGTTAGTGTCATCTTAAATTACTAAGATACACAATAAAATTCAGAAAGCAATTGACAAGCAACATAGTTCAAAGTTTTAATCCCAGAATATGAAAAACCTATAGATCCATGGAAAGAAATAGATGGAGCGGCAGTCTCTGGAGAGAAGACAGACTGATGGAGAGGAATAGTTTCAGGAGAGAGGCAGTAGGGAAAGTAGTCATCAATTAACAGAGACTATTGTCTCGAAGAAAAGTAAAGACTCCCCTGGTAACAACATAAAAATGAAGAAAACGAAACAAAATACAAAAACTTAATATAGAACTTAATACAAAATCTACCAGAATAAGCTTGAAAAGAAAAGAATATGCTCAAACATATTCAAATGCAAAAAAAAATTAAAAAATTGAAAATTCAATTTCCTAATCTAATTTATCTCTTCCAGCAACCGTACATGAAGTACAATTACTTCCTTTTCTTCTCTTTTTAACGCCCAATGAAAAGCAGTTCTTAAATTGTTCCAGCTTCTCATAGCTATCAAATATCAGAACTCTCTGTAAACTTGTGATTCCCAATCTCCCTAAAACATCATCAACAAATTCACTGCTCCACCGGCCCAGGTCCCCAAATTGTCATTCCTGAGAAGGTTGAACTGATGCTGCCAAATCTTCTAACTGTTTCCTCCCAAGATTGGATATAAGCTCCATGGAGATGAAGTGCTTTGGTAGACTCTCAACCTCTTCCAACTTGAGATTGTATATCGGTTGAAGCTTTTTTGCTTCAGAATCTGCTGCTTCAGCCTCTGCAAGCAGAAGGTTTGCTTCTTCAAGGTCGCCCAACTCCAGAGCAGCTTCTCGTTCTGCTTTAGCAATACCAGATATCAGAAGCAACCTCTCAAACCTAGCCGTTGCTACCTCTTTTTCCTTGGATTGAATATGCCCCTCAGTCTCCTGCAATCTGTTAACAGTCTCTTTTATCTCTTGCTCGAGCTTCTCAAGCTCTAAGATGGCTCTTTCCATGTCAATCTGTATGCCATCCTTTTCAACATTCAATGACTTGGCCTCGGCAGCTAGCCGTGCAGCTTCCTTAAAGTTTCTTGCAGTGGCTGCGACTTTCTTTTCTGCTTCGAGCTCTGGGACTCTTTTGTCTATGAAAAGAATTTTCTGCTTAGAGGTTGCTATATCTTGCTGAATGCTTGACTTTTTGGAAGACAGTTCCTGTAATGTAGCTCTTGTGGCAGATACATCCTGTTGGAGCATTTGAACATCCTTGGAAAGCTCCTCCTCAGTCTTTGCAAGCCTGACCTTATCTTCCCTGGACTTCAAAATAGAGGACATGAGAGTTTTTCTAAGGGTAGCAACTTGCTGATATGTCTCTGCTTCCTCTGCAGAAGCCCTAGCCAGTTCCCTCAACTTTGCTTCCCTCTCTTGTTCCTGAGTGAGGAAGGCATTGATTTCCGTCTTTTTTGTTGAGAGAGCCTCGGTCTCTGCATGTATCTGAGAAAGGCCTGCTTGCAAGTCGCTAGACTTGGCCTGAATGTTGGATTGCATGTCCTGGAAGTCAGAGAGAGCACGATCAATCCTTTCCTCAACTTGTTTGATGTCATGATCATTTTGTGCAATCTCCTGTTCCTTGCGTTTGACCAAAGCAAGTAGCTTGTCCAGTTCGTCCATGAGAATGTCCTTTTTCTTACAGAGACATTCTTTCTCTAGCTTGTCATCTTCCACTAAAGTGTCAATGGAAGTGTTCAAGGAAAGTCCAGCATCATGGATAATATGGGATTCAATCTCCAATTCCATTTTCTTGGCTTGCAAGGCTTCAGTTGACGAAAGCCATTCGTCGGTTTCTTTTGAAGAGTGTGCTTCTGCTGTTTGCAAGACCAAATCTGCATCATTCGAAGCATCCTGTGATATTGAACCAACCAACAATCATATTACTCATTAAGGATGACTTGCAGCTACTCATGTCATAATTGTCACTCATTCCTTTTATCTCCATTTTCAATTCTCTGTCTATACAGTTATAGTGAATGCTATATATGAAACAATAATAGTAATTAAAATGTGGAGGTGGGGGCACTCACCGTTGCAAAGCGTTGAAGCAGGGAGGCGCATTCTTCTTCGGCGGCGATCTGGGATTGGAGAAGGTGGTGCATTTTGGAGTCAAGATCATCGCAATTGGCCTCAGCATCTCTGAGTGCATCAAGGAGAGCCTGTTTCTGTTTTTGAGCAGCAGCAAGGCTGTCACTAAGCCTTTGGGCAGTGTCGAAATCCTCAGCCTCGCAGGCCTCTTCGAGCTGCTTCTCGAGATTGGCATATTCGAGGGAAGCCAAATTGAGATGGTCAGCGGCAGCCCTTCTCCTGGCAATGGCGTCCTTCCTAGAAACAGAGACGGATGCGGCTGATTGGCGAGTACGGTTGAGCTTGTCGGCGATCAGGGCCTTGCTCTGATCCAACCGTAGCTCGGGAAGGGCTTCTACTTGGTCATTTGCTACCACTACTTGTTCTTCTACTGATACTGATGGTAGAGTGGTGGGACCCACTGGGGTGCTGCTGATGGGGGGCAAGGGAAGGGAATTGTCATCATCTACATAGACATCATCGACATCATCGTCGACCTTGGAATTGGAATTGGATCGGGCGTATCCGATGCGGAGGCCAGCAGCCCTCTTTTTTCGTCTGGAAGTAGAGTTGTGTCTGGATGTTGTTTTTGGTGTTGGTGTTGGTGTTGGCTTTGATGTTGGGATTTGGACAACATCTTCTTCTTGGGTTTGGGTTGGGGTTTGGAATTGGAGTGTGAGGTCGGAGAAGAGGTTTTCGTCGAGGGGCTCAGAGGAGGATGAAGATGGTGGTTGGTGAGATTCAACGGCGGCTGGATCTTGAGCATAATCATGTTGTTGTTGCAGAGGTAGTTGTTGAGGCTGATTATTAACAAGATCATGGCGATTGTGTGTCTCCAAATCCAATTCGGATTTATTGGTACTGTTGTTAGGGGTAAACAATACCATCCCCTCAAACAGCGAATCCATCTCATCTTCCTCCATATCACTTGGATTGGATCACCCTAAACCCAAAACTAAAATCTTCCAAATCCAATAAGGAATTGCTTGCTGCTCTTACCCAAATCCAAAGCTTGCGTTTTTTGTTTAAATTTTCGGTGGGTTTGGCTGGCTGGTTTCTAGTACAAGTGCGCTGCAGAAGAAGAGATTCCACCTTCATCTAACAACAGAGTTTGTCGTGAAACTGTGGGGAAGATGGATCATCGACTCAATTTTATTTGATTGGCTTGGTTTTTCATCGACTCAATTTTTCGTTGGTTACTTATGTCTTGCTGACTTTTATTTTACTCGTTAACACTTTTTTTTAACAGTATTTTCTTTTTTCTTTTCTGAGCAACTGTCTTTTTTTTTGGTCTGAAGAACTGTCTTTCTTTCTTTTATGAGTTTGCTGCCCCACGATTGACAGGAATTGCCCACATTTTGTTCCCTTCTTTCTTTTTTTTTTCTTTTTTATATTTATAATAATTATTTTTTTAAAAAAAATTTAAAATTTTTTTGTGAAAATGAAACTTCCCTTTTGGCCTCGAAACATTTTGAAAAAAAAAGTTATTTAGGGTTACTTACCTTTATTTAGTCATATTTAGTGTTTGAGATTTCGGTTACTTACCTTTGTTTAGTCTTATTGTAATTAAGATTTATTTCTTATTGTCATCTATATATATAAAGCAAAAGACAGAGAATGGTGAAACATTCAAAATACCAGAAAATGTTTTTGGTTAATTCAAACATTAAGAATTGAAATTATTAATTAAATGAAGATAATATGGTAAATTCACATTTTTTTCATATTAAAACAAAATAAGATAATAGGTCCTATTTTTATGGAACATAACTACCCATATTATATTTTCTTAATTTTAAAAATAAAATAAAATAAAATAAAATAAAACCAATTGGCACATGCGTGAGCATGTGCCAAGGGGCTAGTTTAGATTTATATTCTATGTTATTTAGGGTTAATATTTTTTTTTATATTTCTTTATAAATACATACATATCTGAAATTTTGCAAGAACACTCCGTCTAATATATAAACTATCATAAGAGAATCAAAGGTGACAGGGCAACATTAGCTACAAGATACGCATTCTTTCTGAATTGGATCTGTTCGATCGCATTAGAGTCTTGTGGAGGTAAGTTATTTTGTTTTTATAACCTTTTTTTTTATCTGCAAGTCTGGACATAATTTTATTTGAACCATGTATTATGTAATTTTTTTAATTTATTTTATATATGTGTTGTTTCCTGGCTTGAAAATGGTGTACTTCAATTCAATGCAGTTTTTAGCCCTGTATTGGATTTGCACGATCTCACTTCTTTGGCACCGCCACTCCATAACCATCACCTTACTCTGTCATTACTGTTACAATTTCTAGAACTGCTTCTCCATCACCTATAATTATCTCAGTTATATGCAAGTTCAAATGGGCTTCTTCCATCGGGTGGTGACTTCCGAACTGATATTCATGGGCTAATGCTTCAAATGGTCAAGTTCTTGAGCGACAATGGTGCCCCCTTCCATCACCGTGAACATGTATAAGCCTTTACATTGACTCCAACTTCCCTGTTGATTATGCCTTCTTTTCATGGCAATGCATCACCCATTACGGATGGAATTTAACCTGCTACAATATGTTTGATGCAAATTATGATACTCTTGTGTGGGCCCTGCAAAAGAATGGCTTCGGAAACTTACCAATCATAGTCGGAGAGATTGGATGGCCAACAGATGGAGACCGGAATGCTAACATAGTTTATGCTCAGAGGTTCAATCAAGGTTCTATGTCCCACATATTGGGTGGCAGAGGAACCCCAACCCAATGAGACCAGGTCCAATTGATGCTTATCTAGTCAGTTTGATTGACGAGGATGCAAAAAGCATTGATCCAGGAAATTTTGAACGACGCTGGGGATGGGATAGCAAAATACCAGCTTAACCTTGGCAGCACAAATTCAGGGTCTTTAGTTCCAGCAAAAGGTGTGCACTATTTGGACCGCAAGTGGTGCGTGATGAAGCCATCAGCGAACCTTGATGACCCTCAAGTAGCGCTAAGTGTGAGTTATGCTTGTGGACTTGCCGATTGCACCAGCCTTGGTTACGGGACATCTTGTGGCAACTTGGATGCTCGAGGAAACATTTCGTATGCGGTTAATAGTTACTACCAGAGGAACAATCAACTTGATGTAGCTTGCAAATTTCTAAACCTTTTGATGATCACCAAAACAAACCCATCAGTTGGATCTTGCAGATTTGAGATAATGATCGAACCATATTACGGCGGTGCAGAAAGGAGATTCGGGTGTCTCCAAAAGCCTCTAAGCCTGGTTGCAATTTTCAATTTCTTTTCGCTAACCGTTGTGTGAATTCCAAGGCTTCGGAGTCATGTGGAACCACATTACCTAGACCATTCCCTTTCATGTAGGATAACCTGGTGCAAGGTAAAGAGCAATTGACCATTTGCTGGTTGCAGTTCATGCGTTTGAAATTGGGAAGGTAAACCGTCAAGTTGTCAGCAATTTGCATATTTGAAACTAGATTTGCCTTGAATTATTTTAACCATGAAGAAAATTTTGTCTTCTTTAGGAGTCTTTTGGGTGATAACAATGTAACTGCTCGCTTCAGCTGGGATTATTAATGGGATTGTGTGTTTTTCGTGACCTAGTAATTCCTTCAAAGAATTTCAAGTGTTTTTGCTCTGTATTTGCAAACAAGGGTACGTACTTGACAAGGAGAGGATGGCTTTGGCAAATAACAATCTGTTATCTAATCCAACAAATGTGTACACCCCAAACCAAATTATCCCAAATTTTAAATAAGAAAATGCTTATTTTAGAACCGAATGTGGATTGGGAGGTAAAGACTGGAGGTCCGGGTTTCGAATACCCTTGGCTCCTTGTTTGGCAAGAAATACGTAGAGCGACCAAGGTAAAACAATATTGTATATAAATCTTGACTAAAGCCTCGGCCTCTTTCAGATTTTCTTAAGTTTTTGTTTTTCCTGTGGACATGTTTTGTACTTTTTCTCTCTTCTTAATGAAATTCTATTGCAGACATGGGCTTAGTTAAGTTGGCTAGAGCGGATGTACTCCCCACTCAGCACCCGAATTTGAATTCCTTTTCCCGTAATTTAGGTTAATTTAAAGTAGAATATTACTTGTATAAAAAATAAAAAATTCTATTGTCTATAAAATAATAATAGAGAACCAATATTTACTAATCTCTACTTCCTATATGTAGTTTATTATTGTAAGTCATGTTTGGACATTGAATATTAGTTTCCAGACTTTTCAATCAACCTAGATTAGCAGATAAGTTAACTACTTGAAAAACACCTACCTGCTAGCTATAGTCCTCTCCTTTGTGCTATTACAAGCTTGAAACTCTAGCTTCCACTGATCCATCTCAAGTCAACATACTCAAAACACACTTATTTTTCAAACATAATATTACATATTAAAATACCGTAATTTAATTTGTGACTTATGGCATAAACAGCATTGTATTTGTATTGTAGCCCTCTAAAAACTATTGGAGAATCAGTTAATTAATAGGCTTGATTTCATATCAGCAAGCATTTAGCTGGTTACAAATCCCAAAATCATGTTTCTTCCACTCTAAAATTGAAAAAGAAAAATCCTATAATGAGTTGAATTGAAACAAACCGCTTCTATCTAGTCACACATTTTACGTAAAACAAGCCACTCAATTGGACCACTTGAAAAGCCCAATCCAAACTATTTTATTTCCAAGAGTGTCTTATAAAGACCTCCAAGGAACTCTAGTTTTCCAATATATGACTAATTTTAACTCGAACATGTTTGCAATGCCTTACAAAAACCAACAAAATCCCTATCAATATACCTTTATTTTAAGTCGAACACAATCCGCAATTCAAGTTCCTTCCCAATATCAATCGATCGTTCTTCCAATCCAATATAGAAATAGTTCATGTACAATCACATAAAAGAACCAAACCCACTTAAACTTGCCAGTTCAATTTAAAAAAAATTATATTATCAAATTCAAAGAAGATGAATTGCATAAAGTAAAAGTGTAAACATTGAAAATCACCAAGTGTGAGTGAATGAATGCTCTTACAAAAATTAGGTTGTCATGTGCACCAACAATGTGTGTGGAGAAAAGAAAAGTAACTTGAAGGACTTTGAGAGTATAGCACAAGGAAGGTTGGTCAAAATGCGCCTCACGGTCCAATAACATGTCGACACGTCAATAAATTTCATTTCACCACTACTTTGAGCTCAAAATTTTGTTTTCTTAACGATGGCTTCAGTTAAAATTTCAAATATTCCCTGAGACTCACAATTCTTCCAATAACTTATTAAGTGAGATTGAACAAGAAAATATTTTAAAGAAGGACCAATATAAGCATCTAACTTTAAAACAAATTAATACAATCTTCAATAAATGATATGAGGGGAAATAGAAAAAGACACCAAAAAAAAATAAATAAATAAATAAAAAAGAAGAAATCCGATGAAAAATAGAAAAGAAAGAAACAACAGGAAATAAAAAGCAAAAAACAAAAAAAAAAAAAAAAAAAAAAAAAAAAAAAAAAGAGAGAGTAAAAGACAACCATGCCCTTCGAGAGAGTAAAAGACAACCATGCCCTTCTCTCTCTTGCATTCGTAATTGGGAGGGAAACATTTAGTTAGTTCTGTTACAGCTCTCCAGCAAAACGCAGAGTATTCACCGCCATAATCTTTCACAAGCTCTCGTTTGTCTCTGTAATTTCATTTTCCTCTAGCACAATTTCTCTCCACGAGTTCGAACATGGCTTCCAGGGCACAGAAAATTGTTGATGACCTTTGTTTATACCATATTTGACCAAGCAACTAGAAGCAACTCTAGGCAAAGCAAAGAGTCCCACATTGGAATATTACAAGAAGTGAAGGCTCCCCCTCACCTATAAAAGGAGACCACTCTCCCCTTAGAAAAGGATCCCCTTGGGCTGGGCTTGACCTTTAGTCATGACCTTCCCCTTTCTTACATTTAAGTTTGGGCCCAAGCCCATGTACAAATGTAAATACACAATATTACAATAATGAGAATATACTTCTCCGTGGACGTAGCCCATTCATTAAGGGTGAACCACGTATATCTTGTCTTCTGTATGTTTATTGCTTGCTCAAATCCTCACAAGCTTGGGGAAGGTCCTCACCTTCACCCATCATCCATCACACCCCATCACTAAGTTGGCCTCAAAAGTACCGAACCATTTTTGAGCGTCAACAGTTTGGCGCCGTCTGTGGGAATCGACACAAAGAGCTTCTGTCATTCTCCCCTTTTTCAGTGCCCTTCGGCAGAACCCTTCGGCACCCCTACAATCAGCCTTCGGCCATCGGCACCTTCCATCATTCGGCGCGTGCGATGTCTTCACATCCCCCCAATGATTCGGAATCGGCCTTCCGCCTTCGGCCATCAGCCTTCGGCCATCGGCACCTTCCATCATTCGGCGCGTGCGATGTCTTCACATACCCCCAATGATTCGGAATCGGCCATCAGCCTTCGGCCATTCAGCCTTCGGCCATTCAGCTTTCGGCCTTCAGCCTTCGGCCATCAACCTTCGGCCATCAGCCTTCAGCCATTGGCACATTCCATCATTCGGCGTGTGCGATGTCTTCACATCCCCCCCAATGATTAGGAATCGGCCTTCCGCCTTCGGCCATTCAGCCTTCGGCCATCAGCCTTCGGCCATCGGCACCTTCCATCATTCGGCGCATGCGATGTCTTCACATCCCCCCAATGATTCGGAATCGGCCTTCAGCCTTCGGCCATCAGCCTTCGGCCAGTGGCACCTTCCATCATTCGGCGCGTGCGATGTCTTCACATCCCTCCAATGATTCGGAATCGGTCTTCCGCCTTCGGCCATCAGCCTTCGGCCTTCAGCCTTCGGCCATCAACCTTCGGCCATCAACCTTCGGCCATTGGCACATTCCATCATTCGGTGCGTGCGATGTCTTCACATCCCCCCAACGATTCGGAATCGGCCTTCAGCCTTCGGCCATCAGCCTTCGGCCATCGGCACATTCCATCATTCGGCGCGTGCGATGTCTTCACATCCCCCCAATGATTCAGAATCGGCCTTCAGCCTTCGGCCATCAGCCTTCGGCCTTCAGCCTTCGGCCATTGGCACCTTCCATCATTCGCGCGTGCGAAGTCTTCACATCCCCCCCAATGATTAGGAATCGACCTTCCGCCTTCGGCCATTCAGCCTTCGGCCATCAGCCTTCGGCCATCGGCACCCTCCATCATTCGGCGCGTGCGATGTCTTCACATCCCCCCAATGATTCGAAATCGGCCTTTAGCCTTCGGCCATCAGCCTTCGGCCATCGGCACCTTCCATCATTCGGCGCGTGCGATGTCTTCACATCCCCCCAATGATTCGGAATCGGCCTTCAGCCTTCGGCCATCAGCCTTCGGCCATCAGCACCTTCCATCATTCGGCGCGTGCGATGTCTTCACATCCCCCCAATGATTCGGAATCGGCTTTCAGCCTTCGGCCATCGGCACCTTCCATCAATCGGCGCGTGCGATGTCTTCACATCCCCCCAATGATTCGGAATCGGCCTTCAGCCTTCGGCCATCAGCACCTTCCATCATTCGGCGCGTGCGATGTCCTCACATCCCCCCAATGATTCGGAATCGGCCTTCAGCCTTCGGCCGTCAGCCTTCGGCCATTCAGACTTCGGACATCAGCCTTCGGCCATCAGCCTTCGGCCATCGGCACCTTCCATCATTCGGCGCGTGCGATGTCTTCACATCCCCTAATGATTCGGAATCGGCCTTCCATCTTCGGCCATTCAGCCTTCGGACATCGGCACCTTCCATCATTCGGCGCGTGCGATGTCTTCACATCCCCCCAATGACTCGGAATCGGCCTTCATCCTTCGGCCATCAGCCTTCGGCCATCGGCACCATCCATCATTCGGCGCGTCCGATGTCTTCACATTCTCCCCTTTTTCAGTGCCCTTCGGCAGAGCCCTTCGGCACCCCTACACGCAGCCTTCGGCCATCGGCACCTTCCATCATTCGGCGCGTGCGATGTCTTCACATCCCCCCAATGATTCGGAATCGGCCTTCAGCCTTCGGCCATCAGCCTTCGGCATTCAATCTTCGGCCATCAGCCTTCGGCCATCGACACCTTCCAACATTCGGCGCGTCCGATGTCTTCACATCCCCCCAATGATTCGGAATCGGCCTTCAGCCTTCGCCCATCAGCCTTCGGCCATTCAGCCTTCGGACATCAGCCTTCGGCCATCGGCACCTTCCATCATTCGGCGCGTGCGATGTCTTCACATCCCCCAATGATTCGGAATCGGTCTTCCATCTTCGGCCATTCAGCCTTCGGCCATCAGCCTTCGGCCATCGGCACCTTCCATCATTCAGCGCGTGCGATGTCTTCACATCTCCCCAATGATTCGGAATCGGCCTTCAGCCTTCGGCCATCAGCCTTCGGCCATCGGCACCTTCCATCATTCGGCGCGTACGATGTCTTCACATCCCCCAATGATTCGGAATCGGCCATCAGCCTTCGGCCATCGGCACCTTCCATCATTCGGCGCGTGCGATGTCTTCACATCCCCCAATGATTCGGAATCGGCCTTCAGCCTTCGACCATCAGCACCTTCCATCATTCGGCGCGTGCGATATCTTCACATCCCCCCAATGATTCGGAATCGGCCTTCAGCCTTCGGCCATCAGCCTTCGGCCATTCAGCCTTCGGACATCAGCCTTCGGCCATCAGCCTTCGGCCATCGGCACCTTCCATCATTCGGCGCGTGCGATGTCTTCACATCCCCCAATGATTCGGAATCGGCCTTCCATCTTCGGCCATTCAGCCTTCGGCCGTTCAGCCTTCGGCCATCAGCCTTCGGCCATCGGCACCTTCCATCATTCGGCGCGTGCGATGTCTTCACATCCCCCCAATGATTCGGAATCGGCCTTCAGCCTTCGGCCATCAGCCTTCGGCCATCGGCACCTTCCATCAATCGGCGCGTGCGATGTCTTCACATCCCCCCAATAATTCGGAATCGGCCTTCCATCTTCGGCCATCAGTCATCGCCTTCGGCACTCCGTCATCATACTACTTGGAAGAAGACTAAGGTGTTGCTCGGTCAATGCATTGAAAATTGCAAGTCCTCAGCCAAGGAGTACCTCCTTGCTTGAGAACTTGGGGGACTTCTGTTTATACCATATTTGACCAAGCAACTAGAAGCAACTCTAGGCAAAGCAAAGAGTCCCACATTGGAATATTACAAGAAGTGAAGGCTCCCCCTCACCTATAAAAGGAGACCACTCTCCCCTTAGAAAAGGATCCCCTTGGGCTGGGCTTGACCTTTAGTCATGACCTTCCCCTTTCTTACATTTAAGTTTGGGCCCAAGCCCATGTACAAATGTAAATACACAATATTACAATAATGAGAATATATTTCTCCGTGGACGTAGCCCATTCTTTAAGGGTGAACCACGTATATCTTGTCTTCTGTATGTTTATCGCTTGCTCAAATCCTCACAAGCTTGGGGAAGGTCCTCACCTTCACCCATCATCCATCACACCCCATCACTAAGTTGGCCTCAAAAGTACCGAACCATTTTTGAGCGTCAACAACCTTAATACTACAATCACCAACCTGGGTTTTGAGCGTTTTGATCCACCTGTACTCCTGGCACCCACCACAGTACAGGTACATTCCTCAAATGTTCTCAACAATTCTATTCTTATCTACAATTTTCTTAGCGTTTTTTCTTTTTTCTGTAGGATGACTTCAATCTAGCACTTGGGCGTCCTCTGGTTACAGAGGTGAGTTGAAAACCTCTGTTTGAATAGAAAGATCTTATTTTCCAGCTTTTGATGAAATGGGTTTCTTTATACTTCAGGTGTACGAAATGGGTTTCTTTTTTACTTCAAGGGTACAAAATGGGTGTCTTTATACTTCAAGTGTACAAAATGGGTTTATACAAATGCCAAAATGGGTTCGTACAAAAATGGGTTTCTTTATAATTCAAGTATACAAAATGGGTTTGTAAAAAATGCCAAAATGGGTTTATGTTAATGTTGAATCATGATGTGCAGAGTCATGATTTTGTGCCTGTGGCTGAAGTTGTTCACGTACCTGAAGTTGTTGATGTGCTTGAAGATGTGCAAGTGCCTGTTGAACAGGCTTTGGTGGTATGTAGAATACGTCTCTTTGCTTATTTATTCTTTTCAGTTTTTAGGCAGATATTATGAAGGCAATTTGAAATCAATTCTTGTATCTAGTTTCCATTACCTTAAACCCTTAAATAATTCAACTCAATTCTTGTACAAAAATGGGTTTCTTCATTAAAGATCTCCTTCTCCCCTTTCTTGAATGTAGCCATCCAATTATCTTAGACAAAATCTTCTCACTTATTCTTCATTCAAGAAAGTGAAGCTTTATCTTCCATCCTACCTATAAATGTCTATCGCTTATTCAACTTCTTGGGTGTGTTTAGGAGCTGGAGGAGAGTATGACTGCCAACATCTTCTATAAGACCAGGATGTGCGACGATTGGAGAGCATCTGGTGATTGCTCTCATGGATGACGGTGCCACTTTGCTCATGGACAGGCCGACCTGAGGACCAGACTCTGCAAAAATTTCAGGAATCCGAATGGCTGCTCATTTGGCGACAGATGCAAATATCGACATCAGCCTTGACACTTCCATCCACGCTCTTCTGCCACTGACACTTCCATTCCATACTTCATCTATTACTTTAGCTGAACTCCTATGCACATAGTTACAATAGTTTTCTTTTTCATTCATATTACAATAGTTTTATGTTCATATGCTCTTTTCATTTGGCATCGGACTACCTAACCTGAATGTTGACTGTGAACCGAGAAACTATTAAGTGCAATTCCACAAATGATGCCTTTATTGGTAGAAACTTAGTTCATAAACTAGAGTTATACATGCATACCTTGGTGAATTAAAATCATACTGATTTCATATCATTAGGTTGTGGTAAATTGCTCTCTCTCTCTCTCTCTCTCTCTCTCTCTTGATAAATAAACTAACTTCAGATGGCTAAGGAATGCACACAGACTTGGATAGTATATTGAGCGAACTGCAGAAAGAACCACAGGTATAATTATATGTGTATGTTCTTTTCTAAAATTAATCTCATCCACAAGACCACCGTTCAAGTGTGGTCTGAAGACATCTGCTCCTGATCCAATCTGTATATTGTAAATACATGTGTGCGTGTGTCGAGAGGCATTTGAATGAGGACATAAATCTTCAACTTAAGTCCTCATTTGATAATGTCCATTATTGTTGTTTAGATGCAAAAAATCCACCCCCACACCCCCGAACAAGAGGATTCACTTTATACCACAGTAGTTGTTCCTCTCTACAAATTTGTAGAATTTTCTACAATTTTATTCTTTAAGATTTTCTCTAGAATTTGGATGGTCAGTTGGAAACTTTTCAGATTTTCTCTCTTAGTGATATTAAGCATTTGAAAAGAAAACTAAAAAGTGTATAGAGTAGAGAGATAGAGAGGTTACTCCTTCATGTGCGTGTCACTTGACATGCCATAGAGTTTTGTAATGTCTGCACAAAAGTATACTGAATCTGTTATCTCAATAGAATCTTCGCTAAATGAATTTGCTAGCTAAGATACTGTCGAGACATTCAGGATGAAGTCAACACACAGTCAGGTTATTGGAGTTCTTTAGATAGTCGGGAGACTGAACTAGCATAATTTTCTTAGCTTAAAAGGATATTTTGGAGATCAACCATTTTGGGTTGGGGTTTCGGAACTTAAGTGAATGAAGATGCCTTAGGTTGGGTAGGGAGCAAATCATAAAGAAGAAAAAAGAAACAATCAGAACACCCTTTGATGTGTTTATTTTGAGGTGAGGATAACAGCATTGAGGTAAGCCCAGTTCTCTTCTGTTCTGATCTTTGTTCTGTTTCGACTGTTTGTGCTTGATTGGTCATTAACTGCGTAAATGAGACAGTTTGCGCACAATGACTCACTCGTATAGCTTATTTTTTAGTTCGGTTTTGGAGAAGTTGTAAATCTTAAAACCATATGAATGACTTGTTAAAAGTGAGATTATAGTAGGCTGGCAATGAAGCCATGAGTAAAACTGGCTGTTGGGATGTATTTTAGTGGACTTGTTTAGGTCCGTCTGATAAATGGATGAGAGCTTGTGGATGTGGGCAAGTAGCTGGACTCATGAAAATCTCCGTGTTTGTGTTTGTGAGTGTCCTGAAGTGATTGAAAAAATGTTGTTTTGTTTGCACATTTCTGAAAATTTCATTATCCAGTTGCATATCTATCTTTCAGGAGTAGATTCTATTCACACCTAAATTTTTTATCATCAACCCAATGTACCTAATTTCCTTTTTCCTAGCTCCCATCTTGATTCTTGCCTTTAGTTAATTTCAAATTTAAATTTCTTCCAAACTTTAAATACTAAAAAGGAATTACTGATGGCCTCTCTTTATCCAATTTACTCCTTTATCCTTTGTACATGAAGGATAAATCTTGGAGAAGAGATTACTTGTACACTCTGTGATGTGTGATCTGTTTTTATTTTCTTTCATCAGTTTTCTGATGTTGTAATCAAGATGCAGTATTGAGAGAGTCACCGAATTGGAAAGACATTACTGTATTCTTCTAGTTACTCATAACTGTAATTTACTTTATAATGAAAAGTTCGATAAGAAAGGATAATTTCTTATGGTTTTGAGTTTTCATTTATTTTCTTTCCTGTTCTTTTCCAGGGGCATGCTGCGGTAAATACAATGTAGCGTTCGTAAGGCTTAAATAGAAAGATCAGCACTTTTTTCTTTCACTGTCCTGAAAGAAGAGGGGGGGGTGGGTGTGGGCACTAAGTCGTTTTGTTCTATTTCGTTCTAAGAAAATGAGTTTTTTTGAAGGAAACCAAAGGGTCTTTTAAGACATCTCTACAATGTCCTCTGCAATCTGCATGCTATATAAGCTGGGATATTGTCACATGCAGGACTTTTCCACTTCTCCAAATATAGAGCAGATCCGGACTTTTACATGTTTAAAATTATAATTTTGTGCTTGTAGCATCTCAAGAGATTTTTTATATCAAAAAAAGGTGATAGTGCTGTGGACTATATTTTTCTTTTCTTCTTTTTCTATTGGTCTGATGTGCAGTATGTTCTTTCTTGAATTGAAGTTCAATTTTCCAAAAGCTGAAAGAATTTTCAAGTAAACTAGGGTAAGTACTTGACAAAGAGGGGACGGTTTAGGTAAATAAGAATCTTTTTCTTTGACTGGAGAACTTGAGTCGTGTCTTGTATTAGAAAGAAAATTAGAATTTCGAAAATTAATCCCTAAATTAGAATTTCGAAAATTAGACACGACTCAAGTTCTCCAGTCAAAGAAAAAGATTCTTATTTACCTAAACCGTCCCCTCTTTGTCAAGTACTTACCTTAGTTTACTTGAAAATTCTTTCAGCTTTTCGAAAATTGAACTTCAATTCAAGAAAGAACATACTGCACATCAGACCAATAGAAAAAGAAGAAAAGAAAAATATAGTCCACAGCACTATCACCTTTTTTTGATATAAAAAATCTCTTGAGATGCTACAAGCACAAAATTATAATTTTAAACATGTAAAAGTCCGGATCTGCTCTATATTTGGAGAAGTGGAAAAGTCCTGCATGTGACAATATCCCAGCTTATATAGCATGCAGATTGAAGAGGACATTGTAGAGATGTCTTAAAAGACCCTTTGGTTTCCTTCAAAAAAACTCATTTTCTTAGAACGAAATAGAACAAAACGACTTAGTGCCCACACCCACCCCCCCTCTCTTCTTTCAAGACAGTGAAAGAAAAAAGTGCTGATCTTTCTATTTAAGCCTTACGAACGCTACATTGTATTTACCGCAGCATGCCCCTGGAAAAGAACAGGAAAGAAAATAAATGAAAACTCAAAACCATAAGAAATTATCCTTTCTTATCGAACTTTTCATTATAAAGTAAATTACAGTTATGAGTAACTAGAAGAATACAGTAATGTCTTTCCAATTCGGTGACTCTCTCAATACTGCATCTTGATTACAACATCAGAAAACTGATGAAAGAAAATAAAAACAGATCACACATCACAGAGTGTACAAGTAATCTCTTCTCCAAGATTTATCCTTCATGTACAAAGGATAAAGGAGTAAATTGGATAAAGAGAGGCCATCAGTAATTCCTTTTAGTATTTAAAGTTTGGAAGAAATTTAAATTTGAAATTAACTAAAGGCAAGAATCAAGATGGGAGCTAGGAAAAAGGAAATTAGGTACATTGGGTTGATGATAAAAAAATTTGGGTGTGAATAGAATCTACTCCTGAAAGATAGATATGCAACTGGATAATGAAAATTTCAGAAATGTGCAAACAAAACAACATTTTTTCAATCACTTCAGGACACTCACAAACACAAACACGGAGATTTTCATGAGTCCAGCTACTTGCCCACATCCACAAGCTCTCATCCATTTATCAGACGGACCTAAACAAGTCCACTAAAATACATCCCAACAGCCAGTTTTACTCATGGCTTCATTGCCAGCCTACTATAATCTCACTTTTAACAAGTCATTCATATGGTTTTAAGATTTACAACTTCTCCAAAACCGAACTAAAAAATAAGCTATACGAGTGAGTCATTGTGCGCAAACTGTCTCATTTACGCAGTTAATGACCAATCAAGCACAAACAGTCGAAACAGAACAAAGATCAGAACAGAAGAGAACTGGGCTTACCTCAATGCTGTTATCCTCACCTCAAAATAAACACATCAAAGGGTGTTCTGATTGTTTCTTTTTTCTTCTTTATGATTTGCTCCCTACCCAACCTAAGGCATCTTCATTCACTTAAGTTCCGAAACCCCAACCCAAAATGGTTGATCTCCAAAATATCCTTTTAAGCTAAGAAAATTATGCTAGTTCAGTCTCCCGACTATCTAAAGAACTCCAATAACCTGACTGTGTGTTGACTTCATCCTGAATGTCTCGACAGTATCTTAGCTAGCAAATTCATTTAGCAAAGATTCTATTGAGATAACAGATTCAGTATACTTTTGTGCAGACATTACAAAACTCTATGGCATGTCAAGTGACACGCACATGAAGGAGTAACCTCTCTATCTCTCTACTCTATACACTTTTTAGTTTTCTTTTCAAATGCTTAATATCACTAAGAGAGAAAATCTGAAAAGTTTCCAACTGACCATCCAAATTCTAGAGAAAATCTTAAAGAATAAAATTGTAGAAAATTCTACAAATTTGTAGAGAGGAACAACTACTGTGGTATAAAGTGAATCCTCTTGTTCGGGGGTGTGGGGGTGGATTTTTTGCATCTAAACAACAATAATGGACATTATCAAATGAGGACTTAAGTTGAAGATTTATGTCCTCATTCAAATGCCTCTCGACACACGCACACATGTATTTACAATATACAGATTGGATCAGGAGCAGATGTCTTCAGACCACACTTGAACGGTGGTCTTGTGGATGAGATTAATTTTAGAAAAGAACATACACATATAATTATACCTGTGGTTCTTTCTGCAGTTTGCTCAATATACTATCCAAGTCTGTGTGCATTCCTTAGCCATCTGAAGTTAGTTTATTTATCAAGTGTAGTATTGCTGAGGCAGCTTGTTCCTGAATGCAAACAAAGAGATTAAAGTCAGTCAGTTCTAGCTGTTTGCCTGCAAGCAAATAAATAATGGGGCATTTCAAAATATATAAAGGAAAAAGAAATTGTGGATGCATTTTTCAATGTTCAAGAACCAAATGAGTAACAGAAGAGAAAAAAAGAAAGGGCAGATTGCAGGAAGATTTTAAAAAAGAAATACTTGATCAAATTAGGCAGCAATTCACAGAGGTCAGAAATATATAGAGTAATATGAGTAAATAAGCATCAATCGTTTTTATTTATTAAACTATCTCCTCTTGAAACAAATAAACCTGCACTGCTTGACATACACAATGGAAGACTGCTCTCAATGGATAACGTTGAGACAGAAACGAAAAGCTGCACACTTCGCTTAGTATGATGAACGAAAGTGCAAAGATACCGTATCGTATTTGCAAATACTTTGGAGAGAGAGAGGGGAGTGTTACTGGCAGATAATATATAGATCAAAGGATCATTTCTCAAACACAAATTAATCCTACTTAAACTGCAATCCCAACGATACATAAAAGCATGTCTACCCCTGAAAAAATTGACGCATAATCACCAAGTGTCTAAGAAAAGGAAACCATCATTAATCTGTCCCCTGTCACCATAACTTCTAAACCACATCTTTAAAGGTTTTAAACTCATTTAAATAAATAAAAACCAAGATGGGAGCTTAACAGAAAATAAAAAATAAAAAGGCAGAGAGGAACTTTGCCCATAAAAAAGTGAGTAGAGAGATATAGCAATGTGGTTACACAATCATGATGAGTGTATAAAAAACATTTTTGATAAAAAAATAACTGATTATGTAATTAATCACCAAATAGCATAACACACAGTAAATTCATAACCCTGCACCTTTACTCTTGGAATCGAATGTTGGTCAAGTGCAGTAACTAGTGCAGGCACAATCCTCAAATGATGGAGAATGTGCATTGCCTCAATTAGGGTTATAGGCAGTTGCATAAATTAAAAGCTGCACAACAAACTCGAGAATGGGGATCTTGGAATGACTTCAAAATAACGGTCGTAACTTGCTCCAAATAATTTTTCATCAGTATCTGCAGTAAGGAATGGGTTGAGAGACACTGAAGATTTAATACAATCGTGAAATAGTAGTTACTGGATACTAATTAAATACTAAGTTAACGCAAAGCTAGGCAAAGCTATTACCATTTCGCCGGAGCACTCCTTTGCAATCACTGCAAGCATAGAAATTCCTGTGTGACGCTTCTTCCAATTGGAAGCATCCATGTACTCCAAGAACAACTCAAAAGCAATGGGGGTCATTGTCTTTTCACCTAAGGCAGTTGAAATTTTTGTCAGGTATGCAATTCCAAGGTCTGTCTTCCCGACATTCGCACCCTGGTCACTTTCCTTGTTGTAACATGCACAGAGAAGCAGTTTCATTGGGACTGTGAGCAGCCTAACCAAAGTCTGATGCGGCAACCCCCTCATCGTAAGTGCCAAATCGCTTGCTTCTGCCACGGTTAGCAAGAATTTGTGAACAAACACTTTGGTTCCCTCTGTCACATGTTCACTGTCTGCTATCTTAAGCACGTCAAGTACTAGTTCATTAAGGTATGGCTTCAAGAGTCGTGGCTCTTCCATTACCAACATTATTAACTCTTTGAGAGCCCCGCGAGCATAGTCTTCTTTCAAGTGACTTAACAAATTAAACAGTCCGACCATCATCCCTCTCAAAAGGTCATGAAACCAATTCCGCCCTGATGAATTTGAAAACAAATTAATCAAACTAACCACAGCACTAAATGTGGCGACCTGAATATCGGCATTTTCCGAATTCAACGTACTTAAAAAATGCTAAGTATATAGGTTCAATGCTAAGTACACTTTTGGCAAAAAAGCAAGCACCCACAAAGCAGAAAGTTGAAACCTTTCAGAATCCGACTGAAAAGATTTCAACAAATACTCAATGAATTCTGGCCATTCATTGCCAACCCCAGAAATCTCTGATGCCAGCAATGGCACAGAGTATCCTCAAAGTGGGCAATGAACCCTCTTCTTGAAGGGAAACAAGAAAGTTGTTCTTCATGTTAATTTGAGCATTCAAAGACAACCTAGGCCAAAGGTCACAAAGCACAAAACGAAGAACCAGGGCTGACCTGGCACGAATGTCAGCAGAAGGGCCTTGCCTGATCACATAGAAGAGCTTTATGAATACCAAATCTGGGAAGTGCTTTCTGCAACAATGGAGAAGACTATAGGCTTGAGATCGTTGGGGTTCTTGGGAGCTGAAGAGATGAGAGAAGAGGGTCTCCATGGGCTGCACATCTTTGGAACTTAGAATGCCGAAGGCTTGTGTTTGCAATTGCTTTACTTTTTTGGGTTTTCAAAAATCGTCATATCAAATGTGGGTTTGGCGGAGAAATCAATCAGAAAAGCAGAATCCGCTACAAGTTGGTCATTGACGGTCCATTTTTGCTGATGTAATCATGGGTTTGGATTATGAGACTTGAGACACAAGGAAGCTAAGAACCAGAGCGAAAATGGAAGGCTAAAAGGAGGAGCTCTGCACTCTGCGCTACCCCTATGCAAGGTTTAATATTTTTCTTCTTCTTAAGAAAAGAATAAAAGTGACTTTTGATCCTCATAGTTTATCTCTTTTTTATTTTTCGCTCTTATAGTTTTAATTTGGTCAATTATGCCCGTGTAGTTTCATAATTATAGTAATTTAAAGATAAGTCACAAATTCTGTCAATTTCTTTCACGACATCAGAGGTATTTCCATCCATTTCTAATTTTAAAAAATTAGAAACTCAAATTTAAATATTTTTCTACTCACAAACAAGAAACAAGCAATTGATTTGTCGTTGAAATGAAATTCCAAAGTGACCAAATTAGCAAATAATAATAAAAGCATTGACCAAATTGAAACCAAGGGACGATAAGTGAAAAAAAATGTCAACTATAGGAACTATAAATGACTTTTAGCCTAAGAAAAAATAATGTAATATAACAGAAATTTTAATTTATTTCAATTGATTGCTTTATTGGAAAAAAAAAACAGTTTTGCACCATAAATCTCCATTTATTATTTTGCGGACCTTATCATATAAATAAATTAGGTCCTCAACTTGTTTAGTTATTATTATTTTTAAATATTTTAGTCCTATTAATAAATCAGATTTTAATATGAATATGATTAATAGGATATAGATTGTGATTCAATTTTTTCTTCTATTTGAATTGTGCTTGAAATTTGACTACCCATCAACCTAACAAATAAAAAATAAATTAGAGATAATCCAACCCAATTTGATATAGTTATCTTTTACAAATATTACAAATGTGTTTAAGGGATCATAAAAAATAAGTCTCCCAAAAAATCACAGCCGCTCTCTCTCTCTGTGAATCCTAAAGGAAAACTCCATAAAAGGGAGAGAAGGAAGGAACTGTGGGGAGATGGGATCATCAATATTGGGATTTTTACTTTTTATTGATCGGGTCGGTTTTCATCAACTCAATTTTTTGTTTTTGTTTTTTGGGTCTGAACAATTGTCTTTCTTTCTTTTATGAGTTTGCTGCCCCTCGATTGACAGGAATTGCCACATTTTGTTCCCTTCTTTCTTTCTTTTTTCTTTCTTTTGTTTTTTTTTTCCTGAAAATGAAAATTCCCTTTTGGCCTGAAAACATTTTTCTTTTAAAATACAAAGAAATTATTGTAGTCAAAACTAAATTGGAAACTCATTATTAGTATTACTACCTTACAACTCAATTAGAAACTCACAGTTGCAACAAATCTTCATGGTAGTGATGCAAATTGCAATGCAACATTAGTGCTTGGGCCTGTTTTTGCACAGCCGAGATTAATGCCATATTGGGCCAATTCATGACTTGGGCTTTTGACATTGACTAAATATTCTGGCCAATTTATGGTAAATATTCAAGGAATCATTATTATATGATGATTTCCTATATTTAAAGGGATATTTATGAGGGTTACTTGGCGTAGAAGACAATCAAGTATTTAGATTGACTTTGATTTGATTTTGTAGTGGTACGGTTGTAAAATGCGAGTCCTTATTTAGTTAGAATTTTGGTACCTTAATATGTTAGGATTTTGATTACTTATCTTTATTTAGTCATATTGTAATTGAAATTTATTTCTTATTGTAATTTAGATTTATATTCTATGTTATTAGGGTTAACACATATTTGTATTTCTTTATATTGCATACATATTTGAAAATTTGCCCCACTTTATTCGACTGTGTTGACATCCAAAACTTAACAGAAATCCTAATCCCACAAGAACACTCCGTCTAATATATATATAAACTATAAGAGAATAAAGGTCACAGGGCAACATCAGCTACAAGATACGCATTCTTTCTGAATTGGATCTGTTCGATCGAATTACGGTCTTCTGGGACAGGTAAGTTATTTTATTTTTATAACCTTTTTTTCTATCTGCAAGTCTGGACATAATTTTATTTGATACAATTATAATTTCTAGTTTCGATTTGAACCATGAATTATGTAATTTATAAAATTGATTTTATATATGTGCGTTGTTTCCTGGCTTGAAAATGTTTGGTTGAGATTTATGATTAATTCTTGGCATAACTTGTTCTCCTAAATTCTATTAGACATGCAACTTGTATTGATTGGATTATGAAGCCCAAGTTGATTAGGTCCTGTGAGTCTACGACCAAATTATATGACCCACTTACTTGGGGTAGGAATCAGGATTCAGAAACTTGTTCCTTAGAGCTCAGCTAGCTAGGTATCTTTGAATAAAGAGATGATGAATTTTGGTAATTTGATGATTTTGATTCATTTTTATTTTATTTCTGGTATAAGCAGTATCCCCGCAAGAGCAGCATCAATGCGTGATACGCAGACAATTATTAGGAAGAAATGGGTGACACTGATAGGCAGCAGCAGCAATAGCAACAGCAGCAGCAAGTGGTCGAAACATGTCCCAGATGATATCATGCAACCGATTCTACAACGGCTATGCATATTCGATTATGTTCGGTGTCGCTCAGTATGCCGTTCATGGCGAGAGTCTATTGATAGGGCAATTGCCAGCAGATGGTGTCGTCCTGCTCCTCAACTTCCATGGCTTGTATATCGTCGGTCCATGTTTTCATTTTGTCTTTCAAAGTTTTCATTTAAACGTCAGCATAATATCAAATTAAGTCTGCCGAATGATGATGACCATGATGATTATGTTGGGTCAATCGAGGGGTGGTTGATGAGAGTCGATTGGACTGGATCCATAATTACCTTATTGAATCCCATCTCAGGTGGCCGAGTGATGCTTCCACGATGCAAACATGAGGTCACTGCTCCTTTCATCAGTAAAGTTGTAGCCTCCTCGGTACCAACCACAACAAGCCCATCATCTCTTGTTGTGGTCTGCCTTTCCACGAATGTTGAAAGAACGAAAGTCTGTAGACCCACTGATTACACGACGACGCTGGCGGTCTGTAGACCCACTGATAAATCATGGACCCGAATTGAAGAGGGCCTCAGCTTTGAAGATATAGAATTCATCGATGGGAAGCTATATGCTGCAACCAACAACCCGTCGGAGTCTTTAATAGTGTTTAAGTTTGACACACATAATCATGATGATCAGCAGCAGCAGCAAATCCAATATAGGGCTGAAAGGTTGGTTGTACTTGACGACTCCGGGCCAGATCGTGTGAGGTTCGAGCATATATTTAGGATAAACAAGAGTCGTCTTTTCCTTGCAAAAGATTTCTCTGCATCAACGGAGTTGTTTATGATTACTTTTCCAGACAATTTTCTAGACGAGAAGCTGTTGCTATGTCCACATGATTATGCTGAAGAATTTCAAGTTTTCAAGCTGGCATTCGATAATAATGCTGCTGCTAATAATGGTCATCCTCCACCTCCTCCTCGATGGGTAGAGATTGTCGGATTTCGTGATCGGATATTGTTTCTATTCCAGAAAGTCAGGGAATACCTTGACGACGTTGACACTAATGATCTGCTTAATAATGATCTAGTACACGGCATCTGTACATGTATAAATTTATTAAGGCGACGAGCCGTATGGCTCACCCCAAATCCTTGGTAGCACCCTCTACATCCTAATAAAAATGGACTCATATTTAAGCACCGCTTTATCTTCTTCTATTTCAAGGTTTCGCTTGCTTTGTTTTTGTTAACACTAGTATAGCTGCATCGTTGCTCATTGTTCTAAGACACTTTTTTTTCCTTTGTGCATTCCACCTATTACTGTAATAAAAAACAACGAAAATTTTGGACTCCCCCACTTGCTCTCTGTCTTCAGCAGGTTGAATCAGCGGAGCACTTGTTGTTCCTATGCCCGTAGACAATGGCACACTGGTTTGGTGCCCCTTTTTCCTAATAAAGTTTATCCTAAACCAAACTCTAAAACTAAAACTATAATTTGTTTCTCATCTTCCTCCTTATCACTTGGCTGACCCTAAACCAAATCCAAACTCTTCCAAATCCAATACACCAGAAATTATGAATCTATGAAAATCTGGCAAAACAAAATAAGAAATTGCTTGCTCCTAGTCTTACTCCCAAATTCAAAGCTCGCCTGGTTTGTTACTAGTACTAGTGCGTTGCAGAAAAAGAAATTCTGAGATGGATGAGGCAGGAAGGCACCTTCAACTAACTTCAAGAATGTAAGAACAAGGCTAGGCTTCTCAAGCTGGGTTTCTTGAGATTGTAAGCTATTGAGAAAAGAGATTCTGAGCATAAAAAACAAAAAAGCTATCATAGTAAAAACTAAATTGGAAACTCATTATTATTACGCTACTGTTCTAACAAATTTTGATGTCTCTGTGACGGTGATGCAACATCAAGTTTTTTCTTGCCATTAAATTCAACAAATTTTGATAACGTAAGATCTAATTTCCTTTATACTAAAAGATTAATTATTCATATGTCCTTGTTTTAGGGGATTTTGATGGTCTTGAAGATGTTCAGTCAAAAAAACCGACAGCCAGCCAGCATGCTAAAAAGATATCTTCATGTTAAAAGTTAAAACTGTACAATATATAAACCTTAAATTACACAAGACATCACTAAATGTGGTGGGATCTGGGATGGGAGAGAAATGACAGAGTATTCTACACAAGTTTTCTATTATCATTAAGACATGATATCTATAGCCAAAGATCAATGCCATTCTATTCCTCCCAATGTGGTAGAGCCCACTCCTTCCCATACCTCATTGAGGCCTACTTCTTCATTGTCAATGCCTTCCCTGTCGCAGTCCCACCAGCCACAGCCATTTGCATCTGCTACCACAAATCAGGAACCAAAATTACTAAACAACAATAACAACCTTATACACCTCAACCTCAAGAGACAAAACATAAAAGGAGAAAAATTGTGCTTCACAGAGAAACATGAAAAGATAACTTCTGATTCAAGATATAGCATACTAACAGTGATTATAAACAGGTCCTGCTTTCTCCTTGCTTACAGAACTCTCATTCCTTCTCCTTTTCTGGTAGGCTTGTGGTTTTGGTTTTGGATCACCTCCAGGCACTGTAAATGTTTTCTTACAGTGTGTTTGCCACCGCTGCCTATTTGAAAGAGAAAGGCGGGTTGGTAGGTCAGATTTAGAAATCAAAGACATAAGTTGGTTAAGTAGGAAAACTATAAAGTTTTAGCTGGAACATAAAGGTGGTTACGCGGATCCACAGAGGAGCAAGAGTGGTCAATTGACCCCCGCAACCCTTGAATCCGCCTCATGAGGAAAGAAAATTGACCCCTGCAAGGGCTGGATGGCTGGGCAATTCATGCCCTCCATCTGTTCGAGGAAATGCCTGAAAGGAGAGCAGCACCTTCAGCGCAGCAAGCAGATCTGCGTGCAGCACGCTCCTTCTATTCTTTTTTTTTCATCTTTTGCTTCACCTTGAAACGACACCGTTCGTTTAAGTTTTTTTCCTTTTTAAAAACATATTTAAAAAACAAGAGGCAGCAACCTGCTACTACCCGATAAACCCCACAATCCCCAATACATTAGATAATTCATATGAAATATACTATTCTGTTTCCTTTTTTTTTTCTTTTCCCAATCTTGCTTTTTCTCTTATTTTATAGTTTATTTTTTTATTTTTGTGTGTGTATATATATATATATATATATATTTGTTCCTTTTGCTCTTTACTTTGTGTTAGTTTTTATTTTCCATTTTTCTTTTTGCTTACACCATATGCGAACTTGGTAATGACAAGGAGGTCTGACAAAACTGCAATGAAAGATACCAATTTTTTCAATGCTCACGGTGCTGCTTCGATAGTAAATGTAGGATTTCGTCTGCTATAGCAAGGAACCAAGAGTGTGCCACATTGACTGTTCAAGTCGCATCCTTGAAGGATGAAGTGCTGAATTGCATAGGCTCCTCAAACATGCAAACCGACATATAGAAGCACTAAAAAAGAAAAATCGAGACTTTGCTGAATTGGTGGTCTTACAAACTATTGTATCAAGAAGAGACAGATAAGGATTTGAGATGAAGAGATGCAATTCTCTTTGATAATGAACATGAGTATTTTTTATGGTTTTATCTATTAACTATGAATTAAAATATTATCGTTTCAATTCGATGAGTCTATTTTGTATAAGTTTTTTTTAACATTTTACACGTTGACCCCCGGAATTAAAATTCCTGGATCCGCCACTGATTACATATGATCTTACTAGACAAACTTTTAACATCTCAAATCTTGCATCTAAATCAAACAACCAATTGCGATGTATATTCTACTTTTGTGCTTTATATGCTAAATAAGTAGAAACCAAACCAACTAGAACATGATGTATATTGTATAGTTGTGGTGTGTGGAAAATAACAATGAAAATTACACATATCAAGACATAATACAAAGGAAAAAGAAAACTGTGCTTGACAGAGAAACATGAAATAGTAACTGTTAACACCATTTCTGAGTCAAGATATAGCATACTAACGGTAGTTATAAACAGGTCCTGCCTGGTTTCTCCTTGCTTATAAAACTCTCATTCCTTCTTGTCTGGTTGGGTTCTGGATCACCTCCAAGCATTGTGAAATGCTTTCTTTCAATGTGCTTGTCAACCCCAGCTAATTAAAAAGAGAAGGGCAAGGTGTGGTCGGTTAGAAACCAAGGACATAAGTCGATCGTGTAAGAAAAAAAGTTTCAACTGGAATATAAAGGTGGCTTCCGTTGATTTTACTCAATAAAAAATTTATACCTCGAGTCCTACTGCTGGAAATGTAATATATTGTGGTGTATATGCTAAAGCACGATGTCTTAAAATTCCCTAGAATGGCCAACTGATTTGTTTCTTAATACTCAAACACCACGACATGATTGAAATACTGTAACAATCCTGTAAGCAAAAAATTCCAGAATACGCAGCAGAATAAATTCAAATAAAAATGCAAACAATTGCACAAGGGACACACGATATGTTGACGCAGTAAAAAACCTCAAGATGAGGAAAACAACTGCGGGCATTATGCCGGAGAACAAATCACTATGAGAAAGAATACAAAAAGGTCTTACAAGTCTCAACTCACAAGACTAAGGCTCGCAAGGCAGACTTGCCTACTCGCCTTTGCTACTCAACCCAACCAGTGATCTTGTCTTCCTTCATCAACAAGAGATGGCACAACTCTGGTCTCGGCTGCTCACACCTCAAGGCACGATTGTTGATCACCAACATGCATAATGCTCATGAACTCACACATATATGAAAAGAAGATTATTTAATCACTCATGGAGGCTAACAAGGAACAGCCACATGAGTTTTCAATATGAACTCTCAAAAACCTCTCTGCAAAATATTTTGTCGTTCTACACTTTTCAACGTTGCAGACACACAAACAAAAAGGCTAAGTTCCTTTCTTTTATTACACACTTAAAACTAGGTCAGAGACCAAAAAAGGCTTTTAGCAAAAATGGGCTTTTTAACAAATAAATTATTTCTTTAAAACAAATAAAGCCACTTAATTAAAAACCCAGCCGTAAAGACAAAAGAGCCCTTTTGCTTAAATAAGCACCAATCTAAAGAATATAAAACCATCGTTAAAAACTCATTGATGTCTGGCACTGGATTATATAAGACTGAAATCATATATCATTCATGTACATCTTACAGCCACTTTTGATGATCAAGCAAATATGAAAATATGAATGCATGGATGCAAAACATACCTTGGCATTGTCTCTGAGCCACACTGATCCAGGATAGCAGAATGTCACTTGAAAACTGTAGGTTACACTCAAAGACCTACTCTATGTTTTTGTAACAGGAAATTGCCAATATACCAAAAATTGGTCCTAACATCTCTTCAGCTCATTTGTCCATCTTTTATGTTTCTATTTCACTTACAAACGTTTCTCAGTATTCTTGAATCTTCCCAGAAATTTTTGTCACTAATTTATGATAATCCTTTTACATTGCAGTTAGAGCAATCTGTGCACTGTGTTGATGTGAAAAAGTGGTTCTGCACTTTTGGGCTCAACTTAGTGATGTCTGGGCTTTCGGAATGCTCTTGGGCCTCAGTAGAGCGTGATCCTGCAAAATAAGGGTCCGCTCGGTAAGACATAGAGCACCAGTTTGGTACCGGCCGAAGAAATCCATGAACCATGTTTGGTGTAACACATGTTGGCAGATACCTATAAAGATGTCTACCCATGAACCATGTTTGGTGTCTATGCATGTTCCTCAGATGTTTCCCTGGGTTTACATAATTACATGCATGTTCATGAAATGATGAATCTTTCACATTGGATGTTATCTTTCAGATTGCTACTCAATCTTATACCAACATAGAGAAACTTAAGCAATTCTGCAATTTAATTTTTTATCTCTGTGTCGAAAATTCAGGCCTATTAAGGAAACTAGCACCTTGATTCAGACCTGCATCAAATGCACGTACATCCTGCACCCATATGGGTGGAAAAGTTCAAATACATACCTAAAAGGCCTCGGATATGTGAACCCCCTGTAAATACATATAGTCAAAGAAGTACTTAACACCTTGGCGGGGCCTCATTTCAATTTCCACACTATATCTACGTTCTCCAACCCAAACTTTGTTGCAATCTATTCTATATTTGTACTTATTTTAAAATTAATATTGTATACAAATCTTGACTAAAGCCTCGGTCTCTTTCAGATTTTCTTAAGTTTTCGTTTTTCCCATGGACATGTTTTGTACTTTTTCTCTCTTCTTAATGAAATTCTGTTGTAAACATGGGCTTAGTTAAGTTGGCTAGAGTGAATGTTCTCCCCACTCTGCACCCGAGTTTGAATTCCTTTCCCAGTAATTTAGGTTAATTTAAAGTAAAATATTACTTGTATAAAATAAAAAAAACATTCTGTTGCCTATAAAATAATAATAATAAAGTGAGAGAGACCAATATTTACTAATCTCTACTTCCTATATGTAGTTTATTATTGTAAGTCATGTTTGGACATTGAATATTAGTTTCCAGACTTTTCAATCAACCTAGATTAGCAGATAAGTTAACTGCTTGAAAAACACCTACCTGCTAGTCCTCTCCTTTGTGCTATTACAAGCTTGAAACTCTAGCTTCTACTGATCCATCTCAAGTCAACATACTCAAAACACACTTATTTTTCAAACATAATATTACATATTAAAATACCCTAATTTAATTTGTGACTTATAGCATAAACAGCATTGTATTTGTATTGTAGCCCTCTAAAAACTATTGGAGAATCGGTTAATTAATAGGCTTGATTTCATTTGAGCAAGCATCTAGCTTACAAATCCCAAAATCATGTTTCTTCCACTCTAAAATTGAAAAAGAAAAATCCTATAATGAGTTGAATTGAAACAAGCCGCTTCTATCTAGTCACACCTTTTTCGTAAAATAAGTCACTCAATTGGGCCACTGGAAAAGCCAAATCCAAACTATTTTATTTCCAAGAATAAGTCTTATAAAGACCTCTAAGGAACTCTAGTTTTCCAATATATGACTAACTTCAACTCAAACATGTTTGCAATGCCTTATAAAAACCAACAAAATCTCTATCAATATATATACCTTTATTTTAAGTCGAACACAATCCGCAATTCAAGTTCCTTCCCAATATCAATCAATCGTTCTTCCAATCCAGTATAGAAATAGTTCATGTACAATCACACAAAAGAACCAAACCCACTTAAACTTGCCTGTTCAATTTAAAAAAATTATATTATCAAATTCAAAGCAGATGAATTGCATAAAGTAAAGTGTAAACATTGAAAATGACCAAGTGTGAGTGAATGAATGCTCTTACAAAAATTGGGTTGTCATGTGCACCAACAATGTGTGTGGAGAAAAGAAAAGTAACTTGAAGGACTTTGAGAGTTTAGCACAAGCAAGGTTGGTCAAAATGACTTTGTTTTCTCAACGATATCAGCGCCTCACAATCCAATAGCATGTCGCCATGTCAATAAATTTCATTTCACCATTACTTTGAGCCCAAAACTTTGTTTTCTTAACGATGGCTTCAATTAAAATTTCGAATATTCCCCGAGACTCACAATTCTTCCAATAACTTGTTAAGTGAGATTGAACATGAAAATATTTTAAAGAAGTACCATATAACCATCAAACTTTAAAACAAATTAATACAATCTTCAATAAATGATTAGCACAATTTCTCTCCACAAGTTCGAACATGGCTTCCAGGGCACAGCAAATTGTCGATGACCTCAATACTACAATCACCAACTTGGATTTTGAGCGTTTTGATCCACCTGTACTCCTAGCACCCACCACAGTACAGGTACATTCCTCATCTTATCTACAAGTTTCTTAGCTTTTTTTTTATTTTTTCTGTAGGATGAGTTCAATCTAGCACTTGGGCGTCCTCTGGTTACAAATGTGAGTTGAAAACTTCTGTCTGAATATAAAGATAAATTATTTTCCAGCTTTTCATGAAATGGGTTTCTTTATACTTCAAGTGTATAAAATGGGTTTGTACAAAATGCCAAAATGGGTTTGTTTATAATTCAAGTATACAAAATGGGTTTGTAAAAAATGCCAAAATGGGTTTGTAGAAAAATGGGTTTATGTTAATGTTGAATCATGATGTGCAGAATCATATGTTGTGGCTGTGGCTGATGTTGTGTCTGTGGCTGATATTGTAGATGTGTCTGATGTTATGGATGTCCCTGGTTCCAAGGAATTCAAGACGGGTCCTGTCGACTTCGGAATTGCCTAATGTTTTAGTTTCTCCCAATATCTCAAATCTATCTGTAGTTGCAGAAAGCATTTGTATTTGTTACAAAATTATTATTTATTTCTTAAATGCTCAACTGATGTTAGTTATTCTCATTTGTCATCTTAGAAATGTGCTAATAGTCATCACATTTTTACCTATATACGTTCACCATATACATGTGACAACAACATCATCAAAGAATGTCTCATATAATCCTTAGTGTTGATGTTTAATGAATGAACATGATAGATAGCTATTAGAAAAATTGGTTACTAGTAACCAACTCACAATATAAGACATGGATAGTTTCAGTCACTAAATATATTTCAATCAAGTTTAAAGAGTAAATTTAGACAGATTGAATTTTATTTTTTTACCAATTATATCTTATTTAAACCGGTTGAAACATTCAAAAAAGAAAAAAGAAAAAAGAAAAAAGAAAAAAGAGTTTATTTAGTTTGATTGTAACAAGTGTTAAGTCACTAAAGAAAGTTGGTAAAAAGACGATGGGCCGGTAGAAAATCCAACATGGGCTGAATGGATTGGAAGCAAGCATATTAATTTTGTCTAAAGCCCATACAGAGAAGCTCAAAGAGGCACTGAAATACAAAACACTACTCAAGTTCTCATGTCAAAGAAAAAGATTTCTTAACTTTTGTTTCGTTGGAATGGAAACTTGGTTGTGTTGTGTTTGTTGGTTATTTAATTGGGTTTATGCTGATAAAACTAATAGATCATACATTTGTTGGATTAGAGAAGAGATTCTTGTTTACCTAAACCATCCTCTCTTTGTCAAGTACGTACCTTTGTTTACAAATACAGAGCAAAAACACTTGAAATTCTTTCAGCTTTTGGAAAATTGAACTTCATTTCAAGAAAGAACATACTGCACATCAGACCAATAGAAAAAGAAGAAAAGAAAAATATAGTCCACAGCACTATCACCTTTTTTTTATATAAAAAATCTCTTGAGATGCTACAAGCTCAAAATTATAATTTTAAATCTGCTCTATATCTGAAGAAGTGGAAAAGTCCTGCAGGTGACAATATCCCAGCTTATAGCATGCAGATTGCAGAGGACATGGTAGAGACGTCTTAAAAGACTCTTTGGTTTCCTTAAAAAGAAAATGAGGCAGGACAGTGCTCCTTTCATCAGTAAAGTTGTAGCCTCCTCGGTACCAACCACAACAAGCCCATCATCTCTTGTTGTGGCTTGCCTTTCCACGAATGTTGAAAGAACGAAGCTGGCGGTCTGTAGACCACTGATTACACGACGACGCTGGTGGTCTGTAGACCCACTGATAAATCATGGACCCGAATTGACAAGGGCCTCAGCTTTGAAGATATAGAGTTCATCAGTCGGGAGCTATATGCTGCAACCAACAACCCGTCGGAGTCTTTAATAGTGTTTCAGTTTGACACAAATAATCATGATGATCATCAGCAGCAGCAGCAGCAAATCCAATACAGGGCCGAAAGGTTGGTTGTACTTGACGACTCCTGGCCAGATTGTGTGAGGTTCGAGCATATATTTAGGATAAACAAGCGTCGTCTTTTCCTTGCAAAAGATTTCTCTACATCAACGGAGTTGCTTATGATTACTTTTCCAGACAATTTTCTAGAGGAGAAGCTGTTTCTATGTCCACATGATTATGCTGAAGAATTTCAAGTTTTCAAGCTGGAGTTCAATAATAATGCTGCTGCTAATAATGGTGTTCCTCCACCTCCTCCTCCTCGATGGGTAGAGATTGTCGGATATTGTTTCTATTCCAAAAATGCATGGAATTCAGTGATGCCATCAACGTTGACACTAATGATCTGCTTGATATGGATCTAATATACGGCATCTATACTAGTATAAACTTATTAAGGAAACAAGCCATAAGGCTCACCCCAAATCCTTGGTAGCATCCATTACATCCTAATGAAAATGGACTCATATCTAAGCACCGCTTATCTTCTTCTATTTCAAGGTTTCGTTTGCTTTTGCTTGCTTTGTTTTTGTTAACACTAGTATAGCTGCATCGTTGCTCATTGTTCTGAGACACTTTTTTTTTCCTTCAAGTGTCACAGTCAATTCGTATGGTGAATGGCCTTGGGTGATCTAGCAGATTATGTTTGTTGTCTTTAGCAGTAGTGGATTGGTTAATGGAATTTTTTTTTTTCTTCCTAGGATTTGGTTTCAATTCCTTGAAGTCATGCCTCATGAAATGTCAAGTTGTTTTTCTAATTTCTTTCTCAGTTAACGATAATTTACAGCTACAATAAAACATGATTGCGAGAAAATCACACATTGTGCAATCCCCCTATTTCTGTAATAAAAACCAATGATAATTTTGGACTCCCCCACATGCCCTCTCTGTCTTCAGCAGGTTGAATCAGCCGAGCACTTGTTGTTCCTATGCCCTTGGACAATGGCAGACTGGTTTGGTGCCCCATTTTCCTAATAAAGTTTGTCCTAAACCAAACTCTAAAACTAAAACTATAATTTCTTTCTCATCTTCCTCCATATCACTTGGCTGACCCTAAACCAAACCTAAAACTAAAACCAAACTCTTCCAAATCCAATACACCAGAAATTATGAATCTATCAAAATCTGGCAAAAGAAAATAAGAAATTGCTTGCTCCATGTCTTACTCCCAAATTCAAAGCTCGCCTGGTTTGTTACTAGTACTAGTGCTTTGCAGAACAAGAGATTCTGAGATGGATGAGGCAGGTAGGCACCTTCAACTAACTTCAAGAATGTACGAACAAGGCTAGGCTTCTCAAGCTGGGTTTCTTGAGATTTGTAAGATATTGAGAAAAGAGATTCCGAGCATGAAAAAAACAAAAAAGCTATCATAATAAAAACTAAATTGGAAACTCATTATTATTACCCTACAACTCAATTACGCTACTGTTCTAACAAATTTTGATGTCTCTGTACATACTAACGGTGATGCAACACCAGGTTTTGTCTTGCCATTAAATTCAACAAATTTTGATAATGTAAGATCTAATTTCCTTTATACTAAAGATTAATTATTCATAGGTTCATCTTTTAGGGGATTTTGATGGTCTTGAAGATGTTCAGTCAAAAAAACCAACAGCCGGCCAGCATGCTAAAAAGATATCTTCATGTTAAAAGTTAAAACAGTACAATATATAAACCTTAAATTACAGAAGACATCACCAAATGTGGGATGGGAGAGAAATGACAAAGTATTCTACACAAGTTTTCTATTATCATTAAGACATGATATATATAGCCAAAGATCAATGCCATTCTATTCCTCCCAATGTGGTAGAGCCCACTCCTTCCCATACCTCATTGAGGCCTACTTCTTCATTGTCAATGCCTTCCCTGTCGCAGTCCCACCAGCCACAGCCATTTGCATCTGCTACCACAAATCAGGAACCAAAATTACTAAACAACAATAACAACCTTACACACCTCAACCTCAAGAGACAAAACATAAAAGGAGAAAAACTGTGCTTCACAGAGAAACATGAAAAGATAACTTCTGATTCAAGATATAGCATACTAACAGTGATTATAAACAGGTCCTGCTTTCTCCTTGCTTACAAAACTCTCATTCCTTCTCCTTTTCTGGTAGGCTTGTGGTTTTGGTTTTGGATCACCTCCAAGCACTGTGAAATGTTTTCTTACAGTGTGTTTGCCACCGCCGCCTATTTGAAAGAGAAAAGTGGGTTGGTAGGTCAGATTTAGAAACCAAAGACATAAGTTGGATGAGTAGGAAAACTAGAAAGTTTTAGCTGAACATAAAGGTGGCTACACATGATCTTCCTAGACAAACTTTTAACATCTCAAATCTTGCTTCTAAATCAAACAACCAATTGCGATGTATATTCTACTTTTGTGGTGTATATGCTAAATAAGTAGAAACCAACTAGAACATGATGTGTATAGTTGTGGTGTATGGCAAATAACAATGAAAATTACACATCTCAAGACATAATACAAAGGAAAAAGAAAACTGTGCTTCACAGAGAAACATGAACTAATAACCGTTAACACCATTTCTGAGTCGAGATATAGCATACTAACTGTAGTTATAAACAGGTCCTGGCTTCTCCTTTCTTATAAAACTCTCATTCCTTCTTGTCTGGCTGGGTTCTGAATCACCTCCAAGCATTGTGAAATGCTTTCTTGCAATGTGCTTGTCAACCCCAGCTAATTAAAAAGAGAAGGGCAAGGTGTGGTCGGTTAGAAACCAAGGACATAAGTTGATTGAGTAAGAAAAAAAAGTTTTAACTGGAATATAAAGGTGGCTTCAGTTGATTTTACTCAATATAAAATTTATACCTCAAGTCTTACTGCTGGAAAATAAAAAATCAAATGTAATATATTGTGGTGTATATGCTAAAGCATGATGTCTTCAGCTCATTTGTCCATCTTTTATGTTTCTACTTCACTTACAAACTTTTCTCATTAATCTTGAATATTCCCAGAAATTTTTGTCACCAATTTATGACAGTCCATTATTTATATATTTACTGTTCGAGAAAACTCTGCACTGCAATATTTGTTCTTCACAATATCAAAGTTCTAATTTCTGCTGATGATGAGATGATCACAAATATTAAGCAGAGACCCAACTCATATAACTTTCTAGTTTTAGTTATAGAGATGATAAGCAGTACTATGAATTTCAGAGCCTAAGAACTTTACCACTGAAAGAAAAGACTGGTAGACATGGAAATACATGAACCATGTTGGCAGATACATACAAAGATGTCTATCCATGAACCATGTTTGATGTCTACGCATGTTCCTCAGATGTTTCCCAGGGTTTACATTATTACATGCATGTTCATGAACTGACGAAGCATTCACATTGGCTGTTCTTTCAGATTGCTACTCAATCTTATACCAACATAGAGAAACTTGAGCATTTCTGCAATTTAATTTTATCCCTGTGTCTAAAATTCAGGCCTATTAAGGAATCTAGCACCTAGAGTCAGACCTGCATCCAATGGACGTACATCCTGGACCAAGTGGGAGGAAAAGTTCAAATACATACCTAAAACAACTCAGATATATGCATCCCCTGTAAATACATATAGACAAAGAAGTACTTCACTTAACACCTTGGCGGGACCTCATTTCAATTCCCACACCACATTTCTCCAACCAAAACTCTGTTGCAATCTATTCTATATTTGTTCTTATTTTAGAATTAATAAGCACACTTACACAGCACAACTGTTAATCATATTACTTGAGAGTCAATGCACCATAAGAATTAGCATGTAAAGACATGGAAAACTGATTACACTCTACTCCCTGTTGTGGAGCTCTTTGATATTACTGATGAATTAAACAACCAAATTCTTGAAAGCACAGGGGCCGTTGAATTATTCAAAGAAAAGAAACTAATCTTACTTTTATAGAGAATAATAATATAAACGAAACAGAATTGTGATCCTTGGCTTTTATACACATAATATCCAGTCCTGAGCAAGCAATATTCTATGGAATTGATTGAGTTGCAACATAAAGAAAATATTCAGTTTTCAATAATATTTTATATTCCTCTAGTTTCCCTGAAGACAAACCAAATACAAATCAGCAAGCAAGAGAAGATTTAGTTTATTCTAAGAACGTCTTTGCACAAGAGAAATTGAGATAGGAAGGCAAACCTTCAAAAGGGTTCCTCCTTTTTCTTGATTCTTCTACAACATCTCCGTTAGAACTTTCTACTCCACCATCAGTGGATGGACCTAAAGAATGTCCTTTTCCTAGATCAGTATGCTTGAATTGTTCAAAAGCCAATAAAGCAGCAACATGATTCTTCTCTGCTTCCCCTCCTTTCTTGGCCTCAATTTGCTCATCATGATCAATGCACTCACTTAAATCTCTCAGGCCAAAAATTGACGAGAAGGGCCTCAACCTTGCCTGAGAATTTAAACCAATTTCAGTTAAACCCCAACTTTTAAATTAAAGCCCCAAATGCTCCATACATTTCAAGTTTCAACTTTTAAATCAAAGACCCAAATGCTCCATCCAATTGCAAATTTCAAGCTCAACTTTTAAATCACATACCCAAATGCTCCATCAATTTGCAAATTTCAAGTTACAACTTCTAAATCAAAGACCCAAATGCTTCTAAAAGGAAAATACAAATTTCAAGTTCCAAAATTTCTATCTTTTTAAATTTCAAGTCCCAAATTTTCCAGTATCCCCATCCAATTTCTTATAGTTCTTTTAAAGTTACAATTTTTCCTTAAACTATTGATTCACATATGTAAATGTAGGCAACAATAGAGAGGAATCGCCCCTTTGGTTTCCCTTTATCAATGAAAATATAAGTAAAATTTAACAGACAACATAAAACCCAATATTTGATAGTCTTTCCTTTCCCCTCACCAATTTCTCAACAGCCAATAAACGTAAGGGTACCTTTACTATCGTGGGTTTTCCAGCAGTCTGGTGCGGCTTCCGTTCCGAGAGCCGCACATGCGAGCCCCCATCGGGATCTTCTTCTACAGCCTTGGCACTAATTTCACGCGCAAAAATTATATCTTGGAACAAAAAAATAATCAATAGAAGATATATTACAAAAAAATAGAAGGGTTTGTGTTTCTTTTCGCTTACGACTTTTTTGAGCAAGACAAGAATAATGAAGGAAGTGAGCGCTGCCCTACAGCCCTAAACCTTGGCGGAGTTTTCTTTGAGCTCATTTCAATGCTCCAATCTCTGATAAGCAAAGTTTCTGTTCTTGCTGTGTTCGCGCCTTGAAGTTTTGGAAGGTTTTATGATATGCTTTAAAAACTCCCACTTTGAAGTTTTCGCGCCAATGATTTGAAATTTTTATTATGAAAAAACCAAACTTCCTGGTGAGGGTCTTTTGCTCAATGTGCCCTGTGTGTCACCTCCCCTTTTCTTTCCTTCAAGTGTTGGCCTCAGGGGCAGAGCTAGGTTTTTATATTTGAGGGGGCCAAAATGTTAAACACAAAAAGTTTAGTTGTATATTTTTTTTGGCCTATTGAGTAAACTATTGCATACAAAAGCACTAAATTGAAATGAGTGGTTTTCTTTTATAAATGTAGTATGATTTTACTATTATATTCATATTAAAATACAATTTTGACAAGTATTGATTTGTGGTGAGGGGGCCATAGGCTTAAGTATAGCAATTTTTATTTGTATTTGTTACCACATCCAATATATACATTCAAAAGGGTTAAAGAAATTGGAGGGGCAGGGCCATCCCAGGCCCTAGCACAGCTCCGCCCCTGGTAGGCCTCAAATTCCAAAAAAATAGTCAAACTTGGGCAAATTTAAAAAATTAGTAGTCATGCTCTAATTTATGAAGACGGGAATCCGAACTTGGATATAAAGAAATATTCTAAAATATTTTTATACATATTTTCTTTTGGCATGCCCACTAAACCTTATTAGTCCATATTTGATAAGTCCGGATTCATATTCTTCCAAATTATTTTATGATCCATTATAACGACTAGACGTGATTAAAAACTCACAAGTACTATGTGTTTTTCATTTGAATTATAATACCGGACCGAAGCTGCCCTTAAACACATATGTAATATTTGTAAAAGATAACTATATCAAATTGGGTTGGATTATCTCTATTTTTTTTTTATTTGTTAGGTTGATGGGTAGTCAAATTTCAAGCACAATCAAATAGAAAAAAATTGAATCACAATCTATATCCTATTAAATCATATTCATATTAAAATCTGATTTATTAATAGGGCTACAATATTTAAAAATAATAATAACTAAACAAGTTGACGACCCAATTTATTTATATGATAAGGTCAACAAAATAATAAATAGAGATTTATGATGAAAAAATGGTTTTTTTTTTCTTTTCAATAACACAATCAATTGAAATAAATTAAAATTTCTTTTATATTTACATTATTTTTTCTTAGGCTAAAAGTCATTTTTAGTTCCTTGACATCTTTTTCACTTTTCATCCTTATAGTTTCAATTTGGTCAATTGTGCCCTTGTAGTTTCATAATTGTAGCAATTCAAGGACAAGTTGTGAATTCTATCAAATTCTTTAACGGCATCAGGGGAATTTCCATCAACTATTGATTTTGACGTTAGGATTTGTTGATTAATGAATTTAGAGCTAGATTGGGAATGCTTTTATTATTATTTGCTAATTTGGTCACTTTGGAATTTCATTTCAATGACAAATCAATTGCTTGTTTCTTGTTTGTGATTAAAAAAAATATTTAAATTTAAGTTTCTAATTTTTTTTAAACTAGAAATGGATGAAAATACCCCTAACGTCGTGAAAGAAATTGACAAAACTCGTGATCTGTCCTTAAATTGCTACAATTATGAAACTACAGGAGAACAATTGATCAAATTAAAATTATAAAGACGAAAAGTGAAAAAGAGATAAACCATAGAGACCAAAAGTAACTATGAGCCTTTTTCTTAAGAAGAAAAAAAAATAACAATAAACCTTGCATAGGGTAGTTCAGAGTGCAGAGCTCCTCCTTATAGCCTTCCATTTTCGCTCTGGTTCTTAGCTTCCTTGTGGCTCAAGTCTCATAATCCAGACCCTTGTTTACATCAGCAAAAATGAACCGTCAATGGCCAACTCGTAGCCGATTCTGCTTTTCTGATTGATTTCTCCGCCAAACCCACATTTGATATGACGATTTTTGAAAACCCAAAAAAGTGAAGAACGATGGACTCGGAATTTTCTGTGCAATTGCAAACACAAGCCTACGGCGTTCTAAGTTCCAAAGATGTGCATCCCATGGAGACCCTCTTCTCTCATCTCTTCAGCCCCCAGGAACCCCAACGATATCAAGCCTATAGTCTTCTCCATTGTTGCAGAAAGCACTTCCCAGATTTGTTATTCATAAAGCTCTTCTATGTGATCAGGCAAGGCCCTTCTGCTGACATTCGTGCCAGGTCAGCCCTGGTTCTTCGTTTTGTGCTTTGTGACCTTTGGCCTAAGTTGTCTTTGAATGCTCAAATTAACATGAAGAACAACTTTCTTGTTTCTCTTCAAGAAGAGTGTTCATTGCCCACTTTGAGGATACTCTGTGCCATTGCATCTGAAATGGCATCAGAGATTTCTGGGGTTGGCCATGAATGGCCAGAATTCATTGAGTATTTGTTGAAGTCTTTTCAGTCGGATTCTGAAAGGTTTCAACTTTCTGCTTTGTGGGTGCTTGCTTTTTTGCCAAAAGTGTACCGCCCGGTTGCTTGTAAAGCTTTAGCTCCCAGCATTGAACCTATACACTTGGCTTTTTTAAGTGCATTGAATTCGGAAAATGCTGATATTCAGGTCGCCACATTTAGTGCTGTGGTTAGTTTGATTCATTTGTTTTCGAATTCATCAGGGCGGAATTGGTTTCATGACCTTTTGAGAGGGATGATGGTTGGACTGTTTAATTTGTTAAGTCGCTTGAAAGAAGACTATGCTCGAGGGGCTCTCAAAGAGTTAATAATGTTGGTAATGGAAGAGCCACAACTCTTGAAGCCATACCTTAATGAACTAGTACTTGACATGCTTAAGATAGCAGAGAGTGAACAAGTGACAGAGGGAACCAAAGTGTTTGTTCACAAATTCTTGCTAACCATAGCAGAAGCAAGTGATTTGGCACTTACGATGAGGGGGTTACCATATCAGACTTTGGTTAGGCTGCTCACAGTCCCAATGAAACTGCTTCTCTGTATAAATGATGACAATGCATGTTACAACAAGGAAAGTGACCAGGGTGCGAATGTCGGGAAGACAGATCTTGGAATTTCTTACCTGACAAAAATTTCAACTGCCTTAGGTGAAAAGACAATGACTCCCATTGCTTTTGAGTTGTTCTTGGAGTACATGGATGCTTCTGATTGGAAGAAGCGTCACGCAGGAATTTCTATGCTTGCAGTGATTGCAAAGGAGTGCTCCGGCGAAATGGTAGTAATAGCTTTGTGCCTGGTTTATTGCATGAATTTTGTTTACACACTATTAACTGATATTTGGGAGTATTTATATGATACTGTATTGCACCTTCTCTAAGTATAATGATTAAGGAAAATGGTAGTTGGTTTACCAAGTATAAACTGTTTATTTTCGATATGGTTCAATCAGTCAATAAATATTTTGTGTAGGTATCAATAAAAATAAAGGAATGTTGTATACACCATATACATTTTCTGTTTTACTTGTATCTCTTGTATCCTTTTTGTACATCTGGCCTGAGACTCTGCGGTTTAAGGTTTGTTAATGATAAGGCTAGATTACCTCCTGACAGTCTGAACTATTTATAGTGCACAAATTTGTGTTAACTTAGTATTTAATTAGTATCCAGTACCTACTATTTCATGATTGTATATGATCCTTAGATCTTCAGTGTCTCTCAACCCATTCCTTTACTGCAGGTACTGATGAAAAATTGTTTGGAACAAGTTACGAGTGTTATTTTGAAATCATTCCAAGATCCCCATTCTCGAGTTTGTTGTGCAGCTTTTAATTTTATGCAACTTCCTATAACCTTAATAGAGGCAATGCAAATCCTCCATCATTTGCGGATTGTGCCTGCACTAGTTACTGCACTTGACCAACATTCAATTCCAAAAGTAAAGGTCTGGGTTATGAATTTACTATGTGTTATGCTATTTGGTGATTAATTACATTCTCAGTTATTTTTTATCAAATATTTTTTCCATACAGTCATCATGATTGTGTAACCTCATTGCTATATCTCTCTAATCATTTTTTATAGGCAAAGTTCCTCTGTGATTTTTTATTTTTTATTTTCTGTTAAGCTCCCATCCTGGTAATTTTTTTTTTCCTGATTTAAAAACCTTTAAAGATGATGGTTTAGAAGTTATGGTGACAGGGGATGGATTAATGATGGTTTCCTTTTTCTTAGATAGCTATATTTTAGGCATTTGGTGATTATGTGTTGATTTTTTCAGAGGTAGACATGCTTTTGTGTATCGTTAGGATTGCAGTTTAAGTAGGATTAATTTGTGTTTTAGAAAGGATCTTTGATCTATATATTGTTTTCCACTAACACTCCTCTCTCTCTCTCTCTCTCTCTTATTCTTTGCCAGTAACACTCATCTCTTTTTCATTATTAATTTTGACATGTTATACTTATCTTTATAGTACAGTTATATTTTACAGTTATAATAGTCCAAAGTATTTGCAATTATGATACTGTATCTTTGCACTTTTGGTCATCATACTAAGCAAAGTATGCATCTTTTCGTTTCTGTCTCAAATTATCCATTCAGAGCAGTCTTCCATTGTGTATTGACAAGCAGCGCAGGTTTATTTGTTGGAAGAGGAGATGGTTTAATACAAAAAATAAAATTAAAATTAAAATTCTTGATGCTTATTTACTCATATTACTCTATATATTTCTTACCTTTGCGAATTGCTGCCTAATTTGATCAAGTATTTCTTTTTTAAAATCTTCCTGCAATCTGCCTTTTCTTTACCTTCTGTCACTCATTTGGTTCTTGAACATTGAAATCCATCCACACTTTCTTTCTCCTTTTTATATTTTGAAATGCCCCATTAGTTATTTGCTGGCAGGCAAACAGCTAGAACTGACTGACTCTAATCCCTTTGTTTGCATTCAGGAACAAGCTGCCTCAGCAATACTACACTTGATAAAGAAACTACATTCAGATGGCTTAAGAATGCACACAGACTTGGATACTATATTGAGCAAACTGCAGAAAGAACCACAGGTATAATTATATGTATATGTTATTTTCTAAAATTAATCTCATCAACAAGACCACCGTTCAAGTGTGGACTGAAGACATCTGCTCCTGATCCAGTCTGTTAATGGTATATGTGTGTGTGTGTGTGTGTGTGTGTGTGTCGGGAGGCATTTGAATGAGAACATAAGTCTTCAACTTAAGTCCTCATTAGATAATGTCCATTATTTTTGTTTAGATGTAAAAAATCCTCCCCCACACCCCCAAACCAAGAGGAATCACTTTCTACAATTTTAACAATTAGAATTTGGATGGTCAGTTGGAAACTTTTCAGATTTTCTCTCTTAGTGATATTAAGCATTTGAAAAGAAATCTAAAAAGCCATGCTGACTAAGTATATGGAGTAGACAGATCGAGAGGTTACTCCTTCATGTGAGTGTCACTTGACATGCAATAAAGTTTTGTATTGTCTGCACAAAAGTATACTGAATCTGTTATCTCAATGGAATCTTCGCCAAATGAATTTGTTAGCTAAGAGAGTCAGGATGAAGTCAACACATAGTCAGGTTAATGGAGTTCTTTAGGTAGTCACCGTGTACTAGGGTAGGGTTAGGAGACTGAAATAGCATAATTTTCTTAACTGAAAAGGATATTTCGGAGATCAACCATTTCGGGTTGGGGTTTCTGAACTTAAGTGAATGAAGATGCCCTTAGGTTGGGTAGGTAGCAAATCATAAAGAAGAAAAAAGAAACAATCAGACCACCCTTCGGTGTGTCTATTTTGAGGTGAGCAACCACACACTATTTGGTTGACTGCGATGTGGCTGCGGTAGACCAAAATGCCAAAATTTGAATGACTTACGTATAGAGCCATTGTGCTTTCGTCCTATAGAAGGCAATGGATAACAGCGTTGAGGTATGCTCAGTTCTCTTCTCTCTGTTCTTTGTTCTGTTTCGACTGTTTGTGCTTGATTGGACATTAACTACGTAAATGAGACAGTTTGCACACATAATGACGTACTCATATAGTTTATTTTTTAGTTCAGTTTTGGAGAAGTTGTAAATCTTAAAACCATAGCTTGTGTTAGAATGAATGACTTGTTAAAAGTGAGATTATAGTAGGCTGGCAATGAAGCCATGAGTAAAACTGGCTGGTGGGGTTGTATTTTAATGGACTTGTTTAGGTCCTTCTGGTCAATGGGTGCGCTTGTGGATGTAGGCAAATAGCTGAACTCATGAAAAACTCAGTGTTTGTGTTTGTAAGTGGCTTGAATTGATTGAAAAAAAAATGTTGTTTGCACATTAAATTTCTGAAAATTTCATTATCCAGTCAAAAATGGGTCTTTCAGAAGTAGATTTGATTCACATCTAAATTTTTGCTCATCAACCTAATGTACCTAATTTCTTCTTTCAGAGCTCTCCTGTCTTGCCTTTAGTTAATTTTCAATTTTAAATTTATTTTAAACTTTAAAAACAAAAAAGAATCACTTATGGCCTCTCTTATCCAATTTACTCTTTCATCCTTTTCACATAAAGGATAAATATTGGAGAAGAGATTACTTGTACACCCTGTGATGTGTGATCTGTTTTTTATTATTTCATCAGTTCTTTGATGTTGTGAGCAAGATGCAGTATTGAGAGTCACTGAATTGGAAAGACATTACTGTATTCTTCTAGTTATTGATAACTGTAATATACTTTAGGATGAAAAGTTTGATAAGAAAAGATTACTTCTTATGGTTTTGATTTTTTATTTTTCTTTTCTTTTCCATCCTTTTCCAGGGGCACGCAGCGGGAAATACAACGTAGTGTTCATACGGCTTGAAATCAGCACTTTTTTCTCTCTGTTCTGAAAGAAGATGGGGCACTAAGTCATTTTCTTCCATTTCGATCTAGGAAAATGAGTTTTTTTTAAAGGAAACTAAAGAGTGTTTTGAAGACATTCTCTACCGTGGCATGTCCTCTGCAATCTGCATGCTATAAGCTGGGATATTGGCATCTGCAGGACTTTTCCACTTCTTCATATAGCCCAGATTAAAATGTGCTTATAGCATCCCTAGAGATTTTTTTATTAAAAAAAAAGTGATAATGCTGTGGATTGTATTCTTATGTTCTTCTTTTTCTATTGGTCTGATGTGCAGTATGCCAGTATGTTCTTTCTTGAACTGAAGTTCAATTTTCGAAAAGCTCTAGGGTTTGAAAGCTTTTGTAATGGGGTGGCGTGATGAAGCAAGTGATTTATAGTAAGTAAAATGTCCCTTTATAGTATAGCACAACGCAAAAATTCCTATAAAATTATACACTTTTGAATTTTAAATAGTATAGCCTAGGGGTGGAATCGGTTTGGTGGGCCAGTACCGATGAACGACTGAGGGTAGTTAGTTTACCCAAAATTGAAATCGCCGCCAACCAATTTGCAGTCAGCTCTCCAACTGTCGGTAATACTGCAAGTAGCGGTCGGGCTGGTTTGGTGGTAGGCCTACGGAAATAAACAGATTGAGCTCTTTTGACCAAATTTTTTAGCCCACTTGACATTTTATGGGCTCAATTTGGGATTTGAATGCAGTTTTTAAGCCCAGTTTTGATGGGCAATGTTTTAGGGACTGTTTTTGGATAGTTGTACTTAGGCAAACATGATAAAATGAGAAATTGAAGCCTAAAAGCTAAAACTACAATTAAACATGCTTAAAGCATAAATTGAAGCCTAAAACTAAACATCCAAATCCAAAGTACGACTTAGTTAAACTTAGGGGTGGGTGCGGTTTGGTTCGATTTGGTTTCCACTTCAAACCAGAATCAAAACCAATACTATTTAGTCCAATTCGGTTTGCTTTTAATGAAAAAAAAATTTATAAAATCAGCCGATTAAGTTTGAACCAATTTCAGTCTGATTTTAGACTGAATTGTTATTATTATTTTATATAAATTCCAACTAAAATTTTATTTTTTGGGCTTGAAAAAACAAATAAAGGGCTTGGAGTTGGTATTGATGGCTTGGAAGAGTATTTGAGCTTGAAGAAAGATTAGGCTTGGAGGAAAAATTGGGTTCGGGCTAATATTATATAAATAAATAAAATATATTTAAGCTAGTCCGGTTTAGCCTGGTTCTACAATTCGGCTCAGTTTTCCAATTTGAATGCCCACCCCTGGTTAAACTTAAGGGAGTTTCACTAAAACACCCAAAATGGGGGCTTAAATTATAAAAAAACCCAAGCACTATTTAAACATATAAACACACCCAAAACCCATCATTACACACACTCAAAATCCATTTATAAACACACCCAAAAAGTTGACTTTGGGGTTGATTTTGGGTGTGTTTCTATGTTTAAATAGTGCTTGGGTTTTTCTATAAATACATGTCTAGGATTGGGTTTATTTATAAATTTGTATAAACGTAATTTACAATCCAACAAAAGAAGAAGTGTGAATTAGTTTACAACCCAACAAAAAAAAATTTTAAGTTTGAATTAGTTTACAACTAAAAAAAAAGTAGAAGTTTTAATTAGTTTACAACTCAAACAAAAGTAGGCACTTGATTTGAGCATTACAAATGTGATGGAGATCGAGAAGGAAAAATGCTTGTTGAAGTAGAAACTTAAGCATTACCACCTTGAGCCTTAGCAGCACTACATAAAAAAAAAAAAAAAAAAAAAAAAAAAAAAAAAAAAAAATAATAGTAGATAGTATTAAAATATCAAAGTATCAATCAAAATCAATAAAGATAAATAAATTGAAATAACTTACTTGCTTGAATTTCTTCAAGTTCTTCTTATATAAAAGTAATTTCCTCATCTGATGGTTCCTTGTATAAGTTAAATTCATCTGCTCTAAGCCAATCATAAGTACACACTAATGCCTCTACCATTTTTGGAGTCAAGGAGCTTCTAAAAGGATCCACAATCCTTTTGCCTAGGCTAAAGACATTCTCACTTGTAACCGTAGAGGAATGTATTGCAAATATGTCATTGGCAACCTTGGAAAGGATTGGATATCTTGATTGATTCCCTTCCCACCAATCCAAAAGGTTGAAGTTTTTGTTCCTTGGGTTTTCAAATGGATCAACAAAGTATTTATCAACTTCATTAGAGATCTCCATTTGTTGTTCCTCCTTCCTTTGAAGCAACATCTGCTTCAACATTTGAGAATAAGCATCATCACCATCAAGTTCATAACCATACTCATCCCCCTCATCTAGTGTTTGTAGAGGACCCCAGCTACCAACCCCTCTATACCCATTATACAAAGTGAGCAAGGCACTTTTGACTTTATCCCCAATAGCTCAACCTTTGAAGGTTCGGCTTCAAGATTGCACAAGCTAATCTTGAGTAAGGCAAGCTTCCATCTAAGGTCTAACACATTTTCTATAAACACAAGATTGTTGACACCCTCAAAGGTACCCCAATACTTGTCCTACTTGAACTTCATTGAAGAAGCCACCTTTTGCAAAGTTTCACCCCCATCATCTTTCATTTTTCTTTCAATCTCAACTTGTAACCCAACCAATTCGGTAAACATGATATTGGATGTGCAAGTTTTGGTGGCACTAAGCTTTAGGGTGGTTTCATAAAAAAATTTAAGAAAATGCACAAAGGCTTGTGTATTCTCCTAATCCGACTCGGTTGGTGGCCCAACTTTCTTCATATTTTTTTCCATCTTTCTCAAGCTCATTAAAGTAAGCAACAAATGGATCATTCTCGTCCACCATCCTAGTAAACACATTTTTATACTTAAATGCATCATAAAACATTTTATAAGTGGCATTCCACCTTGTTGCCACATCCAAAGGAATGTTTGTCATCATTTCCATGCTCTCTAAAATGGTAAAATCCCTAAACTTATCCAACCTTGATGGTGAAGAATATATGTACTTCACACAATTTCTAATCCCCGCAATTGAGCTAGAAAGCTCCTTCAACCTATCCTTAACAACCAAATTAAGAATGTGACAAGCACACCTCATATGCAAATATTTGTTGTCAAGCATAAGAGTGTTCAATGACTTAAACCTCTTGGCCATATACTTTACCGCCCCATCATTTGCACTAGCATTATCAACTGTAATGCTAAACACATTCTTTATTCTCCAACTATTCAAACAAGCATCTAAACACCTCCCAATGTCATCACCCTTGTGACTTTTGATCTTAACGAAATTTATTATCCTCTTATGCAACTTCCATTCATGATTCATGAAATGAGCAGTGACTACCATGTAGTTGATGTTTTGGATAGAGGTCCAAGTATCGGTTATGATACTTACTCTTTGATCACTTATCATACTCATAATATTAGTCTTCTCGACTAAGAACAAATCCCATACTCCTTTAGCAAGCTTATTCCAATTAGGGATCATGAATCTAGGTTGAAGATCATGGATAAAACCCTTAAACCTTGTCCCCTCTACCGCCCTAAAAGGAATCTCATCCTTGATGATGTAATTCACACACTTCATTTCTGATCTTGCTTGATTGAAGGTGCGAGGCACCAAAGCATTACTTATTGCCCTCTTGTGCCAATACCGATTGGTTTGCATCACCTTTTCCATAGATAGGAGATAGCTTGCATCTCCTTTCTAAGTGGGTTTTCAACCCAGTTGTCCTATTTTTCTTGGGATCTGCATGCATATCCACTTTGCAATAATTGTAAACCCCAATTATTCTCTCAACACCCATATCATCATTCTTTCTCATTTTTGTATAGTGATCCCACACCATACTCTTATTTGGTTTCCTCTTCCATCCCAAATGAGATGACACAACTTCCTCTTTTAGGCCTTGTGTTTGGGATTGTGTTTGAGGAGGTTATGTTTGGGGTTGAATCAAAGATGCACTAATTGAGGCATTAAGTGTGTTTGATTGGCTAGACTATATTTTCCTATCATACACAATAAATCAAACAAAATCCTAACTAATCATCCAGCTATAACATAATTTTAAACATTCAAAACAACTTCAAACAAAACAAATGTAACTTTAAAACCCTAACCAACAACCACAATAATAATATTTCATATCAAAACATACTTAAAACAATCTAAAACATAGCTAAACACATGAAAATAGATTCTAAACAAGTTAAAACAACCTAAAACAGATTCTAAACAACTCTAAAAACTTAAAACAGAGACAAAAACATCAAAACATATTTTCAAATACTTAAAAACAACCTAAAATAGATTATAAACAAGTTAAAAAAACCTAAAACACACCAAAATAGTTTCTACAACAATTTAACATATTCAATACTTGCCTCAAAGCACCCTAACAAAGCAATAACCACAGCAACAATTTTTTTTTTCCAATGTCTATCAATCAATGAAAGAAAATAGTTCGAATCACAATACAAATGTTTGATTTGAAACACTAATTGCAATTTACAAGCCCAAAGCCGAAAGTCCCAAACCTAAAAATCAAAACCCTAATTCAAAATTCCTAGACAAAAACTCAAAATCGAACCCAAAATGACCTCTCTTGTTTTGTGTTTGTTGCAGGTGGATGTTGAGAGAGAGAGAGAGAGAGAGAGAGAGAGAGAGAGAGAGAGAGAGAGAGAGATGGAGTGGAGACGTGATGCGTCAAATGCAAAAATAAGAAGAAGAGGGAGAGACTAGGTTAAGTACATTATGATTGGGCGTTATCTGGTTACAAAGGTGAATTGAAAATCTCTATTCGAATATAAAGATCAATTATTTTTCACATTTTGATGAAATGAGTTTCTTTATAATTCTAGTGTATAAAATGGGTTTGTACAAAATACCAAAATGGGTTTGTAGAAAAATGGGTTTATGTTAATATAGAATCATGATGTGCAGAATCATGATGTTATAGTTGTGGCTGATGTTGTGCCTATGACTGATGTTGTGCATGTGCCTGTTTAACAAGCTTTGGTGGTTAGTAGAATAGGTCATCTTTGGTTGTTTATTCTTTTCAATTTTTGGGCCGATTTTTAGTTTTGTCATTCATATTTTCCTGTGGTTTTGTGTCCTGTATGCATGAGCAGTTGGTTCTATATTCATATAGGTTGTATGTATTGTTGTAACCTTGAAGGTACCCCTCAGATTTAGTATAGAACTTATGATTATAGGAGAATGTGTCGTGAGAAGCGCTCAGTAGGTTCCTGGATTGTCTAATAATGCTCATAGGTAATGTCTATCGCTTATTCAACTTATGGTGCATATGAATAAAGTATTATTCAAGTGTACTGCAAACATGTTTCATACTATTTTTCATTTATATAAAAGCATTTTATGTCATATTTTAAAGATTGTTGCTTTTGGATGTTTTGTTTCTGTTGGATTTTTTATTTTATTTGGTGGATGGGCTAATGAAATTTAAGTTATAAAATAAAGCTATTTAAGAGTTCACAATGTGTTGAATTATTTATTTTGGAGCATGCTTTGCTATTACTCAATAACGGATTGTCTTATCTTCTTATGTGTGTTTAGGAGCTAGAGGAGGGTGTGATTGTCAACATCTACTATATGACCAGGCTGTGCCGTTAATGGGAAACATTTGTTGGTTACTCTGGTAGATTACAATGCTACTTTTCTTATGGAATTGCCGAGCTGTGGACTAGAGTGAAGATTTGAAGAATTTGAATGGCTGCTTATATGGCGACAGATGCAAATTTCACCATTTGGCTTGACACTTTCATCAACTCTTTTCTGTTATTGACACTTCCTTCCCATACTACATCTATTACTGTTTGCCGAACCCCTATGCACATATACTTCATTCTTCCCATTAACTAATATACTTCATCTGTTAGCCACCCTTTTCGCACATATGTTCAACAGTTTGATGTTGAACAATTTTGTCAACAATATTTCTGGTTTGGTTGGGTTACTGTAATGTGTCTGTATTGTACTTGGTTTGGTTTTAGTTTCATTATGTTGTATGCTAAAGGAAATGAGGTTGAATGCTTGAATTAGTTTGTCTTTGGTCTTTTGTATAGGTTGTTATGAGGAAAATTTTGCTTCTATTGAATGTTTGAAGATAATGAGAGAAAGACAGCAGAGTTCAATTCAATCTAAAAATTCAAGCATTCAAGAGAATTGCAAAAGTTTCCTCACACTGTGGAATTAGGTTTAGGCGCAACCGATGCAGAGGATGCGTATTAACTAAACATGAGCTTGGATTTACACTACCCAACGCGTGTTCGAATGCGCATTAACTCAATGCGGGTTCGGATGTACACTACTCAATAACATGGGTTCTGATGCACACAATTCAAAAACATAGGTTCATATGTGCACAACCCAACAACATGTATTCAGACGTGCACAACCCAACAACATGGGTTTTGATGTGCACAACCCAACAACTTAAGTTCAGATGTGTACAACCTAACAACATAAGTTTGGATGCGTCACGACCCATGGGATTAAACAAACATCATCTAACGTATGATCAACCTAATGCGATTCTGCCGACAGTCCATTCAATTGCATATATCCATGATCACATGAATTGCGTAACAAGACAAATATGGTTGACAGTTGATCCCGCATAACTCTCAGTGACCTAAAAAAGGTGAAGATTGGCATAGGATGTGCAAAGTGGAGCTTGTATCCCAAGGTTGTCGTCATGTATAAAAGTGAGGCTTCATATCCAAATCAATATATTTGATTTTGAATTAACTTGTGCACTCAAATACATACAGAAACTAACTTAATCACTTAAAGTTTATGGTTTCTAATTCAAAAGGGTTGGTTATATGTCATTGTAGGAAATGAGTTTCTAATTCGGTAGGGTTAGTTATATCTCATGTATAAAATGAATTTGTATGAAATGAATTTTTAATTCAAAGAGGTTGGTTATATGCCAATTTAGAAAATAAGTTTGTACAAAATGGGTTTCCAATTCATAAGTGTTAGTTATATGTGTTTGTACAAAATGAGTTTGTTTTTAGTTGAAGTTTGCGTTTCAGAGTCGAGCACGATAATCAAGGTAATTTGGACAAATTTACTCAATATTCTTTAATAATGCATCATCATGATGTGCAAGCACTTGTGGCTATACATGTGCCACCACCTATAATGATAAGTAGATTTGTTTCTATGTAATACATATGCATTTGGTAAGTAAGTATGTGAATAAGTATTTCTGTTAATGCATGATGACCATGTGCTTATGTATATCACTATGTTGGCTATGCTTGTGCAACCTGTTCAATCACCTGTGTTTGTGCAACATGTTCAACCACATGCATGTGCAACCTGTTCAATCACATATTCATATTCAATCACCTATGTTTGTGCAACCTGTTTAACTACCTATGCTTGTGCAACCTATTCAATCACCTATGCATGTTCAACCACTGGTGTCTGTGCAACTTGTTTAATCACCTATACATGTGAAACTTGTTCAAACGCCTATGCATATTCAACTCTAATGGATGTTCAATCACCTATGATAAATAGTTTGCTTCTCTGTAATACATATACATTTAGTAAGTAAGTATGTGAAAACATATTTCTATTCCAAGATGACTATGTGTTTATGTCTATTCCTATTTCACCTATGCTTGTGCAACTTGTTCAACCACTTGTGTATGTTCAACATGTTCAACCACCAATGCATGTGTAACATGTTCAATCAACTATGCATGTTCAACTAGCTATGATGGTAAGTAGATTTGATAAAAATAGGCCCTCTTTGCGGTTTGTTCATTGTTGTCAATTGTGCTTTCAGTTCTTAGGCGGATGTTTAGTTATGTTCTTTCTGTTTTCTTGTGTTTTCGTGTGCACAACCTAACAACATGGGTTCTGATGTGTACAAGTCAATGACTTGGGTTCCTGTGTGCACAACCCAACAACACAGGTTGGGATGCGTCACAACCCACAGGATTAGATGAATATCATCTGACGTGTGATCAACCTAATGCGACTCTGTCAACGGTCCATTCAATTGCGCATTCTTTCATGACAACATGAATTGTGGAATAAGACAAACGTGGTTGAGGGTTGATCCCTCATAACTCTCAGTGACCTGAAAAAAGTCAAGATGCATATATTGTGCAAAGTGGAACTTACATCCCAAGGTTGTTGCTAGGTATAAAAGTGAGGTTTCACATCCAGATCGACGTATGCGGTTTCGGATTAACTTGTGCACTCAAATACATACAAAAACTGACTTGAGCGTTAAAGTAACTTTTGGAGTTACCCTACATCTATCTCATTTGATTTAGGAGGAGTGTTGCTTGGAGATTTCATTCAATTATTCTGCGTACAAAGTAAAGCCGAGAACTTGTGGTAAATATTTTTATTGTAAGAATTTCTGCTCCAATAATTGTCATTGTTTGTGAGAACTCTGAAAAAATCAATTAATGGTTGGATCCACACAAGACGCTCCAACCTCATCTAATCCTCGATCTGAAGATGTCGGACTAAACTTACAAAAAGGATAGCCTAGTCTCGCATCCATCCGGCTCAAGAAAATACTGAAGGAGTTGCATGAAACAAATAAGATGGCGGTTGAAGCTTTGGAGAAATCCAAAGGCAATTATATGTCGAATCCGAAATGCCCTAAGGGAAACAAAAGGAAGGAAATGATAGTACCATATGGAGTATCCACTCCGATGATTAGCACAACGACCATGAAGACAATCACGACCATATGAAGGAACTGAAAAAGTCCAAAGACAGCTAATTGCCAAGACATATCAAGAAGATTGTGAAGGGATATAAATCGCAAACACATGCCGAGTTGACCATGGAAGCTGTAAATGGGATCTACAAATCGCCATTCACCGATGATATTCTGAAGACTAAGAAGCCCATGAAGTTTGTATAGCCCAAGTTTAAATTATTGAAAGGCATAACTGATCCCATCAAGCATATTTATTAGTTTCATCAACAGATGGTCCTCGAAAGCGAAGACTAAAGGTTGTTGTGCAAACTATTTTCGTCAAGTCTGTCGGGGTCGACATTGACGTGGTTCAGGCAGTTGAAGCCAAAGTCCACCGAGCTTTGCGAAGCTTTCAAACGTCAATATGTGTGCAATATCAAAAGAGAAAGAATGACATTACAACATTGTTTAGCACAACGCAAAAGGCAGGCGAAAGCCTTAAGGATTATTTAAAGAGATTCATAGAGGAAATGTCTACTTTTGAGACATTTGATTCTCACTCTATGTCAGTGGCATTTAATCAATCCAGTCAATGTTTCAATAGATTGATAGTTTAAGGTATTCACTGTAAATTGATAAACTCCAAACAAACAAGAAAAAATGTCCTCTTAGATCTTTACTTAAACATTATTAACTCACATTTGTGGATCATGAGTTAAACATATTCCAAAGCAGTGAATTATTAAGGTTTGAATAAACTTCATGTACAAGTAACCTCTCATTTGTGGATCAAGAGGTTCCCTGTTAGTCTATGCAAACATTTTCTTCATGTTGTTCCATCATAGTTATTTATCAATTTCCACCCCTCTCATTTTTGGATCAATAGTTGTACAAAAGGCTATGAACTGTGATGCAAATCTTGACCAATTCATCAATTGAAAACTGCCTCTGTAACAGTTTAAGCTATTGTGACTCGCTTAACTTATGCAATTGTAATTTTCATTCTTTGATCAAAAGCCTTTCAAGCATGATTGAGCAGGAAAAAAAAACTTATGTTCTAGATTATACCTTATCACATAAGATATGCAATTGTTTTATACTACATGCTTCATGACTAATGATCAAATAAACTTTATGCATATCTTGTAAAATCGAAAAGTTAGATTAAAGAACAAGACCTAGTGCTATGATACCATATGTAAGTCTTATCAAGTCTTTGAACTCTAATACTAACCTTGATCTGACATGATTGAATGGTGGAAATAAGGATCTTCTTCTCCTATGTAGTCTTTTAAGCTCTCTCTCTCTCTCTCTCTCTCTCTCTCTCTCTCTCTCTCTCTCTCTCTCTCTCTCTCTCTCTCTCTCTCTCAATGGAATGAGATTTCTATATGTATCAACTGCTAGGGAAAAGACCTCTATATATATACATATATATATACATGCATTTACTTTAGTGTTTTATCCATCAAGAAACACTCAAATAATTATGATTGCATTAGGATAGGATGTTTTAATCCATATAAGAAGAGGAATCCTCAAAACACGAGTGTTCTAATTAGTTTGCAATTAGACTAGAGTTGCAGACATGCTCGACATAAACTAATACAACCTCCTCGACTCCTCTTCTTGTTAAAATATCATATTTCATGGATTAAAACAAGGTATTTGTCTTACAAGAAATGCCATGAATTGAATGACGCCATCAATGTTGACACTAATGATATACAGGATATGGATATAAGACACGATATTTATATTGGTATAAATTTATTAAGGCAACGAATCATCTGGCTCACCCCAAATCCTTGATAGCATCCATTACGTTCTAATGAAAATGGACTCATATCTAAGCACCGCTTATTTTTTTTCTATTTCAAGGTTTCGCTTGCTTTGTTTTTGTTAGCACTAGCATAGCTGCAACATTGGTCATTGTTTTAAGACGTCTTTTTTCCTTCAAGTGTTGCAGTCAATTCATATGGTGAATGGCCTTCGATGATTTAGCAAATTAGGTTGGTTGTCTTTAGTGGTAGTGGATTGGTTAGTGGAAATGTTTTTCTTCCTAGGATTTGGTTTCAATTATTTAGCATGTGTATGCTCCTCCTTCAATATATCACATACCTCATTAAATGACAAGTTGTTTTTCTAATTTCTTTCTCAATTAACGATAATTTACAGCTACAATAAAATTTGATTGCGAGAAAATCACATATTGTGCATTTTTCCTATTATGATTGTTCAATAATTCAATGCAATAGTTTAATTTATTAAACTATTTTGATGTCTATTGAATTGAACTGCAATTTTACTTGCAATGGTATAGTTTAATAGCTTCAATTTATCAGTATGTGAGTCCCACAGTTAGCCTATTGCAATTCACATCACATAGCACTCTCTATTACAATGAACTAAATCACACCATTACAAGTATTTTACTGTTTTAGTTTAAATTTATGCAATAAAATTAAATTAATCCTAACCATTGCAAATACTCGTACTATAATAAAAACTGGCTCAACTCTACTTTGCAAAACAGCCACTGTTGTAAGCAGGAAATAGGATATGAAAATTAGTTTTATTTTTTTTCTTCATTTACTCCCTCATGCTAACTATCATCCTCACTACAGTGATTAAATCCGACAAAAAAAGAAGTAAATTTCTTTTTTTGGATTATAAATCTTACCAAATAACCTTTGTAAAATTGAACAATGCATTTAATGATTCTTTAGCGCCCATTTGTTACGTTGCATTTGCATTTAATGGTTCCTACATTGGAACTTAATTTCTAAAATTTTGTATATTACCTTAGTTAAGGTGCATTTTTTGTTGTTTGAAAAGATGCTTTATTAAAAAATAATAAGGGCCAGTTTGGCATTGCTGTGCTGTGAAAATAATCGCTGTTAGATTTGCTGTGAGAGAAATCAGCTGTGAGATAAAACAGTTTGGTGTTTGGTAAACTTTTTGTTCAAAGTGTTGTTGGTATTGATTCCCACATAATTAGAAAATAATTCTTGCATAATCATCAAACCCAGTGCCCTCTTCAAAACTGATTCATGCATAATCAGAAAATGAAAGCACCTCATTAGTTTCTTTCTCTCACAGTAATTTTTAATAATAAGTGATTTTTTCATAGTTTACAAACGAGCTGGGATTCCCAAATTTTTTTAAAAATCACTTATCACCCCAAATAAGCAATGTCGAACTGGCACTAAGCACCATAAGAGTGCACAAAAAATAGCATTGAAAGGGTCTAATTGATTATATACAATAGAAATAGAATGGTGCTATATTCGCTTTAAAAATAAAAATAATCTTGATCTCACACTTGGTTTTTTAAAAGCTTCTTAAGTTCTTATGAGTGTTTCAGTTTTGTTTTAGTTTTCATCCAAACGGAGGGTAAGGGAAAGATTCAAGGTTTAAGAGTAGATTTTATGGATTTTGGTATCAAAACCACTTTCCTAGATAATTTTAGTTAATTCATTATATGGGTATTTTTTTACATATATTTACATGGATGTGGGAATAGGTCAATTTTTCACGAAACTATCACCATGCTTGTCGATAAAATGGAAATTTCGTAATGCCAGTACAAGGTGAAAAAAATCTTTCACTAAATGTGAGGCTGGAAATAAGTGATTACAAAGTAATCTGGGAAGAACTCTTAGCATGTTAAGATGCCATGCTGGTCATCTAGGCAAAAGGCAGACATGGACAAGTGTACCAGAAAACTAGATCTTTCAGATCAAGCTTACTACATGTAACAAATCCACATGCTATGAATCAAGTGCAGCAACAATTTTGTCTTTCAGATCAACTTCAAATGAAATTATAAGCGATTCCAGTGCAGCACCAAATTTGTCTTACCAACCTCGGCACTCAAAACCAACGCACAGATCACATTCATGTTAAAGCACAGTACCATCCAAATGGAACCAATGACCCTACGAAAAGTTGATCCAAAGTCCAGCATCTAAACTAACCAGATTCACAATTCAGATACACAATTTGTAGATGGAGATATATTAGACCAGAGAACAATACTTGAGGTGTTGAACCCCGCCAAAATTGTCGCAATCTTCAGGTACCATGACAGATAGAAGGGAAAATGTTACCACAATGTTGAACCTTTCTAGGTGCTCAAAAAGATTGTAAAACAGTAGGTAATTATCAAAATGCAATTGATGTGAACCACCCCTGCTTAAACTGTTTCAAGGTGCCTATTGTCCATGGTCAAATCTAACTACTCAGTTATGATAAACTTCTTTTTAAAGACATAGCTCTTCATTATATTACAGTATATATCTCAAAAGCCTACAACTTGGGGAACCATCTGATAACTAATTGAATATGTAGGTGCATTGCATGGTAGTCACAAAACCTCTAATTGATTGCACCGCAACGACTAATCGCAGTTTTTCTTGCTACTATACATGTCGTATAGCTCATCAACTCTAAACTCCAGCTAAAGGCCTTAAGATCAGCAATAATCAGATAGAAGATGATTCCATCTCATCAACTTGAATGACTAATCAAATATAAGACACACTATTCATGTGCAAACGTGATCAAGTCACCACCACATAGCAAATACATGTAACAAAATTTCAAACAGAAAGACAAACACAAAGCATTGCATTGGAAACAAAAACCCAGAAACTTGACAGCAACTAATTGATCCACAAACAGAGTCAGTTATAAATTGAAAAATAGTGATTGTTATTGGTTTTATCCAAGTAAAATTATTGTGATCACAGAAATTACAAGTTTTCAAACACTTATGATTTTCAAGTCTCTGAATTTCCACTAATCATATCCGCAACTAAAATAATTTCCAAAAATCTGGACGACTGACCATGCTTACCAATTAGGTGTGTGAAAAGGTACAAAATCATATACTTTCTCTTTTCCAGTTGACAGAGACAAATCAACAAGCACCTAACCGGCTATGCATCTTTCTCGCCACTGGAAACCGAATGCTGCTCCGAAGCGGCGGCATTTTGATCCTTGGAGCTCTCAGCAGCCTTTTCCTTCTCCAATTCCTTGACAGCCTCTGCCTCAGCGGCCTTCTCAGCCTGCAATATGGGCTGGTAGTAATCGGGATGAGCCTCCATACACTTCTTCAAAGCCGAAGTGACCTCAAAGCATTTCTCAACAATGTCCTCCTTGTTCTTCTCAGACTCTTCAATGCACTGTTCCCAAGCTGTGAAGCTCTCTTTGCAGCCACCGCCTTTCATAAACAAGCAGAACCCACATTCACCGGGCTCCTCCTCATCGTCCTCCGCTTCCTCTTCTTCTTTAGACGCGTTCTGTGGATTCCCCTCAGCTTCCTGCGGCTTCTCTTCGTCTACGGGTTTGGAATCTGATTCGGTATTTGAGGCCTGCGTTGGAGCTTGGTGTTCCAGGGTTTTAGAAGGTGAATCGGCCATCAGGTAGGGTTTATGGTTTGATGCGATGTGTTTGGTGGTGCTAGAGGTGGTGAGCCGGGGTCGGTGGGAATGGTTGAGTTATGAATTGTTGTTGTGGGTGGCGGTAGAAAACAGGAGAAGGGCTGGTCAAGGCAAACCCCATGACTGCTCAAAACCTACCAAGATTGGTAGACTGAGAAGCGGAATATTGGCCGGGCCGGCTCAGGCCCAGGGTCATTTCCTTTGGATTTTATTTAAGAGGGCCGGCCTCTATGCACAACTTCTTTTTCATTAAAAAATAAAAATAAAAATACCACTTAAATGCGTGCGTGCCAATTTGCTTTTGTTTTTTTTTTTCCCCTTCTGTTTTATTCTTTTATTTTAAAAATATTGAGAAAATTAAGAAAACCCTATAAAAAAGAAATCAAAATAAAATAAATATTGATGATCTTTAAAATCAAAAGTTTGGGTAACAATTAAAACTCTCATGATAACGTCTTAGTTCAATTAAGACTAAGGGTGAGTACGGTTTGGATTGGATCGATTTTACTTTAAAATTATAACCGAATAAATTACAATATAACGGTTTAATTCAGTTTGGTTTTAATAAAATTAATGAAGAAACGAACCAAACTAAACCAATTTAAGATGGTTTGGTTCAGCCAGTCTGGGCCTAAACCCAAATATTTTTCCTTTTGCATTTTTCAACATTGTTAACCTAATTACAACCAACAAATTTACAACTTGCTCATAGTTAAATAATTTTCTAGAATACAAAACCATCCTAAAGCTCAACATGCCATAAAACTTCACATTTCAATAATTAATATAGCTTAATTCAAATATCTATTTATAATTAGATTGGATTAGACTCTCACAAGCAAATCCATCATCCAATCCAATCATGTCGGTTTTGAAAATTAGGGATCCAATTCAATTCGTCAAATCATTGAAACTGATTAAAATTGAATTGGATTGAATTGGATTGATCGGTTTGAGCAAATTGGATTGGATCTTGCACACCCTAACCTAATTTAGTGTGGGCCCTACTTGTAATTTCATTTCTTTATGTGAAGTAAACACATGATTAATCTGTGATCAGAATTCAACTCCTTATTTTAATTTCGATTATGAATTAGAGAACATGCCATTAAATACACTCATCTTGAAATTTGAAAGGTCTTCTAACATCTCTCTTATGTTTATTTCTTGCAATGCTCAAATCATTAAATGATTCGCCATTGGGGATAGTTTTCCTAGTTGTCTTCATACCCGGCCTTGCAATGGGAATAATACTATTTTGTTATTTCCGACCATTAATCAAAAGAAGAAAAAAAAGACCATTAATGCTACGTCACGTGAAAAGGTTATCATGCATGTCATAGTGTTGTTGATCGGGAATATTAAAATAGTGTTATTCCCGTTTCATTCAAGTGAAAATTGTCTCTCCCAAATTTCTAAACTTGCGGCAAAGAATATTCACTGCACTATGGAGGAACCTACACACCTGAAAGCAACAAATGATCTGAGATTAAGGATGTCAATGGGTCGGTTAGGGGCCAGATATGGCAATATCATCCCCGTCCCCGCTCTTCATTCCCGTCCCCGTCCCCGTCGAGGAAGTGCCTCCCATATCTGCCTCAATCCCCGATTTTTAATAAGATATTTCTTGTTAAAATAATTTCTAAAGCATAATCACATCATTGTGAAATTTTAAAAACAACCACCACAATATATTTCTTGTTAAAATAATAACTCAACAAGGCAAAGAATGAGGACACAAAACTTGAAATAATTTCTATCCAAATCTTTTTAATTTTTTTCAGTAAGCACAATAAATCCGTCTAGTCTATAAGATAACTTTGTTTATTATATTATATTAATATATATATTGATTATAAATAAATATATTACTTATCGGGCTGGGTTCGGGGATGGGGATAACAATTCCATCCCCAGTCGGGGATTTTGCAAATTCGGGAATCCCCGTACCCGGCCCCAATTTCCCCCTGAAAACTCCCCCGTTAGGCCTGGAGACCCGATGGGAACCCGACCCGACGGGTATTATTGCCATCCCTGTCTGGGATATCAAGAGAAGATGAGGAAGAGGGAGGAAAGAGAGACGATCGACATAAGAAAATGAAGGAAGCAGAAGCAGAGATGAATATCATCAGCATGTTGCCTGCAGAGTGTATCTCCCACATCGTTTCCTGCACAACCCCTCAGGACGCGTGCAGATCATCGCTGGTCTCTCATCTCTTTCGAATTGCTGCGGATTCTGATATTGTGTGGGAGAGATTTCTGCCCCAAGGTTATAAGGAAATCATTTCCAGTTCTTTAAACTCCTTGTCCAAGAAGGATCTCTACTTTCATCTTTGCAATCACCCCATCATCATAGGAAATGGTAACATGGTAATTAACTCAAAAACCCCATTCATTCATTTTTTCTAAATTTCTATGATTTATTACCTTTCCTTAAAGAATCAAGAATTCTCTTGGGTCATCATCACCCATTGCCATTGGATTCTAAGATTTAATAGGTTTTAGATACTAGGAAAGATGTTTGATTTAAGAGAAGAAAAAAAAACTTTTTGAATTATTTTGAACTTTTGATTTTTGCAATTATATGTAATAGAAAACTCATTGTTGGAGATGCTTTACTAAATTTGCTATTTTATTTACAAAAATAAAAAAGAAATTTGAACATCAACAAGCTTGATTTTCTGTCTATGGGGATTAGTGTCACTGGGTGGCATGAATAGGTAAGTTTGACTGATGATATCAATGGCTAAATATTAATGGTATACTATTATACTATGATTGGGAACCATGGATGACAAGCGACATCCTTCCTATCTTCTTTTCTTTGACACAGAGCATGGCACTAAAAAAGCAGAGTGGCAAAAAATGCTATATGGTAGGGGCAAGAGAGCTTACAGTTATATGGGGAGATACACCCCCATATTGGCAATGGATATCTCTACCAGAGTCTAGGTATTCTATTCTCTCTCTCCACCATTATCTTACTATTTATCAATTCAATTATATTTTTGAGTGATGCTAATTCAAACCCTGCATAAGAAAGAATATGCTTAATGTAGATTGTGACCAAAAAAGGCCCTGGATCAGAAAGAATATGTAATATCATTGAGATTTTGATTAAGTATGAATTACCTTGCGAAGGTGTGATGTTGTTGCCTTCATAGTGAGTTTGTGGGGTTTGACATATATAGTGTCCTCAGAAGAGAAGCATGGTTAAGAGAAAGTAAAGTGGATATGGCTACCTCTAAACCCTGACATGATTACTATTACTACGTTGCATTTTGATGCATATTTATATGTGAATGAATCGCATCACAGGTTTGCCCAAGTGGCTGAGCTCAATTATGTATGGTGGCTTGAGATAAAGGGGTGCATAGAAACTAAAAATTTGTCCCCACGAACAGCCTATGCAGCTTATTTTGTCTATCAGCTCTCATCAGAACACAATCCACGGACTGCAACAACTCCTTTTAGGTTCCGTGTTGCTTATGAACAAAGCGCAGCAGATGAGCGTAGTGTGATCCTCGATCCTATAGCTCATGAAGGTATAGCTCCTCCGCAAGCTCGATACAGAGGCGATGGGTGGATTGAGATTGAGATGGGTGAGTTCATCACTGAAGAAGATAATGCAACTGTGCGGTTTAGTCTAATGGAAATTAGTAGTTTCTGTAAGAGCGGCCTCATTGTAGAAGGCATTGAGCTTAGGCCCAAGCAATGAAGGATTGATTCCATGAACAAGTCACAGGAGGGGAAGAAAGCTTTATAAACGAGTGGGAGTAATGTTGCCTTGCCATTTATCATCCTCTAGTAAGCTTCCGTCTTTTATTGTGCCCTTTGAAATTATTGTCTAAAACTTTGCTAGATCTCAGACAGTTCCAAGAGATGAAGTAGTAGTTATGGTTTCTTGTATATAATAATTTTGTAGGTATAAATATGTCTGTAGCATCTATTGTGGACAGGGCACAAATAAACGTTTACCATTGCATAGATAATATTTGAGAGAAATGCCCACGATTCCACGAAGGACTTTGCACTAAAATCTAACTATTCATTACCTTAATCGGTTAACAGAGACTCTGAAAAGACTGATGATATGATATCAATGGCTAGGCTTCTTTTCTTTGACACAGAACAGATCATGGCAGTACTAGAAAAGCAAAGTGGCAAAATATGTTATATGGTAGGGGCAAGAGGCTTGCAGTGGGACATATTGGAAATGTATATCTCTACCACAATATCCATTACGTATTTTCAGTGATGCTAATTCATACATGAGTTGTAGGTGTAGGATATAATTAATCTTTCATTGGATACTTATAGTGTCCTCAGAAGAAGCTAGCATGATTCATAGATTGAATGCATTGACATTTTGATGTGTATATAACTATGTACATATGTGAATGAATCGAATCACAGAACAACATATATGCAGCTTATTTTGTCTATCAGCTCTCATCAGACTACGATCTAGAAATTGCAACAATTCCTATTACACTTGGTCTTGCTTATGAAGAACATAGCGGAGTTGCAGTTGAGCAGAGTGTGATATTTTCTTTTCTAAAAGAATGAAACATAAATAAAATAAAATAAAAGAATGAAGTTACTAATGAGATTTTAGTCTTTTCTACATCTTAAATAAATGCACTAATGGAGTCTAGTCCAGTGAAAAACGGCATTGATTTGCGAGGTCTTAGTTTCGAATTCCCATGACAACGTGTGTTAGCAAAAGAGAACAATAGAGACTTTGTAATGGTCTAATAGTTATGAATAATGCTCTAAATTACTTTTATCGATAAAGGAAAATCAGGGAATTTTTTTTTAAAATAAAAAAAGAAAATAGTACAGCCGGGCGGCTATACTTTATATTAAAATACAATAAAAAAAGAACCCGCCTAGCCCGCCTAGCCGCCTAGGCGGCCGATTTTTCCAAAACTTGAATGGCGTGTTTTTTTTACCTGGCGGTCTGGCATCTCTGCAAATACTCAAAAATGGAGATCATCCCTCCTGTTGGTGATATGGAATCATTCTTGGACAAATCAAAGCAGCACATAGCCTCTTCTTCAGGGTTGGTGCTGGGAAGGTCATTGTTCATCAGCTCGGAGCCACTCCTTGGTTTCCATAAATTAGGGTGAACCTTGGGAGTTAATTGCATTCAATCAATATCATCAGAATCAAATGACCAATTATCGCTTCGGTTTCAATTTTGAAAGGAAAGAGAGGAGAAATCTAAGTTACAAGCAGCAAGATTTACTTTTTTTTTCTCCTCCTGTTTTTTAGATGGCATGTATGTTTGGTGACTTAATGCATTATGTTGTTTGTTTCTTATGGTTTTGGCAGTGTTAGTTATTCGTATAGAATGCAGGCTCAGAGTTAGAGTTTATGATTCTTTGCTGTGTTAATAAAATATTAAGCATCTTTATTCATAATTTTGTCTTTTGGCAATATAGGTTTTTCTTAATTGAAAATAGGTCCCTCTATAGTTGAGGTGTTGGTAGTCAGTTTATGTGACTTCTGATCTCATGAGTTTGATAAGAGTAGAAATTGCCCTGCTTTACTAATGCCGGTTACGAGAAGTTAATCCCCTATAGACCAAAGAAATAGTATTTGAGGTTTAGCAAGATTTAATTTTGAATCTGGTTATTTCTGCTAAATCCTTAGATTGGATTTTCAATGCAATTAGTCGTATGGCATACAGTTCATATTCAAATTACATAGGTATTTTATACAAGTATATACATTTGGAATTATATGAACTTGTCTACAAAACAAATATTTGAAGCAGATTTTGGGATCCTTTCGGATAAACTTTGAGTTAAAACTGGGGGGATTAATGTGATATGATGATGAACCGAAATCAGTAATGGAATTTTAATACTGACTTGATCTGTAAAGAGCCAAATGTATGTAATAACTTAGGAATGCTGCAGCCATTTGACAACCAAAACAAATAAGCTAATGTTTTGTCAGCTGCATCCAGGACCTTGTCTTTTGTTGATTTAATTTACTTTTTGCCTTGCTTTGCATGCCAAATTATTTGATATTTACATCTGATATGCAAGTTAATCACATGATGTTTGCATTTTGCAGCTTCAGCAGTAGCACCTTTCTACAAGGAGATCCGTTTCTTGGAATTCTCAGGACTCTTGATCTTTTATCTCCTCTGTTGATTACGCTGATGGTTCGTTTTCTCTATGCGAAGGAGAATTTGCAGGGCGTACAAAAACACCACAGCACAATGATGTGCCATGCTCAGTTTTGTTTTGGCGAGGATGGTAGAGTGCCCGTGTGAAAAGTTTGACACAACAGGTTCCTTATGCAACAACACATATAAAAGTGAATCAGGAGATGATTGCAGGTCAAAGCCAAAAAGGTGGCAGGCCTCTCGTCTCTGTTTTACATTTATGATGTCGCAACTACCGGACGATCATTCCTAAGGGAAAACTTCCTAGAGATAGTGTGACCACTTGAAGAATACTTAGCTTGCAGAATTTTCAAAAAGAACCTTATCTTTCTTGAAATCAATTGTAAATTATGCAGGCTCTTTTTGAGCATTTGCAATGCAAGGCAAAGTAAAAATTGATACACAATTTGTATGGTGACTACATGTTTATATGAAAAAAAAAAAAAATCATGGTGAATCATTGAGTGGCCTGATCCCTTTTTGGGTGCCTTGTGTTTTTAATCCCGAAGTGAAGAGTTAAAAAGCCAAATTGGTATGGGGTAGCCTCCCTTCTCCCTAAACAAATGCTAGTTCTTTCACTTCATACACTGCAAGGTGAGTCTTGTTTATGGCAAGGGGGTGCAGCTCATTCTGGTGAATTTGGATGTAAGTATCTGACAATGATCTCAACTCCTTCCCATCTGGAATCTGCAACAATTTGCTTCTCTGTTTTTCCCACCCAGCAGCACCCCACACAAAAATCTGCAGGGCCAAAACGACATCGATCGGTGGAATGTGTGCAGGTGTTCTGGCCTTGTGACTTCGAGTTTACCAGTAAATTTATTGGACAGCAAACATAGGAACCTAGAGCCGATTGGCAAGTGGAAAACTTTGGAGGTGTTATCATTGGGTTCATGCTTAAATTTGGCGAAAATACTTGCAATTATACAAACACATTGCAAGAATTTTTATGGGTGTGAGGCATCATCAATTGTGAAGTTGGTGCCCAAAAATGATATGACAGAATTGTATATTTAAAACGTATAGCCGCACGGCTTTACTTTCTAAATACATTTGGATATTTTAAAAGTATAGCCTAAATATTAATATATTCAAATATTTTAAGAGTATAGCCGGGCGGCCATACCCTTTAAATATATTCGAAACGAACACGAAGGTTGCAGTAGCAGATGACGGAGCTTGCAGAAGC